AGCGCACCATGCATCCGAGTCCGCCACCTTACCCGCGGAATCGGGACAGGAGTAGTGGAACGGGGAAGAACAGGACGGGGGCAGGGATTAGAGAAGGAAACGGAGCCTTTTCTAGATGAAAAGGGGGCGAGGTAGCGTCGCTGCGTGGGATGGGTTGGGGGATGGTGGTGGTTTGATAACGGTTTGGTTTGGGGCTGGTTTGGTCTGGTGTGGTCTGGTGTGGTTCGCGCTATTGATCAGGTTCAGCTTGTGAGGCTTCAAGAGTCCAGGTTCGTGAAGGCGGTTATGATTGAGATGAGTTTTGGGAGATCACATTCGATAGAAACTTCAATTATCACATTGGATCACATCAATTGTGACAAGATCGACATGAAAAAGGACATCATATGATAGACGGGAAGTGCCAGCTTGATTGGAAACATCCTATTTCCACAGGGACGGGATGGACTTCTCTGAGCGGAAACAATTCACGATCATCATTGAATTAATACCGGCTCATTCCGTATCGTCCCTTCTCAAAGAGCTATTGAACTTCAATTCAGATATATTCAAGCACCATCGGCGAATCTAAAGGACAGACTCGTATCGCGAAGTGGTCATCGCATGGTTTTCATTGGCATCGCTTTTATGACCGATATCACAAAAAAAAACAAGAAATATGATACAGACGATCTTATGATCTTATGATCTGGTGACATTCTGTATGCGGCTGCTTACGCTGACATGCATCTTCTCTCCTCCTCCTCAAATCGTCTCCTCACCGTCGGTATCCCGGGGAAGTGCATGCAAGGCTCGTAAATTACTCTTTCGAGTCCTTGGGCCGCTATCCTCATTCCTCCCATCCCCAGTTCCAAGTTTCTCAGATTTCCAACATTTCCAACACTCCAACATCTCGCTTTCGTTTTTCCGGGCCAAATCACATCTCGTCACATCATTCTCATCTCATCTTATCTGTTGCCAAAAAAGTTAGAAAAACCAACAAACACGCGCTTGCGCCTTGTCTGCGCCGCCGCCTCCAACGTGTCGGTAACCGCTCGACCTTTGGATTTGCTGGTAATTATGCCGGTCTATCCGGGGGAGACAACATTTGTTTTGCTTGGCGATGCGTCCTCGTAGGATTCTGATGCAATTGCCCGTGCCTACATTTCGAACTTCCATTCCAATTGGAAGAAACAGCTCATGCTGTGATGATTGCATTGGTTGCAATGCTGAAGATAAGGAGCCGATTTGCTTGAGATGCTGGGCTGATTATTGATGATCACACCTCAGTGACCTCACTCACCCTTTCACATCCTCGGCTTCTTCACCTACCCTGGGGCAAGCAAGTCATCGTCGCCTCCCCCCTTTCTCCACCCCGACCCTCCTCATCCCCTGACTAACCCTCCCAGCCAAACTCTCTCTCTCTCCCCCCTACCCTCCTCCCCGGCATCCGGATTCCGGAACACCTTCCATCGCTCCCTCCCCTACCAAAGAGACAAGATCACATGAACAAAATGGTCCCACGCCACTCTGTCCCCCATGTCCATCCCCTCGCAATTCCCAGCCCCTGACCAATCCCACCACAGTCTAGCTCTGCTCTACCCTTGACAGAACGAACCACTTGCAGCCCTGGAGCCTGGCCTGGCTCGAGGCGAGCCAGGGTGAGGGGCCGAGCTTAGGCAGCCCGCTTCCGGCGAGCTGGGAGCGCTAAGATCTGGCTGGGGGATCCCTGAAAACTCTACGCTGGGTGGTGATGAAGTGGTCATGGCTTTTGGAGGGTGGCAGAGGGGAGAGGGAGAAGGGAGTGGGAGAAATAATGATGTGCCGCGGTGGGCTGATGGAGGAGAATTGGGAGTTGGGAGGGGGGCTCGGACATGTTCGTAAGACTGGTTATTGACGCCGTTGGAACTTTCTCTAGGCAGTCGGGAACAAGTATTTTCTTTCTTTGGTCGGGTCGGTCGATTGGGCTGTTGGATTGGTGGTACGCTGGACAGGACAGACGAGAGAACAAAAAAGTGCCACCAGATCTGATGCATGAACACTGCATGTCAGGAAGTCAATTGTTGGAAAGAAAGTGTCATGGTGGCATGTACACTCGGGCCCGAATGAGTCGTGACCACCTCTGCTACCTTTTCAAAGCATGATGCCCCCAAAGAAGAAATCACAACAGCGAAAACTCCTCCTTCTCAGGAGCACGCCTCCGTCATCCGCATCATACACTGCTAATGATGATGTTCCTGATCAGCAGAGCTATCGTACTGCCTCACTCGTCAGGCGTCAATAATAGCCAAATCTGACCGCCTGGGGCCCGGAGCAATGTCCTCGGAACGACTGCTGTAGCTACCGGATTGAAGCTATCTAGGACCAGGACTCCAGGAGCCTACAAATAGTGTGCGACTACTAGACGACCCGAGCCCCTGACGCCGTTGGGCCTGTCACTACTTAACCACCAGAAGTTCAGAGCCGCTGAACAGTGAACGAACAGCCAGCTGGAGATGTCAAATTAAATGAACTTTACAACAGATGAGACAAAGCAAACAATTTTCTTGCGATCCGAAAAGAGAGCAGAGCAGGAGCATGAGCGGGGCACGGCACAATTATCTGTCGTATTCTGCTCATCACATTTCCAAGATCCTCTGCCTGCTCCTTTATCGAGGAATGAAATAAGAGCAGGGCTCGCATGGCTATTAATTGCTTCTCGACCAGGAACCCCATACTGTACTAGCCCAGCTCTTAGGCCTGCAATAATCGACAGAACCAGCGCGCTGGTTTGGTGGCTCTGTGGCACCCTTCGTCGCAACGTGGTGTCAGGGATGTGGGTAAATTTAAACCAAACGCTTCCCACTCTTCCACTCTTCCCACCTGTGCCGTGGCCACATATTATTTCTCCAGAAATACTGTATGGCGACTGGACGTTTGGATTGGAAAGGCGCTCTTTGACTCTCCCCGGCCGGCTGGGCTGGGACTGTTTTGCATCGCTGATTCGTCGTTGCACAGCTGGTGGGATTCGAGTGGGCTGGACTGCATCCCAGAGCGCGCAGGGTGGCATGGCATGGCATGGCCTGCAATATGATGTCGTGGAGTGGGGGCCTTTTCTATCATTATTCGGGCGGGCGTGCAAGTCGTCTCTCTTCTCTTCTCTTCTCTTCTCTCACCGCACCGCTGCACCAGACCGATGGTATGCCATGGCATCGCATCTCGAGACAGCCGAGCGGGCCAGTCAAGAGACAAGAGACAACACAGAGAGTGCCTACAGTTACGGGCTCACGTCGCTGCAAAGGAATCTGGCATCTGGCATGATATGACAGATAAGCTGTGCATGCAGCAGCAGCAGCTCATCCACCTGTACCCGACCTCATCCTCCGCCGCACTTACTCACTCCTCACTCACTCTTCGCTGTGCGCACGCCAGCTGGCTGGCTGGATATCTGTCATACGGGCACATCTCCATGGACCCATCATTATTCTCCATCTCACCCAAGCTGATTTGATTTCCTCCCTGACTCCCTTTGCGTTGTCGCACACACCGCCAGAGAAGAGAGGCCTGTGCTCGGCTAACCAGCTGCTAAACAGCTAGCTCTAAACAAATGATCGATGCCCTGACCTGACCTGACCTGACCTGACCTGACTAGACTGACCATGGCCTAACTGGCATGCTACCTTACCTTACCTACCTAGCTAACGAGCGAGCGAGCGAGCGACCACGCAGTCAAGCGTCAAGCGTCTAGCAGGGAGGGTCCGACCCCTGATCATCGGAACTGACTCCTCGATACCCCCGCGAGCACGCTCATTTGCTGTGGGCGGGAAGGGGTCGCTAGAATTTCCGCATTCCCCGATGACCCCCCTCGCCCCCCCCCAGCGGCTGGAACCCCCAATACCAGTAGCGGTTCTCGCTAGGGTCCGAGGCTCTTTCTCCCCTGCCCAACCGGCCCAAATGCCGTGACAGGGAGCTCGCCTACTGGACACCGTCTGATACTCACCCAGGGCATGGCATGGCAGCGCATGGCATGGCAGGGCGTCTAGCTTACAGTACAGTAGCTTTCCAGAGTTTGAAATTTACGATTACTGTAGTCAGGGCTTGCTTCTTTTTACCCCTGACTTTCTTTGTGCTCGTGGCCCATCCAAGGCTGCCCCTCCAGGACCCACACGAAATGTTTAAGTTGATAGGTACAGGATGGGACTGGCTCAGGCACCACACGGCAGGCCCGCAAACAGTACCGCACCAGTGAAGGACCGGAAAGAATGCTCTGCTCTACTCGTACAACACCCCAAAGCAGATTGCCCATAATTTTCCAATACCGGCATGGCACTCAGCGTTTCCCCGTGTTGCACTAGACTAGAAGGTCTATTTGGCTTCTAACGCTTCGTCACCGCCCATCAGACAAGACAAGACAAGACCAGACCACCCAGACAGGCAAGGACAGGGGATGGATTATAATCTACGAGGAGACGCCGCTAGCCGGCCGGTACTTTAATAGCTTTACAATTTCTCCCATGGCGGTCAGGTAGAGTAAAGTACATGAAGCGCCTCATTTGCTCGACCTTTGCACATCTTGCTTGATTCTCCCGATCTTCCCTCTCTCCCACGAGTACTTCTCCCGCTTGCATTCTCATCTCGACATCGTACAGCAGATCAACTTACTACCGCACCATACAAACATCCTCTTCACCCCGCCGGAAACTTACTCACTTACACATCTTCCCTCGACGCACTCGACCACTCAAAACATCCACCTACATATTCTCGGGTTACAGGTGCAGGGCAACCATCCATCCTTCGGGCAAGAAAATATCTTGATCACGACATATCAAGATAACTACCAACCGCCTCGCCTCCCAATAAAAAGCATATAACCCTCACATGGTCCCCAGCTTGCAAATCAGCTCCCCCCCTCAGTGTGCTAGACCAATCCTCTTCGATCCGCCTCACCACACAACTTCCACCACCAAACGAAACACTCCCGAGACTACACTCTCGAGTCAACAAGTCGGTTCTGTGAGACGAGAGCTGCAGCCTTCGCAATGGGTGGCGCACAGCATATGGGTTCCCGGAAAGGGACCCCGCCATTTCCTGTTAGACAGATGACAATACTGGGTGAGTTGGACACCCCTCCATGTAGCCTGGACGAAAGAAGAAGAAGAAAAACAGAAGACACAGGTTCTGGAGAATGGAACTAACAGAATCCGTCCAGCACTATGCCGAATCTGCGAACCCATCGCCTTTATGTCCATCTTCCCATACGTATATTTCATGATCCAGGATTTCGGCGTTGCCCACAACCAGTCCGAGATATCAGTATATGCGGGCATGGTCACTTCAGCATTCGCCTTCGCAGAGTTCTCGTCGGGTGTCGCATGGGGAAAACTGAGTGATCGAGTTGGACGGAAACCAGTTCTTCTCACGGGACTGGCTGGTACGGCTCTCAGCATGTTGATCTTCGGGTTCGCGCCCAATCTGCCAGTCGCATTACTAGCTCGTGCGCTGGGAGGTCTCTTGAACGGGTACGTACCATTCCGGATTTTACCTTTTTGTGGTTCTCTTGCGTTTTGGAAATTCCCGGAACCCCCTTGCATGATTGAGCATGAGCGGGGTGGGTAATGTGATGCGAAAGTTTCCCTTTTAAGGTATTTTTTTTTCTGACGGGTCGGTGCATCTAGGAATATCGGCGTTTTGCAGACCACAGTCGCGGAAATGGTCACGGTCAAGGAACACCAACGTAAGTCCGCACTTTTCCCAGTTTCCCAGCGCTCGGAATCCGACAGGTCGTTTTGGCGGCCGTGGAAGTGTTGCGTCTGGAGTTCTTGGAACTGACAAATCGATTAGCTCGCGCTTATACTATTATGCCATTCGTGTGGTGTCTCGGGTGAGTCTAGTCCCATGATAATCTTTGTCAGTTCTCACATATCACAAGAATGTCATCTAACACATTACTTTCTCCTCAGGTCGATCCTCGGCCCAACACTCGGCGGCGCATTAGCCAGACCAGTGACAAATTACCCGTCCATATTCACCAAGGGCACCATCTGGGAGCGCTTCCCTTACCTCCTCCCGAATCTGGTGTGCACGGTAATCGTCACCTGCGGCGTGATCATCGGGATCCTCTTCCTCGAGGAAACGCACGCCGAGAAGAAATACCGTCGCGACCCGGGCCTCGAGGCAGGGAAATGGATCCTGAGCAAGGTGACACGATGCGCCGAGTCGAAGAGCAGTCGCTGCGAGAAGGCCGCTGATCTCGACGAGGTCATGTCGTTGTTGAGTGATGACGAGCAGCCGCCTGGATATCGCACGACGGATGGGTCGCCGAAATTGCCTTCGACGCCTTCGCCTGAGCCGCAGGAGGCATTGGATTTGAATGCGCCGGCGCAGGTCTTGATGCTGAGGGAGAGGCCAGCTGCTACCAAGGCGTTTACGAGACAGGTCGTTCTGAATATTGTCGGCTATGGGATCTTGGCTTAGTAAGTGTGCATATTTCGTTTCTGTCATCCCCGCCATCAAAAGCAAACAAAGCGAGACAGTCGATATGGACCGAACCGAATTGTCTTTTCCACGCCAAATTCCCGATAATCGAAAAATGACATTCAGAGAGGATGAGAATAAGATTGAAGAGCAAATGCTAACACTTCTTCCAGCCACACCATGACCTTCGACGCCATGCTCCCCACCATGCTCTCCACCGAACTCCCAACCGACACGTCGCACTTCAACCTCCCCTTTAAATTTGTCTCGGGCTACGGCCTCGACACCAAAGAAATCGGCGTCATCCTCTCCATCCAAGGCCTTTACTCCATGCTCGCCACCATCTTCCTCTTCCCCTTCGTAGTGCGCCGCCTCGGCGCCCTCGGCCTCTTCCGCCTCATCGCCCTCTCCTACCCAATCCTCTACCTCACTACTCCCTACCTGGTCCTCCTCCCGCCATCGCTACGCATGATCGGTGTGTATTTCGTCGTTATTTGGAAATGCACGTTTAGCACTATGGCGTACCCGGCGAATGCGATTCTGCTGACGAACTCGGCGCCGAGCTTGTTGATGCTGGGCACTATTAATGGGGTTGCTGCTAGCACGGCGAGTTTGTCGAGGGCGTTTGGCCCGACGGTTAGTGGGTTCTTGTTTAGTGTTGGGTTGAGGTGTGGGTATGGTGGATTGGCGTGGTGGTGTAGTGCGCTGATTGCGGTGGGTGGTGCGGTCATTTCGTTAAGGATGACGGAGAAGGGTGGGAGGATGGACGTCCAGGATGAGAAGGCGGAGGAGGAATGTGTGGAGGAGTTGGAGTTGGGGTTTGAAGGGCATGTGGCGGCGCTGGATGAGGCGCTTTTGAATGCCAATGCGAATGCGATTGTGGAGGAGAGGGAGGGGAGAGATGAAGCTGAAGCTGGAGCTGGACACGACAGATGATTTTGATTTTTTACTTTAGACGATACCCCTGATCATCAAGTGATGGTCCTTTCCTCGCGGAAAGTTCATTCTTATACATTCTATTTTTTTTTATCGAGAAGCAAGAAGAGCAAGCAGAATTCAACAACGACTTTAACGAAATTTTCAAACAAATTATTTATTCGGTTCAAAATCCTGTCAACACCCACCTGCAGTCTACCTTATCTTTCGATTCTACCCTTTACTCTGGAGGATAATCTGTATTACAACACCCTTTTCACCTCATCAGCCGCATTCGGCCATCTACCATCAAACTTCGACAGCTCGACGATCACGACATCCGTTATCAGATGGCCGTTGATGATCCCTCACTACCACCTCACCACCTCACCACCACCAATCAACACCTCAACATCTCCCCTCACCATCTCAACCTTCAGCCTCCAATTCTCCTCAATCTTCAATCTCCAGTTATCTTCAATTTCACTCAATTTCAAATTCAAATATTAGATAGATATATCCCTTAGCGTTTCTTTACCTCTTCTTCTCCTTTCAGTTCACAATTTTTTTTACGGCGCTTAGGTTCAAAACGGCAACGGAAACGGGCACGAAAACAGGAAATTGGAATTGGAATTGGAATTGGAATTGGGCGGGCATGCATGCATATTCTAATACGGCGTTTGATTCTATTTAATCCCATTTGCTTTGATCTGATGGAACGAAACTTTTACTTACTATTCTGTTTCTTCCAATTTGCGAGTCTGATCCGGCTCTGGCGTTGCGTTGCGCTGCGTTGCATGGGAGCGTAGCGTGATTGTGAGCAGCAGTTAAGATGTGTTTATTTTCGAAACTGTGAGGAGACAGTGCAATGTGACGGAGACAGGAAAGGCTTCAATTACGACCAGCTTGGCTACGCTGGTGGCGGCGACTATTACATGCTCCAGGGCTCGTGACGACATGATTGGATAGATATCTAGTCTAGAGAATATCGATAAATGCAAATAAAGACTGAAAAAAATATCTGCTGTTTGGAGAAGAGACTGCTTGCTCAGCGAGGATAACAACAGAGGATGGTGCGAAGCGAGGCAAAAACCGGGGTGTTTTGGGGTCTTTGTTCGCTACCTACCTACATCCAAGACCTCTTTCCCTGGTATCTACTCCGCATCTCTAGATCTATGTCCCTGCCATATACAATTTGGATAAAGCTGTTAGTATGCTCTGGTATTGAGAGAAATGCATTTGGGTAAGGGTCGATGATGGCGGGGGTAACAACAACAATACAGCTTAATCTAGCGGTTCGGAACATGGTTAAGTTTAGCGAATGGTAAGATATCTTGGATTTGTCGCGCCAGTAACTTTCAGCTGCGGTTCTAAACCCAGATCCTGGATTCCTATCGATGACTAGTATGTTAATCCATGGTTGTATCAAAGTAGGATTCCAGTAATCGGAAACCGAATTGTGAAAGATCACTATGGAGGGATGCGATATCCTGTGCCGAGGTATGTTTGCACTTTGACCCAGGTTTCGAGTTGAATATACCCCCACTCCAATCAACACAGATATTATAGCCTGCGACTGTCTTTGAAGGACATATGCACCGAAGTTCGAAATACTTGATCCAATTGCTGCTACTAGCTGGTGTTAGTAATTTTATCTCTGCTCTCATACTCGCCTCACATCGACCTTCATCACTTGCCACCCAGAACAAAAGTCCCTCAATCACAACTTCGCAACTCCACCATCCATTAACAATTTCAAACCATCCAATCTTTACTCGATACCTACACCTAAGACCCCTCCTTATCCATCCCACACTAATCCCTCTTCAGCACCACGTCCGCTACCATAACAGGTCTCTGATTCGCTAAAGCTCTTATCAATCCCCTATCTCTGGGTCTTCCCCCTAGCGTTGTCCCTTGTCACTATCTCCCGCCTCTGTGGGACTTGGGAAAATCCCACGCAAGCACGCGGCTGCCGCTGGGTCGCCGATGGGTATTCGATCGCATCGACATTTTTGCTTGTTTTTCTGTATGACCTTGCCAATTCGCATGTACGAGAGGGAGCTGGAAAGAGGCGACATCCGGTTCTGATACTTCGACGTCAGCGTCAACATACACACAGTCGGTTTGGGATCGGACTCGAACTTTGCGCGGCTGGAATTGGAGGGCTACCAAGCAGCCTTGTCAGTGCAGCTATTCGTACACCACCAGCGGAAAGAAGCGCAAGGAATTGCACACAGAGCTGTGACTGGCAGAGGACATACTGGAAAGTGGCAGATAGAGGAGCACGATGAACACGGCTAGTCGAAGATCCTCAATCGCAACCTCCATATCGCATGAGAGCAGTTGCAAATAGCAGCGACACCGCGTACCCAGCCCTCTGGTAAACAGCTGCCGCACGACCTCTGCGCGGATCGGCGTCAGAATATATCGGAGCGATTGAAGGTCGAGATAGGATAGAGACAGCTCTTGGAGCGAGGCGCATACCCCGCCATATCTTGTTGGGTGGAGAGGAGATCAGTCGAAGGGCCAGAAACATCGAGAGTAGTGAAGGCAGAAGGGAATTACAAAAGACGGACAATATGAATTCACGTTCACCTCCCTCCAACAGCGGGTACCCCTCCAAACGTGCCCGCCATAGCTCACCAGAACGCACATCCAACTCAACCGACAAAGCCCTCAGTCCCAAGAGCCTCGAAGGTCTGCCGGACGTAGAAGTCCCTCCTATACCAGTGACTGGCAATGGAAGTGGAGGAGGTGGTAGCAAGGTCGGCGGCCAAAGTAGTAGTTTCCGCAATGTAAGCGCCTGTAATAGGTGTAGGTTGAGGAAGAATAGGTGTGATCAGCGGCTGCCGAGTTGTGCAAGCTGTGAGAAGGCGAGTGTGAAGTGCGTGGGATATGATCCGATCACAAAGAGGGAGATTCCTAGAAGGTGAGTTGGTGGTCTTTCTTTGGTGTTCCCTGGGATCTGGAGATCCTTGAGGTATGAAGTGCCAGCAGAAGTATAGGTGGAGGTATCTCAGGGAATGTTGATTCGACATGAGGGATAAGATATAGGGATACTGACTGACGATCACAGCTACGTCTTTTACCTGGAGTCTAGAGTAAGCTACCTTGAACAGATACTCCAAGAAAACAACATATCCTTCGCCCCAGCCGAAGTCCTCGACCACGCATCTCGCCCCGGCGTAGACCCAACAAGTATCCAAACACCCGCCTCGGAAGATCCCCCACCATTCAATGGCTCCTCCGAACTCATCCACAAACCCTCTCCAGAAGAGGCAGCATGGAACAAGAAACAAGACGAATCTGAAAAGCTCAACAAGCTGGTCTCCAACATCGGCAGCGTGTCTGTACAAGGCGCTTCAGACTCCAGATATCTGGGCTCGACTTCGGGAATTTCATTCGCAAGAGTTGTGTTCGCTGCTGTCAAGAGCTCTGTCTCCGGCACAAATAGCGACAAAAGTGGTGTCCGCCCATCAAGACCACCGGTCACTACTAAAGCTGTTGGATCAGGGTCAACGTCTATGCGCGACTCTTTCTTCGGATTACACACCAAACCCACCATCAAACAAGCGCCCTTCCCCTCCAAAGAAATTGGCAAGCGACTGGTGGACTTCTACTTTGAGCATGCAAATCCTCAGATCCCTATCTTGCATCGTGGCGAGTTTATGAAGATGTTTGAGCTGGCGTATGCGGATGGTGATGCGAGGGTTAGGACGCCGAGAGAGTTGTATATGCTGAACATCGTGTTTGCCATTGGAAGCGGCATTTTCTTAGGTGATTCTGAGAGGGAGAGGGAGGGTAGGAGCGACGAGAAAAAGAAATCTGGACCAGCAAAACAGTGTCAGCCCGAAGAGTACCATGCCTCTGCGATTGTGCATCTGGAGTCTTGTCTGAGCTCGCCGAGTTCCATTGATAGGACGGATGGATTTGGTGGAGGTTTGGAGGAATTGCAGGCTGTGTTACTACTCGCCGGGTTTGCGCTGCTAAGACCCGTTGCGCCCGGTTTGTGGTATATTATTGGGGTGGCTGTTAGGCTGGCTGTTGATCTGGGATTGCATTATGAGGATGGAAAGAATATCGATGTTGGGCTTGAGGAGACTGTTGAGGACAAGGATGATTCTGATGGAGCGCGACTGCAAAGGGAACGGAGTGCCCGTGAAAGAGGACGCCGAGAATGGGTTCGCGATTTCAGGAGAAGGTTATGGTGGTGCACGTATTCTTTCGATCGGTTGGTCTCGACGTGTGTTGGTCGCCCCTTTGGTATCACAGACCAAGTCGTTACTACGGAATTTCCTTCATTGCTAGACGATAAGTATATTACACCATCTGGATTCCAGGAACCACCTGGAGGCGCCTCAGAACCCAGTTACAAGCATGCGGCATATCATTATTTCAGGCTCCGGCTGCTCCAATCTGAGATCCTGCAGGTATTGCAACATCAACAAGCGCAGCAAGCTCGAGCAGGAGGTGCCAATCAACGGAATCCATACATGCACACATCACTGCCATCGCCATTCTTATCAAAATATGATAGTTTCCGCTCGTGGAGAATCGATATCGATAAGCGACTTTGGGAATGGAAAAACTCTGCCCCTACTAAACGTGAGACAGGCGTCGCGTTTTCCGTAGAATTCCTCGAGCTGAATTACTGGCAATGTGTCATCATGCTCTACCGGCAAAGCTTGAGCGTGCCGCCCATGTTCGAAGGCGAATTCAATACTAGCGACGAGGTCAATAGTCCAAATGTTCACAATGTGGAGCTGAGAGAGGATGAGGAAAGGGTGTTTTTGAAGGTCGCGGAGGCAGGGCAAAAGGTGCTGAGGTTGTACAGGCAGTTGCATCGTGTGCATCTTGTCAATTATACATTTCTCGCCACACATCATTTGTTTATGGCTGGTATATCGTTCCTATACGCGATCTGGCACTCGGCTATTGTGCGGAGTCGTTTGGTATGTTTGCCTACCTCCAAGCGGATCTCTAACTATTCTTTTCAGCGAAAGAAATTACTGACAATTCACTCCAGACAATGGACGAAGTCGACTTCACCGTTCTAGCTGCAACTTCCGTTCTAGGTGACCTTATCGAGAAATGCCCACCGGCAGAAGCGTGTCGTGACGCATTCGACCGCATGTCAAAAGCCACTGTGCAGATGTGCATGTCAACAACAGGCTTCGGCTCTTCCGCACAAGGACTCACCACACGTCAGAGATCGCATAACCACTCGCACCAAAACGATAATAGCTCCGACTACTTCAACGGCAGTAGTAAAGCATATTCAAACTCTAATTCGAATTTGAGACAAAGTGGAAGACCACAAAAGCAAAGGCCAAAGCCACAATTCGATATGGGCCTTAACGATCTACTAGGAAGCCAAACATCGCCAACACCCGGCTTCGGCGGTAACAACGGAATACCAAGCGCGATTTCAGACGTCAAGGGTGGTTTTGACTTCGCTGGGCCCTCAAGACAAAATACCTCAAACTCCCAAAACCAAGGCCAGGCAACCTCACCCTCCGACTACGCCATCTCTCCGCCACTCTCCACCTTTGACAACTCCTCCATCGATCCCTCCCTCTTGCCCTCTCCTTCCGCTCAATCTCACTCCAACTCCATACACTCCCCCGAGCTAGCCATAACCAGCACAGCTCAAGGCCCCGCCTACTCTCAGGCAGTGCAATCCACATATTCCACGAACCCGTATCAAGAGATGCAATTCCCATTCACGAATGCTCCAGGTATGGATTTTTTGACTACGGGGTGGGACGGAAATGGAGGGGGAGGAGGAGGGAGTGGTGGGGGAAATGGGAATGCGAGTTTTACGGGGGATCTTGGGATGGGGATGGGCTGGGAAGGAGTGGGCGAGGGGCATGATTTTAGTGAGGCGAGTGGAGGGTTGGATCTCTTTGAGGGGTTCTTTTTTGGGGGAACGGGGAACTTTTAAAGTGGTGGGTATATAATGGCCTATGACTGCAAGGAAATTCAGGAATGAGACATGAGGATTCGCATAGTATAATCAGTACGACTTTTATGATGTGATACGGATTCTCTAGATGTTTTCCACTTTATGCTATGATGTGATCTAATATAAGATGTCCATACGGGGTAGCGAGAAGCCAGACAAAATATGAGAAATTGTGGGAAGTGCGGTGGTGAGGGGGTTGTCGGCAAAGTCTGGGATGGGGGGCTGGAAGCGGCAATGGCAATTTTGGGACTTCTTCGAGACAGATCTGGCTATATGCTTGAGGGAGAATGTCCCACTCTGGGAAAAGATTTTAGGTAATCTTTACGGTTGACTGGTGATTTGACTGGTGATGTCAAGACGCGAGATAGTGGCATCCATCGGCTGTTGTTGCTGTGTGGTTACTGACTGGTCATTGTGTCAACACACGACCATGTAAGGGAACATCATTCACCATGGCAAACGAGAATGGAGGGTTTAATCGTTAACCGTTGATTTCTCTACGTGTAGCAAAGCAAGCTTTTGTAGGATGCAGAACTAAAACATAAGTTGTTGATCTAATGGTACAGGCCATCGATTTTAGATCCAGCATTGAGAAACTTTGATATGGTGGGCTTAGTCATTAAATAAAGTCACCACCACAACGTATATATGTGAAGATTCCGAAGGAAATCCTCTATTTCAAGTGCTCCAATGTATATCAAACACCGTGTAGGCCGCGTAGGTCTCTCAGGATGATCTGGTGAGCACATGAAGGATCTTTCGAACGAAAATGTACTTCGCTCCGCAGCGACAGCATCAATTTCTTTAGCAGGGGCAGCGTCTGCAGTAAAGAGATGACGTATCTGTGTGCTGAGATGGATCGCGATCGAACACCATTGTCCCAGAGGTAACGGCCCCGTATGAGAGGGCCAGCTACATGAATGGCTGTTCGGAGCTCAACTGAGTGTAGGCAGTTGAGGCGATCGGTTGGATTTTTGGAAGCAAAAAAGGCCATAGAGACTAAATGGGGGGAATCTCATGACGATTTTGTGCATGATTACCACGCTTGATTATGATTAACTCTAGCTTCTAGGTCTAAACTCATCTATCACACTCGTTACACCCTTGTATGTTCCACAAGGCACAAAGTCGAAGTCATATCCGAATGCCTTGGGTCCAGCAATTTCCAGACCACGCTTACTCGTCCACAATGGATGAGCAGCAGCAACGATAACCGTGACTTTTAGACCATATCGATACTCAGGCACACCGCAAGCCTCGCCTGTGAGCGTGTCGAGCACCATGATGAGGTCAGGAACCATCGTCAGGATCTGCAACGACCAATGTCAGTCCTCTTATCACTGAAGTCGAGTTTCGATAAGGAAATACCTGCTTCTCTCCAGTTTTATAAAACGCCTCAACAAGCAGATTCTCATTCTTGAATGGAATTTCGATTTTCTCCGGTCCCAAGTCGTCACTCTCACCCGCCTCACTCTCCTTCTCATAGTCCTTGAGCTTCTCAATGATGAGCTTACCATAGCTATGACCTTTGTAAGTCGTGTTTCCGACACCCACGATCTTACCCTCGAAGACTTTCTTCGCTGTTCGGGGACCGCCGAACTCTGTGATCAGGTCGTGGTGGACATTTGCGATTGTGCCCTTGGCGCGAGCTCGTACGACGGCACGGCCGAGACGCCAGGCTAGAGAGTGGGATCTGGGGATGCTGAATTGCTGGAGTTCGGTCTTGGTACATGGGCGAGCGGATATACCTGCTGCAAGACTGTAGAGCCACAAAGGTTAGCTTTGTATCAGATTCAGGGATCGGGTTGGTTCGTACCCCATGGTTATGCAGATTGCTCGTAGAACTTTGTCCACAGCAAGTGCATCTTTTGATGTGCTGAATGTCATAGTCGTCCCATCGCCACTTGCTAAACAGACGGGGAGCAGATGGTTGATGTCATCATCCTTGGCTCCTATGAAGAGAGAGCTCATCTCGAAAGCTGGAAATGCTCGGCCTGGGAGTTGCCAAAAATCAGCACACATTTAAACATCTCGAGGGAACTTCTTACCCATAACATCGGCATCGACACAAGGAATCTTGTAAGCATTTGAAATGTGTAGAGGGGCAAATCCGTTAGAACCACCAATTTCTGCAGCCATCACTCCTGAAAAAGTGACGCCGAGATGCTGCTGCATACCCTCCCAAGCTTCACCAATCATATTTCCACCAAGTCGCTCGATGGCAATGACTGGACTTCCCATTCCAGCTACTGGTCCACACAGAGCATCTTCTGCTAAATCTTCGATATCAATGATCGTGACATCCCCACCATCACGCAGGACTTGTCGAAGCTCCAGATATGAGCCGTAAGGTGCCCCTCCACCTGCACAGCCAAGAATATAGCAACCGATAGAGATGTAGTAGGCGTCTGTCTCTGACAGATGCCAGACTCGACTGTTATCGATGTGTGGCCTGTACGTCTCATGGTCAATATTTGATTCAGTGAAAGCCTTGACATCCTCAATTTCCCACTTTTTCGTTTCGTCATAGACCTCGTCAGTAGATGATTCAGGACTATCGACTTCAGGGTTGCTCAAGAAGCGGCCGTAGTCCACAGGTCCAACCACTTTCACCACGATCTTGGATTTTCCTTCGATGTATGGAATTCCTGAAACATCTTCTTCGATGATCCGGATTTCGGCCTCTTTTGCTCCTCTGGCTACGGCAGCAGCGATTACCTTTGCCTTGACCTCAATCAATGTGGTGTCCTTTTTATCGTTGTCGACCATAATTTCCGCGGCCTCCCCAATCTCAGCACTGCTCATAAATTAGCAAATAATTGAAAATAAGAATATTTGTGACGAACACTGCAGCTCCCACGGCATTGGCGACCCCAGAATGCTCGGGTACCTCAATTGAAGCAACTCCAACCAATTCTGAAGGACACAGAAAGGCACCACCTCCTACCAGTAACAGATTGCATGGCTCTGGCGATGTCTTCATCCTATCAATCAGATCCTCAATCATGATCTTCATCTTTTTCCTCGCCGCCTCTATCGTTTCCAGCAGGACTTCAGGGGTTGAGGTACCCACTTTAGCCACTCCAGCTGCGACCATGATGTCCGTCGCTGTCAACGAGTCGCCACCAAAACATTTCGCTTTCTCCCTCAGAGCTTGACCAACGCTGTCTGGTCCTATACTGAACCTTCCCGCTTTCTTTTCAGGAACGTGCACGAGTGATCCTCCTCCAAGGCCAATACTTTCAACTTGAGGTATTGCAAAATTGACTCTTACCCCGCCAATCTCTGTTGATGCGCTGGCCAGTCGAGGGAAGCCACTTGGAAGAAGACAGCCGATATCTGTTGTGGTTCCTCCAATGTCAATCACGTATCGGCTCTCTGTCTGCTTACCTGCTGAAGACAAGAATGAAGCACCTCTGATAGAATTTGTTGCTCCGGATGCGAAGATTTGGATCGGAAATAGCATTGCTTCTTGGGATGATAAAAGTTGACCGGAGTTGGATGTCAGATAGAGGGGACATTTCAAGTCGAGACGCTTCATAGCTCGCTTGAAACCGTTGATTGTTCTTTTGGCGAAGTGAAGGATCGATGCGTTCAGAATGGCTGCATTTTCTCGAGCCAAGATACCGACGCCAGCGACTGTATTATCATCAGATAGCTGCTTTCAGATTATCGAGAAAAGTTCAAACTTACTGTCCCTCGAACAAACAACTTCTACGTCATCTCCAAGCTCTTTCTTGAGAACATCGCGAACGTGGTATTCTTGCTTGTACTTCTCATGAAAGGGCGAGTAGATACCAACAACTGCAATTTTCTGAAGTCCTTTCGCTTTGATGATTTTTGCATGTTCGATTATCTCATGTTCTTTGATTGGTCCGATCTCTGAACCGTCAATCTGGACGCCTCCAGATATTCTGGCACCATAGCCATTGATGACTGTTTCCTATTTAGTAACAGTGCTCAGGGCTAGCGGAAGAAGTGAACTAACTCTTCGTCAAAGCCGGAGGAAAGTCGATGAATGGTGGGGTGTTTTTCATGTAGTCTCCAGCAGCCAAGCGAAGGATGGCTACGGGCTCAAGTCTCGAGGTGTCTCGTTCTACAACGGCGTTGATGAAGTGCTTTGTAGTCAGTAGAATTCTTGTAAACCATCTGAGATCAATTCGCCTACTGTAGTCCCAATCATCAGACTAGCTATACTGGATGGAGAAGCATTGGCTTGCTCGAGGAGTGTCCGAATTGCTTCTTCAATTCCCGTCGTGACATCTGTACCTGTTGTGGCTTTGAACGATGATATGACAGCTGCGGGTCCTGACTTAGTGGGCTCAAGGAGAACTGCGTCGGTGTTCGTCCCTATAAAATGGCCTATGAGCATCGTTATATCTCCCATTTTATATTGAAGTACTCACCACCGACATCTACACCAATGACTAATTTTTGCGTAGCCATGACGATAAACTGTGACCGAGAAGTAGAGACGAAAAAGTGACCGAAGAAAACTCTGACGCGATGCAGAAGTCAAGCCTCTCACGTGAGATCTATTAATGAGAACGGGTTCAATGGTATCGTTACTAGTTTGTCATAATGTAAATAATGTCGTGTTGATCCTAATCCAGCTCGGTAAAGGCTTCAAGATTGCTTCTCCCACCAAATTCAAGGATGGGGGGTGTGGTCTTGGCGGAGAGCAAAGTTGTGATGCGGGTTCCTAACAATGAAAGGAATATTTTGATGCAGAATGTGCCAGATAATCAAGATAAAGTGCATAAGACTGTAATGAGGAGATTATGACCAGGTCATTAAGCTTCAAGATCGTGAGAGGAAAGGAGTCTCGAAGCGGACAGAAATCCTCAATTCTGTTGATAGCAGAAAGGGAAACATAAGGTACCTGTTTGCCCCGCCCCCGCCTATTTAGCTATCGCTTGCCTATCAGCTCGCCTATCCCAAAACAACCTTGGAACGCTGCAGTGGAGACAACCAGCTGTGTTGGATGTGATTTTGCAGGACAAAAAACCAAACTTTGGAAACATTCTTTTAGTGAAGGTCAACTTGATGTCAGAGCTGAAAGTTGTCTACCTGTTTCGGCAAATCCAAACATGCCCCGCACAGATGTGATTTCGGGAATATTGACGAAAATTCAGCAATAACCTCAACCGAATGCTAGCAAGCTTGATCCAAAATGTCAATAATAAAGCCAGTGGGCCTACGATCCTCAATTCTTGGATCTTCCATAAGCGGAGTGAGCAAACTAAAATAATGACAGCGCAAGTTTCTTTCGGAGTCTTTCTGCAGAGACCCATGCCCTGAAAGAAGCTGCAAATCTCAATTTTTGCGATTTCTTAGATAAGAGCACCAGTCAACAAGCATCCAGGGGAGGTGCAATTTTTGTCGAGAAACGAGCGTGTAAAGGCCTTAATGCATGTTTGATGATGTTTCAAATGGTCTCCGACGTGGATCCCAAGTTCACAATTAAGACCCCGGGCGCTAGATTTGTAGAGTCCTAAGACTTGCCGGTCTTTGTTTGCTCATGGCTCGCTTAATCAGCTGTCACCCTTTTTTCGCGGAGGTTTGCTTCCGCTGGTCACTCTTGCTACAGATACTCAATAAATGACTCAGGTTGGTAAATTGAACAATAAAGTAGAGTTTTAATGCTACTTGAAGCTCTCAAACCAATGTCATTCTTTCAGCGTCTCGAATATATTGCGGGCGCCGGACCGCCTTGGCGCAAACCCATGCATTCCACAGGCTAATATGCTCTGGTTGCCTGTAAGAGATTGATATTGTCTGTCACAAGACTTCGAATACCGATCAGGCAATATAAGGACTCTCCGTAAATATCAAGCCTAAAAGGAACCAGGAATTTATTTGAGAGTGGGGGCGGAATAAATGGAGACGATGTCCCCTCACGAATTTCCTATCAAGTCCCTATTGTAGGAAAACATTGTAAAAGTATCTACGACACAACAATGTCTTCCAAACTCTCTTCAGTATTTTTGGTAGCATTGCTACTGGCAGTCAGCCCTGTAGTACATGCCGCAGAGGAGTATCCTCCGCTTCCGACATGGAAATGCACCACATCAGGAGGCTGTGTTCAGCAAAACACTTCCGTGGTCCTGGATCAAGACTCCAGGTTTGCTCGTGGAGCTGCTGAATCTAGAACTGCAGCTGACTACGCGGCAATGGGAGTTTCTACCTCAGGAAATGCTGTGACAATGTATCACTACGTCAAAACAACCAGCGGCGTCAACAACGCAAGCCCCCGCATCTACCTTTTGGGTGCTGATGGCAAATATGTTCTCATGAACCTCCTCAACCAGGAACTTTCGGTAGATGTCGACACTTCAACTTTACCCTGCGGAGAGAATGGCGCATTCTATCTGTCAGAGATGGCTGCAGATGGAAGTGGTGGAAATGGTGGGTCTGGAGCAGGTGCTGGAAAGGGATACTGCGATGCACAATGCCAAGGCTTCTGTTGCAGTGAGATGGATATCCTCGAGTCAAATTCTATGGCCACAGCGATGACACCTCATCCATGTAAAGGAAACACTTGTGATAAAGGCGGTTGTGGCTATAATCCATACGCGAGCGGTCAGCGGAACTATTGGGGTCCTGGCAAGACTGTTGACACCAGTAAGCCGTTCACAGTCATCACGCAATTTGCGGCTAGTGGAGGAAGACTTTCTCAGATTACACGCAAATATATTCAGAATGGACGTCAGATTGGCAATGGTGGGACAATCTCCACTTGTGGGAATGAAGGTACAACCGGTGGCATGACGGGAATGGGCCAAGCCTTGGGACGTGGAAGTAAGTTGAGCAAAGTCTTTCGTGAAAGAAGAATCAAATCAATTTTCGACCTTTCGAATCGAGAGAGAATCGAAGCTAACCTGTTTGATGTGCAGTGGTACTAGCAATGAGCATCTGGAACGATGCTGCTCAGAATATGGCGTGGCTAGATTCTGGCAACAATGGACCTTGCACTACTGGACAAGGTAGCCCGTCCAATATTCAGTCTCAGCACCCAGATACTCATGTAGTGTTTTCGAACATTCGATGGGGTGATATTGGATCGACCACCAAGACGTAGATTGGGAAAGAGATCTCGGTTTCCCTGCCGTAGGAACCAGCCATGCACCGCCCTTGATTGATCACTTGAGTCTATATATCTGTTGAAGTTCGGCTTTGGCCAAAGCTATATGTCGTTAAATTAAAATTGATGTATTCAACTTATCTAAATTCTGTACATATTTTTTGGATATGTTTGCTCAATGTATCACAGGTCTTTGGTCAGGAAAATCTTATTCGAACTCGTTAGCTAGGAGAGATATCACTTGTGTGTCAAAATCAGGAAATTACAAAGTCCTGCTCCTCGTATTTACCAACACCCTCTCCATCCATCACTCCATGCACATAGCACTCTCCCACAATCTGGTATTCCTTCGCGCCATCCACGCTAAACCTCTCTCTGAGAACGAACGGAGCTTGGGCACCCCAGAAAAGAACCAGCAAATCCCCAGCCCTTGTTTCCTTCGGAACCATCCCGAGACAACCCATCTCTTGTGTGACCGCGATTCTCCTCGGGAAGGCGGGACTTTCCCATAACGCATCACCACGTATCATATCTCTCGTTACGTCTCCAAATTCTCCAGGCGTAAACACCTCGCCAAACGGGCCATGATCACGAATTGCTTGCATGAGTTTCGGTAAGTCTTCCGGTCCATGTTCTTCAACGAAGGCTTGGAGGCCAAGTAAACTTGTTCGCATCATCTGGAAGTGCTTCCCGTACGAAGGAGGCGCTGGCCGCGTGTTGGGTACCCGATCACCGACCAGGACCCTCCACATGATCTCTTGTCCTTCCCCTTGGGTGATGGAGGATAAATGAGTAGCGATGAAGTCTTCTACTTCTTGAAACCAACTCATTTGTTTGGGTAAAGCGATGAGGATCGAGGCAGCATCATCTGATTCTTGATTGGAATCACAAACCGAAGTGAGGCATTGAAATCTGTCCAGAACTTGGCCGCGTATCTTCACTTTCGTGACAAATTCTTCTTCCTCATCTTTGACAGTCTCGTGTCCTGAAATCATTGCCCGCTTGCTGGTACCTGCCCTGTATGGCGTTCCGCGCTGTGGTGAAATGGATACAGTGCCGGCTTCCCATCGAGGAAGAGACCACTATAGTCGTTGAAGATTCTTGTTAGCACTTGTTTGCAGCTTCAACAATTCTCCCCTGAATCTAGGCAAAGAAGCTTACATCAACAACCCATGAAGGAGTTTCCACCCGTTCTTTTGTATTTATCGGTAAATCATCCCTCAACCACCCAATACCAGCATATGACAAGCTTTCTAGCTGCTTTCCGTGGTGTAACTGGTGACGCGCCACTCTTAAAAGCGTCGTTTTCAGCGGGGCCGTATAATCGATAAGTTCTTTCAACTCAGTCTCAAATCTCTCCACACAAGCTAAAACGGCAAATATCTTGTCGACCGGTACCGTCGAATGGAAAGTAGACGTACGTCGAAGTATAGCCACCAATGGAATGCCACGAAAGAGTATCCCGGAATTTCTTCTCTCCCTCCTCATGTGATCCATGACAATGAACTGATGCAAGCCTTTGAATCTGCGATCCGCAAATGCTTCTCCAGAATACGTGAAAACTGCCGCTAGGTCGTGAAATCTAGGATCTGAGAACATCAATTCCAAATTCCCAAAATATTCCCAGATCATTCGTGAACTGCCATACAAAACGGTGACGGCGCTGGCGAAAGCAACTTATTGAAACACCCAGACGCGAGTGAACCACTTATTACATAAAAGCTGGTAAAAAGCTTCAATACGAGCATTGAGTACTGGATCCCTGTCGCTGAGGCGTCTAAGATACAAGTCCGAAACGTATACAGAAAAGTTCTCAGGAGTGAGGACGAAGAAACTGAGAACCAGCTCATTAACCATCGCCATCGCGAGCCATGCATTTCTGTCTTCTCCAAGACAAACATAGACGTGCGAAGCCTTCTCATAAATCGATCTCATCATCGGTACCTGGCGATTCTTTTCCTCCAGGTTGATTTGGTCTATGCAGATCGAATCGATCCAGATATATGATGAGCGGAGGAACGAGCTGCGCCTGCGGAGGATGTCATGGACGTTGGTCGGAACATAGTGTTGACGACCATTGAGGACGATAAGGTGCATGCTTACCTTGATGGGCTGAAATTTACAGCATGTTTCGTCGACTTCTCCTTTTGGGACCATATGCTTGGGCTTTTCAGAACATCCGGCGGAGTGTTGCATTTCTCGTTGGCCCCAACAGTACGAGATGCACTCATATTCCGGGTTGTCGCCGAGGGTGTAAGATTGGAGCTCTGCATACACCTCAAGAAACGGAATTTGTCGTCGTATGTGAAGTAGACGAAAATGGCCCTTGCTAATTTCCAGGTTGAGGTCCCGAAAGCAGGAGCCTGGTCCTGGGAACTTGAAATTTGGGAGACTCGTCGGATTTGGATACCACACAACAGCACGTACTGCAGCTCTCATCACCCAGAGATAGCTTGACCAAATCTTGGTCTCCGAGAGCCAGTAGTGTATTCCATCCAGTTTCATTAGAGATAGATAGTACGCACGCGCCATCCAATCGAGCACAGGTGGCCCGAGTTTGTTCAGATAAAAGACGCCGTTCCTACCGAGCGTCATTATCCCAGCCACAAAAGTAATAATCGAGACAATAATAGTCCAACTGATCCTCCCCCAAACAGCGCCCATCATCCATTTTATTGCGAACATGAACCTGATCCCCAGCAGAGTAGCGACATACCCCGCCAACACGAACGTAGCACGAAAGGCGTCTTTCGATTCCTTTGCTGTCGTGAAAAAACGTGCAGTGAAGAAAGGGCTGATGACTACTCCTTTGAGAAGATGATAAAATTCCATTGGACAGACTATCGCAAAACAGCATGTTCGGACCAAAAGACTCGTTGGGCCGAAAATAAAGTGAATGGCAATACTAGTGGTGCTGGCGATACTGAACCCAAAGGTAAGGTCGTCCGCGATTTTAACTTTCCAGTCACTTTTCATCTCTTCCCTAGCGACATCGAAAGGGTGATTGAAGTCCCCCATGTCTGTTGGGTGATGGCCAGGACTTGCTTCAGGAGCTGTCCTCGTCACCTGCTGAGTATCATGTCTGTGGTCAAGTGCACCTTGCGTTAGGAAAATGCAGCCACAGTTGATTTATTCCTGTAGATTAAATGAAGAGTCAACCGAGAAAAAAAGAAACGATTGTGAACTGTTCAGGACAAAAGGTTCTTGAATAAGGCTCAGGTTATTTGATCGTATTGCGAGATTTGGTGCGGCTGAGATCGCTTGTCTCTTGGTGAGCTTTCGTCTGATTGGACCCAACAGCTGCAATCAAGCGCTGCGCTGTTGTGGCTTGCTGAATCAGCCTGTTCCAGGCTGTTCCAGGGGAAAAAGGACTCCAAATGACAAGAGATTCAAGGTAGTGTATCTGAATTTCTAGAGAGATTTGTAAATAGAACAATGTTTAGACATAGCTTGCTAAGAAGAAGAAGGAAACCGTCTCTGGGTAGTGTCCACTTCAGCATATTTTGGTAGAAGAAACAATAAGCTTACCGGATCCAGTAGATACAAGCATTTACGTCAAGCATGATGTTTCTTTTCGTGCACCGTATTGAGCCAAGGCTCGTTGTCACTCAGGTCCGGTATTTCCAAGTCATCTCAATGCACCATTCTTGAACTATTCTCATCATCATTATTATTCTACTGTTTACTAATTGCCGCATCATAAGTTGAGATTTAAGTATCAAGCATGCCCATTCTAAATTAGCCTGCCCTCATTTCACTGGCCAAGGATAATCTGGCAGAGGCGCTTTCTTTTCTGTGAATCCCAGCATTGCTGACGCATTCATCGCCAGCTTATCCAGCCTCAGCGTCGTCACAAACCGCAAGAGCGAATTCCTGATCCAAATGCCCCACCACGACTGCGGCTGGAATAATTGCATCGCAATATCATTGCCTTGCGACCCCTTCACAAAAGGCAGCATCAGCCCCGAATAACCCTCCAATGCCTGCTTGACGTCCCCATCACTTCTCAGAAGTTCACCGGCAAGAACGTATCCTCCTATGATAGCAAGACTGGTACCAAAGCCAGGCGTTGCATATCCTGCATCGCCGAGGAGAACGACATGGCGGTCGTGCAGGATGGGAGATCGTGTCTGAGCGAACAAGCTGCAGTAAAAGTCGTCGCTGTCGCGCATACCTCGCAGGACTTCCGGAGTCAACCAGCCCATGTCCGAGTACAGCTCCTCCATGAGCGTCATGTACGACTCATTTCCTTCCTTCAGAGCCTTGTTGAGTCTCGCCTTCATCTCGACATTGGAGTTCCACGTCACATTCATAAACATGGCTCTGGTGCGTCCTTCGGGATGTGGATCCGGGCGGAGATTTACCGAGCGTCCTCCTGTTGCGCTGACTCCTTTTGCTAGTAGAGACTCATTCAACAAATCGCCTTTGATAGTGAAATATGCCACGTGAAGACCTTCATCATGGAGCTGGTCCGCGGGATTGGCGTTGAGTAGCTTGCCACGAATTTTGGACCTGAGACCATCCGCAGCCACAAGCAGGTCGTACTTCTCTACCGTCTTGCTCTTTGCCAAGGTTACGACCACTCCATCGTCCTGCTCTTCAAAACTTTCCACAGTTTCGCCAAAAATAACTTTGACCTGGTCGATGACTGGGTCGATGAATATTTTGGCAAGCTCTCCACGAAATATCTCGTACTCCGAGGTTATACTCTGGACGTCTGTCCTTCCTGTTGCTTTGAAAGTTGCGATCTCCTTGCCATTTTCCTGAAGAAGCTGCATACCCTCTTCTTTCGTGGTCTTCTTCCGAATCTCTCCTTCTACACCCATCCATTTGATGATATCGACTGCGGAACTACGAATGTCAACGCTGGCGCCTGTGAGTCTAAGAGTAGGATCACGTTCCACTATCGTGATGTTGGCGTTGGGATAGGCTCGCAGCAGACAGGATGCGAAGACACTGCCTGCAATTCCCGAGCCTGAGATGAGGACCTTGAGTTTTGACATGGAGGGTGTTTTGGAGATCATTTTGTGATTGTTGATATTGTGTTGTGGATTGACCGACTCCTCTTGGCGATGCGAGGGAACCAAGCCTCGTTTATATCGATAGCTCGTTCATGCTGCCGCATAGTTAAACGCAATAGAAATCTGTCTTTGTCTCTATTTCGGGTTGCAGCAAATCCCGAAGCCTGGCACGAGCATCGGGATGATTTAAGGGACCATGACGACATGACATAAAGTCGTCGTATTAAGCTTAAACCCCCTTCTTCGGGTTGTGGTAAAGCCCGAACCTCGCTAAGCGAAGCCGCTGTCATTGGTGCGAACTGCAACGACCACACCTCTCGGGCCCGGGGTCAAGATGAGTCAAGATAAGCATATTTGGCTCTCTCAAGATTGATACTAATGTGTGCTTCAGGCTGAAGACATAAGCTCCAACACACTTCCAAGTTGTGGAATCATGCCACATGTCACATATAGGTACCAAGATGGTGGAAATGTGCATAGGCGCCCGGAACCAAGACTCCGTGACACAACGTTTGTATCATTGTGAGATGAGGAATCCGTATCCAAGATTTAAAACCCCTCTGCGATCACTCTTCGCCCCTAGCCTCTTGCCCTTGAGCCCGGTGGCACATTCAGATGGTCGCAACGTGCTGCTCCGCAGTCCGCTATGCGGAATCCTTCGTCTCTATACCAAGGCAATTCTATCTGAAAGAATGACATGATGAGCGGATTTTAAACCTCTGTCTATACGGAAGGTGCCAACGACTTGGTAGGTAGGTGGTAGATTTCTGACGTCGTTTTCCTGTGCTTTGAAAGGCCGAAGGGCCAGCAAAGTGGTTCTTGGCGAGATATAACTCGTGACAGAGACAATAACGTCGCCAAGCTGCACTGCTCTGGGGACAGCTAGGATTTGAAAAGCTGTTCGACTGCCTTCCTTCTGAGGTGTAAGCTTGATAGTGCAGACTCGGTCGAATTCCAACCTCGGAGGAATGGCCAAGTACAGATTCTCATCGCGTCTACCTGAAGTGTTTAGAAGGTTAAGATAGTAGCTGATCATTACGGCGAACGGATTATCGCAAAAATTTTCAATGCTGCTCTTCAGTTTGCGAATATTGAGTAAGTCCGAGATATCTTCATATGGCAGAAGTTCTTGGTCAGTCAACCCTATAGCGGATGCCCACCCCTCCATAATATTTTCGAACCCGCATCTTAGGGCGCGTAATTTATCGTAATTGGGACTCTGTTCACGGGAGCTCCGAAGACCGTGACAAGGATCAATGGACGCTTCGATGTCGTCGAGATTCACTGTCAATGGTATGTAATCATGAAATGACTTGGTCCCGGGGTCCTTCGAGATATCCAAAGCTGTTTGGATGGAGCTGCCGATTTGAACAACTTCGGCAACTACCCTCACATCTAATAACAAGGCATACTCACCATTCTCTAGTGCTTCAAGTCTCATGGTTCGCTCTTCCACGTGCCAAATGTCAGTCTTTTGGATTTCTGTGGGATCCCAAGTCCTTGACCAGTCTGGGACCCATGATGACAATCCAAGAGGGGAAGGAGTCAAATATCTACGCTCCAAGATTACAAAGACATTTTTTGTTTCCATCAGAATGTGGTGTGCCATTTCCGCATAAACCTTCGCGACTGATTTGTTGTAGTCGATGTCAAATATAGCTGAGCTTCCTTGGATTTTTAGCGCGGCCATGCCAATATGAGCGTAGACGATATCTCTAGGATTGGAAGCACCGCATCCACGACGTGCTCTGACAAGATCTGACAGCCTTTTCTGACCCACTCTTGTGAAATTCTGTCTTTCTTCGTGGACTCTTTTGCGGACTTTCGAAAATTGCTTCAAGACTTGGAAGCTATCTTCACTTTTATCATTTGGGGGAACTTCGACTCCAGGTGGGTATCCCACGTCGTCATACAACCTTGCACGGTCTACTACCATGTCTCTGGATATCAACCCAGAAAGAATTTGCTGTACATTTTCCAATGCGATTGCAAGATTGTGAAACACCTGCCATCTGATACGTGACTTCCCACATTGCACGAAAGGATCTTTTGACAGAACCAATTCTTGTAGAATTCAGACTCGATGGAACCAAGGCTGGGCCAAGATGCGCAAAAAAGGAGGCAGTAGATGTCCGGCCCCGAAAAGAAACGCATTTATAGGTTCACTGTTTTCTTTGGCAATCCTCTCGGTTTCTAGAAGAACATAATCGAGATCATCGCTCGAGGAGTCCAGAAAAATGATGGTGTGAGATGCGGAAGAATAAATACGACCCATTTGTGAAACCTGCTGATTGCGTTCGAGCACATCGAATTGGTTGATGCAAATTGCGTCTACCCAGATACTCAGAGTCTTCTTATCGTCTCGCAAGCATTCCAGTGCGTCATGAAGGTTCTTGGTGACCAAGAACGATTGCCCATCCACCCGAATGATGCGCTGATCAGAAGCATCACCCCAGACATAGGACAGGGCAGTGTACGGATGGTGAATGTCGTGGTCGTACTTGCTGAGAGTTGTTTTTTCGAGATTGCTTATAATTTCTGGTGATAGATCTGGAGAAGGCTGAACATGAAGGATCCGATCAGGCTCCGACAGTGGAGTGTACGGGAAGACTGGGATAGACATCGCTAAGAGTGCAGAGTATACTGGTTGATATATATCGCTGTCGTCTTATCGAAGCAACCACGACTATATGAAGTACTAGGAGGTTGGTAAGGCAAAAGAGATCAACGATGAGGCTGGGAATCAGGCTGCAGAGTAGGAATCTAATACAGCTGTCATTGGCTCGGGTAAAGTAGAGTATCTTACCTGATATTGGGTTCTGGCCGTACAAATAGAACCAGTCCTACTCTGCCCATACCATACCGTTGTTACGAACATTTAATGAGCTGTTAAGAGCCAAAGGATAACAGGACGACCCTCCTGCAATGTTTCGAGTCCAGCACTGCAATCACGTGATGCACCTCAAGGAAGAACGTGGGTTGTACACCACAGGAGGGCAGTCGCTATCAAGTAGCCGGTCGCTGAATGCAGTTGAATTCTCAGTAATCTACTTGGATACAGATCTAGCGATTCCCGGATATCAGCCTTTGCCTTCAAGGTGACCGACCTCACCTAGAAGGGTGCTTCTAGACGGAAGCTCGTAAATTCCCTATTCACTGCACTCATCATCCATACCATCTTGCCGAGCTGACATTCAGTAGAAAGACAATATGTTCTTTCCTCCTTGTACTTTTCTTTTATTTCTGTTCAAAGATGATCCACCGAAGAAAGATCCAGATTGACAATTGATCTGTTCAACAAGTTAAAAGGAAACCAAGTTCCATACTCATGAACACAGATTCGGCAGTCATTGAAACCGTCAAGGATACGAACATCAGGCGGATGAACATTCGAAACAAATCCAGTAAACGTTAAAGTTGATATCGAAGATTGTTGTTTTCCTTTCGCTAAACAAAATAGGGGCTCGTTCCGCGGAATTTCCGCTCGCTAACTACCGCACCCTTTCACCGTGGAGGCCGTGATCTCAGCCGTTCCCTGGTCCCACAGCACCACCCCGCACTTGAGAAAGACTAAAGTACCCCGCCATCTAGTTCATTTCAGGGTCGCATATTTCTCACATGCCTTTCATCTATTACCTTATTAGAGTGTCGCTATTCCCGTGCCGCGTTGAGAAATTTCGATCCGATATATTAGAAGGCTTCGGGTGAGGGGTTATATGTACATTTTCTAATTCCCACTTTGGCTGCTTTTTTCAGCTTAGACTTTAGTTGAGTGCTTGGGAGTTTGTTACGTCACTCGGAAGGATAACGCGAAGTTGAACCAAGACGTGTTGACAGACCTAAAATCATCATGGCTCCTGGACATTCAGAAGTGGATGTGTTGATTGTGGGTGCTGGGCCTGCCGGGTATGTCCTTTCGAGACCAAAAGCTATGAGGAAACACCCCTGACTTACTATTAGGCTCATGGCGGCGACATGGATGGCGAGATGTGGGATCAAGACGAGAATCGTGGATAAGAGAGGGTCCAAGATCTATAACGGGTGCGTATCGCTTCAATCCACATGCAGTATCCCAAGTCTGACATGGAAGCAGACAAGCAGACGGATTGCAATGCCGAACGCTCGAGGTATGATTCCATCTACTCATTTGAGTAAAAGAAACCATGATGAAGGAATATAGATATTCGATTCTTTTGGATTTGCGGACAGGGTTTGGAAGGAAAGCAACCACATGCTAGAAATCTGTCTCTGGAACCCAGATTCAGAAGGGCGGATTCGAAGATCTGACAGGATCCCGGACACCATCCCGAACATCAGTCGATTCCAGCAAGTTGTTCTTCATCAAGGTAGGTTCCGAAAGTTACCAATTCCCCCAACTCGCAGCCAGAACTAAGCTCGGCACATCAGGCCGCATCGAACGTTTCTTCCTCGATTCCCTCAAGAAATACAGCGACATCGAAGTCGAGCGCGGCGTTCTCCCCGAATCTCTCAAGTTTGACGAGTCAAAAGCCGAGGATCCAGACGCATATCCGATTGAAGTTGTGCTTCAGCATCTCAGTGATGAGCAAGCAAATCCAGACCAGCATGCTGCGACTAATGGGACGGCGAAATCAGATGGCTTGTTTAGAAGTAATATGGCTGCGGATGATACAGAAGAGCTTTTGAAGAAGGCTGCGAACGGGAAAGCCGGGACGACAGAAACGGTTAAAGCCAAATATATGATTGGGTGTGATGGAGCGCATTCGTGGACGAGGAATCAATTGGGGTATAAGTTGGAAGGGGAACAGACGGATTACATTTGGTGAGAATTTTTAGTTTGGGAGTGGTACAGTCTACTGATCATGCACAGGGGCGTTCTTGACATCATTCCTATCACCGACTTTCGTAAGTAGTGGGGACTTTGAACTGGACTTCTGGCTAACCTTTTCCCAGCTGATATCCGGATGAGATGTGCAATCCACTCTGCCAGCTCTGGTAGTGTCATGGTGATTCCAAGAGAGAACAAGCTTGTTCGGCTATACATCCAGATGACCACGACGGAGAAGGGAGGAAACAAGGTAAACATTCGAATCCAATGACAAAAATATATAGAAACCAACCTAACTTGCGCAGCTCGATCGGAAATCCATTACCCCTCAATTAATCCTCGAAACCGCCCAGCGCACCCTAGCACCGTACAAGCTCACCTACGAATACTGCGATTGGTGGACCGCGTACCAAATCGGCCAACGAGTTGGCTCCAATTTCTCCAAGAACGAGCGCATTTTCCTCGCTGGCGATGCAGTGCACACTCATTCCCCGAAAGCTGGTCAAGGAATGAATGTTAGTATGCAAGATACTTTCAACCTAGGCTGGAAGATCGCTGCCGTCGTGAACGGTACCGCAAACCGCTCGATTCTGAAAACGTACCAATCCGAACGTCGACGTATTGCTCAGGATCTTATCGCTTTTGACCATAAATTCTCGCGCCTATTTTCTGGAAGACCAGCGAAGGATGTGATGGATGAAGCAGGGATCAGCATGGATGAGTTCAAAGATGCGTTCGTAAAAGGCAACATGTTCGCCTCGGGCGTAGCAGTCGACTATGGCGCCAGCTTGATCGTGGCTAAAGAGGGAGATGCGCAAGCACAAGGCGATGGATCGGACGTTGGTCTCGAGAACGGCAAGCGAGTCATTGGTAAGCAGGATCTCGCCAAGAATATCAAGATCGGGATGCGGATGCCTAGTTTCAAGGTTTTGAACCAGGCTGATGCACGGCCGTGGCATTTCCAGGAGATGTTGAAGAGTGATGGGCGATGGCGCCTTGTTGTCTTCGCTGGCGATGTCTCGTCTGCAAAGCAGCTGGAACGGGTTGCCAAACTCGGGGATATTCTCTCAAGCCCGAAATCATTCATCAAACGGTTCACGCCAGCGGACAAGAAGATCGATTCTGTGATTGACATCTTGACGATTCATAGTGCGAAGAGAGCAGAGACTGAACTGCATAGTTTTCCGGATATCTTCCATCCGTTTGATAAGCAAGACGGGTGGAATTATTGGAAGATATTTGTGGATGATGTCAGTTATCATGAGGGGTATGGGAATGCGTATGAGAATTATGGGGTGGATAGATCGAATGGGTGTGTGGTGATCTTGAGGCCGGATCAGTATGTTGCTTGGGTTGGAGCGTTGGAGGATACGGAGGCGATGGATCAGTATTTCTCGTGCTTTATGGTTGCGAAGTCGTGAATTTCAGTACATGTATTAAAGATATGTCATGGAGATAGCCACTGTACAGGTTTTTGTTTTGTTAATTTGCGTGTATGTACTCTCATTGCATCAAGACAACTTTGAGAATTGTTCCTGTTTCTCCTTCGATAAGCAAGTCCACGACAAGAACACAGTCGTCGTATCTGTTTATCAAATCAAGACCATGTTCTACCATGAAAACCAAACTGAAGAGCTTGACTGGCAGGAGAATGTTGCCGCTAGCACTAGAATCTGAGCTCAGTCAGCATTAAGGGGCTCGCTTGTGGAGAGGTCAAATTCCAAACAAACCCGATTCAACGAAATGTGTGCCTGTTGCAGCTGCAGTAGCAACACGTGAAGGAGTAGGAGCATTTGGTCTTATTTCGATGCGAACTCGAGGTCATTCTCCCAAAAGTCAATCGCAACTGCTCACAAAGCTTCGCGTCGGCATAGGAGTAACACCGAGCGCTCTGTCGGATAGTGCACCCCTCGACTTTCCAGGCACATTTCCGCTGCGACTCATGGTCGCTGATAAGATGAAAGGATAGAGCTTATGGTAGAAGCAACCTATACTGTGGTTTTCTAATGTATTCAACAGAAATATGCTCTTCCAGTTGTGTCACAGCACAGGCAAGTTGACTATCTTAGGGGCAGTATCCGGGCTTTGGTCCCCACAATTAGCGAGCTTACTCCCCAAATCCAGGCGACTCGGCTGTCGTCTCCCCCGCCCAATTACCCCTCCACAATTAATAGCCTCGCACTCTAAAAGTGCTACCCCACCAATCTTCAAAGCTGACACCACTGCACCAGTCTCCAACCACACCAACCTGGAACAGCTCGAACTGACGCAACTATGTCCCCATCCATCCCCGGGCCGGTTCTCGCGCGGAGTCCATACAAGCCTACACCGATGGTCAGCCAGCAGCCCTTCGGAACAGGGATTGGTGCTGTCGTTTAAGTGGCTCGTGGTGAACGACGTCCCTTAAATACTAGCAGCTCTGCTTTCTTCCTCTGCAAACTTCAAGCTCTCCATCTTCACCTCTAACTCTACGATATACTCCTCTCTCTCTGTACTGTCGACTTAACAAGCTCCCAACCTCCACGATGGCAGCAACAAACGGCAACACCAACGGCGCAAGCGTCACCACGGACTCTCGATTCGACCCCAACTTCACACAACATGTTATCGACGCCACAGGACCGAAGGCCACGCCACGGATGCGGAAAGTAATGGCCAGCTTGATCAAGCATGTGCATGATTTCGCGCGGGAGAACGAGTTGACTGTTGAAGAGTGGATGGCTGGTGTCGAGATGATGAACTGGGCGGGGAAGATGTCTGATAACAAAAGGAATGAGGGGCAGCTTATGTGCGATGTTATTGGTCTTGAATCGTATGCAGATTCCCCAAGTCAGGTCACAAAACGAACATACTAATGTTTCTGCAGACTCGTAGACGAGATTACTTTCAAACTGGCCGCCGAAACGAGCGATTCTGCGACAGCAAGTGCAATTCTTGGACCATTCTTCAGACACGACGCACCCATTCTCGAGAACGACGATACAATTGTGAAAGATGTACCTTCAGATGGAGAAATTGTTTATATGCATGGAATTGCTACAGATCTGGTGACGAAGAAGCCAGTACCGGGTGTGTGGATTGATGCCTGGCAAGCGTCGACGAATGGGCTGTACGAGCAGCAGGATGATCAACAACAGGATTGCAATTTGAGGGGAAAGTTCAAAACCGATGAAAACGGATATTATGGATTTTACTGTTTGAGACCAACACCTTACCCAGTTCCAAATGACGGTACGTAGTCCCAACATATTGCACATGAAAACACGCTCACGGATTTTTAGGTCCCGCTGGTAAGCTATTGGAGTTATTGGATAGACATCCATTCCGACCAGCACACATCCATCTGATCGTAAGTCTTCCTACTAATTTCAACGTTTCGAACAAGGCCACTAACAGACCCAGGCCCAGCGCGATGGCTACAAACCCGTCACCACTCAAATCTTCGACAAAGAAGACAAATACCTAGACAACGACTCCGTCTTCGCAGTCAAGGAATCTCTAATCGTCGATTTCAAGCCGCTGAAGGGAAATCCTAAAGCTACCCTGGAGCTGGAATACCCAATTGTTATTGCGCCGCAAGCAAAGTAATGGACTAGCTCGTGTGTGTGCTATTTGTGGAGTTTTGATTTTGGGCGTATATCATATCATGTCTAGCTTGAATAGAATTGAATTGACTTGCGGCGCTATTTCCGCCGGATTTGGAAATTGACTTTTTCTATTTGGTGTGTTGGTCTTGCTTGTGATCCTTCTATCCCATGTTCAAGGTTTCGTCTCGGGTGGTCGTGTAACGCTGCAGCCCACTTCCGACCTCGTATCCGACTTGTCGGATAGTGCACCATGCTCGCTCCCATTCTGCAGCGCTTCTATCCTGGAAAGTCCCATGTAGATAGCTCGCGAGGAGAGCCCGGAGTTTTGGCTCACTGGATTGGAAGTACGAATGGATTTTATGTACATCAAAAGGAATATGCTTTATTCTGAGCTCATGTTCTGGATCCGCACCACGCTTGGTGTCACCAGGTGTTGCTGTTGCAAAACTGTTAGCTTGTTAGCGAGGTGAGATATTGACTGTCTGTATTCACCTCACTTATGCTGCTTTTTATTTGCCTTTTCTTTTTTGGAGCCTGTAGTGGATAGGAGGGGAGTATAAGATGGAAATAGTATCATCATCTTGGGAACTTCAGTGTGGTATCAAGATTTCTACCAACTGAAATCGAATATGTTGTGGGTAGGATAGGTGGTAGCAGCACAGCGACGAGAGGAATGGAAAATGAAAGACTTTTCACTTTGGTCTTGCTGTTGATTCTTTGATCTTGTATTGTATGATATTGACTTACTGCGAAGGGCTGGGCGTGAGTGGAGGATGTTTGCTGTCACGTGCCGCTTCGCTGTCACTTCGCAAAGATTTGTCGCTTGGAGATAGTCAGAGCTGCGATGTCCACAGGTTAAACCTCCTTTTCATGGTATTGATAATGAATTCAATTTCAAGCAGAACGACATCAAGTCATGTCCTAACTCAGCGATAATCGAAGTCATGACTCCGACGATGTCAAGCGAGCAACTTGATGACGGGTTGTATCCAGCAATCTTTCGGCTTCTGAGCTTATCGTTCAGAGAGGAGCGCTGGATGGTCCCTTTTTTATATTATTTCCACATTTGCCAGTGGTCCAAAGACGGGATGTGAAAGTCGTTTTAGGAAAGATCAGCTGCTGGTATTGGCTCTCGTTGACCCTGCTTGAGTCAAATTGAACTGGATAACTTCATCATCTATGTACTGTAAACACAAGGCATGAGGCAGGTCACAGTGAATACGCAATTGAGCTTTATTCATTGATATTTCGTTGTGGCTCTGCTTTCTCGCGCTATATATAACTGCTGTCTGTGCCGTGTCTTACGGGACAAGCAAGAAGGACAATTATCCCTTGTGCGGAAGGAGTTTTCGGCGACTGGCTTCAGCTCCGGCTACTTTGCTTCCAAAAGTACTTGTGAAAATTCGTCTGCTAACCATTTGAATTTTTCGTCGAGAATCTTTTCAGTTCAGTAAAACGTGCTCATACAACCAGCATTGCGATTGTTTTGGATAGTTTGTGCTGCCAACATGAAATTGCTGTCAGAATGGCATTTCTGTAGCTTTTCTTCCTGGTAACTGATTTGAAAGGAAGGTGAATGTAGCAAACATACATGGCACTGGATATATGGCTATCGCGAGATTCTTTTCATTCGAAATTGAGCAATTGTGTTTACAGCTGGGGAAACAATCTTGCGTGCAAGCTCCTGCGGTGGCGTGATGATATTTTTTTGCAACGACAAGGAGGGAACACAGGGTTTATCCTTCAGAGAGCTTTATATCTCTTTAAAAGATGTCTCCCCTCGGGATTTTCTGGTATCGTGTTCGAAAAGTGTGAATTGCTTCTCTTGAATATTCAAAAGCGACTTTGAGGTTGTAGCCCTGCCGCTGTAGACGTTCAGTCCACCTCTTCGTTATCGGTAAGGTGAATATTGTTTTTAGTCCTCCGATTAAAATATACCTGATCACCTTAGTTAATCAACATTTGGGGATGCAGCCTTTCCATGGGTCAGAGGTCATAGAGCGTCAGGATTGATGCTTTGATCGATATATATTAAGATCGGATAATGCACTGAAGGTCACTTGCTCTTGAACCATGTTATATGGAACGCTGAATGACTTTTTTCGGACCTTCTATGCAATATGTAAGGGTTTATTCTCTCCAAAACACAACAAGCGCCTCGTCATGAAGCCCAGAAGGAGGTGGTTGCTGTTTACTTCCACCCCACAGAGCGGCAAGTGGGGCACACCAGCACCAGTCTTCCGATGGGTCAAACCTTCATAACTCCCAACTGTCCCTCCTAACAACAACATCCAGAATTTCAAATCATTTCTAAACTTTTGTTTTCCAGTTACAGCCTATCAAAATGCCTTTCAAAATAATAAACTCCAAATCCCTCTTCTACACCGACACCCCCAGCACCTCCTCATCTTCCAACCCCCACACAACCCTCTTCATCCACGGCCTCGGCTCCTCCTCCTGCTTCTACAGCACCATCATCCCATCTCTCACATCCCAAACCCGGTGCATCGCCCTCGACACTCCTGGATCAGGTCTCTCCACTCTGGGATCAACAGAACAAAGCATCAAGACAATCGCGGAAGATGCACTCGCGCTGCTAGATGCTTTGAATGTGAAAGAGAGAGTCGTGGTGGTGGGCCATTCAATGGGTGGTATTGTGGCGAGTCTGATGGCGGAATTGTTTAAGGAGAGGGTGAAGGGTGTGGTGTTGTTGGGGCCGGTGAACCCAGCGGAGAATTTGAAGGAGGTTTTTGGGAAGAGGGTTGAGGTTGTGAAAGCGGGTATGTTCTACCTGAACGAATTTCTGAAAAGTACATTCCCTTGAGATGAGATTGGATATTGACATCATGCAGATGGTCTTGAGCCCCTCGCAAACACCATCCCTACAGGTGCCACGGGATCAAAATCGACATCTTTGCATCACGCGTTCATCCGGTCTCTCATCCTTGGAACATTACCCGAAGGATATATCTCACTATGTAACGCTATTGCTAATGCTACAAAGCCTGATTATAGCAAGATAGAGGTTCCGTTGCTTATCCTGGCTGGAGAAGATGACAAGACTGCTCCGTTGGCGGCGTCGGAGGCGATTGCCAGTGCGTATGGGACGAAGGAGGGAGAAAAGAAGGTTGAGGTTTTGAGGGGTGTTGGCCATTGGCATTGTGTTGAGGCTTCGGAGGAGGTTGCGAGGTATGTTGGGGAGTTTTTGGGGAGGGTTTGAGGGGTATGTATTTTGGGCAAGTGGAAGGGAAGAAGTAAGTCTCAAAATAAATTAAGTAGATTCATTGTCACTATGGATGAGCGCCGTGCGTGGATCAAGACCTCCAAGGGTATCCCATCGATTTCCGAACAAACCAAACTTTTGCCAACTATATGAGATCAGATAGATGCGGCGACGGAATTTGAACCATAATTTCACATCATCAACAAGACTCGTTAATCATCATGCATCCAAAACACTAGAGCGCCAGCTTTGCCAAGCATAACCCGAAGATGGAAAGCAAGCAAACTCCCCTTCCCCTTCACCAAGTTTTCCAAACCCAAAAGTGGCACAATTATTCAACCAAAGCATTACCCAAAGATAGTCTTCCAACCCATCTCATCCATAACATCCATCCAGAAAACTTCCTGTCCCAGATCAGCCCTAGCCCACGTCTCCTGCACCAACATCAACGCCCTCACAATCGGTTTCGCCGGCAACGAAAGTTGAAATTCCTGTAACCTGGTCGTCACAAATCTCCTCGCAGAAGCAATATCTACCTCTCTGTTCGTCAGACTATTGAATAGAGAGCTCGAAGTCGCAGGCATGAAGCCAGAAAGTGGATCCGCAGTTAATGCAGGCGAGAAGCGTAGTTCGGACCCAGCAGCTAGGATCACGATTGGTTGGAGACAGCGCGTGCCAGATGTAGTAGGCAATTTCTCGAGGAGTGAAACTGTGTGTATGGCGAGGGAGATGAGGAAGTCGGAAGGAGGTTGGGTCGTTGGTATTGGAAGGAGGCTGTGAATTGCGGGGTCGACAGAGGAGGATGCAAATGTATTGGAAGTGAACGGGACGCGTTTGAATAGGATGAATGGGAAGATGCGGTAGATTTCGAGGAGGGCGGCGCATTTATAGGATTCTGCTAAAAGGATGTATTGGTGGACTGGGGTGTTTTCATCTCCTGCATCGACGAGATTGCATGCTGAAGGTGGTTCGAAAGCAAGGAGTTCTTCCTCGAGGGCCGAAGCTTTCGCTGTTGCTTCGATGGTGGCAGCGGAGTCTTGTGGAAAATCCATGTTGAATCCGAGATCTAGGGATAGAAAATCGAGAGATCCAGCCTCTTGAGCAGTGCTCTTTCGATAGCTTCTAATGAGCCTACCAACCTGGGCAAAGAGCTTCTGTACTTTAGGAGCAATGCCCGTCCATGGATGTGGGAACACCTTGTCACCCTCCTCAGAGGTATCACTTTTAGGTGACGTGGAGGGAATAATATCCCGAATTTCGAATTCTTCAAACCCAAACTCATCAATATCCTCTTCGACGAATCCAGCAAGCATGTCCCAGTACAAAATACACTGCTCGAAGAACTCATTCTGACGACGTGCTCTGCTATCCACGACACCACCTTGCTGCTCGAGTCGCCGTCGATTTAACCTCTTTGCAGTCTTCAGATGTACAAGACCCAAGTCCTTCGGATCGTGCCATGCTGTGGTTTGGCCAACAAGGAGAACCGTCAAAAGCGTCTTGTCCAAATTCTCTGCCGGATTCTTCCCGCCTTGCGGGACTTGGTAAAGACATCTGTAGGTCTCTCTTTGCATCTGCAACCCCACAGGAGACATACGTGGGAAGTGATTAGCCAGATATGCAGCAGCCATGCTCTGTATTGCATAGTAGATTGGAGCTGAGCCGTCCCATAATCTTCCAACAGTCGATCGGAAAGGATTGAGTGTTCCATCGAACGAGGAGAAGATCTGACACACATAGCTGAAGTAGTACTCTACTAGCATTGTAGGCAGATGCAAGAGAAATTGAGGTACCGTAGAGCGATGTAACTGTTGTCTGATGGCGGACAAGCTGTCCGTGGTTGTGTTTGAATCCCTCCTTGTGGTGGTCTCGATAGTTGGCGATCTAGGTGAAGTAGCCGTTGGTATGGGACTGATATCGAATTCAATTTGAGAAATTGGGTCATTAAAATTGACTACTTGGTTCTCGTCTATCATAGAGGGTGGATTCGAAGGTCCTGCAGCAGAAATGCTTGAAGTCGAAGGGAACGACCCATCCGAATTCGGCACCATCATTTTCTCATGTTTAGTAGACCAGACCAGCGACTTGGACTTATATCCCGGGCAAGTCACATTCTTTTTGGCACATTGCTGGCATCCGGGCTTCGTTTCGTCACATTTCAACTAATGGCAAGTCAGTACTACCACCAGGAAATAATGCCATGTGGCATACCCTTTTGGCCTTGCAACGTAAACATCCATTGCGGCTTTTAGGCGCCCTTCTCGGATTTAGAATCGGTGCTTCGCATAGACTAGTGCTCTTCTCATTTGATGCGGAAATGGCTATGTTCTGCATGGTTCGGGACTTCGCATGCCTATTCTGGCTCAGATATCCTCAAAAGTGGGGTGTAGATAAGCCCTCAATATGTCTCGGGACGTTGATCGCCACAGTTTCTGAGAAAAGTCCACTATGATGGATTGGCTAGTATCTGAGGCTGAGATATCTGAATTCTGCCCTAATCGTGATGGGCTAAGAGATGAGATGAGGAGGTGCAGGGACTGGAAATCCGGGGTGTCTCGGTAGTGCTTGACCGTAGCGGGAGTGAGGCTTGACTTGCGGAAATCACATGACATCCAGTGAAATAAGTAACTGAGCTGAAAGTCTTTTTTCGGAAAACAAGAAATGTTGTTTTCGAGATACTGTGGACTCAATCAAGCAAAGAGATATACAAGGTGAGTATATTCAAATCGATTCCAGCAAATCACATTGCATTTATTGCAGATTCCTTGTGGTTGATGTATCACTAAAGTATTATTCTCATAATTTGAAGTTCATGAATTCATTTCATTACTACATTAATCATTATACTTTGATACTTATTATCTCAAAGCTTGAGGGCCTGTTTGAGTGGAAGAGCTCTCGACGAGTTACCCACGAAGAACGTGTACTCAGCTCCTAACGCCAACTTCCACTTCTGAGCAGCAACATCCCAGACACTCATATCTTTCCTGTTCAGCTCGAACTCAACAGTCGTGCTCTCACCAGGTTGAAGCAAGACCTTCTCGAAGCCTCTCAGTTGTCTGATTGGCTGTCCCTCAACAGGGATAGAGAGGTACAGCTGGGCGACTTCTTGACCCGCAACGCTGCCTGTGTTGGTGACGCTCACTGTGGCAGTAGCGACGATGTCCCACAGATCGGCTTGTCCTCCTGCAACGACTGCTCCTGTTGGGTACTCGGAAGGCGTACCGCTGACTGAGGCGACAGTGAGGTCGGAGAGTGAGAATGTGGTGTACGAGAGACCAAATCCGAATTCAAATCTTGGCTCAATATTGGAGGCATCGAAGGCACGGTAATCGATGAAGACACCCTCCGTGAAATCATCTTGAGGGAAACGGTAGAACTCTCCGTTGGCACCGAGGTCAGTGATTGGGTTGAGGATGCGGCCGTAGTCAGTCTCGTTCTTGGCCACTGTGTATGGGAGCTTCCCGCTGGGGTTGACGTCGCCGTAGAGGAGTTGAGTCACAGCAGTTCCAGAGTCTTGACCGGGGAGGTGGGCGAAGATGACAGCTGTGACGTTGGGGTTCTCGATCCACTGGTCAACAAGTCTGATACCTGCGTTGTGAATGACGACAATGGTGTTGTTGTTTTGAGCAGCAATTTTTGTGACCAAGGCATCCGAGAAATCATCCCGGAGACTTGGACGATCATAACCCTCGCTTGCTAAGGCGTTGATGAAAACAATTGCGGCGTCGCTCTCAGTAGGCACATAGGCAGTTGCATTGATGTTTTGGAAGTCCCAATATAAAGCAGTATCTTCCTTGCTTGCACGCTCCTGGATCGCGTTGAAAGGTGCTGAGATGTAAGGTGGTGTGGAAGCGCCTGAACCACCTCCCGTGAAAAGAGTACCATTTCTTGCAATCGGGGGAGGAGCAGGACAGGTTTGGGCAACTCGGTTACCAAAACCGCAAATGAAATAGCTAGCGCTGCTACTTTGGAGACCGAAAGCCCAGTCCCGATTGCGAGGGTTAGGGGTGATTGCGTCAGGTGCTTTGGCATCGTAGCCGAAAATCGAAAGAATCTTTGGCTTGTTGAGAGGAAGGGCATTCTTGGTGTTCTTGACCAAAACATGACCTTCTAAGGATGATTGGAGTAGTACTGGTCGAGATTCGGGGACTCGTGCGTCTACCAATGTGTGGGGTACCAAAACGCTTCCGGGCATTCCAATTCCAGGAGCGGGATACTCTCGGGAATCTTGGCCAACAAGATACCAAGCGGCCATGATTCGAGTTGCCATATCAGTGAGTCTGCTCTCTGGTACTGATCCGTTATTGACGGAGAGTGTGAGATTTCCTCCCCAGAATGGGAGACCACTTGGCATGACCTGATGAGCTGATTAGCCGAGACTCATGATTATTGACGATTGCCAAAACAACATACCATGTCCATTCCAGAAAGTGCTGATCCAACGCCAGAGTGCTGCGCGCCCCAATCACTGTAGATCAATTAGCGAATGGCTCAATAATGAAGATCAGACTTCATGTTGGATTAGGCAGATACTTACGACATGACCAAGCCGGGGAAACCAAGCTCTGTCTTCAGGATCCCATTGAGAGACTTGCTGTTCTCGCAGGCGTAACTGTTGTTGAGGCGGTTGTAAGAGCACATAACAGCCGCAGAACCAGCATGGATGGCGTCATAAAATGGCCAAAGGTATGTCTCGTGAAGAGTAGCATCATCGATGTTTGATGAAGACGAAAGGATGGTGTCGTTGTTGCTGTCAATCATGATACTGCGGGCAGTTTCTTGCTCATTTCCAATGAAATGCTTCGTGCAGGCAACGACTCCTTGGTCTTGGATCCCGTGGACAGCGATACCTGCGAGTACTCCAGCGTGGTAAGGGTCGTTACCGAAACCTTCCCAATTTCTACCACCAAGGGCAATTCTTCCAATGGGTCCAATCACTGACAGACCAGTTAGTAAACTTTAAGCATAAATGAAACTTAAATGTATTTCGCATGCTTTTGGATCAAGAAATGGCGCGATAAAAAAGAAACTTACTAGGAGGACCCAATGCAATGTTTACACCCTTTCGACGGAACTCTCCTCCCATCTGGTAGGCTCTCTGGTAGGTGAGGTTCTTGTTCCAACTACAATGAATTAGCAAGGCATCATCACTGGGAATATGGTACCATACCTTGCACCATCTGAGATTCCGGAAGTGTATGCATTGACCAGGTCAGTACCCCGCACACCAGCACCAGCATCTGCAAGACATAGCCCTGGGAAACCTAATCTTGGGATGCCGGGAACATTGCCACCACAACCTCTTGAAGAATTGCTGACTCCACCAGTGATACTGGTCTTCTCTTCGAGAGTAAGTTGGGCAACAAAAGCTTGAGCTTTAGCGATTGCTTCGCCCCATGCTCCGGATCCAGAAGTTTGAGGTGTTGGGTAGATTGGCTCGCTCTGACCATAGAAGTAAGAGTCTTCTGTGATGAGTTCTTGTGCGGATGTTGCTGGTAAAAGCAAACATGCCGTGGCGGCAAGCAAAGAGAGTGCGTACATCTTGAGGATTGTATTGACAGCGAAGATGATACAGAGAATTTTTGAGGAACCTACCCGGAATATATATACTCAGTCAACCGACTCTCCAAGCCTCAACAAAGAGGCCTTGGATTGTGCAGTTGACATCTTCTAGCTTGTCCCCAGTGAAAATCCACCTGCCAGATCTCCGCGTTAATCCAATTTCAGGACGTCCAAGAATATAAAAGGCCCTTCTCTCTGTACATACATGCAATGAGATATCGCCAAGGATAGAGTTTCTGTGAGGATGGGGCGGGTTACGGTAGAATATCGGCATACCAGCAGGGCATTGGCTCTCGTGAGATGCGTGGTATTGGGTCAGCTTCCCCACCTCTCCCACTTTCCAGCGATCTGGTGAGGCCGGAGGGTTTTGTTCTCCAGCTCTAAGCGAGTCGGTAGCGAGTGAGGGGTTGCCATGCACTGGACCTTGGATGTGTCCATTATTGTCTTCTGGGGGAATTTCGGTTCGGCTCAGGAGTTCGGATGAAGTGGACTGGTTCTTGATCACCTGGCAGATCAATTCTGATTGAAAAGCCCACTTTCGTTGGTGGAGTGTATGATATCGATACAATATGGTGACGTAAAGGCTTCGGAGGTTAAATATCGAATGTTAAGAGCAAAATGTGGCCTTAGGTGTGTTGTAGCAGTCAGCACAACGGAGACAAGCTCTGAAGTTGTTGCGGTCAGGTAACGGGGGTTTACCGACATATCATGACTCGTAAAGACATTTGTGGTCCGTCAACTGCGCACTTACCTACCAAAATAATGAGTACGTCAGTGGAATTCTGTGGCGCGTTTTCTTCTTTATTTTTCTTTCGGGCCGATACAGAATCGTCGGGAAGTGTGGGGTTGCGGGGTGGCTGGGATGGAAAACCTTCAGCCCATGCCCCATGGAGCAGTGCCATGGAGAGATGAACCCACATTCGCCAAGATGAACTGGGGCAAGACTTTTGACATTCGGTAATTCTGGGTCTGGTTATTATCCCTGACGAGATTTGAGCTCACAAGAGTTCATATTTGACGACCACAGAGCCTATGATAGGACTGTTTCAGCTAAGAGCCTCGCTCACTACTCGGCTTCTTGCAAATGCTAATTCATCAGTTGATTGACCAGTCTTGCGGTAACCCAGGATTGTACCGTACGGTACCTTTGACTTAGATGCAGCCACTCATCTTAATGGTGAATCTTCGGTAGTTACGCATCCCCTATCCACTACGCACCTAGCAGAGAGCTCGTGATTATGTTCTCCTCAGTCTTGGGTGCATGAAGCATTGGAGCAACCGAGGCAGCAAGCATGTCCCCAGATCCGCAATCGGGCGCTCTTCGGGACATTGAGAGCATATCATAACAGACCACAAACATTTTGGTGGATCGATGCGGGGTTCATTTGGGTGGAGGTAAATCCCAAAGAGTTGCGATTGGATGTATGAGAGAAGAATGTACAAGGTCACGGTTTGTCGATACCAACGGTGTGGACAAACTCCTCAAAGGGGGCTCGTTTCCGCTGTAAACATTACCTAACTGGGTGCAGTGAGAACACGAGGGCCATCTTTCTGATGGAAATCTGTATTTCTTAAATCTTGTCTATGAAGTGACCGCATCAACTAAATCAAGAAATTGATTGCGGCTCGGAGTCTTATTCAAACTTTACCACCCAATGGATCTGATCAATACATCAACCTTTATGTCGTACCTTTCTGCGAGTATCCAGTCCTCATAAAAACATTAGAAGGCATCGACCTATCTTTAAACTCGTCGTCAAGGATATATGCGATCTCTTCTCCCTCCTGCTTGAATCCATACCTTGCATAGACACTCCGTCCCTTCTTCGAAGCCTCCATAACAGCCTCCAATCCACCCCTCCTCTTCGCCTCATCCAAACCCCATTGCACCAATTCCCCAGCAACACCCCTCCTTTGAAAGGCCGGATCCACAGCGCAAAGATCCAAAGCCATGATTGCAGGTGGGTCACGAGTCGCTGCTTCCTTCACGACTTCAGTGCGCTGTTTCGTCAAGGATTGAATCACCTGACACAGAAACTTCTGCGACGATTCATCGTCGGGATACAAAGTATTCAGTTGCAATCCCTCAATAAGTTCGGTTTTTGGTATATCCCCGTGTCCTTCTACCGTCGAAAGCTGTACCCAGATCGCCATGCCAGCAATTGCCTCGCCGCCAGGGGAAGATGGATCTTGAACTGTAGCTTTCAGGAAGACGACATTTGGGTTCCCGGATTCAGTGGACTTGCGAGCAGCCCATCGGCTCTGTAGGCGACTGGCACCTAAGATCTCGCCATCTGGTGTTTCCCAGCCGGGGTTGAATGCTGTCCAGATGCCGTCTGCGGTTTGGGTGCCGACTGATCATGAGATTAATTTATGTTGTCTTACATGACTCATGACAGGCTTTGTATGACAAGAGATCAGGGATGCCTTAGAGTTCTCATTGAAAGGCAGGTGTACATAGCGAAACATACATACATGCCGCGGCGGAGATAGCAAAACAGCGTGAGAAATCATCAGCATCGGTGATTGGTTCAACCCGGACTTGAGATGTGGATTGAGAGGTGGTCATAGTGTCGTCTTTGGTAGATTTGATAAAAGACTACTAGGAAAGATCTAGTGGGTTCGTGGGTTGGTAGATTGAGTTCTGACTTCGGCACGGTTATCTGATGGAATGGAAACCCAAAAATGGGGAAGGTTGCTGTTGGTGTTGGGCTTAGTAAGTGGCGCGAGCCTACAAAGTTACTTAGGCGTTAAGGTTACTGTATTATGGCGGGGAATTTGGCTTTAAGCGAGCCCATGAATTATTTACTGAGGCGAAATCTCAACAGTAGGGAATGCTCTTTACGGTTCAAGAAACACATGGATTGTTCTTGAACTAAACACGATCTTCGAATGTTCCCAGTTTATAACTATTCGGACCCAACATTTAGTATCCGAATTACTCCGTGACTCACTTTTGCCATGTCAAAAACATCGCCGTTCTAGGGTTAGACAACCATTCGCTTAGGATCCTGGGTACTCTTGTAAGAGATCATTTGATATCTGGTAGTCTCTATACATCGACAGACAGGAGCTATGTGATCACGGGTCGGTAACAACAATTTATGGTCGCCATGATTGCACCGGCTATTTGTTATCAAAGCTCCCAGAGGATGACACTAGCAAGCGTGCCAGTCGCTGATATTCTGATGACTTGCCTGAATCCAAAGTCGTCTACAACTATCAATGAAATCTTCCGTCATGGGGAGGATTAAAATCGCCATGAATACATCGATGTAATAAATCACTACTGCATTTGTCTGAGGCGTCCCTCGAAGTGGACCTGGTGATATTGGAATACAAATTATGATTACTAAGAGCTGGAGTGGACATCGTCAAAATACATCGAATTGTCGTAGAGAAAAGGAGGCTCATAAACAAGCTTTGAAGCAAGAAAGGCGCTACTGCCACGCCGCTCAAGATGAAGTATTGCCTCTCTCTTCATTGATCTTCTCAACCCTTTGGAAGACCTCTGCAGTCTTCTCCCAGATAGTTTTGGACACTTCCTCTTGATCGAGGCCAGTAAGACTCGCCTTCTTGGCCCTCTCCCCCTTCCAAGTCACAAGATACCCTCCACTTCCGACCTGACCATTGGCACCAGTCATAACGGCAGATCCAGTTGGTAATGAAACACCGCTGGCAGAAGAAGCACTGGCTGCTGGTTTAGCCGGTGGGTACATGCCGCTTGTTGCATGGAACAATTGCCGTTCCCCTGTCTCGTCTGCACTCTTCATGAATGGATAGATGAGCGGCGTGATGATTTTCGTGCCAAGACGAGCCCAAAGCGGAAGTTCGCGGGAGAAGCCTGTGTTTACAATAGCGGGCTCTGTGTGTATGAAAGTGATCCCTGGCTCACGAGCGCCGTACTGCTCTGCCATGAAATCGTTCATGATAATGGTATGGGCGGCATTCTTGTAAGCGGAAAAGGAATTCTTCAGCTCAATGTCTTTCAAATCGATAGTTCCGTATGAATTTCCCGTGCCAAGCAGACTGACAGATCGAGCGAAGTGTGGTGGGAGGGTGCTAGCGTTTCTGAGTTGAGGGAGGAGGTTGGAGATAAACCGCATTCGAGACCAGAAATTGAGAGCTTGCTTTCGATCCAGACCTTCCGGACTCTCTGTTGCAGATGTGATTAGCACAGTTTCCGACATTATACGTGCAATACTGCTTACCATCTCGACCTCTCATATTCGAATTTCCTGGTGTTTGGAATAACAGATTCACACTCTTCTCCTTCTCCTGTATGATCTTGCAAGCTCGATCCACCTCTGCCAGTTCCGAAACGTCTGCCTTTATGAAATCTACCTTCCCATCTTTGTTCAGTCCCTTGCATTCCGTGATTATTCGGTCTGCGGCGGATTCGCTTCTTCCGATGAGGTAAACTCTGGGAGAGTCTGCGTGCTTGACGAAGGCTTTGAGCGTGAACTCTCCAATGCCACTTGTACCACCAACTGCAGATATTTAGTACTCCTCCAATAATTGTGTGATGAAATTATACGCACCAAAAAGAGCTACAAGCCCAGGACCTAGCTCGCGAAGTCGAGCATTTGATGCATGGACGATGTCGAGAGCAACCATGATGGATGTGCTTACTGTAAGAAGATGGAAGTTGGAAACAATTATTTGATGATATCAATTAACTCAGAAGTATCGTATGCAATGGGAATGGGGATTCTCATGCTTCTCTCAAGGTTATGCGACGCCTTTGTAGGTGTTGAGCGTCGTCCTACGTCGCAAAGTTCGGCCGAAGGCAAGGCTGTGGTTCTGACGCGGTCGCTTGCCAAGACTCGGGATTGATGCGAGACTGTCAGCAGCTCACAGGTCCGATCGAAGCCACACTTCCTCCTGCTAACGCCGACAACACACAACACGGGGGGGGGGATCCAGGGCATCGCACGTATGTCTTGCAATGACAGCAATTCGAGATGAAACGCCTCATTACTTGCTGCGCCAGTGTGTTGCGTCATTGAGACCATCGGAATCTGATTCTGCCTACCTAAGCGGCTCTGCCTGTATATGTCTGATCTGATCTCCATCGATCATGACCTAGAGTCAAGCCGTCGTCCCTCTGCCCAAGATCTTCCTTCGCTGTTCAATCCTCTGCCCTTTCTGTCTTGCGAGCTTGTCTGCAAAGATCACATATCTTGATGCGGTCGGGCTATCAGGGTCACAAACGCGTCCAAGTCCTCTCTTATGAGCGCTCGAAACAAGCAGTGGATTTTGCCTAGAACCCTTTGAAGTTGCTGAGCTCTGCGAGGTACTCGCTATGTGGAGTTTACCGTCGAACACGTGGGTAATTTAACTTACTTTTTGAGGCAGATTGACTTTAAGTTTACCTTGCCTAGGAGTAACATTGTCCAGTCTACATTTCCATGTCCATATTTGACTTCATAGCTGCCCCAGATGTCAAAGTTCAGCCTCTCGGTGGTCTACGTCAATCCTGTCCCTCGACGCTTTCACAATGCGCCTCCGACTTCCTGTGGATTAATTGTCAAACCTCAAGACCCCTGCAAGCACAGAGTTACAAGCTTTTCGTCCAAGTCAACTGAACTCACAAATCGGGACGAAACTTCCGGTCCTGTCAAGTGCTCGCCGCTCGGCCCAGAGTTCCTTGCCAAGAAACCATAATATATCCGCAACCTTATCAATTCCCCGCCACGAACCTCCCCTCATTTAGATTATTGTTCCATCTGTAGGAAGAATTGCATGATTCGTACCCGGCAAGAGTTTCTTTTTAAGCTTAGACCTGCTTGTGTCGGATGAAAATGCATAGTCCATCGAAAAATTCTCCGTGTCGCGATAGGCGCACGAAAGCTGACAGCTTTCTGGCTATGAGTTTCTGCCAATTAGTGAGATTCATTGCGTGCTGCGGGGCGGTTCATTTCTTTCATCGCATGGTACATGTATTGGGCGTTGTCCCGTAAGGATGCTTTACTTGTTCCTACATACTCTTCCATTCTTTCGAACTTTTGCGCTCCCCTCACTTTTGTTGAAAATGAAGCTGCTTCTCGCGTTGCAGGCAACGCTTTTCTCTGCATTCGCAGAGGCTATCACTCTTACCACAGCTACTGATTCATACACAGTCAATGCTGGATCTGCGAATACCTTTGAATTTGTGGTGTCGAGGACGAACTGCGATATTACTTCGTTGAAATATCGTGGTGTTGAAGCCCAGTACAAGAGCACGGGCTCTCACATCGGTTCTGGTCTTGGGTCTGGTACGACTGTTACTGCCCAAGAAGTTACAAGTATGTACTTCCTTTGTTCGCAAGCTACACCTCCTTATTGCGCATCTGTACAGGCGGTTCCACCAAATACGTCAAAATAACGTGTGCAACCTCAACATTGACACATTACTATGTCGTCCGAGATACCGAAAGCGCGATTCACATGGCAACTCATATCACCGCTGAACCAACTGTTGGTGAGCTGAGGTTTATTGCACGTCTCAACAAGGCCGTTCTCCCAAACGACGATGTCAACCAGGCATCCGACATTGGCGGTTCAAGCAGTACAGTCGAAGGCGAGGATGTGTTCGTTGTTGGAGGACAGACTCGAAGCAAGTTCTACTCCAGTCAAAGATTCATTGATGACCAAGTTCACTGTATCAGTGGCTCAGACATCAAGGCCTGCATGGTCATCCCTGGTACTGGCTATGAACTGTCTTCTGGAGGACCGTTCTTCCGTGACATGTAACTACTTCCGTCCCATTGTCAGTACCGAGCTAACGTGGAGCCAGTGACACCAATCCAACCGATTCCTACAGTGGTCTTTACTTCTATATGAACTCCAACCACGCCCAAACCGAAGCATACAGAACCGGTCTTCACGGACCATACTCACTCTACTTCTCTCGTTCCGGCATCCCGAATGCCAAGACGGATCTTTCCTTTATGGGAAACATGGGTCTGAAAGGATGGTTCGGAGCAGCTGACCGTGGAACTGTCAAGGGGAAGGCATCTGGTGTCGACGGATCCAAGTATCAGATCGTACTGCACTGGTACAACGTTTACGCCGAATACTGGACCTACGCGGACTCCAGCGGAAACTTTGTTTCACCGGCAATGAGACCCGGAACGTACACCCAGGTTCTCTACCAGGACGAGTTGAAGGTCGCCTCGGCTACGAATGCCGTCGTGATTACTGCAGGAGGATCAGTCACAAGCAACATCGCATCGACATGGAGCACTCCCGGCGTGACTTTGTTCCAAATCGGTGACTGGGATGGTCAGCCAACAGGGTTTCGTAACGCTGACAAGCAACTACGAATGCACCCAAGCGACTCTCGCATGTCTTCCTGGGGACCACTCACATACACCGTCGGATCATCAGCCACGAGCGACTTCCCCATGGCAATTTTCAAGGGCGTCAACGACCCCGTTACCATCAAGTTCACTTTGACTGCTGCCCAAGCCAGTGGTGCCGCTACACTCCGGATCGGAACGACTCTTGCGTTCGCGGGTGGAAGACCGTCCGTTGTTATCAATGGCAAGGCTGGCACGATTCCTGCGGCGCCTACTGCTATTGATTCTCGGGGCGTGACGAGAGGCGCGTATCGTGGACGGGGAGAAATTTATAATTTTGCTATCGCTTCGGGAGGGTTGGTGACAGGGTCGAACACTGTAAGCTTACTGGACACGGCAAGATGAAATTTTAATACTGATAAGATTGAACAGATCACCATCACTGTCGCTTCCGGATCGAGCGGGTCGTCCTTTCTCTCACCAAACTTCGTAAGTCCACACCCTGTTGGCTTACCCATGCACAGCTACTAAACAACAGCAGATTTTTGATGCAGTTCATCTGTTCCGCTAATTTTGCTGCTCCTTCTGAACGTACCATTTCAATTCTTCGACTGGTATTTGCTGTCATCTCAGCGTATTCTTCTGTATATATTCAAATTCGCCATGTTAGTGACGAATCTATTAAACTTCTTCAAGCGAGTGATCTCGCTTCTGTATCGATGCGTCTCGTTATCGACTTGACCTAAATTTTTACCAGACACTGTAGTGAAAGCAATGTCCTGTTTTGAATTTACAAGTGAGTGATCAAGATAGAGGTGATAAGGAAGACGTCTTTCATTATTCATTATCCAAGTGTTATATTGAGCTTAGGCAGAAATTCCCAGCCGAGGCGTCCATGACTGCACATCCTAATCAATCATACGATCCAAACCACTCCAACCACCACATACTCAAGCCGTACCGGCAAGTTTCCTCTCCCACTTCTCCGCATCCTCAGTAATCAACTTCCACACCGGATCGCCCTCCTTCCACGGCTCATCCATCGGCAACCCAAGCCGCTTATCCTGAGTGCGATACATACTATCGATCTTCCTCACATCGGGCGTATTTCTCAAGAACCGCAACTCCTCCGAGTTCAAGAAATCATCATAGTTCTCGATATGCGGGTAGTACTTTGCCTGATTCTTGACCAGCCGATTACGGACCTCGAGTGAGCAGGATTTTGGAGCGTTGGTGCCTTCGAATATGCCATCAGAGGTGGTTGCTGTGTTGGTGACTTGGACGTGGTTTACTGCGAATTGCACTAGTTCGGATTGTGCGGCTGTGGAGCGGATCTCTTGCATGCCGGCTAGAGAGAAGACTGTACGGCCGAGGTTTAGAGAGCGCAGTGAGGGGGAGAGGATGAGTGGTTTTAGGGCTTCGATGCAGCTGTCGTCTAGGTAATTGAATTTCTGGCTGTGGGCTTTGGTTGTTTGGGATGCGCCGAGGTCGAGAGTGTGGAAGGGGTGGGCTTCGGTTGTGAGTGCTTTGGCGAGAGTGGTGACTCCTTTGCTGGTAAGTCCAGCGGAGGCGAGTGTGAGGCGTTTGAGTGTTTTGTTTTTTGAGAGGCCGGGAGCGAGGAGAGCCTACATTGAAGAGAGTTAATCCGTGAGCTGGGGGAGAAGTGGTTGGATTGGAAGATATGAATGGGATCTGGAAATGATATATGAGATGAACTTACCATGCCAGCATCGCCGATGGGATTGGTTGAAAGAAACAAACTCTCAAGCACACACTCTGGAGAAGCCAGATACGTGGACAGACTAGCACAAGCGCTCTGACCGATGCCATTGGCATTCAAGTATAGATTTTGAAGTGACGAAGGCTTTCCGGCAATTGCATCGATGAATTGTCGCACTCCCTCGTCGCCAAGCTCAGTAGTCTCCAAGTCCAAAGTCCGAAGATTCTTCGTATGAAGAACAAGATCAGCCAGAATCAAACTGGAGCCAGCACCCAGGGGGTTTCGCTTGAACCAAAGATTGGTGATTGAAGTAGAAGCGGTCATTTGTGACGCGAGCATCTGAAGACCGGTACGAGTTATGTGACAGCCTGCAAGGTACCAAGTCTCCATTCGATTCGGGTACTTCGCGATGAAATCTGCAATCATCTTGGCGCCGGTTGATGAGATTGCGTTATTGCCCAGGAGGAAATGCTTGATCTGATTATTGGATTCCAGAGACTTCATCAGCTGTCCAATATGAGTGGGTCCAACTACTTTCTTGCAGAGGTCGAGACGGCCGTCATCATACACGATACCTCGCTCGAATTCCAAGAGAGAACTCTTCCAAAGCAATTCAACGCCTCTGGTACCAGTGTACTCCTTGTTCTTGGCTGCAAACTCAAAGCCGGGTTTGGAGGTTTCGTGTCCGCCGACGGTATCGAATGGCACATCCTGCTCCAAGAATGCAAAGATGGGCTCAAAATGATCAGCCTTTCCAATCTCAACTGGCATAGGAATAGCTATAGGTCCCTTCAAGTCAACTGGGTCAACATCCTGTCCAGCCCAAGGACCTTGAATTCGAATCAGCTTGCCGCCTGCATTGTTCTTTGGTTGCAGCTCGAGTGACAAGCGGTCTCGTTGCTTCTGACGGACAACTTTTTGAGCAGGGAGGGTGAGGCGTTCGTATTGAATGAGTGCAGCCAGTTCTGATGCTTCTGGAAACAGGATTTTCCCGAGCTGTAATGCGAATGGTCGTTGAGATTTATTTCTCCGACGCGGTAAGGCTTTGATCACTGCCTCATTGCTAAAATCTCCACCTTGAATGGATCGTAGAGCAAGAAGGCACTCATCAATGATGTATGGCGAATATGTTTGGACTGATGAGTTAAGTGACTCGTCAGCCTCGATAGTGATGTCCTCAAATGAAGATGTTGAAGTGTCGGATTCGTAGGTTACTGTCGACGGAGGAGCGGAAGTCGACCGCTCTTTGTCTGCCTCCTCGTTGCTCATTGTGAAGTGGCTCCAGTCTAATGGACCTGTGTGGAGGAACAATCAAACTCTCCAAATTGCAATAGGTTGCTTGATGAAAAGTTCGCGTTCGGGTGCTCAGTACCCAAATATTCTTTAGTGATCGAATCTGTCTACTGCAAGGCCGTATCTGACGTTGTACTTGTACGAGTGAGCCCGACCAAATCTTCAGCATGAAAACTCGTGATTTTGAGTCTAGATCTTTCGACAATTGTTGAGCTTGGTGGGGGAAGAGACTTCTTTATGTAGAAAGTTCCACGCTCCACTACCTGGCTCAAGGGCTTACCTGGAGTCATCCGGCGAGCTAAGCGACTCATCCTTTGCTTGAGACATGTTCTTCAAAGGGCGTACATGTCTTTTAACCTTCAGCGTTGTGAAGTCAGAGAATAATTGATACGCAATTCAATTACATCCAGCAGCACGACATACCTGTTGACAACTTCGAGAGCGAGTGCTGCCCGTGACTTTCACGTGTTGGTATTAGTCAGCTTTGCTTCAAACGCGCCATGTACATGCTTTCTTAAATCGAACTTTTGGGGACTTGTCAGCTTCGCAAGAATTTCCATTTTCTGCCACAAAATCCAAGATGGGCCGCGTATTCTGTGATACAATCCCTCCTGTTGGTTTGGGAACTTTCCGACTCAAACATGACTCAGTGAAGCCAGCTTTACGTGATGCGATTCGACTTGGGTACCGTCACATCGATACAGCAACCATCTACCGCAACGAAATTCAGATTGGCGAAGTTCTTCAGGAGCTATACGCCTCAGACGCAAGCAACATATCCCGATCTGACCTCTGGATCACCTCCAAATTGTCTCCATACGACATGGCAACACCACGAAATTCTCTCCTCAAGTCACTCTCGGCACTTCAAACCTCTTACCTGGACTTGTATCTCATCCACTGGCCTGCTATGGCACGAAAGCCGGCCACAAGCCCAGAGAATAAGAAGTTGCGCCTTGAAGCGTGGAAAGTGCTGAATGAGGCCAAAAAGCAGGGGCTGGTCAGGCATATTGGGGTCTCAAATTTCACTGTCGAGCACCTGAGGGAGTTGAGTGAGACTGAGTGGGGTATCAAAGATACATTTGTTCAGATGGAGGTACATCCTTGGTATTGGAGAGACGCAGCTGAGATCCAGAAGGTCTTCGCAGACCAAAATCTGAGGATGGTCGGCTACGCACTTCTTGCTGAAGGAAAGTTGATGGCTGATGATTGCCCTGGAATTATCGGCCAAATCGCACAGAGGACTGGCTTGACGAAGGTTCAGGTGGTGCTATCGTGGGCGCAGAAGAAGAACTGGGGTGTTTTAGTGAAGAGTGAAAATGAAGATCACCTACGGCAAAACCTGGAGACACCAATTGTAATGGATACCTTAACGCCTGATGATATTCAAGCAATCGACAATATTTCTTCGGAGAGAGAAGAAAAGCGGTGCTGGGATCCCAGACTTGTCAAGTGAGATACGATTTCTGAGACGAATAAACTATCTTCCGGTACAATATCACAACACCACCGATCACGTTCGGATCAAGGCAAGGCCATGCTGCATTCTCATACATGAGATATGTAGTCTCCAATTACGTTCTCCGGGATGTCTCTGTATAAGTAATCTGGGTAATGTTCGAATGGCTCCCAGCAGGTATGCTTCAACCATATTGTTTTCTCTGCGACCGAAGGTTTCACCTCTTGTCTCCTCGGAGATTCTCGGGCCGAATCAGCCGCTTCGACTTGCTCGATGACATTTTTGATGTTCTCTTGAAGTCTGTGAAGCTTATGGAGGAGAGAAGGGTTCTGCCAACCAGCACCCCTGGGTGGTCAAGGTCGACACTTCGAAGCGAGGTGCCACCAGTCGAGCCCGGTGTCGGCAAAGGCAGAACTTGTCACCATGCTAATTCTCTCGGGAACCATTGTGGCGCGTAGAGTAGCGTGCTTGAGATGACCTCCTTGAATGATCTCCTCGTGCGTGGTAGAAAAGTCAGTCAAGGAGGATGGTCTTTTGGGTGGGAAAATTGACCACATGCAAAAGACGACGATTGTGGAAGGGCAGCCCAGTGCCCAGGATGAGACGACGGAGACTAAGGAGGTCAAGTAATGCACAAGAATGCATAGCGAATGCACAGAGTGTGTCTCTGTATGTAAGGCATTCATGCAAAACGGGGGATGGTGTGGTATTTCAGATGATTTTTGAACAGCCGTTCAGACCTGACGGGCCTCCAGCTATTTTGACTATGCGCAGCAACCTGTGGCAGCGAGGACTCTTGGGATTTCACCAGCCATCCACTTCTGCTAAATTAAGCCAATCGAAAACAGATTTTCAGATGTCGAGATTCCATCAAGTGACTATAAAACAGAAGTAAACAAACATTGCACGTGATAAGATGTTCTGCAGGGGTTAGAGTGAGCTAGTCATAATCAGGATTAGTTCGCTTCTTCATCTCAGCCTTGTGTGCCTCGCGAGGAAATGTCAACAACAAGCAGCCTTCAAATCCTTAGCCTTGCCTCGATAGCAGAGGGCTGAATATCATGCCGACCAATTCTCGCTACAACCCACAATAACCCGACACCGAGACCCTTCGAGCGCGCCTACGCAATGGCTGTCCTCGACGGATTCCTCTCCTCCATCCTCAAGTTCCTCAAAGCAAAGGATGCCGTCCAGCTTCAGAGCTTCCTCCAAGTCGAGCCCCCACTACCCGCCGAGTATCTCCAATTGAGCCAAGAGCTGAAGTCTTCCTGGAGCGATAGCAAGAGGCTTGAACAGCACATCGAGAAGCTTCTGCCGTTCAATGATGATGACAGAGCTGAGGAGGGTGGTTCGTGGCCTGGCTTCCTAGTCTTCATACAAGACTACCTGGAATTCTGGAAGGATGCAGACTTTGATGACTTGGTGTCGACGCATGTGAAGCTGTCTTCATTAATAGTGTAAGCTTCTCCGGACCCGAAGTTGGTGTATTAGTACTGAGAGTGTAATGCTATAGCTCTTGCAATACCGCCATGTCGAATGCAACATATGGAATAGTGATGCTTCCCACTTCCATACGGCTTTGCTCAAGTCTTGCAAGACTTGCTATAATGCTCGACAAAAGACCCGACTTAACACGGAGAATGGTGGAAGTGAAGGATGTTGACCAAGGAGAAAAGAAGACGTTGGTGGAAGCTACAGCGGAAACTATACAACGGGCATTCACATTGTGCCTTAACGAGAGGACGGCAAGTAGGAATGGGATAGGTCGAGATGGAAAGCCAGAAGGGAAGAAGATTGGTATATACTCATTTGCGAATATGGTTCTCAAATTGCTCTTCAAAGTATGGGGCCTGCATCGAAATCGATATTCCTGGTCTAACATGTTTCGCAGAGCCGAAAAACTTCATTGGCAAAACAACTGTTTACGAATATCGTGGCCGCCTCACCACCATTAGGTCTCTACCCAGCAGCGCAACGCGTTACCTATCTGTACTACCTTGGCCGATATCATTTTGCGACTGGCCACTTCTACTATGCACAACAATGCCTTCAGTCAGCATATGATCAATGCCATAATCGATGCATCAAACAGCGTCGAGCGGTTCTCATATATCTCGTCTCTGCAAATCTCATACTAGGTCGGCTGCCTTCTCCAGCATTCGCAAGTCGGCCAGAATCAGACGTCCTTGCAAAGTTTATACCAATCGCAAACGCGATTCGAAAAGGAGACATGCCAGCATTCAAGAGAGCCTTAGGTCCGGAATCTGGAAATGAAAGGTGGTTCTTCGAGCATGGGATTCTGCTACAGTTGCAATCGAGATGCGAAGTTCTGGTCTGGCGCTCGCTGGCTCGTAGAGTCTTCCTTCTTACCTACAAGTTTCCCTGGGATCCGGAATCCAAGAAAGCTCCAACACTGAGTTTGGATGATGTAGTCGTTGCTTTTCAGCTGTGCCAAAAACTTCTGGAAGGGTGGCAGAAACCAGTTGATACACACGCGTTCATGCAATCAGGACGCACCCACCCCAATGCAATGTTCATGAAACCTCCAGACCTGGCCCCTCCTCAAAATGGTCCCAAAAGTCTACCCATCGGACGGGGTACGATTTTTGGCAATAAGATGCCAGGATTAAGCGACATCGAACCTATCATTGCAAGTCTTATCCAGCAAGGCTTGTTGCATGGTTTCATTAGCCACACTCAGGGCAAATTTGCTATAATTGGAGCGAAGCAGAGAGGTGGGCCACTACAAGCCGGATTTCCACCTGTGTGGGAGGTTCTCCATGAGAGGGCTGTTTCTCAGAATAGGGTTGCCGAATGCCCAGGTTGGGTCCAGAGAGAAAAGAATCTTGGTATGGGAGGAGTAGTCAACTTGACCGGGGCTCGGCCAGCCGGGGAGAACGGCTGAAGAGTGCAGGAAGGCACAAGGGAAATTTAAGAAAATAAGGATGAAGGAAATCCAAGACAACCACGTCCCTAAGGAAGAGGTGCACGCTTTCCGGTATGGATAGAACTGGAAGTAATTGGATTGTGTTTCAATCACCAGCCCTATCGTCATCCTCAGTCCTCCAATATGACTTAGCCTCGATATCTTGACGCTTCTCTACTTTCGTTTGATCCACGTTTACTGTCCCACCCATCTGGCCAGTTGTGCCGTATTGTGGTCCGCGAAGTTCTTTCTGTAGTGGTGGAGACTGTGTAATTCTTGATTGGCTGGAAATGTTGACCGAACGAGCACCTGTTGAGGTACAAAGCGTCATTTGTTGTAATGCCTCTTGGTTGAAGCGTGCGCTTTCTCTGGCTCCCTCGTATGGCGATTGATATTGTTGCTGTTGGGAAGCATGAGTCAAAACCTTCACCGCGCTAGGCAATTGGTATGAGGGATTGTGCAATGGGCCAGCGGACGCTACCATCTTAGTATGAGGTGCTTGTCGTGGATTGATGGGTGGTGGTGGAGCAAGTACTCGGGTTTTCCTATGGGTTGGACGGCCGAGGGCAGTAGGAGGATGAATCGATGTCATCAGCGGTGGGAAGGGAAGGCTCAGTTGAGGTCGCTTCTCCGAGGTCTTTGATGAAGAAGCCAACCTTCGAGCTTGGGTTTGTTGTATTGAAGAATCTGCAAAAGCAAGAGCTTCCTCACCACTCACTTCGGAACCCGGCTGGAACTTGTCGATATAGGGTACGAATCCTTGCTTATCACGCTTGCGTTCAGCGTCTTGCCGAGCTGTTCATCTTGTTAGATCGCCGGTCATGTACACAGAACAAATTGAAACCTACCTCTGGCGAATTGCATGACACCATCGGCACCCCAACTTCCCAAGATCGCCTCCACCGGAACCCGTCCCCATACCAGAAACTCCTCACCAACCATACTGTTCGTGTGGACTACCTCTGTATGCAAACCCCGGCCAATGCTCACAGTGGCTCTACCTCTTATGATTGAGACACCCATATCTCTAAGGCTCGCGCCACGAACACAGTAAACTCTATACTCCGTGTCCGATCCCTTTCTCAGAAGCTCCGCCTCCCACTCAGCAAGAGTTCTCTTGGAGTACAGGCCAACGAATTGCACATGTGTCGTTGTCTGGAATGTATCCTGATTATCCATGATTCCACAGTACTTGTCGTAGAAAGCCTCAAGGTGGAGTTTAGATGCTGGGAAAGAGTCGCGGTTCTCCTCGTGAGGCTCTATTCCGCTGCTTGCGGCTCGGAAGCCCTTGAGTGAAGGGGAGCTGGGCGATTTGTCGGACCAGCGTTGGCAGGCTTTGAAGAGGTAGGTGGGGATCTCGTCACCGTTAAGGCGGGGGTCTTCGGCGGGGTTGATGACCGTGCGGGCTGCGTTTGCCATGGTGGCTGTGATCATTGGCTCTATGTAGGATGAGGTGCGCTTCAGCACAGTCACAGTGGATTTGTTGGTTTTTAGGTATCCAAGATCTTTTGGTTGAGATCGAGATCGAATTTCAATAGCTTGAAAGGAAGGGGAAGGAAGAAGCAGCTCAACATCAAAAGACAATGCTTTATTGTGCGGGTTGAGGTGCAGCTACGCGCGAAACGATCCATTTTCCATTTGAGTGAATTTCAGGACGTACTTTCACTTCAGCCTTGCTGTCATCGTGTCGCTTTGGAAAGTGAATTCCAGACTATTTCGCACTCCGTTGCGGAGGACGATGATGTGGCATGTCTTTCCACCGGGCCAGACAACAATCAAAGCTTTTGTCACGTTATCAAATGCGTCTTTTAGCGAACATCAATATACACTGTCAAGAAAGCTCATTGAGACAACTCGAGTGGTAGGATATTTACATATCGTCTTGCTCAAAGGCCTTCTTCTTGCTTGTGGTGAAGAATTGTTATAAATTCTCTGGTTGGGGGGTTGTTTAGATTGTTCAAGTCAATTATTAAGAAAGCCTTGCTTCATAACAGACTTTTTTTTTCTGCGAGCTTTGATTTCTATTGGTGCCTATTGATTGAAGAATAATGATTAATATAGAGTGGTGCGACGAAGAGCGTATAAACAAAGTGAGATGCTATTTTGATTACTCTCTGGACGCTGATTTGCCCATTGAAGCTGGCATTCACTTCCATTTTGCCCGAAGTTGTCTATGACAATGGCTAGACCTAGGCAGGTATTCATTTCAAACAACTTTAAAGTGATTTGGTTATTCTCCTGATATGGGTTTTAAAGTATGGGCTTGAGGCAACCACCTGGCATGTGACCTGTGACACAGGCTGTCTTGTGCTTTGATTTGGTGTCAATGAGATTAAAATTCAGAGCATTGCAATATTTCGCCGAACCCCAGGTAATCTTGGGGAAAGTGATGTTAAGATGAACTTCCTTCGGTGCTTCACACGATTGTATCTTATGGATTTGTGTAAGCACTCTAACATAGTAAGCTGAAAACACTGAATTTAATTCTCAGGCCCTTTCAAAGTATGATTCGCTACTCATCCACCTCCTCAAACCTCAGTGGCGGCTCCCCTCTGCTCCTCCTCCAAAAGTTCGTACTGTCATGAATCTCCTTACAACCCCTCAGCAACCACTCATACTTCCTCGCAAACCCCTCATCAACCTCCCAACTCCCACTCAACCAAGGATCACTCCACACAATCAACCCCGTCCTCCCATTCCCCGCACTACTTCTCCCCTTACAATTACCCACTCGATCCCCAAACTCCTCTCCAGAGTCAACACCGTACAACATATCCAAACAAAACTCATCCGTATCAAACGACTCCCCCGCCGCAATAAAATTATCCCTCAACACCGGAAACGGAAAGCCATCCACCTCAGGATGATGCGGCACCATAAGCTGCAACCTAGTCGGCATAAGCGCCTCAGGCAACCTCCCCATCAACGCCACAACTACCTCCTCCGACCCCTGGAACGGCGATGGGATATCCCCTTCCATGAGATCCGGGTCCAGGCCAAGGATATGCACGTTCTGGAGGAGCGCGCGGACAAGGTTGAAATGCAGGAGCGTCATGAGCTTTTGGTCTACTGGGAGGGGAGTGGAGAGGAATGCGGAGAAGGATGGAGTGCTGGTGATGATTCGGCGGGTGGAATTGTAGATGCAGGGGGGTGGAGCGTTGGTGTTGCGTTTGGGGCGGGTGGCTACGTCGCGGATGTAGGCGGTGGGGTTGATTGGAGCGACTAGATCGGGTTCCTTGTCTAGGGATGATGGGATGTCTTGGATGAAGACTTGTGGTTTTTGAGTGGAGAGCTGTTTTCTGCGTTTGCCTTTTGAGATTGGTTAACGAGAGTGTGTGGATTTATGTCAATATTGTTTTGAGGGACGTAACCTACGCGAGGCTCTTTGGTTTAAGCGATTCTGCAGTTTTCTTCTGAGAGTGGTACTTGTTTTGCCGGTCCAGTCTTCTTCTTGGTCTTTGATTTCTGATCTTTGAGTCATGCGTTGAAGTTCTATTTTCCCAGGTATGGAGCCCACATGTTGCTGCTCTGCATCTGGGTCGTGTAATCTCCAGGGACTCGGCGCCTCTTCGGGTGAAGAGCTTGAGACTATCGTGCTGTCCAACATTACTGTGCGACAATAAGGTTCGGATAGCCGAGAGAATGAAGATGTGGATATCGAAATGCAACGTGCTGACTTCGGTGCTTTGAGGATCCCTTTTTTTACTTGACCAGGCGGAGTCAAGAAGGCATTCCTCCATGGTCGTCAGCTTGACTGGTGAGAATGCAGCTTGCTGACAAGGCTAGATCGAAAAGGGTTTGGCTTTGATGAAACCCCTGTTACTTTTGTTGACAGTCTCGCTTCAGCTGGCCCCTTTGCAAAATCAGATAGAACACTCCCTCTGCTTGCGCCAGATATCCAAACACTCTCGTATGGAACAGAAATTGGATGTTAGCTAGATTGCTCCTTTTTATCTCTGACTTTAATTTCAAAGGTGTTGCAAAGCATCAAGTTCATTTATTCATATCTATCTATGTTCGTAAAAGAAATGCCTCTTAAGGAGCGTCTACACCTGCAATATTAACTAATGCTAAACAGTTTCGACACCCAAACATCGCATGAGACCTCCCGTGATATCTTCGTATCCCGTATATGTCCATCATTATATCCAATGCAATATATTTCTCCATATCCACTTCATCCCGGCCATGCTCTGCAACTCTCTCCCTACCTCTCTGACTACTCACTCATTCAAACAACCCCAACCCCAACACCTGCCAACCCGAGCACGACACAAACGCCCCATTTCGCCTCCTTCTTCCACCTCAAGCCCTCTCCTGTATTGCTCAGAACAAATGTCTGATTATTCCCATTCTGCAATGGCGTTTCCGCAGGCACGGACACAGAAACAGAGACGGGAACAGGAATGACTTGCGCAATTGAAGTCACGATCTCGACCACAGGGGAAGGGGCTGCTGGGTTTGGAGCAGAATGCTCGAAGAGTGCAGCGCCTGTCACGCTGGCGATGGGAATATATACTTGGTGAGGAGGCTTGGTTTCAATAGGTGGAGAAATAGCATGTGTGGGCTCGGTGCAGGGGACGGTAAGGGTAACTCTGCCTTCAGAGCCACAGTCTGCGCAAATTCGCGTTATTGTCGTCATTGGTATCTGGTGGGCTGTTTTGGCCTCTGGGATGTGCGTGTGTTCAATTTCATGCGTCGATGGATGTTTACATCCGCAATCAGTATAGATCAGTGTGCTGGTCGTAGTGTAGACCTGTAGTGTCGAGGCTGCACATTTGCAGATGTCGGTATAGGTTGCTGGTACAGGTTAGCTCTTATTCAGTCGTATCCTGGATTATTTATAGTAACATATAGAAGAAGGAAAGTGATACTTACTCGTCAGTACGATCGTGATTGTAGTCACAGTAGGGACAGATGTTGGCTTCCCCAAGCCACCGCCCATCCCAATTCCAATAAGTGAGCCGGCAACAGTTACACTATCCGTCGTGCCTCCAGTGAGTGTAGCCCCGAAGTGAACACCAGTTGGAGCCATTGTAGGTTCCACGCTGTCAGTATCACTAACGCCCATAGGTACACCGATGAGCGTGCTGACTGCACTCAGGGTGGTGCTGGGTGTTGGAATCTCCCCAGTTGAGGGAGCGAAATGCACTTCTGTTGAATCGGCTGTGGTGGAAGACGAAAGGCCAGGCAAATCGATAACAATGAGGTCGTTCTGAAAGACTGTAAGAAGAAAGCCAAAGGATTGACGTTTCGCTAGCTCGGCTGGGTCTTCGAGATGTTGATGATGATGTTGTTCGAATTCGGTTCTTCTGTCGACTGCCGAAGCTGAATGGAAACCACCACAGACTTGCGTTGGGTTGCCAGGGCACGGGATCGTACATGAAGAATCAAATTCGACTTTAGTGTTGAGGATACTATTGCCACAGAAACAGGACGTTCCGGCTGTGCCCAGATAAGCGTCATTGCTACATTCTGAAGCGCAGAGTGTGGTCGTCATGTTCTCGTTCGTAGCGGCGAGCGTGAAATTTGGGAAGGGAGAGATTGAAGATGAAAGACATCCGACGTATGTGAAGTCTTGGAGGGTAGGCGGTTTGGGGATCGTAGTGTTTTGCGGACTGGTTGGGAATGGTGGGAAGGGTGCTGTTGGAGATGAGGGTCGGTGAGTGGGTGATTGTGATAATAATGTTTCGCTCGTGCCGTTGAAGGTTGGTCCGGGCCTTGAGGTTGGTATTAATGTTGAGAATTGTGATGACGATGATTCGATTGTGCTAGTAACATCGGTGGTTTGTTCAGGCTCTGGGTCTGTTATCGACGTTGAGGATAGTGGTGGTGTTGATTTTGTTGTACTATTGAGGTAGATAGTGGATGCGAATTCAGAAGTCGAAATAGAAAGAGAGCTGGTAAGAGATGGTGATTCTGACGTGGAGCGTGAAAGGACCGATGTCGACGTAGGTGCAGATTTCTCGGTGAGAGAAAATACTTTCACGTAGTTGACATCCCAGTACCTAGATATTGTCAGCTCAGCGCCTTGACATACTCAGCCAGCTAGCTATTCGAAGATCTATATTTCTCCCTCCTGAGAACGAGTGGAAGTAATACTCACGCATCTGCAAAGGCGCCTGGCTCACTCGCCACATAATCCGCGCAAGTAGTCGCCTTCTTACTACACACTGGATCCTTGTCCCAAACACCTGCTGCCCACTGAATCACCAAAAGTTAGCGTAATCCCCATGCTGTATCGCAAATATCTGGATCTGTACAAATACAAGGGGAAAAGGGGCGGATCTTATTTGATCCAGAAATTCGACTTACATCCCCACAAAACGTAGTATCAAAAATAATCTGATGGTCCTTGAAATTCGCATCGATATCACAATTTCCCTGAAAGTTCGCATCAGGCAGACCCCAAGTACTCGGATCCGGCTGTCCATTCGCTATATTAGTCGGGATGAATCCGCGGGGGAAGTACCAGATACGGATGTAGTCTGAAGTCCATTGCGTCGCGAAAACGCCGCCGCTGGCGGAGTTGAAGGTGTCACCATAAGAGGTGGAGGAAGAGGAAGAGACGCTGCAGCCGAAGCCGTGGTCTTGGTTGCAGTCGTTTGATTGGAGGGTTCCGAGGGATTGGGCACCGGAGATGGTGCAGTTTTGACCGCTTGGAAGAGTTAGTCGTGTTGTTTGAATTTACTTGTTTAGCTAGATGGAAAATAGGGCGGTCTATAACTTACACGTGGAGTGTCATGACATTTCCTTGTTGAAGATTGACACCTGCATTGAGTTAGTATAGGAAGTAAACAAGCGCGTGTGTTGAGCGTCTGTTGGTCGGGACAGGAGCAGTGTACTCTCGCATGAAAAATTCGGCGAAAGAGATGAGAGAGAGGTGGCTTGCCTTCAATAATATCAATCTCCCCAGAATTTGGCCAGTTTGGTCCAAACATCCAGACTACATATTATCACCTCGTTAGCCCGATGCATCATTTCCTAGCCTGTACCTGAACAGAATCCACTTACAAGCTGGCCACTAGATAAGAATTCTAGTTAGCATACTCTCGCTTCGATTTTAACTTTACAATGCGGGAAGCACTTACCACACCACACTCATTCCCGGGCATATGCTTAACATCCACCAAAAACAGCCCATGCGTATACCGCTTCTTACTACTAATCCTCACGCTCGCTCTCATGCCAAGGCTTTCATCACTTTTCAGCACCGTAGTAGAATCGACGCTCATACGCGCTACATTGTTGCTTGTTGAGATGAGGGATTTGGATAGAGAGGACTCATAGGACTGGTAAGAGACGAAGCCGTGTGTCGGGTCGGTATCCTGATTTATGTTAGCGGGGAAGTGAAAGGTAAGGTAGGGATGGGGAAACGGAGGAAGGATGATGTACCGTAAAGAATTCGAACCCGTCGAAGAAAGTTGGACCGGAGTATTCCGTGTCGAGCACGTAGGTATCGCTTACTATGGCATAAACACTGGACGCGAATAACGCTGAGAAGAACAACAAGAAAGTAAAGACTGCTGAAGAAAGAAGTGCCATATTGAATCGTAGCTTCGTGTCAGGTTGAAGATTGAACAGTGGAAAGGGACAAGAGTGAAAGTTAAACTGGTGGAAAAAAGGAAGGAAACAAAGGGAGTTTTGGGGATGTAAAGGAAGGCAGTGGCAGGGCAGGAATGCGTTGTAACAGATTTCGATAGTGGATTGGTGGCTCATTCCTGCTCGGAGGGATCACGGGAATTCGTGGTTTGAGACAATTGTTGACTCAGTTGACGTTCTTCGCTTACCACTCGCTTGTGGACCCCGAGAGGTTGGCCAGCATGGAATTCCAATGGGTATCAATTATTCTGGCCATCTCATGGCATTGTCAAGACCGTATGTCGATTTAAAGTCATCCTATACTTTGGGTCATGCTCCTCGAAGTTCCCTCCAGCCTTCCCATCCAGTATTGCCTCTCCAACCCCAGACAACAGCGTAATGCCTCGCTAACATTTGCCATTCCTCAACTTCATCCAATCCTTCCAACCTATCCACTCGGCCCTTTTCCGTAGTCGGTACCCATTTCTGCCAGATATTTTCGATAGTCTCGGCTGCTTGGCCACCTGCTTGGCCATCTCCCCTGAATCCAAGCTCTAGCAACCGAGCCTTCTGATCTGCAAGTGTCTTGTAATGCTGCAGAGTTGGCATTGAAATACCTCTGGAAGCTAAATTTGATACCATTACTTGTCCAAACGCGTCATCGACACTGATGGGTTCGTATAGTACAATTCCAGCTGAAGGTATCCGGTTGGTGAACCACGTCACAATATCTCGGGCAGTGGCCACATCCAGGTAACATAAGCAGCATTCTGATATTATGAGTGTCGGGATATCTGTTCGTAGGCCTTTTATATCTTTTCCATTTTTCAACTGTGACAGCTGCCGTAGATCCATAGGATGGCAGCAATATGTAACTTCTGATTCTCCGATCCCAGTCGACTTAACACCCCAGTCTGTATCCTGTCGTGGCAGTCCAGCTGTGGGGCTCTTGAAATCTGGGAAGAGGACTTCCTCCTTGGTGTTTAGTAATAAATTGTTATTGGATACTGTCTTTGACTTTGTTGTGGCGACCGAAGGAAAGTCGAATTCGTGATATATGAGGTTGTGATGTTTGTTTTTGCTTCGCAGGCGGAAGTATCGTGTATCGGTTCCTGCACCTAGCGATATTATTTGTTTCTTTTGAGCCTTTGCAACAGATTCGGATTGACAGAGGAAGGCATTGATGAGGATATCGAGAGCTGTTGTGCGAGTGTACGTTCCTTTAAGGACGAATCAGTGAACGGTTAGCGATTGGAGTAGGGGTACCAAAGTACCTCGATTTATTATTGGCATCCGCCGTGTTCCCTCCCCAGCAACGAATAGAGAAGCAAAAGGATCTTCGAGATAACCTAGAGAAACGGCGCTCAGCCTCGAGACTGCTGCATCTGTATCTGTCGACTGGATAGCTAGATCTTTCCGCTGAGCGCCATGTCCGCTGGCTTCCCCAATGCCTCCGAATCGCGAACTGCCTCTTCCACGACCACTATGAGAACGTGGGCCGCCCCGTGAGGTCAACAAGTTTGGGATTTGCGGTGCAGACATATCGTGGGGTCGTTGAGGTGAAGGGGAGTGAGGGGAGATCAAAACACGGTATTGCTCACACCTTACCTTGCCCCGAGGCTACGGGCCGAGGCTGCCAAGCATTTGGGAAGGCTGAACACGCTGCCACAACACGTGCACAGGACACGTCAGGTATGTAAAGTGCCTACGTTACCTACTGACTTTCAAATCATTGTTGGGACGAACGACCAAGCATTTGTACCTTGTAATCTTATGACTATCTTATTGCCCTCTCGTGCAGTCTCAAAAGGAAAACAGTATATGACATGATTATGATGAGAGATATGAAATGCCACTGCTGTATGATGAGTCGTGATGCGGCAGGTAGTTTGCAGCTGTTTACTTGCTCGGTTTCCGCCCGAGCGAGTCAGTCTTACGAATAGGAAGAGATCCTCGGGATGCTGTCCTGGGATTAGTAGATCGAGGCTGGCTCTGTAACAGGGTAGGTTGATGCTCCCCAACGTGATCCCTATGCAGTCCGACCGCTCAAAAAACAAAGGACAATAAACTCTACGAGTGCAACTTCACCAATCTCCAGCTCTTAGCCTTCAAAATACTCCTCCACTCCTCTTGTCCTGGAGATGAATACGTCAGGCGGAATGTTGTTCCTTGTACGGAATATCCACTGTGTACCACACAAGCTGGTTGCTCGCGAGTATCGAGGCTGTGGCCTTGGACACAACTCCTTCATTGCCCTGCCTGACCTGGATTGCAAATAAGTCAAAGCCCTTCATATCTACGTCTACGAAAGGCATGTCGCTACAACTCCTGTTTCCTCGAACGTTGTGCACTAGGAAATTGTACTTTCATAACGGCCTCAGATTCCTTCAAGTACTCTTTCCCCACTTTCCGTGGCATCTGTAGGATCTCCTCAATGTCCTGTACAATTGAGTTTTGACTGTACAGGAGTCATGAATGTCGCAATCGAAATCATCACAAGGAGATACGGCAGTCAGTCAGTTTCATTGGCTAGGAGCGGAAGAGGTAAGCCCTCTGTTTTGCTATGGAATCTTTCGGTTGATAATCTGCAAAATATCATCTCTCTATTCTGTATCGTTCTCTGCGAGCAAGATGTTGAGTCTCAGCGGACACAATCTTGCGCAGTCGTAAATCTATACAAATTTGTGTCACTGAAATTTGCACCTGTGGGAAACCGAGCGCTCCGAGGTGGGAATGAGAGGCGGACGGAAGTGATCATCCTGGGGGTTTGCTATCTATCCAAAGACCTATATAACTGGGACTAGGAGCAGTTACAAGGAGCTCGGACTGAAAATGCCAACTGAGCTGTGGCTATAGCCAACTGTAGGAAAGCAAGAACGATAGACAAGCCACCGACGATCAAGACAGCCCAAAATGTGTACCATTGGAGAGGATTCCTTCTATCTCGCCACAAATCCCGAAGCTTGCTAGGCTGCTGCCTCAAGTTGAATTCCTGGAGCTTTGCAAGGCGTTGACCAAATCTGGGGAAGTCGTCCTGCGAACTATATGCCCCTTCCTCTTGCAGGGTATCTTCAAAGCTACGGCATGAAGCAGGCCACAATTGCATTGGTAGCGACCGAATCTTCTCATCACAAGGGTGGCCGCAGAGGAGGTCGAGTAAATCATCGTATTGACCTCGAGCCTTCAGACGTCTCAAGTCAGATTTGACTAAGGTTCGAGCCGTCCCTGTTTGTCCAAAGAGCAGCCGCTAAGACATCAGGACCTCTTGGTGCAGCTGTGTAATTGTGCAGTCTGAAGATAAGCTTGCATCGGAGGCGGCGCTGTATAGTTCTCGAATCAATCTATTCTTACTGAGCCAGACACTTCTCTAAATGCACGAGTGGTTACACTGACTCCTGGAAGATTTCTGCACGAGTCCCGTCAGGTTGTATGCATGCAATTGCACAGAATGTTGGAAACCGGAAGATCGAAAGACGGCGATTGGCGGAATCAAAGTCCAAATGATCACTAATGTTGTCAACCCACACCAAATGAATCTTGCCAATCGTTTTCAAGGAAACATAATTGAGGCTTGAAACATGAAGGGCCGTCGAGGTGCTGGAACTACTATTGATTGGTTGCCGCCAACGACTGGATGACACTATTGATCGCTGTAGATTTCGGAAGACTGCTGATAATGGTCTGCGGATCATGTCCATTCTTAGTCCTGGTTGAGGAGGGTTCATGTGTCGTTGTTCTACAAGAAGTGTCGGCGGCAGGTCATTGAAGTCAGCCCACTTTACTCGAGGCTCAAGCGTCATCGTTCCCCAGCAAAGTACAGCGAATATAGCGATGGCGCCACATGATTTGCTCAATTTTAAGGGTGATGCTTGTGCGAATCTCGCTTGAGCTGATCCAGCAAACAACATTTCATCCCAGACATCCTCAATGCTGATGCCTTGGTCCTTCAGTGACCTGGCGGCAGACACTACAGCACGAAACCATGACCAGCAGTCCTCGACGACGGCAGTTACTGTGTGATTTTTGGGACCAAGGAGTTCTCGGAAGAAAAGCTACTGCAGGTTGCTTATGCTTTCGAGCAGCTTTCTATGGTCCGTGCTAAGGGTCCTCTGCCTATTTATGTGGCAAAGACTGAGTTGAAGGATGTCCAGTCGACTGGTCAGAAGATTTGAATGATCTCAAAGTGGCGTCAAACATAGCATGAAATCCACGCCCCCCTACTTCTGCGATGTCGTAAGCGCACCTAAGGACTTCAACATGAGACTTCTAAATCAATTGTGCCTAATACTCGAGAATTGTTCTGAATTTCTCTAGGACATTGTCAGCGCGTTTTCTGATGCACTCAAGGAAGTGGACAGTAAAAGGCTACTACGAGTGCACAACCACTTGTTGGATTGACCGCTGTCTTCGCTTACGCTTCCAAGTTCGCTTCAGAAGTCCTCCCGCGACTCCAGAATTGACCTAACCCTCTTCCCTATAATTTCGCTTACCTTATCGGACCCCAGATCGATGGAAAACAAATTTTCTTCTACGTCCCTCCTTTTTATGAGAATCAGTATAGACCGCTCCAGAGTCGAAGCTCCATCAATCCGAATGCCTGCCAAGACCTGACTTGCTCAAGATATCTTGGCATGCTGCATGCATGGGAAGGCGACGAAGAAGAACATGAATTTCTACTGCACTGCAACTTTACAACCCAGTTTCCAATTCAAGCGAAGCTGTGCTCTTCTGCACGATTCTCATTTGATTAAATGTCAAAATTCCTGGATATTTATGCAAATCTGTGAGTTCAAGCATATTTATGTATTATGCAGAGCAACACAAGCCACCTACTTAATTTGCTTTCTGAGCCAGAATCCATGTGATTCCACGTCTTTTGTGCTGTGCTGTACTGTGGCTGACCACATTCCAGCTGTGGCTCACCGGGGGCTCGAAAGTCAATTCACCCCCCCCTTTCTCCATACATACGTCCGTCCGTCCGTCTATCGACTTTCACAAAAGCATAGCATCTCGATATGTTTGTGCAATCTAGGTAAATGCCACTGCATAAACCCCTCTACGAATCGCGTGACGCGATAACATACTAGGTACTCGTAGGTACCATCTCCGCTTCATTTCGGGTATCATCTTGTTGTTAATTTCCCCTGTCTCTTTTCAGCCTTGAGCAGCCTGGAGAGGAAAGGAGGAGAACAATACAGTAGTACTGACAGGGAGGGGCGAACCTTATTATTGTTGCTTCTTCTTTGTTGCAGGCTGGATGGAGGCAGGCCAGACGCGGGTCGAAGCGTCGATCGAGATTCGAGATTCGAGATGCGAGAACCCCGGATTTTTGTTTGATGAAGTAATCTCTTATCGATCGCTGTTTCTCCATACAGTATGGAATCGCAGGCCCGGCCAATGGAAAAATTGGGATGCTGCGACGGCTAGCCATGGCAAACTGTTTTTGGTATCAGAGGAGAGTATGGGGAGGGGAGGGGTAATAATGAAGCGATCAGATGGACATTCGTGGAATGCATTGTTGCGACAGCCGGTTGTATCGCCAACGATCACTCCCTTCCAACAAGTAGGTACTCGTAGCTGTGAAGTGATTTGGATGATTGGACGGGAGCACGTGCAGGATGGCTTCGGAATGGAATGATGCAATTTGTCTTCCGCTGTCAAAACTCCTGCTCGCCCATCGAGACTTGTTTTCTCTCGCCGCAGGTAACCAAGACACAGCCAGCAACTGAATTGGCCAGCCAGACCATCTCAGCGCCGCCATCCATCACAATTGCTTTTGCAGATATCTCCTCATGAGATGGCGCTGAGTACTCCGTAAGTGGCCTCGGTTAAGCCCAGGAACCAGGAAAAACGACAGGGAAATGCGATCAAGTTTAATTCCCTTCTTCGCAATCCGAAGCTGTGATTCGCCGTCATCCACAATGTGGGCAATTAAACTATTGCCCCTTTATGCATAATGTCAGGTACGCGAGGAAGCTTTGGCGCTGCCGCAACTTCGGCAGAATAGGAGAGGCCCGTTCATTGGGCAGTGCGCAACGCCCAGCCGTCAATCCCTCCTACTGTAGTGCATCCAGAACATATCACAGTGGATCGACCAGGTCCTGAGATTGCTGCCAATCTCCCCCTTCTCCCCCGTTGCTGGCGACGACGAGCTCTGTGCGTTGTGGTTGGCTGTGCAATCTGGGATGCTCATGTCCAATCCGGTTAGAGCATGCCGGACGACTTGCAGAGATGGGAAACATGGGGCCGGGCCCGGGCCATTGTGCTCGTCGGTCGTCTAGCTGTGCTATCTGGCTGTGTTTGTCTCGCAAGTGCAGGGCAAATACAGAGCAGAGCAGAGCAGAGCAGAGCAGGCCAGGGCAGGCCAGGGCCAGAGGGACGAGCTTGAGGCTTCTTCACTGCTTTCTTCGCTCCACCACATCTCTCCTCCTCCTCCTGCTCTTGCGTGCTGCATCTTCTTGTTCTCCATCACACTCCTTTGGTTGAGTCTTTACCGCTGTTAACTTACTCTCGTCCTGAATTGCATGCTCACCACAAGTCGCTCATTCTGCACAGGATATGTTTGGATATAGCGCTGGACCTCTTCAATAACACTCGTTCGGAATCCACGCGCGAAAACATCGACGTTTAGGATATTAGTTTGGATAGGAATCGCGACACGAATTGATCACCAAGGCAGAATCTGGCCCCTAACAGATCCATCAACGACATACACGATGAGGCTCTTGGATATTCAGGCCGCAATTGGTACGGCGATACTGTTGCTCTCATCGCCATGCGACGCAAAACCTGGTCATCGCTTGTCGCATTTGGATATTTTGGAGAAGAGACATAGTCACAAGAGGCTACACGCTTCGCCCCGGGCCGAGGGTCACGAAAGCGCTTTGCAGAAGCGTGCGACATGCGCCTTCCCTACCGATGCTGGCTTGGTCGCAGTCACACCAGGCTCGTCAAATGGAGGATGGGCAATGAGTCCGGATCAATCTTGCACTTCGGGCACTTACTGTCCGTATGCGTGCCCACCGGGAGAGGTTATGGCGCAATGGAACCCAAAGGCGACTTCATACACGTACCCATTGTCGATGGTAGGTCCAGAACTTGAATCGGAGGCACGGAATACTGACGGGCATAGGATGGTGGACTGTACTGTGATTCGAACGGCAAAGCCAGCAAGCCGTTTCCCAATAAGCCGTATTGTGTGTCAGGAGCCGGCTCGGTTGGTGTCCAGAACAATGCTGGGAAGGTCGTTTCATTTTGCCAGACTGTCTTGCCTGGAGGCGAGTCGATGCTTATTCCTACCAAGGTCGATAGCTGGGCAGGTATCGCAGTTCCAGATCCAAGCTACTGGTGCAGCACTGCAGCACAGTAAGTCTTCGGAATCAAGCCTCCAAACTTCGCTAATGGGAATAGTTACTATATAAATGCTCCCGGCATTGATACAGACGATGCTTGCATCTGGGGAGACGGATCCAAGCCACTTGGGAACTGGTCACCATATGTTGCAGGTACTAACCAGGACGCATCTGGAAACACCTTCCTTAAGCTCGGATGGAACCCAAAGTTCACTGATTCCGACGCAACTTTTACCAAATCCAAGCCAACCTTTGGTATCAAGGTCGTCTGCTCAGGCTCTGGCTGTAACGGCACACCATGCTCGATCGACCCATCAAAGAACGGCATTGGCGGTGTCACGAGCGCTGATCAGGCCTCTGGAGCAGGAGGAGCCAACTTTTGCGTCGTGACGATCCCAGAAGGAGAGACTGCCAACATCGTTGTTTTCAACACCGGTTCTAGCGGTTCCGGTGCATCTGACCTTCTCGGGGACTCTGCTGCAAAGGCATCTTCGTCAAGCGAAACTCCTACTCCTACACCGACTCCGACACCCACGCCAACTCCAACACCCACTCCAACACCAACACCGACTTCGACAACTTCTACGAGCTCGTCGGAGTCTACTTCAGAGTCTTCAACCTCATCTTCATACACGAGTTCTAGCTCGTTCAGCGAAACCTCAACTTCTTCATCTTCTGCCAACAAGACCTCAGCTTACCCGACAGCCGACAACTCGCCCCACGTGCTCTTCGAAGAGAAGAACACAACAACCACTTCTACCAGTGGCTACCCTTCTACCGGAAGCGGCACTGGAACTGCTCTATCAGGAACAACAGCAGTTGAAAGTCCTATCGCAAGCGCAACCAAGAAGTCCGGCGCACCAGAAACGATCGTCACCTCAAGCAGTCTGTTCAGCCTGGTAGTCATGTTCGCCGTTGCTGGCTACATGCTCTAAACAGCGACGCCTCCTGAATCCGCGGGCTCTAGTCCCGCAGCAAGAGCGCGCTCAAAAGTTACATTCTACCCTGTTCAAATCTCACGCGGTCGAGCACCGCCAAAATCCCAGTTTCAAATCATGACTGGCTCGCCTTCTTCGACATGCCATCGTACTTTATTGAATGGCTTCTGCTTTACATATACTTTCTAATGCGTCTGGATATACGTAATACGCCTTGTTCGCTCGCTTGCGTCGATTGCCGTCGTTCAGCACTCTTACTACGTTCCTCGATCAACTCCGCGCATCTATCACGTACGCCATCTCTTGTCCGTCTTCGTCAACTTCCTCTACAGGTCCATGTCCAAGTCCAATCCAAGTCAATCAGTCAACGCCAGCCATCGTTTTACAATCTATTCTTTATCCTGCACATATCGTTACCGCACCACATACTGTCTTCTTGTCCAATCAATCTCTCGCTGCGAGTTTATCAGCAGAGAGCAGGCAGGGCAGGACAACAGCTGGGATGTGTATCTTTTCACTACAATTTTTGTTTAGTTGAAAACACCATGAACGATTTTGTTGCTACATATTTTGGTTTTTGTTGTTGTCGCGTTCTATACCCCTTTCTGCAGTTTTATGTTTTTGGGTGCTTTGTTGGTTGATGAGGTGTCTTAAGACATCTGATGGATTGTTGTTTATGTACTTGGTGGATACCCCTTCCCCTGTCTTTTGTTATATAGGTGGATATCTTCTTGTTGGTGGAGTGGTTGAGTTTTGACTGTTGCTTGGAAATGAAATTCCACTTGGATATGGATTTGGATACCTCATTGGACAGGCTATTGGAGATGTAAATGTGGATGGATGGCACGTGGATAAGACAATGAGGCGGCGAGTGGTACAGCAAGGTAAACAACAAAATACTGGGTTCACTTGAGCCGCTTTCTTTACGAAGTTCATGTGGGGTTGGTTGGAATGTTGGGTGACGGGTTGATGTATATTTGGTCTTATGAACATATTGTTTCTTTGGACCTGCACTGTCTTGTATCGTCTCGTTCCTTTTGTCTCGCGTGATGCTTGGAATTGGCTGTGAGTGTATGTCCTGGTGAAGGCAGTGGATGGAAAGTAGCGGAGCATGGATGGAAGGTTAGGTGCTGGAGATCGGGGTAGCATGAGTGTGATGAGGGAGGTCTGGAACATTGAAGGATGTATTAAAAGTCTGTTCAGTCAGGATATGAAATGATCCTTCAAGATTTACCAATCTCGAGCTGTTTTTTGGTATGGTGGGGTTCCTGGATGTAAAAGCCAATGATATTTGGTGCCTGCTCTTTATACTTCTTGGAAGACTCCTTCATAGTGTGTACTAGCCATACAGATAAACATCATATCCAAATAACAAATAATCCAATCCAACATAATCCACATGTCGTCCCGGCCAGGTCAGCGCCAGACCATCGACCATCCTCTCGCTTCCACTCATGCACGTAATCACGTGTACAGTAAAGCTCGAGCCGCTCTCTGCCCGTGCGCATCCAGCTCCTCCAACGCGTCCACCGCCGACTTCCATCTCAACACCACCTCTCTCCAACCGGACCTTTCGCTCCCAGAGCCACCTCCAGACGTCCGTCCGGTCGGGTAGGTACCATCGCCAGTATGGCTCAATCCTCATCTGGCGCCTCTGGACCCCCTCCAGGAAACCCCGGAGCCTCAAACTCAAACTCAAACTCAAACTCAAACTCAACCTCACATCCCATGATCACGACACCTACACCCTCAACCACATCCACATCCACATCCACATCCGCATCATCCGCCTCCCGCTCTGTTTCTGCTTCTGCTTCAGCATCACGTTCCCTCCTCCCTTCCCTCCCCGCCTCGTCTCTTCCCCCTAATTCCCCCTCCATCTCCCTCTCCCACCCCTCTCCCCACAGCAACAACACCACCACCACCCGCTCCATCACGGTCTCCACGGCTCTAGGCCCAACATCCAACTGTGCCGAGTACGAGCGGCTGGTCGGCAAGATCATGCGGGATAACTTCTGGGACCTGGATCCGTTTACGGTGGGCTTGAACCCGGGGCTGCTGAATTTCGAGAAGCCGTTTATTAGGAGTAAGGCGCCGCATATTAGGGGGAAGATGAGGTTGTTGGAGAGGATTTTGGGGAGGATGGTTGATGTGAGTATGATTTGCTTTGCTTTGCTTGGGGTTGGGATGGGTGATTTCTTTTGTCGAGTGCGTGGTCCTGGGAGTTGAGCGCTGGTTCGTTCTGTGTTGTGTTGTGTTGTGTTGTGTGGGTACGGCTTTTTGTGATTGGTTCCTCGAGTTGAGAGATGGGATTTGTAGTTACTGTTGAGCTTTTTATGGCTTGGGATTGATTTCTGTGCTTGCTTGTTTGTGAGGTGGCGCCTTGAGGTTGAAAATAAACTGACATACGGCTCCTAGGATGAACACCTACTTTTGGTCTGCACAGAACCAAATATGTATAGACCGCACCCAAATCGGTCTACGATTGACTATCTGGTGATTGGTGATGATCCACCTTGGATTCCTCATTTCTTCAATGGCTCTGTGGCGTTTCCTCATGTTGAAGAAGCTATGAAGAGTATTGAGCGATTTCTTGATAGTGACAATGGTTCGCAACGTAAGTTCTCTCCCTACTCTTGATTCTTGCTATCCGCTCTTTCCTCAATATACATGGAAGGAAGTGCTTCACGCCCTGATTGAGAAAGCTGACCTTCACAGCTCCATCTCGAGTCCCTACAGTTGGCGTTTCTCGCGCTTCTTCCTCTGCTATCAACAGATTCAAGAATGAGGAGTTACCTTCATGTGAGGAGTATATCGATTTTGTCCATGCTGTCGTTCAATCTATCAGTGGCCCCGAGTCTAATGGAACGATACGTGAGGACCACTTTTTCCCAAGCATGGCAGTCACACCGGTGGCTGAGGTTCGGAAGCGAGCTAACCTGGTTATGCGACTGATGGGGCGCATGGTGGAGGTATAGATTCATCTCTAAATTGACTGAGAGTATTCACTGAAAAGTTTAGGACGATGTTCTGACCAGAGTCTCAGCGGAAGAGGGAACTTATGTCTTGCATCCCGATTGCCGTCCCAAGGACTACATGTCAGATCGAGGCTTGACTGACATTTCCCATTGGGTTTGGACTTTCAAGACTTGGGCTGTACTTGACCAGGTTGCGGAGAAGGCGGTAATGAATTTGGAGAAGTTCTTGAAAGATCTCAGCCCTGCTGGTAAGCATAATAACAACCAGTGAATGAGCAATACTAATCAATCACCTCAGAGAGATCAAGAGTCAAGGTCGAGGTAGGAAGGATAAATTGATTTTGGGTAGCTTTCGTTAACTCTTTCCAGCGAGAAGATACACCTCCTCCTTCAAAGCTTGAGCCAAAGTTCGAGATGAAGCAAGATGATGATGATGTCGTCATTGTCAAGGTATGTAGCCCATGAAAGACGTTTTGCAGGAATAGCTAACATGCGTCTAAGCAAGAGAAAGCAGCATCGTCTTCTACCAAAAGACAGGCACCGAAGCCACAAACAAAGCCCAAAAGGCAGAAGCATAAACGAAGCGACCGAGAAGTAAGTTCCAGTTCTAGCGGATCAGACCAGTCGGAAATAATATCCATTCTCACATTTCCGAAAAGTCCGCCTCCTCGTGAGAGGTCTACTCCACAGCAAATTGAGCCACCGGATACTGTGATGCCATCTATTGAGGCCATTGACGAGAATTCTACATCTGCAATTGAAGGTCGTGAGAAACAGGTATGGTATTATTGAGTGGCATCCCTTGCTTAACTAACAAAAAATAGGCGTTCACGGATTATTTCCAAACGACTCAGCCACAAAATCAACAACTTTCGACGATGTCACCTTTCGAATTCGACAAACTCCATTTGAGGTACCCTGATGATGCCTTTGAAGTAGTCATCGAGAAGTTTGTACTGGGCAAGACCTTTCAAATCATCTGCCATGATTGTGGAGGGCGGAGAATTGCTACAAAATTCCAAGGCTCAATCGCGAAACTGCAGATACACCTGAATTCAGAATCGCATGTATCGAACGTCATGTCAAAGCTAGGTCAGATGGGAGAAGTGCCAATAGAGACATTAGAGACCAAGAAGAGAACGGAAGTTCTCAAACGAATTGCAAGTCAACGACGTCAAACACACAAGAGATCTACACAGCACTCGACATCTGGCACTAAATCTGTGAGTGTGGACCAGCGTGTGCGCAGTCCTGCCAGAGGTTCAACTTCCCCTAGATCGATGGAAGGCCGACACGCCATGTACGAGCTTCCCTCGAAAACTGTCAAGTACAAGCCATCACAACTCAAGGCCGCAGACGTTCTGGCAGATCGGAGTAGCTCTTCTGACCATGAATCAATTCCACAGCACGTTCAAACCAGTCCTTCGCATCCCAATCCGCCTTCTAAACATTCCCTACACTCCTCTGATGACTTGTTCAGGAACGAAATATCCAAGAGATTTGAGGCTCTGGAAGAGAGCAACAGAAAAAAGAAGATGAAGCTTGTTCACTACGGGATGCTGCTTGGAGAAACAAATAACAAGTATGGAGAAATCGAGAAGGAAATCTCTGGCCTCAAAACACGTGAAGATCAGCATGTTATCGATATTCAGTCCATGCGCGAACTCTTGATTTCTGGCATTGATAATCTGTCCCAAATAGTAGCCCGCTCACAAGACGTTCCCAATGAAACTTTGGAGAACCTTGAGGCACTATTAGCCAGAGATGAACAGCACGAATCTCGCTGGGAGGAACTGGAGAATTTCCGCGCCGACATTGCGAGACTTCTTGAGACCGTGGAGGAGAAACAAGCTGGGTTAACAGACCAGCTAAGCGGTCTTATGAATCAACGCTGTTTGACGGAAGCTAGCACAGTTATCACCAACATCAATGCGCGGATCCAGGAGCTGGAATCGTCCAAGTTCCAATTGCTTGAATCTCAGAATGAGTTGGAACAGGATAATCGAGTCATAGCAGTTAGAGTTGGACTCCTAGAGCATCGCGAAGAATCTCCAGACGGGGCCAATCAGGTCATCACATATATGTCCGACCGCATCGAGACTTTAGAGACTGCTCGGAGCCAGATCTTAGCAGCCAACGAGAATTTTGCGGAAACCTTGAAGAAGCTCAAAGAAAGGGTTGAAGTTACTGAGGAGAACAACCTGAGCACCACAACGATGGTAGAGTCAGTACGCGAGTTCATCGGCCCACTTAACGAATCCATCGACCTCCTCAATGAGCGTTTCTCGGCTCAAGACAAGCATATTGAAAATCTCACGAGGAAGGCCAAGAAATTCGACGAGTGGGTCAAATACTTCTCAGAGGTCGTTGAGATACAGAAAGTTTGTATTGAGGATCTGCAGAATAAGCAGGTCAGCGAAGCGAAATCGAGGAGATCTTTTGAGCAACGCCTGGAGGAGTTACTGGATGAGAGTAAAGAGCGGGAGGAGAAGATGGCGGAGCGTCTGAAAGCCTTGGAGAAGAAGGAGGAAAGAAATGCTGCGCAAATAGCTCTGCTCAAGACCTATTCTACCCCAAGAAGTGGAGTCATGAGCGACAATGAACGCGGAGGATCAAGCACACCGAAAAGCTCCTCACAGGTCGGTGTTGCCAGTTCCGCCTCACGGACTTCACAACTTGCTACTGGTGGGACCACGACACCGATTAGACCACCTTCGCGAATCAGCATGCCGACGAGCATAAGCAGACATCCTTCAACATCGACTACTTCCTCGACAGCAGCATTGATCAGATCTTCCGCACAGAATAGCAACGCTTCGACGCCAATTAGACCTCCTCCATCTTCGCAAACAGACACGATTGTCCCGGGTAAATATGGTCCGTCGAGGACTAAGCAGCCTGCAGCTCCGTCTAATCACTCCCAGCTTCCGAGTAGCTCGCAACCTCCCAAGGGTTCGCAGCCTCCAAAGCCCACGCAGCCGCTTGTTCCAAACAGAAAACCACGAAAGTTCTAGAGTCGAGTTGAAAAGTGGTTTACTTCATTTCTTGCACATTGTAGAGACAATGGTGTCTATAAGCGACGAATTTTATAACAGCGTGGCGTCTGGGCCAAATCAGACTGTGTATTGATTGCATGAGGCGCACTGGGTGTCTGGCGTTTCTGATTCCTGAGCGTTGCATCAAGTTGACAATATGACTTGGGTCCGGCTCTGTATGGGGAAGCATGGGATGTATGGGCCGGTACGGCAATCTAGTATTCAAACTGGATTGGCTTGGTACGAATTAATTGTAGAATATATCGAGGCACGAGGACTGGCTGAGGTCTTGGTGATGCCACTACATACATAGATGAGAGGGAAAGGGTTTTGGAACACTGACTCAACGGTACATTCGCACGATCAACAATTTTTCCATTCAAGAAGTCACAAGAGATACCATAGATACTTCAAAGAGTAAAGTAAAGCTATATCAAATTGAAATTGGACTCCTTTTCAAGTCTGTAAATTCAGGGTTTCATGTAGGTAGTGAGCTGGTGGGGACATATTGCGAACTGCGCACAGACCCATTGTTTACACGAACACGCGCTTCGCGTCAACAGCTGATCTGACTTTATAATCTTCCCCTCCATCTCTCTCCAATTCCACCATACCAATTCACGCCCACACCACACCACACCAATCCAATTCGATTTACACCAATCCAATCCAACAATGCCCCCTCCACAAAACCACCAATAATGCCCCCAAGTCCAACCCAAACCCACCTCACCCAATCCCAAATATCCAAGTTCATCACATCGCATATCCGCTCCCTGAACCTCCTTCCGCACGAGACGGTCGAGGGAAAGGAATTGATTGGGGTTTGTTTGGAGGGTCTTTCGGGATTTGAGAAAGAGGAGGAATTTGTTGGAGAAGAAGAGGGAGCGGGAGGGAAGGGATTGGGAGGGAAGGGATTGGGAGGGAAGGGATTGATAGGGAAGGGATTGATAGGGAAGGGATTTGGAGAAAGATATAAAGCGGATAGAGAGAGGATCGTGCGGGGGATTAGGTGTATGAAGATTGCGGGGGTGCTTAGGATGTTTAGATTTGGGGATGGGGAGGGGGAGGGGAGGGTGGTGGGGTTTAGGTTGAGTGATAAGCGGCAGAGTGGGAACAATGAGGAGGAGGGGAAGGGTGAGGAAGAGGTGCTGAGGATGGAGGAGGTTGGTTTGGGGGAGGGGGTGGATGGTTATGTGGTGGATGGGGAGAATAATGAAGGGAGAGGGCAGGACGTGGAGGGGGGAGGGGATGAGGATGAGGATGAGAGTTATAGACCGCTAGAAGAGGAGACGCAAGAGGATGAGACGCAAGAAGTGGATACGCAAGAAGAGGTGGAGATATATGCGCATGAGGACGTGGATGAGAGTTATAGACCACAAGAAGAGGAGACGCAGGAAGAGGAAACGCAAGAAGAACAGACGCGAGAAGAGCAGACGCAGGAAGAAGAAGGTGCCCCGAGGGCAAGGAACACCGCAAGTCACGAATGCCTAGAAGACATTGGAGCAGAGGCGACTGCTGAGAGGTCCCAACTGTCCGAAGTGCCGTCTCTTGAATTGCACAGAACCAGCGAGCAGGAGTCAATTGATCACGCAAATCAAATTCGTATGCATTTCCTCTCTAAAGGCATGTTATCTCAACTAATCTCTTCTTACAGGCCGACATAAAGAAGCATATAACGCCATGGCAGCCAATGCTGTACCTCTCATCTCTCCTCCCTCCGAACAACCCTCCATGCAAACCCCATCACGAAAGAGAGCCCGCCCTTTCGAAGTAGCAGCCAGTGATGATAGCAGCAGTTTCGATCCCATCAGTCCCCAGAGATATGCGAACTCCACACCAAGACGTAGCGCAAAGAGAATGCGTGCTGGCACATCATTGAGCGGGTCTCGACGAACAAGTGCGCCCGGAAGACTATTTGCTTCGACTCGGAAGTGTGGAAGCCTGTCTGGCTTCGAGAATCTGAAGTTAAGTGGGAGTCATGGTAAAAGCTTCGGGGCGTTTGGACTCAATGGCACGGCGAATATTTGCTTAAAGGAGGAGAAGAAGAAGGATAATTCTAGTGTGGAAGTTCGTGAGATTGTCCGGGATCTTCGCGACAAGTACCCTGACAGCAAATTCGACACAGATAATGGGATGATAAAATGCCTTGACTGTGATCGGTCGCTAAAACCTACATTCCATGGTGTGGAGACTCATGTAAGGGGTAAAGCACACCAGAACAATATCAAAGAGAAGATCTCAAATCCAGTGTCGAAGCAGATGGCTTTCAAGGACACTACTTTGTTTCCACCGAAAGCAATGGATCTGGGAATTGATTTCAATATCCCTCAGCAGCCGCTGGCGGTTTATGCTCAGAGAGCAGCTCAAAACTTGGCAGCTACGAGAGCCCAGTATCTGAGTGCTCTGGAAAACGAGAATCATGCGGGCTCGATACGGATGTCGGTTTTAGAGTCACGGCAAGAGAAGGCTGAAAAGCAGAATACTGCAAATATGGAGAAGTTGAAGTCTAGTGTCGTTACATCTGAGGAGAAAGTCAAGACTCTATCACAAGATGTGACAGAGAAGTTGGGGGCCTCTGAACAGAGGACGAGGACTCAATTACTGGAAGTTAAGAAGCGACTTGAATCTGTTGAAGAGAAAAACGATGGCCAGTTGAAGAGTATAGAGGCTCGTATCGAGAAGACTGCAGAGGATTGCGAGTTTAGAATCGACAAGCTTTTCACGTCCGTGGCTAAGTCAGACCACCGCAATATTGACAATATTGACGATCTGAAGGCAAATCTGCGGAAACTGGATGAGGGCACTGAAGAGCAATTGTCTGAGCTGCGGGCCAAGATCATGGATTTGGAAGGGATGAATTCAGCATCGCAGCGTGATGATCTCGAGGCCAGCATCAGAGAACTAGAGAACTCCGACCTAGAATCCAGAAGCATCCATGCAAAGATGGAGAGTCGACTTAACGATATCGAGCACAGCATCCGAGAAACAGAAAATCATGTATTCGCAGTCGAAGCCCGACTAAGCGACCTACAAATCTCCCACGAGCAAGTCAAAATCACCCATTCCGAACTCCAGGTCCGCATCGAAGAACTCGAAGGAGCGAATGCACATAAGGAGGAAGCCATACATGACCTGGAAGCCAACCTGCAAATGCTCACTGAAGATCTCCAGAGGCAGAGAGATGGCAATCTTCATTACCAGAAGACAATCAAGGATCAGGTTGAAGCGCATTTCCTGTTCATGGAGATATCGAACCGGGATGCAGCGAAAGCAACTGCTAAACGTGAAGAAGAGACGAAAGAGCGGGAACGTGTGATGGAAGAGAGGATGATGAATATATTTGAGAGGAGGCTAGAGAGGATAGAGAGGAAGAATGAGGAGGAGAGAGAAGCTAGCAACAAGAAGATTCAGAGGTTGAGGGAGAAGAATAGGGAGTTGCAGGGCGAACTGGGTGAGTTGCAAGCGAGGGTTGTGCCGCTGATCTTTGAGGATGCGCAGGATATGAAGGAGAAGCTTATTGGTGTTGAGGAGAAGGTTGAGGCGTTGGAGGGGTTGGCTGTCAAGATGAAGATGGGTGGGCGGGTCTTGGAGCCGAGGGGGAGAGTGGGGAGTGAGGGTGTGGAGAGGAGGGAGGTGACTGTTTGATGGATGGCTTTATTTTTCTGGATTTGTTTGGTTTGACTGGGTTAGGCTTGGCTTTTGTTTTTGGATACCCTTTTTGAATAATTAGGAGTTGGGGACTATGGCGTAGCCGTGGATGGCTACTGGCCAATTCTTCGATGCCTTTTGGATATCTGGTATCTTCTATCTTCAGGATAGACTGTACAAAGAAACAGGTGTCAATTATTGATATCATGTATCTTAGAATTTTGCCGCTTTGCAGCGTTTGGTACAGATCGTTCGATATAGGAATATTGACATGAGCAACTTCTATTTCCGTCTTTGGACCTGAGCCATCGCTGCGTGAGCTAGGCTGAATGAGCAAGAGGTGAGCCGTGGTAACAAATTAGGGGGCAGAAGTCTATGCGTTCAGGGCATTTTTTCCTTTTTAAAAATTTGAACTTATCTAAATATTATTGTAATATTCTCGCAAGACTTCTTCATGGGAAAGGCTAAGAATATTGATTTCCAATAAGATAATAGTTATGACAGCGAATTTCTCGGAAGCCGAGCTGATCATACCAGTACAGCCTCGATGAAAGAGAAGAGTGAGTTAAGAGGTCTCACGGATTTTTGAATCTTCAACCTCGAATCCACCAAAGCAAAAAGTCTCTCAAATTCAAGAACGCTTCGTTCCCCACCCCCCGAAAGTGTGAAAACAAGAAGGTCCAAACTACGCAGCATTTTCTCTTTGTGAATTGGCATCGTATCCACATCATCCGGTAACACTCGATTCATAATCCAAAGCTTGGTTCCAAACTTTTCCATGGCTGGAATTAGAGGTCTCAAGATACTCACACAATCAGCGTCACGCCAATCTTGCAACACTCGAATCAAGAGATATACGGCAGGCTGTCCGTATTTAGGTCGCTCAGGCTGTAATGAAAAGAAATCATGAGCCTGGAAGTGCACCCGCTCGTCCAGTCCATGAGCCAATGTCAGTCGTTGGGCAGCCTCCTGGTTTGATGGCTGATCCTGGATCTCAAATAATACTTTAGGTAAGAATGGCGCAATTTCAGCTTCAATGTGACCGTTGCCACCACCAATATCCACGACCACGGCGCCCTCGCTCAAGGACTCCCAATCAAACCCACGGAGAAAGGGTAAGCTTGAACCACCGGAATGTAAAGAAAACAGATCGACCATTCCTTGACTGAACACTTCCATCCCTTTCCCCTCTACGTCGTCTTCGAGTTGCTCGTAGCAGCTTCTACCCTTTCTTTTCGGATCCGCTAAAGCACATGGCATCACTGGCGTTCCATTCAATACTTCGGTACATAGCGCAGTTGCAATATCATAGCAGCCCTGATTGAACAGTTTGCTCAATCTCAGTCCAACCCATGCTCTTGAGTTCGGCAACTCGGCACTGAGTGCAGTATGGTATATCATTCCGCCGTCACCTTGTCTGAAGAGACCCATCAGGTACGCAAACCGGAGTTGTTTCTCGAAAGCGGGCATGTTCTTCACGCCAACCTTCCGAGCTACCTCGCAAACCGAGCTTCCCGTATCCAGAGGCACTACGGCAGCAACGTTCAGGGTATCCATGGTACGCAGTACTTCGATCTCTGTCACACGGGGTCCGGCATATGCTGCCAGAATATCAGATGGCCCCAGTACGAAATTGAGAAGAGTTTGCGATGTGTCGATAAGTTTTGATCGAGCTGCCAGGATAGATGGTTGACATTGGGAATCTACCCAGTCACTTCGGCCACCAGGAGAGAATGTTGGTTGCGGTAAGTTGTGTTGATCAAGCAGCGCTTGGAGAGTGTTTGCCGACTCTTGAATAGAGCTAGCAAGGCTTCTCAGACTGACACCCTCAACTAAGTCCATGACGAGGACGATAATTCTGCTTTGGAGAAGTGTGAGAATAGAGGAGAGGTAGAATCGAACCACTTGCTCAAGACAAATGGACAAAACATCAGCTGTAAAGTTCATACGATCCCTTCTGCCTCGATCCGACAGACGTTTGTGAGGACTTCACGTAATACCCGGCACTGTCGCAGCTGATCCAATAATATTCACGAGTCTTATCTTGATGAATATACGCGCCGGTCTTGAGCTTAGGAAAGAACAACGAAACAGGATCGAGATGCGTGCAATCCTCCCCAAGAAATACCAAGTCCCGTTCCCCGCGGCTGACCTTGATCTGAAGCGGTGGCGTGGATGCTATCACCTGCGGCATATAACCAAAGAGGGCTGGATCATCTTTCTTGGGAACTGGGACTGCTTTTGACAATGGTTAGATGCTGAAAATACCGGTCTGTTGATGGCGTGATGTGTGTTGACCCATGAAAGTAGCAGGCAGGTTCCTCTGGTTGCCCGACCAACGTTCCAGTCTGCCTGCCAGTGCACGTGCCATCTTGTTTATTTTCAACCGAGACTCGCCGTAAGAGTCCCGACTTTATTATTTAAGAGTTGTCTTTGAACATCAAGTGGTATAACAAGTCCACATCAGAAGTGATTTTGCTATTATCAGTCGTATGATTATCCAGAAAGGGGCGTGTGTGATGTTAATTCTCACAAGGCAAGGGGCCGTGAACATCAAAGGGCCTGTTCCGTAAACCACGTCGCTCTCACGCAATAGCTTCTCAAAGAGGCCGCCTGCTTCAATAATGCCCTGCATGTTATTAGTCTTGTGTTTCTTTATAAGGAAGAAGACAAGAAACAAAGATCAGGCTGAATTCACTCGTTCTATTTGAGGCTTTGTATCATACGATCTGTGCATTGCTAACAATTTGGCAGCTTGGCGAATTCATGCTCTCATAGCAAAAACCACACACATCATCACCAGATTAGCTCTGAGTGGGGGATAATCTGAAATTATACTATATTACTTTTTATTGCACCAGTCTTTTGCCTGAGCATAGTTTTCCAAGACTTTGGCAGTGCTTCCTATTCAAGTTTTCTTTTGCCTTCCATACCTCGGCTTTATCTGCCACGTCTGTGGAGATCTTACTTCTGATGTATAGCGTCTGTTCCACAAGTTCAAAGACTAGAACAACGTCACAGACAAGCATCTTTCTTTCCCCAATTTCAAGGAACTGCTCTGGACAGCCCTCGGAAAGATATAACATGGCGCCATTTTTATCCTCTGATGATGGCAGATCTGTGGCTTCTCTTCGCACAATCAACTTTGCCGCACTTGAGGACGGTGATCGGAGCGAAGTTGATAAGTTGTTGGCAGCCAGTGTTGAATACGGCTTCTTCTATTTAGATTTTGCTAAAAGCACAGTCGCAAGCTTGCCTACGGGGAAAGAAAAGCTCTTTCGTCTCATGGAAAATTATTTCTGCCAACCCATTGACGCGAAGATGCTTGATAGCCAAGGAAAACCAACTCGAGGGTACGTTTTCTCACATGTAACTTGGGAGGAGAGCAAAAGTTTACGTTGGAAATGAAGTTATGTCTCTGGAGGTACATTCTCCGCAATTGATAGAGCGAAACCAAACGAGTCATTTGAACATCTAGCTGTAAGCTTTTTTAAACCCCTATTGGCCCTGTCTAACTTTGAGTAAGATTGGCAGCTACGAATTGAGGCAGGATATATCCAAGACGCTTCCTCTCCAATTTCAAAAGAACTGCAGCCTCACCTCTTATTACATCAGCACCTGTGAATACATTGTCGATGTCCTTCTTCATCGCTTGTCCGATGTGTTGGACTTGAAGGGCGACTTGAACTTGGCCCAGGACCACTGTCATGACAAACCGTCAGACACCATCCTTGCTTTGCTCAGCTACCCTGGACAGCTGACGCATCAGAAGCACACTGATCTCGGATCTCTCACAGTTCTTTTTAGTGATCAATGGGGACTGCAGGTCATTGCCCCACAGACCAGTCAGTGGGAATGGGTCGAACCACGGGTAAACCATGCTGTTATTAACATCGGAGATACACTTCGCTTCTTGTCAGGCAAAAAGCTTTACTCTTGTGTTCATCGGGTGACTAGAGAGGGTCGGGCAGGTGAAGAAGGTCATCGATACTCGATCGCATATCTCCTTCGTCCAAACGATACGACGGAATTCAGCGATGCCGACGACGCACATACCACAGCAAAAGAGTTTGTTAGCACAAAGTACAGTGCGTACTGTGCTACTTATGCCGAGCAGGAAAAGAATGCCGTTCTGACGGGAGGAATGGAGCAGGTACTAGGAGTTCATGGCTGAATAATTGTTGATTTCGATCAGGCAGTGTACCGGTGGTAGGATGGATTATGTTCGTCATGGGTCACATTGCTTTCTCAGTCGCAAAATTGCAACGAGACAATTCCGTACATCAATGGGTTTTCTTTAATCATTTAATTTTAATCTCCATACATTACCAGAGAAGTCTACTTTGAAAATATATTAGCTGCGACTGGAAAGATGTCTACAGGGGCAGCGTTGCGAGAACTTCTATCCTGCACTACTTGGATAATGCGGTAGTTAGGAAGTCGATTGGGATATGCTGTGTTTTCTGCTGTTACTTTGCCAAGAGGCCCTCAACACTCGTAGCAATTGATGGATACCGTTGAAGTCGTTACAAGAAAAAGAGAAAGGAAAGTCGTCGGGATGCGAGTCTCGTCTCCGAATATGAAATCAAGTCACCTCGTCTCACCATGCCGCGAAACCAATCATTGGACATAATTATCGGATGGAACGACCAAAAGAAGACGAAGATCTGCAGATTCAAGAATCATGGTGTAAACAACGTACGAGTAAACTGCAGGCCAAGGGGGAGGATGCAGATGACAGCTGAACAGGCATGTTCTATGGCCTGGATAGCTTACTGGCTAGCAGCCGAGAAGGTCGTCATCCCACCACCCAGCCACCTCCTTGGATCATTAGTCTCGTTGAGATTAATTACCATCACAATTACAATTTCACGATTATAACCAGCCCAGTAAGCCGCTTGAAGAGCATATTTCACATCTATTAAGCTCATTTGCAGGGAAAAAAAAATCACGACCAGAAATGAATTCACATGTCACACCACCAGTTGTCTTATCAGATTTGCCCAGCAAAGGCGGAGAATCAAACGACACAACAGCCGTTATTTCATCAGAACGAGAAAATCTTGCGGGTGATCAAGTATTAGAAGCAATCCCCGATGGCGGGTATGGCTGGCTAGTTCTCGCCGCTTGTTTCATCCATACATTCTGGCTAAATGCTGTAAGTTGTACTCGTAGACACTTGATATTTTTAATGTGAAATTTCAATTCAGTTCTGCTCTTGTTCATATTCCTCTTCTCGGGAATGCTCCCACATATTGGTACATGCTAATTGCTTCGATACCCAGTGGACCGGATCATGGGGCATTCTTCAGGTTGCACTTCTGAAGACAACATTGAAGGGATCTTCGTCAAGCACTGTGTCATTCATCGGTTCTCTTGGCCTCGGAATGTCAGTCGGCCTCAGTATCGTCGCCATTCCAATCGCGAGAAAGATTGGAGCCCGCTTGACAAGCCTGATCGGGATCATCGTTTACGGTACTGGGCTTGTTGCAAGTGGATTTGCCGTTCACAGTGTAGGCGGTATGTTCGTGGCTTGTGGAGTTTCATACGGGCTCAGCATTGCGTTGTTATACACCATGACAAACAGTCTCCCTGTCCAATGGTTCCACAAGAGACTTGGGGCTGCCAACGGAATTGTGAAGCTGGGGGGAGGCATCGGAGCTACAGTTATGGCTCTTATCACAGGGGTTCTGGTCGAAAAGCTCGGTGTGGTATGGACCTTCCGCATCATGGGACTGCTGTCTCTTGTTACCGGTGTGCCAGCAGCTTTTCTTATCCGAGAACGACATCCAGCCGGCGGTAGCTTTATCATCGATTGGTCTATGTTCAAAGATGCTTCGTTCTGTTATTTACTCGCCTCTGGAGCAATTGGAGTGTTCGCGGTGTATGTGCCATCCTTTTTCCTACCATACGTAGGCAACTCCATTGGCCTTTCGCATTCCACTGTGTCAGGTGTTGTTGCTTGCTTCAATGCTTCGATGGCGATCGGACGTCTTGGGTCGGGGTATGCCTGCGACAGATTTGGGGCACTCAACATGATGCTCTTGACAATGGCGTTCAATGCAATCACCTTCTTTGCTATATGGTCCTTCTCTTCAACGCTAGCTATTTTACTTGTCTTTTCTGTTTTGAACGGCATAGCCAATGGCGCATTTTTCGTAACGCTACCAACAGCCATTGCGAGACATGTTGGATCTAGTAGAGCATCTGCAGCGATCAGTGTTACTATTACAGTATGGGCACCAGGTTTGCTGCTCGGAAATCCAATCGCTGGGTTCCTCATTGATGCTACAGGGGCCGACAAAGGTACCTCGATTTCGCTGTACAGACCTGCCATATTTTATGCTGGAGGGGCTGCACTGATTTCGACAGCTTTGGTAGTTGTCGTGCGATGGAGGGTGTGCAGTGACGTTACAAAAAAGTTGTGATAACAAATACTTTCAAGTTGAAGTATTCGCTCAAGGGCTGTTCATCCGGACCTGGCATGGTGGGATATTTTCGGTAGCAGGTATGATTGAACATATCAACCCTCAAGCTGTCCAAAGCCTACCCAAATCCGAGTATTTCAAAATTAAAGCAGGCATATCAGCCAGAAGGCTTAGCTTGTTATTATTAAAAAGTGTGGTATTGAAGTTCTCGACCGGCGTAATATTGACCTATCGGGTGTGAGAACCTATCGGTTCCGACTTCCTTACTACGGGGAACTCCTTTCGGATTCCCTCTTATAGAGTAGGTGCCTATCGATTCCAAGCGTTACCAAGAGCAGGGGTTGACTTGAGCCGTAGTGAAGGATTTATTGTGTTGTGATAATACGTTGCACAAATGAATTTCTTTATTCCGTTTACAAAGCGTCCATCAGCTACTCGAGTCCTGATATCTCTGTTTCCGTGCCTCTACCGTGCTTGAAAACTGCCAACTTATATCCAAGCTGTTGTTGTTTTCCCTGCATGGTCCAGCCCCCAAACCCAACTCCACAGGATCTTCACTCACGTCAGCACTACACTCGTACCTCATATTCGAAAAATAACATATCAATGCTACATGCTTTACTGATCGGTTTCTGATACCAGATCAGGTTCAGCTCTTGGTGTGGGACCTGCAGGTGAGGGAGGTAGCATCCAAGATAGGCTCTTTGCATGGTACTGCATTGGCGCTGTGGTCGTTTCTTAAAACTAGTTTCTTCCCACTTCAAGCTCATCCCTTCCCCTCCCAAAAAAAGTCGATGTTTGAGAATCAGGCTTGTTGGATATTACTGAAGAGAGGGCATAATAATTTCAAGACTGTTAACTACTTATCTTGAATGAAGTCAGCAAGGACGGGTTTTCTATTTTCTGAACATTGGATATATGTTGCGAGCGGAAAAACAGACCCTGGTTTATTGAAAGAAGGACTCATCGTCAGAACTTCAGAACTTCAGCTTCAGGAAGGATTGCAGGCACAATGTCGAAGAAGCCATGGGTCGACGGTCCCATCCCTCTGATGTCCCCTCCAAAGAAAACGGCCGAGGTAAGTGCATTTCCATCTCACATCATATCAAGACCCAGCCAAAAACTATCAATCAACCTCTTTGGAATTGAGAGAAAATTTCAAGCTGAGCCATACACCCAGTACCATCCCGAGACCATCAACGTCGCAACATTGATGACCCTAGCCCACAACATCTTCATCCGCAGCCTCAACGCCATGTACCTCCAATGCGCACATATCTACAAGCCGACCGATATCGCCAACTTCTTAGTCTTCTGTAAAGCATTCTACATAGCACTACATCACCACCACTGGGGCGAAGAGCAATTCTTCTTCCCGGCAATAGAAAAGTACACGAAAGTCTCCGGAATCATGGAAGCGAATGTCCGCGACCATCAAGCATTTGATGCTGGGTTGGAGAAGTTTCGAGAGTATGTAGAAACGGTGAAGCCGGAGGAGTATGATGCCGTGAAGTTCAAAGAGTTGCTAGATGGGTTTGCGACAGTGCTGGAAAGCCATCTGAGGGCGGAAATTGGGACGTTGTTGGGACTGGATAAGTATGGTGGGGAGGAATTAAAGACTGCTTCGGACGAGTTGGAGAAAGCTGTCATGAAGGACATGAAAAATCAGGTAAGCTTGAAGCAGATAATTTTGTCCTATTATGTCTCTCGTGACATGCCTGCTAGATATTTGTAGTTATCTTGTATGGATGTGCTGACTCTGCTAAACTACATAGGATCTAGTCCTTCCCCTTGCACTAGGTGCGAACGATACCACGTTCGAGGGAGGCTTACATTCTTGGTGGCCTCCATTTCCATTTTTCGTACCGTATTTGGTGAAATACTGGTACATGCGCAAGTACTGGGGCGCGTGGAGGTTTTGCCCTTGTGATGTCTTTGGGAACCCGAGGGAGTTGGAATTTTTGGAGGGGTAGAATTGCAATGTTATTTGAGTTGATGTAAATGGACTGCACATCCAAAAGCTCAAAGTTTGATCATGGATGTTCTCTGTGAAAGGGAATTTCCGGTATGTATTGCATGCTCGTGCCGACTCAAGCGAGTTCCAGCTGTTCAATGTACTAACAAGAGCGGAGGAAAGAGAAGTAGTACAGAGAGACATTGTTTCCTCCACTGACAGCAGCGCAAACTCATTGTAACACATTATCAAGACCTTCGGCGTAAGAAGACGAGATATTGAAAATAGAAGATCCGAGAAGAATCGACAAAAACCCCCACGGTCTCCGAAACTGGTCATCGTGACCCAGCAAATGCAAAAATAGAAATTAGGAACAAAGAGATATTCATTTAGAGAAGTAAAATGCAGGTTGGTATGACAGCATATAGATTATGAACAAAAGAATAACAAAGCACACAGAACACATCCCTTGCTACGCCTGTGATTGGTTTGGGTGTCCACGTGGGAATACTAAAGAAAAGTTAGTCAATACGGAAGCTCAACACAAGGTACTTATTATCCATATGGTAGAGTGAGTGCACAGAGTGATATATGACCAGGAAGGAAGGCGGTAAGTGACTAAAAAGCTACAGATACTCCTTTCATAATGACAGATGAGATAGCTGGCGCTTGTCGCTCCAGCTGATTGTGATAGTTCGCCAGTCAGTCAACTGCCAGGAAATAGAACATTGCTTTGACAAAGGATGCACATAAATAGTTCCACCTGCGTCGAGAATGTCCTTGAACATTCTCGCCATATCAGAAAAGATGGCAAGACAGAGGATGCACCACTTTTTGCCATCGCAAGTTTTTCCACTTAAGTCGACCACGCTGGATGGAAATTGATACCCACAAGTAGATGTAATACCATTGAACGGACAAGATCTTGCATTGAAATGGTCTCCGATCCATCTTTCCAACTTTTCCCCACCCTACCACTCGAGCTCCGCCTTTCCATCTTCTCCCAAGTGCTCAGAGGAATCCCACCCCGTATCCTCTTTATCATCCAGACTTCCGGATTTTGGGTAACATCTGCCTCTCTCCCAATCCTCAAGCCTTCTTCGCCGTCCCAGTCTGCCTCAACCTCCCATTCCCAATTCATGTACACTGATGGAGAGGAGCTATATACCAGTCACTGCGTGCCAAGCGGCATCCCTGCACTGCTTCAGGTGAACAGAGAGGCACGAGCACTGGCACTTGAGCGGTATACGTTGATCAAACTTGGTGATGTTGACGGTGTAAGAAGATATTTTGAATTTGACAAAGACATTCTAGTCCTGAAATGCCATCCAGGATGGGGAAGTCCCTCGGCAACACCGCATCCTACCAACCATGAAGTAACACTTACGGATCATCTCGCACGAGTGCGGAACCTAACAGTTCTAGGTTTCAGACACAGAAATTATGCTTCGTCTCCACATTCGTTGACTCCGTTCTTGAGTCTGCAGAAACTGGTGTTGGTGAGAAGGTGTGATGGTAGGAAAGGGGAACGGATCCAGAGGGTCGCGAGGAAAGCTGTTGAGGGGTCCTGGAGGGAGAGGATGAATGGAAGGCAGAGGGGCGAAGGCTTAGAGGTTACGGAACCTCCTGACATCCATTTTGTGTCTCTGACACAGGCGGCGGTTCTCGAGGAGAGGTGCGGCGGAGACAGATACTCGTTCCAAGGTACCTAGGGCTTATGAATAATCTCCATGAAGAGATGGAACTGTGATCGGAGGATTGCCTGGATCCAATTCTATACCGCTGAGTCGATGAAGCTTTGAAATTGGTAACTCCGAACACCATCGCTAAAATCAAGAGATCCATTCCCAGCCTTCACTTCTTCGACGTCCCGAATCCAGTAATCCCCATACTAGCCATCATATCATCCTCATCATGCTCCCCTTCAACTCTCACATCCTCCCCATACTCCTTCTTAACCTTAACACCCTCCTCCCTCTCTGCCTTCTGTCTCTCAACCGCCTCCCGTCTCTTCTCTCTCCTCTCCTCCCTCCTCTTCTCCTCCTCTTCCCTCCTTACCTCCAACCTCTCCCCAAGCGTCTTAACATCCCCCCTCTTCTCCTCCACCATCCTCTCCCAAATCATCGCAATCCTCTCATGAACCTCCTCCACCGTCGCGCGCTTGACCTCTCCCGTCTGCCCAATCGCCCTCAAATGCTGCATACTATTCTCATGTTCCACCCACTGCAGATTATCCTTAAACGTCAAATCGCAATCCTTGCAATAGAATCCCGCTCCACGACCTCTCTTGCCGGTCGCTGCCCCAGCGGGCATGAGTGTGACTTTCCCTACATTGGCGGAGACGTCGAGGCGGGAGGCGCGTGCTTGCGTGAGAGTTTCTTCGCCGGTGAGGGGAGCGTAGTATTTCTTGCCGGCGAGCTTGGCTTCATAGCGGGCTTTGGATTCTTCTTTTTCTTTGGCTTCGCGCTCTGCGGCCTTTTGGGCATATTCGGCGCGGTCGTACTTTTTGCGGAAGTCGGTGTCTTTGGCGGCCGTGTCGTAGGCGCCTTTCTTTGGTGCGAACATTGTTGCCGCTGTGTATATACTGTTTCAGATCTGTGTATTGGTTTGTATTCGAAGATTTCGATGTCGTGGTTGGGCTCTTGCGAAGCTGTGGATGTTGGTGATGTCTTCCATTTGTGAGCTTGGTGTTGATGTCTGGAACTTTTTGGCTCCACATTCAAAGCAAACCGAGCAAACACCTCCTGCCTTTCAGCCCGAGAGGTAACAAATCGTGCATACCTCTGGAAGCCGCCCTCATTTTCTTCAGATATCTCTCCTGTATAATATTCTTATTATCCTTTTTAACATCCCCAGCTTTATCCTTAGTCTAACTCCAACTCTCATATATCGATACATGATCACCTCTTTCTCCCCCTAGTCCTCAGAGCCGCCTCAGGAAACCATCCCTTATTTCCTACCCTCCTTTCCCTCCCGTATAACCTTTTCATCAACCTCCTTAACCTCCTCAGCTTTATCCTTCGTCCAACTCCACACCTCCCAGATCTGATCCATAATCAAGCCACCATACCCCCTCCCCTCCTCTAACGCCTCCTTCTCCCTCTGATCCCTCTTCGCCTTCCAATCCGGCCCCTCACCACCCATCCAAACCTTCTCCAACAACCCTTTCTCCCTACTCCCATCCTCTGCTTCCTTCCTCCTAATCTCTGCTAGCACCACACCGTTATCATCCCCAGTCTTATCCCTCCTCACAACAGCAGTAGGAGTAGTAGTAGTAGCAGCTAAAGCCTTCGCATCCCTTCTCTCCCTTTCCTCCTTCAGCCTCCGCTGTGACTCCAGAGCTTTTGGCGGGAGCTCATCGCTAGATAAGCTCTGTATCCTGTTTGCGCAGCGCTGGGCGATGCTGGTGCCCGTGTAGTGCGCCGTGAGGTGGTTGCCGCCGGCGTAGAACCCGGCTGTGAGGGCGACGGTGTAGATGTCGATTTTGCGCGGGGGGAGGAGGATTATTATCGGGCAGACTATCACGGCGCCGAGTGCGACATTGCGGTAGAGAGTTTCGCGAGAGTTGAGGGAGGATGGTGTTAGTGTTGTGGGTGTTGTGGTGGTCATTATAATGTGGAAGGAGTCTGGCGTCGAGCTGTTCGTTGATTAAATTGAGTTGGTAGGTTGGGAAGATGCTGCTAGTGTAGTTGTATAACGCAATTGACTCGAATAGCTGCAACGTGAAAAGAAAGTAATGGTCTTCGAGCTCTGTTGCAACAAAAGAAGAATCTATTGCATCACCTGGAGCTCAATTTGACAGCCTCGAGCTCGGCCATCATCAAAAAAAGCTCCAAGACCCGCATCCTCCGCGGGTGAAATTAAATTTCACCCCGCCAAAATCGTCCTTCCAAACCTCACTCCACAACCTCCACATCCAAATCAGCCAAAATGCTCTACCTAATCGGCCTCGGTCTTTCCGATGAAACCGATATAACTGTCAAAGGACTCCAGACCGTCAAAAAATGCTCGCGCGTCTACCTCGAAGCCTACACCAGTATCCTGCTTGTTGACAAGCCGGTTCTCGTAAGTCTAGTACCGTAGAGACGGTCGGATATGACTGACGCTGATGGGTAGTAGGAGAAGTACTATGGCCGGGAAGTAATTATTGCGGATCGAGAAATGGTAGAGAGTGCCAGTGATGAGATCTTGAGGGATGCCCAGAATGTGGATGTTGCGTTCCTGGTTGTGGGCGATCCTTTTGGGTACTTCTCCTCTGAATTGTCAAGATAGTTCAATTGCTAATCTATGTACAGAGCAACAACACACACCGACCTCGTCCTCCGCGCTCGCGAACTCTCGATTCCTATCTCTAGCATTCCCAATGCTTCGATCATGTCTGCCATTGGCGCAACCGGTCTCCAACTTTACAACTTTGGACAAACAGTCTCCATGGTATTCTTCACGGACTCTTGGAAACCTGCTTCATTCTATGACCGCATCCGTGAGAATCGCACAATCGGTCTACATACCTTAGTACTGCTGGATATCAAGGTCAAGGAGCAGAGTCTGGAGAATATGGCCAGGGGCAGGAAAGTCTATGAGCCGCCGAGGTATATGACTGTTGGACAGTGTGCGGAACAGATGTTGGAGATTGAGGGTCTGAAAAAAGAAGCTGGGGAAGGAGGGGTCTATGATGAAGAGTCTCTTGCGGTCGGAGCTGCGAGGGTTGGCGGAAAGAGTGAGAAGTTCGTCAGTGGAACGCTGAAGCAGCTCTGTGAGGCGGATGAGGTGCTGGGTGGACCGCTGCATAGTTTGGTTTTGCTGGGAAGAAGGACGCATGAGTTGGAGAGTGATTATGTGAGGGAGTTTGCTGTGGATAAGGAGCTATGGGATAGGATCTGGAAGAGGGATTACGAGGGAAAGCAATAAATAGACGATGCAATTAAGAAGAGTTGGTATTTATTTGGGTATTCCTACTTCACGTTCTCACAGATGCAGGCCAAAACAACAAGCTGACTGCTATTACCATCCCATTACTCTTCTTGCTGCACACTTCTCCTCTTCCCAAAGAACCCCCTTATTAAACCCGCACTTCTGGGCCGCTTTTCCAACTCCTCACTCCCACTGCTCTCCCCCTCAGTCATATCAACACTCGGTGCCTTCCTCTCCTCATCTCCACAGACAACCACAAACCACCCAATATCCTCTCCCTTCTGTAGCCCATCTCTCAGCTTCTCAAACCAGCCCAAGCGTCTGCTCCTCCTCCTAATCTCCCTCGCACTCAGCGGCGGCGTGCTCAAGCCCCCTTTTTCATTACCTGTATTAGTATTTGTACCATCGCCTGTCGTCCCCGGCGTGCTAGGCAAGCTCAATGACGCTTCCTCCTCTTTTATCTTCGCTTCATATTTAGCCATTTCCTCCGTGATGGAAACGCCGAGTGGGACTTCGATCATGTAATCCGCAACATATGCGTGGGGCTGGCTGACGGACGCAAGATCGTCGGGATCGAATTGCTCGACTAATTTTACAGCACTCCAGTCGTTGAATGTAGGTTTCTTATCTGGTTTTGCGGGGGATTTCGCCATCGTTGCTTTGGCTGTTGTGGAGGGTGTGGAGATCGGTCTCTGTTTCTGATTCTCTCTCCCTGAATCGCTGTTTGAATCTCTCTCTCTATCTTTCGTTCCACTTATAGGTCGTCTAACCAGCTCTTTCAACGACCCAATACTGCCCGTCGGTGCATCTTTCAGCGTCCTCGTTCCATTGTCTGTACCATCCTCTACTACCACTTTATCGGCCGCAGATGCCAATGGGTATGATGCGGGCGGCGGATTTGATGGCGGCAGGAAGTCAAAGAGTGTGTAGAAGGAATTGAGGAGTGTGACGGAGGTTGCAGGTGCGACGATCCATTCTGGAGCGGCGTCTTCGAGGTCGTGAACTACGATATGGACGCGGATGCTTACGCGATCCCAGCGGAAGCCATGGAGGAGGTAAGTTGGCATTTCGTGAGTTGATTGTGGACCGAGCGAAATGCAATTGAGTCGAGGATTTGAGGTGTTATGCCGAGCTGAGCTGCAGATGTCGTGTATAACGGCTGCTGCGTGATGGTACGAGGTGAGACTTCAGCCTTCCTGGATTTGATCGACGTTTGGTTCGCAGAAAGGAGGGGTAGTCGAAAACGTGTTGTGCTTCCTTTTCCAATCTTATACCACGCGATCCTACCTGACCCTGTCAATCTGCATATCAGATTGATACGATCCTAAAAGATCGTCATCCGAGGGATGCGAGGAGTTTATGTTTTGTGTCGTGTCGTTTCTCAGCTATGAAGCGGGCTGTTGACGCTGTCGATCATTCTGATAATCAAAATGAACCGAGGGGCTCGAGCTCGACGAGCTCCACATGTCCAGAAGCTCGTAACGGACATCTTGCTGGATGTGGAATAGCTGCCGCTGTCAATGCAAGCAGAACTTTATTTGGAGGGGCAGACAGGGAAAGGAATATTTGACTTTCACGGGACTTCCTCGCAGATAATCAAACTATATCTACGATCCCGTGTATCTGAAGATCAAAATATAACCTTAATGAGTACAGCATATTCTACGAACTGACACATTTCGAGTTGTACGGGAGCGAAGCTGAGACAGCGAATTTCCACCCAGCCAACATCCAACAGCTTTGTTTCCAAGTCCTTGCTTTCATGTTCTTGTTTCCCTGATGTTCCCCTCAACAGGAGCCCAAAGCGCCGAGACAATCAATGCTTTGTGGCGGACGGCTCGGACCCTCAGACCTCGACCTGAGGTGGCGGCATGCCGTTATTCCCACCATCACATTTAAACCCCTGCAAGGCACACCGGACGATGTCACTGATGTCTAGCATTAGAGTTTTCCTCCACCGAAAAAAGTCTTCGTTTTCGTGAAGGGTGCTTGAGAAAGGTAATCGTTGAACGGAAATACTATAAGGGGGCGACAACATTGTATTGCTCAGTATTATTACGGCAATGTTCCCTTGCGCATTCTCAGCTTTTCTTTCATGTCAAGTTCTCTGCTAATTTCCATATCATTAGTCACAGATCAAGTCTGCTCAGCATTTCTTTCCTGTCAAGTTCTCTAAGAATTTCCATATCATTAGTCACAGATCAAGTCTGCTCAGTGGCTGTTAAAAACACTGTTAGGAGAGTCTGTTGGTCAGCTCGGATCAGTTGAGGCGGGAACACAGACAAAGACTTGGTGGATGGACAATGACGTTATTCTTACCTTTCAAACCATCTCCATTCCATGTTAGTTGCATTCTCATTGTTCTTTCTGGATTGATATGGAGGCCTGTTCCTGGTATCGGTCAAAATTGGGAAAGTACGTTTATATTTCTGGGGTTCGGTTTTCTGTTTGTTGCTGCTTTGAAGTCGTCGGCTGCCTGGATGGGTGTTTAGTCAACGTGTTCGTGATTGTTGTAAAGTAAAAGCGAGAATACTGGTGCTGTCTTATGAAGGGCCAAAACAGCTTGTGCAGGGGGAGACCCCAAAGAGAAGGCTTTTCAGAGCATCAGTTAAGGTAGTGGACCAAGCTTGGGCAGCATGACTCAATAGCTCTTTATCGTCAAAGTGGCTATGCTCGATCCATTTTCGCATCCAATTTACTCTGCTTTAAAATGCACCGACATAGTGGGGCCCCCATTCGGCTGGGCAATAATATGTCTTGCAGGTGAAGTTCTTGACTTGAGCAAAGTCCTGTAGCACAGATGCTTCATTGGCGATGCAACAGCTACGCATACCAGCGTAGCAAGAACCGTACATCATGAATTTGACTGTGTTTTGGCATACCACGATATCGGTTTGGAAATCGAACCAAACAGGATTATTGTTGATACCTCCAAATGCCAGCTTGGAATACTTCTTGGCAATCTCTCGTGATCTCTTGCAGACGCTAAACATGGCTGGGGAAAGTGGCCCTGGATTGTCCTCTGATGTCGCCCATTTGGCGTTAACCCGTACTGGACCATCATGCGGGTTCTTTCCCCTTCGGAAGCGAATATCGAAGGTTCGAGGTTCTCTACTAGTTGCTGCAGCCTCCCAAATTAGATCCTGCAGCTCGGTGGCAAGGTTCGGGAAGAGAGTGAAAGTGGTCGCCATTTTGGATTTTGTTCTGTGTATACTTAAACGAAAAGACAATAATGGATTTCGTTTCAGCTTTGAGCTTTTATACTCATCTGAAGCAACAGTCTTTCATGTGTTCTTGAATAGCTATATCTTGTTTTCAAGCTATGTTCGTTAGTTATACAGTATTGTAGCTGTTCCCAACCACGCTGAGCTGAATGGGACAAATGTCTCGTTCTCGTTCTGATGTTCACGGTCCTATTCCAGACTCGATATGTAGCTGACTTGACTTTAAACTGCTTATCTTTTCTCGCCTTGAACACACTTGTTGACTTCTGAACAGCTCATGGTTTGAAGTCGAGCAACAGCAAACAGAGCCGTTGACTGTTCAGGCCCGCATTGATGAGTCTTGAGCCAATGACACGAGTCGCTCCTATTGTAGCGGGCCAAGACCCGAACACCCACACAACAAGAGAAGTAGCAATTCAAGGCACAAGGAGTACTTAGATACAAAGAAGCGGATTGAGCAAATCTCGAGATATCATATATCTGAAGTACTGGATTTGTCGAATAAAGGACGGAGAACAGAATGAGTTAGATAGAATCTCTCTAGAGAGCGTAGTTATTGTAATAATCTTAGGTAGTGTCGTTAATGATATGCGTGTGAAGGAATGACAGTTCAGAATCGCTCGGCTGCACTGGTAACGTGATTTGCCTCCACTGTGCCAAGCACAAAAATTAGGTGGCCCTGCCACATTACACATGAGGTATGTGTGACTAAATTCTCATTTGATTGGAAAAATGGGTACAGTTAGCGAGCTCCAAGTATGCAAAGTTAGATGCTCCTGGATTTTACTTTCACTTTGATGATTAAGAGCGGGTGAGCTCGGTTCTCGGTTGTGCTGGATTCAGCTGCACCACCACTTACGAAGTTACCCAGGCGACCTTAGCGAGTTCACTTCCAGGTATCCAGCAGACTCTTTGCTGCAGGGCTAGAGGATGTCGCTTTCCGAAAATTCAAAGTTTAAGAACTAGTGGTACTTTTAATCTCTGCAAGTCATGGTCAGTTCTCTTATGCTGTAAGTGCAGGCAGGAAGAACATATATTTCAATTAGCTAGTAACCATAAAGACATATTTAGAACAGGAGTCGAATCGTTTAAGAAGAGAAGAAAAACATAGTCACTCGTACTTCAAAGGTGTCCTTGCTCCAAACATGATCTTGACTAGGAAGGGCGAGATTGTCATTAGGTCTTCCAAATAGGACCATGGATTTGCTCAAGTGATCATTACCTGAAGAGAAACAAAAAACTGGAGGTTCTGACTGGCTCTATACAAAGAAATTTGAGGCAGAACCTGCAGGGTTTGTCTGCACAATGAGTGAGCAAGCAACTTATTGGACGTTACCATTAGTAGGGCAAACAATTCGCACAGTTTGTAGTCTCTGAGATCGTTGAATGGTGGCAAAGATGTACAGGGTATTACTTTGGAATAGGTTATGGGAGCTTCGCTGGGTCGGCTGGCTTCTCTAGAATGATCGAAAAAGCGAGTCCTCAGGTTGGTATCGGGTGACTGCATAGACAAGTTTCAAAAACACGATGTCTTGTGTCCCTTCCCGTTGCTTGTCAATCTTTCAAGCAAGATGTTCCAAGTGAAGCACTGCTCCTTTGTGTAGAAGACAAGCAGTCTCTACAGCCATTGAAGAGTGTAAAATAAAGAGGGTTCAAATACTTATCCCATCCCATGTAGAAGATGTAGTAATTCGACTATCTCTACATCGAAAAATGGCGCCTCAATCTCTTGAATTCGTCTCAAGCGAGAAATTCACGTCAAGAATAACCGATGCCTCAGACTTCCAAGCATCAGAAATAAATGCAATCGGTAACCGGTTCTGGGAGGAGCGACTCCAAAAACGCCGAAATCTCGACTACGATAAAATCAAATCCAAGCTCATGCCTTCAGGCTTCGAAGTTTCCGCTATGAAAAAGATTATGGGCTGGGTCATATACGAGAATAATATCATCGATGACTTGCTGAAGGGGATGCCTGAAGAAAAGTCGAATGCTTCACTTTCGTGGGGAGGACCTCATCCATTCATACGCGAGCTGAAGTGGACTTTGGAGCGAAGACAAATGCTCCTTCAGTCCTTGAGTAGCGAATGGTACCAGCTGAAACAGGGCATGGATGCTACACCAAAGGTTGACAATGCCCAAGTTGAAAATGGCATTGCCGAGGATTCAGGAAGCTCGTTCTCGCACTTCGCTTCGGTCATAAATGACTCCAAAAGATTGATCCAGCGTCTTGGAGAGAATCTCACCGAAGAGGACCCCGTTCAAATGCCAGACGAAAAGTCGACTGTGTCAATCGAAAGTGTCCTTGAACTCGCGATTCAATGCTTGCTCAATACCATGAGCCCAGACATGCCTATCCGTACGTACCTCAGATGATCACTGGCATACAATTTAAAGAAGCACTAGCTAACATCGCAAACTTCAGGTGATGTAGTCCGCACAGTTGAGAAATGTTTCCCAAAACACGACCCCAAGGATCACAAATACGTCTGCGTTGGACCTCCAACCATCTTCTTCTCGCGGTCAGAATTAGGTTTACTTCTTGGTGGAACGGCTCAGACTTGCATCAAAGGAGGCAGTAACAGGGTGAAGAATGTTCACGACTACTTGCGAACGCAACGAGAAGATATGCTAAAGTCCTTAGACAAGGATAGAGTACCACTATTCGAGAAATGCACGAAAGCAGAGTCAGAGAAGAAACACCTGACCCCAGAAGAAGCGAGCCCAAAAGGACCGAACCAAAGCTTGTGGCCTGATGGAGGGATCTATGCCGAAAACATTGGACAAGCTGTCACAATGCTGAATACTTCAGAGAGGGAATACTTTGGGGATCTTGACCCTTGTATGAAGTGCGGGAACATTTATGGTATCCTTAGAAGAAGGTGATATAATTGTTAATATAAGAGTTTAGGTAGAGCAGGCTTGGAAAGGGAAAAGGAGGCTCAGGGAGCCTGAGGCAAAGGAGGCTCGACTAAGAGCCTCAAGGTGAAGGAGGCTCGGAGGGAGAGCCTTAAGGGAGAAGGAGGCTCAGGGAGCCTCAAGGCATAGGAGGCTCAGGGAGCCTCAAGGCAAAGGAGGCTCGACGAGAGCCTCAAGGAAAAGGAGGCTCGGCGAGAGAGCTTTAAGGGAGAAGGAGTCTCGGCGAGAGAGCCTGTAGGAGAAGGAGGCTCAGAGGGAGCCTCAAGGGAGAAGGAGGCTCAGAGAGCCTCAAGGGAGATAGCTTAAGGTACTCTTGTACTGTGACGTAGCTAGAGAGCTACAGGGTCACTGAACTCCTAGGGAAATAGGAGACGTAGGTGCTATATACTCAGTTGAGTATATTACAGGAGTTAATAAGGCCTTATTAGGTAGTTCTAGCTATAGAGATTCAGAGAAGGGGGTATGTCAGAAATAGGACTAGCCTAGATTAGGTAATCTAGCCCCTATTTCTAGTATATCTCTGCAATCTCTGTAACTACCTTAATATCACACTTTTACCTCTTTTCCCTCCCCTCTGATTTTCTAACAAAGGGATCGAAGAAATCGGGGCTGGAGGGCTTCGCGCCGAGCAGAATATCCCCTGAAGTGCGACAAGTGACCTATAATTACAGGCCACTGAGTGCTCTGGATACGAATTCTGTTGAGCATCATTGTTTAGAGATGTTCTGTAGTGACTGCCACAGGGTTTTCAGGCTGCGCGGCGAATCACACTTAACGAAGCAAGGGGATACTGCCCACAATTACTCACACACTCGGGCCAGACATCAAACCCGTTTGAGTTGGGCCGCCTATAGGTGAGTTAGCCGGATCAAGGACCAAATTTTGCCTGGCCATAGTGATTGAACAAGCTCCAAGCTTTTGGTGATCATCGATAAAAGATGTTGTCAGTGGACTGCTTAATCTTGAATTTGGCCATCTCTCCTGACCGGATTGGCTTCTGATGTACTCCAATACCATAACAATCACGAGTACAAAAACATCAGAAATCGCTCCAAAGACCAAATTTTTGAGTATTATGATCTTTTCATTGCAATATACACAGCCTTTTCTTCCTTTGAGGACTGGCAACAGCCGCACGATAGAGATCTTCTTCTCGCCTAGCATGCTTCCGGAGTTCGTGATATACCTCTAGAACTGACTGAAAGACCTTGTCGACATTTTTGTTCTCGCCCTCGTCTGGCGTGCACTCTCCAACAAACCTGCACTCAGTGTGCTGTTCAACAAAACAATCCACATCGGCTTCCTCCACTTCTCTTGTGCTTTCCTCGGGATATCTGCATCCGATGGTCATCACGGGATAGCGCTTCGCCAGAACCCAAAGGTCCTGAATGGGTGTGGGATGAGGATGGCCTGGCTTAAGACGTAGTTTCCCATTCTCCGGTGCAGGGATCCTTTGATAGATACTCTTCAGATGTTCGAATGACTCCTTGGAAGAGACATCATAAGTAAGGACAATGATAGGGGTCTTGAGCGGCAGACTCCAAAAGCAGTACTTGATGGTTTCTTCAACATGCTCGGTGACAATGACCAAGTACGTTGTGTCATCTATCTGAACGTGTTTCTCCTTGTCGTCTCGCCCTTTATTGCTCATTACCGTAGGGTCGCAGTAAGTCGGGAATGAGCCGTACTCGTACTGCAAAACATACGATCAGTTTCTTGCTAGCAAGAATGGAGCGAAAAATGCTCTATTTTTCCGTCAATGTGACACACTATATTCCTCAATCTCCAGTTCATCTTCTCATCTCCAAAAATATCTAAGTACACCCTCTGATTATTCAAATCAGGGGTTCTTGCTAAGTCGGCTATCTTCGCCATCGCGATACCAGAATGTTGCTTGATCGGTAAAGATTAATCGATGCGAGACAGTAGCAGATGGAAATGAGATAGATAATATTGATATCGAGTGTGGTGGGACTGGTGGCAGGAAGGGAGATGAATTCTGGTGGGGTTAAATACACTTCACAAAGAGTAATGGCATTAGTCAGCAGACAAGAGTGTCACGCAAATGAGTGGTCAGCATCTTTAAGGGGGGTTTCCAGGGGATGAATCCAGTCAACCAGGATTCAAAAATTACCTCGCACCACTCAATTTCAAAGCCAATCGCTAAAGGGATAACCAACATTTGCTAATGGCAGAATCAAAATAATGCACCGGTGTAACATGTAAATGTTTCCCGAAGCTTGTTCCGTGGCAGCTACCATTTCGCCAATGTAAGCGGCTTCACCGTTCAAACGAGTCTCAGAAACTCCTTGAAAGCATAACAAGCCAATGGTATCTCTGGTTGCTATGCTTCTTTGCAAGAACCAACACCCCCTCTATATCGCAGCAATCATCAATCTGTTCAAATTGATTGAGAGTTTTCTTGGCTCTCAACCACTGATGAAATGCTTGTCTTTAGCCGCACATTACTGTGTTGGTTCCCTGACGTTACGTACGGACGCACATATGTTGGTCCGGTTAAAGAGTTGTTGCAATCTCAACAATACGACGGCAAAAGTGATGGGAGCTCCTTGGAGCTAAAAGAAATGCCAAGATGAGGCGTCTCTTCTTGGACTTGGTTTTGGTTGAGTAGACAGATTAGATTAGTGGTGGAGTGGGCTGAGGAAAGAATTGCCAGCAGGGTGGCACAAATGCACGGGAAACACATCTCGTCTATGCAGTTGGCTTTCATCGTGTAACTACAATTTCGTCCGAAGGCATCACGTCTGCTCTCTCACTGGATCGATGCTTGGAATCTCATGGGACTTATCCCCTATTCTGTGCATTCCAAAAGGTTGGTTGAAAAGGCTAATGAGTGAGCGTCAGTTCGACTTTCTGTCTGGGAACTTGCCAGTGGCGACCTTCCAAGTCTTCACTTCTCAGCCATAGTACCAGTACCAATGACTGATATCACAAACATCATCACAGCTGCGATATTGAGACAAACCTCGTGAAGAAGATATGGGAGGAACTGGAGATATCCAACAGAGGGGGCTCTGAAGAAAACCGGTCTTGAGGAGTTTATACCTCAGGTCTAACCAGAGGAAAACTCAATGGACTTTTTCAACCAAGCTCAAGGCTCTGAAAAATAGCTGACTGTAAGAATTCAGGAGCCATTGCGGGTGTGCATGAAGCGTCCCAAATGCCCTACCCCACCAGACCTGCTCGCTTAGTTAACCAATTCGAGATTAGTCATGGGTAGCTTGTTTACATTCAGACCGAGGTAAAATTGTCGTGAGAACGACTCAGTTTAGAATCAATAGAATTATCTTGTAAAAGGTTTGCTGTATAAACATCTATTACTCATATTCACGGAGAAAGCCTCAACGACTGGTAGAACGAAAGGAACAGCAACTTCAGATCGCCTCCACTCCTGGCGCTTCTGGAGATGCCGAACGGCAGGTGTCACACGAACCTTTGGTTGCAAATATCGTAGAATTGAATATGCGAGTTCTTTAAGTTGAAGCTAATTTCCGAGAAAATCCTCTACCATTGGTACCATCCCCATTGAAGAACCACGTATTGCCGTTATCGCCAATTACCAATGAGACACAATTTGGCGCAGCTGGAAGAATGGCAATATTTGGCGCGCTCAGAAAGTAATTCAGGAAATCTCATCATCAGTAGTATCACCATCCGAAAGTGCGGAAGCATCATGGTGAGCGCTTCCTCGGGCAGAGCCAGGACCATCGTTGGCAAAGCCTCCAAGACCGGTACGATCAGGCGCTCCGTGTGGTGTGCTAGAGCTAGCCGTAACAGCAACTTCCCCACGGTCTCCGCTCTCTGCAGTCGAATAAAAGTTGACGTAATAAGCTTTACCTCCCCCGGTATTGTTCGCAGTCTTCGCTGTATATCGTGGGGTAGGAATAGGTCCAGCGATAGGTCCCCGATTGCCTCCATTCGAAGATCCTCCCACGCTACCGCTGCGGCCGGCATTGCCCAGACGAATCACTCCGAAGCTGCCTCCAGTAATGCCTGCGGTGGGATTTCCGTAAGGAGAGACGTACCGTGTAGGGTCAGGGGCTGTGTGGGTATAATGGCCGGAAGCGAGGAGAGCGTATGGAGATTGGTACGATGCTGGACGGTGGGGAAAAGTTGCAGCATTGTTCGCAGTAGAGCTAAATGTTTTGTATGCTGAGGAGTGATTAGTTGCTTTTCTACCAGCACGTATTTCAGGTGAACCTGCAGGATCTTCACCATTTGTTGTACGCGGAATTGTGTAGGGAGAGATGTATTGTGTTGGATTTGGATTGGCAGCGTTGAAGTTGATGGAGTTGACCGCAGTCTTCACTTCAATAGGGGCGAGATGCCCGACTGCAAGGTAGTCGCCATCAGATCCTTGTAGGGGACCGACCGGGGGTTCGTTGTTGTTTGGAGCCTGATTGACACGATCTGCGCATGCGCAGCACAGGTGAGGGTTTTCGGTCGCTTCTTTGAGGCGGCGTGCTCTGAGACCTTTAGTTGCTTCGACTCGTGCTGCAGCAGACCGTGGAGACGGAGGCAGAGCAGGGACCTCATTGGCGGGTTGGAATTGGTGTCCATAGTCATGAGGAACCTGGTTGCTGTAAACGCCGGTTCCCCAGATATCATCGGCTCTACGCTTGGCGAAGTTCCACTTCCACTAAATCATTTCAAGTCAGCGACCAGTCTCTTCAGTATTAGAAGAGCCAGAGAATAGTTATTTGAGGTAGAATTTCTGAAAGAGCTTGACAAGAGTCAATACTTACAAATTTCTTGGTCTTGTTGACTCTCTTTGGCCACCGCGAAGGCATTATGGCAATTTCCAGAATATCCTCGGCCTTCTCCCAGACAACCACAAATAGTCCAAAGTCTACCAGCCTCTCCATCTTCTTCGAGTTAGCTTTTTGTACTCCGAAGGCGGCTTTCTCAGAATCATCAAGGACTATGGCAGAATCTGCTGGCGTACTGGATTGGTTGTCAAGAATCAAGATATCAGAACTGCCGTCTGCTTTGTTGTTGGCGAAGGCAGCAGCTCCAGGTTTGCCATCCGTTCCAGCTTTTTCGGGAGTCTGTGGTACAGCGATCATCGTATCACTATCGTTGTCTAATCCCATGTTGATATTGTCAGGAAGACCAGATTGACCACCTTGCCCGTCCGCCATTGAGACACCAGTACCTTCGACTATTTTCTTGGTTTTGGTGCAAGTATACATGAATGTTCGGAAGTCGATAACCAGCTCAGTGGTGATTAGCTCTTTGAAGAGACTGGCAGGAGTGACTGGGAACGCGTCAGCAGAAGAGATATCTGTCATGGCTTCGTCGATCAACATATCGACGTCTGTTGACATATCGGCGATAGCCTGGTGGTCAATTAAAGTTTCAACATCTGGCATTTCGTCAACAATTCCACCTGAAGTTGCAGCTTCAAGAGTATGCTCAGAAATAGTGGCACTGGTAGCCCATCCGGTCTCGACTCCTTCAATCTGCATGTCATAATCATGATTTTCATTTTCCAGTTCCGTTGACGAGGAGGTTGTAGCTTGAGCTCGCCGAATTGAGAGCTCAGCGAACAGCTGTTTCGTAGCATGATTGAACTTGTTGTGGAAATCATCCCTGACCATGATGTCCACACGATCAGATGGCTTCTCGATCAGAAGAATTTTCAAGCTGGTGAAATGCTGAAGACGAGCATATTGATCTTCATCGCCGAGCAGACCGGCGCCATGTATCGCAAGCTTCTGAACCTTTCCCAAGTCATCCTTGATGAAGGGCATTCTGTCCACGAAATCATGATCGACACCCCAAAGATGCAACGCGTCGAGGGCGAAGTTGAAATACTTCGGCTTGCCATCAACAGCACCAAAAGCAAGCTTGTAGAATCTCTTGGCGATTTCACGAGCTTCATGATTGACGCGTAGGAGAACCGGTCTCCGTCCTCCAAACCCTTGGGTGGCAAATACATCTGGACCGGCGCACTTGACATAAGCTCCACTATGCTGATAGATGACCAGGACGCGGGACTCTTGCGGTAGAGCATACTCCCAGATCTTCTCTCGGATATTGTCTGGAAGCTCGAGGAAGTCTTCGAACAACATCGGGCAGGAAGCCTCCTTCTTGATAACGTAGGGCACGTCGTAGGGGCAGGGGTTGATCTTCTTTCTTAGCCTCTCTGGCGCCATGTCTCTGTTCAGGGCATGGAAACGCTTGAAGTTGGCTGCCATTCTTGATCCGTCTAAATCATTCCAAAGAAACCAGGGGTCGAAAACTAAAGACTCATTAGATCTGAAGAAGACTTGGAGGGCTGTGCGTACCATTCCAGCCTTCGGATTCTTCGGACTCGTAGTCCTCGTCGGAGTACTGCTCATGCCCTTCCCATGCTTCATCATCTCCGTCTTCATCCTCGTATGCCTCTTGATCTCCTTCATATCCTTCTTCATGCCCCTCGTGATCGCCCTCAGCATTCTCATAGTCGCCATCACCTTCAAACTCAACGTACTTAGCGATGGTGACTTTCTTCTTCTTCTCTTGCGTGTCACTTTTGGGGGATTCGGATGTTCCTGATGTCCCTTTCCTTGGAGTAGTAAACGATGACTTGACTAGTGTCCCATTTGTGGGGGCAGCATGATGCCTTGGAGCGGTCGCCGGAGAAGCCTTTGTCGTTGTCGGCGCCGACATCTTAGATGGGTCTGGTGGCGTCTTCTCCAACGACGCTAATACACGCTTGTGAGTAGGTGAGGAGGACGAAACCTCTTTTCTCGTACCTACTATCATCGTTTTGTCAAATTGCCGAGGTTGGTGTTTAGGCTCCTGGTATTGATCGTGGAAGGAGATCGGTTCATGACAAAAGGTGTAGCATAAAGCCCCCGTGACCTTCTCGCTTATTTTGACCTGTTGGTTGTTGATGCCTAGCGAGCTTGTTGGACGCTAGGATGTCAAAGTCCGTCGAACGAGACATTCACACATGAACACACTCCGAAATAGGAAACCTGGGAGTTAACGCTTCTGGAGCTTTCTTGACGACTTCCTGTGGGACTCGATCTCATAATAGCTTCGACTGCCTCAAATGGTCACTTGGATGACAACAACATACAGGCAAAATATCTCACATTTTCTATGGATGTCAGAAGAAACTTCCCACAGAAAAAAACAATCAGTGAAGTGACAAGAATAAGAATAAGTTCCAAAGAATGTGTGTCGCTAGTCACGTCTTTCCATCGTTGGAACAATATTTGCTCTCCCGGCCGAGATACCCATCAGACGGTCAGAGAAGTTGCAGCAAAAAGTGCGGCATCAAATGCAGCCTTCATCAGTGGAGCTTTATTCTCCGCACGCTTGATACTGGAATTAATCCAACGTCTGTGACGCTCTTTCTCGCTGCTGAAGACCAAATATTTCTCGGGCAGACGACACTTAAACGGTGGAGGGTGAATAACCTTGTCATTCACTCCCGTCAATCTAGTACCTGTATTCGGATCTTTCCGGATTCTCTCCATGTTTTTCTTGAATTTCTTATTGACATGGCGGTTATAGGACAACTCATACTTGAAAGCTCTGTCAGCTGAGCCATCTATGACAAAGATTTGAAGATTGAGGAAGTGCTTAGATTAGTTGTAATTGGCTCATTCGTCAGTGGAGATATTTAGCCAGAATGTGATTTCTGGCCCGTAAGCAAAGTTCTTGACTGTATTCAGGTCGAATTCAGGTAATCTGCCCGTGCTGTATGGCAAATTTTTACATTAAAAACGTCTAGTTCGAAGTTCATATAGACACCGGTATGATTCCCAACGTTGTTTTTGACTTAACAGTAAGGATTGAGAGTAAACTCGAGTACTTCAAAATGGACAAAGAGAAGAGCTGGAGAGGCGGCAGACTGGCTGACTTCGTATCTGCGACCGTTGTATCTGAAGATAGGATGACTTCGGAGTGAAGTAAGATTGTCGTTGAGATCGTTTCCTTTGATAGTGAGGACTCTACAATCAGGGAGAGCGCAGCCCTAGATTTTGAGGTGTAATTCGCTGTAGAGGCTGGGGAAAACAGCAGATGGACATAGATCATCATCCTTATGGTTGCTTTGGAGAATTGATGCAGGGGCTAACGGGGTGCCTGGTGCTTGGCCAGGTCTAGGGAGGACATTGTTCCAAGTGAGATGCGCCATGGCGAGGAATTGAGGAGGGGAGAAGGCTCAGGGGCTAGGGATAGTCAACGAGGGGCTCGTGAAGGATCAAGCTTGAGATCTAGAGCTCACCAGAAGAAGTTGATTGCCAACCTGCAAAGTTGATGGTTGTACTTTGCTTCAATGGAGGGGAATGGTGATGTGTACAGCTGAGAATGTCAACGATGGTGAACGAAAGCAATAAGGTGCAAAGCAAGAGAAGGGCAACCAAAAACCCAATTTTGAAGTCTGCAGTAAAGCAATTAATATATGGGGCTTTGTATTGATCTTTTAAGGATCGCAGCTTGTTGTTGGTAGTCGGAAGGGTCTTGTCGAGCAGGGTTTGTATTGTGCAAACATGGAAGGCTGGATTGGGGAAAAGTTCGCTCAGTAAGAGCCCCAGAAAGTTTTAAATGAGTTGTAGAATATAGACGATCAGAACTTTAAAACTACCTTGAGCTGGGGTTTGAGCCGAGGGTGCATGATTCTGACGTTGCAGGATCTACAGCGTTGGCTGGTGGACGTTTCTGAATATTACCCATGATGCCTGTCGAAGCAAGAGCTGACTCTGTTAGCATAGCGTTCAATCAAACAAAGACCTAGCAGTTGCACAATTCTGCATATAGAGAATTTAAAACCTCATATAAACTGGACTTTCAAGATTACATGCTGTTATCCGATGCCATGAAATTTCGCTTACCACGTGCACTGCAAGAGCGTTTGCAAGCTTGCAAAGTCAAAAAGCCTCGTGCTGACGGTCGTCCGAAAAGCGTAGATCCTTGTCAATGCCCTCACATAAATGACTTCTCTTCGCTCCATATTTTCTGTCTAACTCCCACACATAGTGTCTTCGTCCCTCGCTAATTTCACCATTCATTCATCATGGCTACCAAAATTCAAGGCGACTCAAACGCCCCTCTCACAGAAGAGCCGAAGATTCCGCCTCGAGATAAGAACGTTTCTTGGTATAGGGAAAAGCTCAAGGGCTTAAGTCCAGTTGCAAGAGAGATGCTGGAGAATTACAGCAAAATCCCGCCGGGTGAAGTGGAGAGTCATGTATACAAGATCGTGAGTTGCGCTCTGTGTTCAATCAGAACCAGCTAAATGGAGGTCCTGCATCAGCGCGACGAAGCCTGGGACGTCTTCCCATATCCCTGCATCGGTGAATTTCGCTTCCTCGATTTGTTAGTCTTCCATCTATTTGATGGTCATAATCTTGATCATTTTCCAGGGCCATCACCACCTCCCCTTCCTACCCCTCCATTCTCAACCGCCTGAAGACCGGGCGGGAGACCTTTCTTGACCTAGGCTGCTGTTTTGGGCAAGAGCTTAGAAAAGTCGCATATGATGGAGCAGTCCAGGAGAATCTCTACGGTTCCGATCTACGCTCCGAGTTCTTTGAGATGGGGTACCGTCTTTTCCGCGACAGGGACACGTTGAAAAGTCGATTCATTCAAGCTGATATTTTTGACGATGCATCGGCATTATTTACTCCTGAATTGCACGGCAAGATCGATATCATCTACGCTGCGTCATTCCTGCATCTTTTCGGATACGAGCAGCAAGTTGAGGTGTGTAAGAGGTTGGTGGGGATATCGAGGGGAAAGGAGGGCTCGATGGTGGTGGGGAGGCAGGTTGGGAGTTCGAGGGAGGGGGAGTATGTGCAGAAGACTAATGCAGGGGGATCGATGTATAGGCATAGTGCTGGGAGCTTTGAGAGAATGTGGGAGAGGGTTGGAGAAGAGACGGGGACGAAGTGGAGGGTGGAGTGTGAGTTGAAGGCGTTTGAGTGGTTGAGTGAGGATGAGCGGGAGGAGAGGGAGAAGATGGAGCCGGGCTTGGGGATGTTGAGATTCTCTGTTATTAGGGAATAGAGCTCTGAAGGATTGCATTGTGAGTGTGGAGCTGTAAGCCCGATCGATGGTACAAAGACCGATGAGAAGGCATCTCGCTCGGAGGCCCATGGAAAGTCAAATTAAGGACAGACGCAGAGCCTCGGTAACTGTATCCGCGGTGCCGAATAACGAGATATTTTCGAAGAGGGACTGACGCATAATGAGATTTCTTCTTATTAGACTCACGCATGCATACTACACTCAATAAAATACATCAACATCTTCACTCGTTCACAGCCAAGACCATGCAGAACCACAAACCGTCCGAGTCACCTCAGAATCCATCCCCTCGATACCCAAATCCAAGACCATACCCAGTCGCAGGCATTCCAAATCTAGGATCTCCAGTCACAGGTATAACAAGTCCATTTTCCGCCCACCATGTTACAGGTTCGCTCGCTTCATACGCGACCCAATGTTGATCAGAGAATACAGGATCTCTGGTGCTGATATCACGTAGATAGCCACTATCTCTCGAGCATACAGAGGCTCTGTTACTGCAATCTTCTACTCCCGGTAGCGATCTCTGCCGTGCTATCTATTCCCAGTCAACGGTATCATAATGACAGTCAAGACTATCATTACATCCATGGAAAGGCTCGATATCTGAAGTGAAGGCATTATGAGTCGTGGCTGGGACGCTGTAGTGGAATGACTGGTTAAATGGGCCGCCAGGGCGAAAGAAAGTGGGGCTGTAGAGTCCGGAGACGGAGTCGGGAATCCTAAACTGTTTTGAGGCGTGAGACCGAGAGGATCTTTTGTGTACTCGGATAGGGAATTCCGAGGTGATGGCATCGTTCTCATGGGAGTCTGTGTTAGAAGAATAGTCCCCGTCGGTGCTAGAGTCGTCATCTGTGCTCTCAGAGGGTTCTGGGTAGTCGGAGCAGCAGTAATAGTGAGCCTGGCAATGTTCCCTAAGCTGCGAGCTAAATGGCGCATCTTGGAGTGTTTCTTGTTGGCGACTGCTTTCTGGCATGTTGCCCATGGCTATGAAGGCATCTGTAGGTTTGTAAGTATACATGGTCTATTGGAAGGTGCAAGATCGCGTACCGTTGTATCCACGTCGGTAGTCTTCGTCCTGTTTGAATGACCATGACGGGACGGACTGAGATGCTGTGAATGCAAAATCTGGTTCGATAGTCGGATGTTGCTCTCTTGGGAAACGGATCGTGGGGTCTGAGTTTGAAGAGCAAAGCTCAGAGTTGCAGCATGAGTCTGTATTCATGATTCTAGTAAGTAGCTGTACCTGAGGTGCGAGTTGGTTTGCTGGCAATAATGGATCGAGATGATGAAGCGCTTAAAACTCTTGTATTTCCGTCACTTGGTTGATTTGAGGAAGTTGAAAAATGTATTTGGAACTCCTTGATCTGTTAAATACTCACGAATTGATGATTTCAGACGTAACGCAGTCATTCTCAAAATCTTTGAATCACCTGAAAAAGGGGACTCAAATATATATTTCCATTCCCGAGGAAGAGACGGTACGTGATTCATGCCAGACAAAGCGCGATGATTGACGAGAATTCTCAAGCCACCTTTGAGCAGCACCATAGCCCATCTTCTTCTTGACTTACTCCACTAATCACATGTCGTTTTAGAGGTACTGGGATGTGCCGAAAGGTATATATCTGCGCTTCAACTGCCCTAGTAAGCCTACAAGCTGCGGTCACTTCACTGCGCATCATCTACTAAGTGCTCCTAGACTTTGAAGCCTCGCTTTACAGTATTATTAAGCAACAAAAGATTGATAACCTCTGTCAAATCTATGTCCCCAGAGGGAATGATTTGATTCGTCGTGCTAGCGCTTCTCCAAAAGTGTCAGAATGTCAGAAATGTCAGAAACTAGTGCCGATTCTTGAACATGCAATCCCCAAAAGTCAGAATGTACACCAAAACAAACCAACGTACATTCATGGATGAATGAAAAGCTTCGCATAGAAACTTAAACCCGATTCTGACCAAGCAGTGGACGGAAACGGAGCTCCGATCTTGGCAAATAATTGTTTAAAAAGCTGCGATGTATTCCATTCAATCTCTTGAACTTCCAAACTTCAGTTGTCTGATTTTCGATCCTTCTATATATTTTAAACATCTCAATCAATTATGACTTCAACCATCGTTTTAATCAGTGGCGCGAACAGAGGAATAGGAAAAGGACTCCTTGAGTTATACCTCGCCAAGCCCAACCACACCGTCATCGCAGCAAACCGCGACCCAGAAAATGCAGGATCAAAGGCACTTTCGAACCTAACCACAGGAACAGAAAGTCATCTAATTATCGTGAAAGTCGACGGATCAGTTGAAAATGATGCTCTCGAAGCTGTCCAAGCACTCTCATCCCAAGGAATCGACCACATCGACATCGTGATCGCCAATGCGGGTGTTTCTTACGCCTGGCCCAAGGTGTCGGAATTGAAGATTGAAGATTTGCAAGGCCATCTGGTACCGAATGTCTTTGGTGTTGTCCGGTTGTACCAAGCTACATTACCGTTGCTGTTAAAGGCTAGTAAGCCCAAGTTTGGGACGATTGGTTCGACCGCGGGATGTCTTGAGGTGAGTTCTTCTTCTCAGAGGTAGTGCTGAATGTTGTTCATGAGAATTGACTTGCGTACAGTAAGAAACGAACTCTGTTTACGTTACACGCGGGGATGTGATTGCTAATTCCCACGCACAGAAACCAACTGTCAATCCCGAACGCAGCATATGGGACGTCGAAAGCTGCTGTTCACTGGCTCACGAAGAGGATGAATGCGGAAGAGGAAAAATTAATTGCTTTTGTGATCTCTCCAGGCTGGGTCAAGACCGAGATGGGAAATGCAGGTGCTCAATATTTTGGTATGGAGGAAGCGATTGTGGAAGTAGATGATTCGTGCCGGGGAGTGGTGGAGTTGATTGATGTCGCTGCAAAGGAGTCGCATGGTGGGAAGTTGATTGATTTTCAAGATGGTGTGTTGGCTTGGTAGCTGGTAATTTGAGACAAAGTATATGATCTGGGAAACATACATTATGCCGTTGCTTGTCGACTCTTGACTTCTCTATCTCATAAACAATCAGCACAGGGTGAAAAGAAAACAAACGGAAGGTGCAAATAAATGGCAATAAAGGCCCCTCCAAGCCCGTGTCCCATTCGCTGCATGATGAACCTATGCTGTGGAGTTACGCTATATGCAGGAAGCCATGAGATGGGTCCTCAGATACGTGATATGCATTAGGCAAACATGCGTTTGCTCTCCCCATCGATCCACACGTGGTCCATGCGTCCATTCTCTTCCATGTAAGCAATGATAACTAGTCGTAAAATATGTAAACTGTAAAACCCTTTATCCTGATATCTGCCTACTGTAATAATTGCAGTGGTTAGTTTTGCCACTCGATCAACCCAGTCACATCAATTCAAATAACAACAAACAGTGCAACCTCGCTTAACTGCATGCCTTGGCACTCACTCCTTCCTTCCTCGCAAAATCCACAGCCTCAATCATTCACCTGTCGCATCCAGGTGTCCCATTGACCTTGAACCATTAGAGATGTCTCTCTCCACCCCCAGTCTCTCCCGCAAATCCAGCCCTCAACAATACCTCATCACATCCCCCTCGTCCCTCTCCAGCACCTCACTCTTTAATCTTTCCCAGCGCGAACTCTCAAAACGTCTCCCAGCGTCAACTTTTTATCGTGCCACCTTCTCGATCTATATTCGTTGGCTTGAAGTCCACCGCTGCAAGCCGTCGGCCAGGACGGAGCACTGGAGTAATACGGTTATGCATTGGTGTCATAGTTTGGCTTCAAAAGGATTCAGTGTCAAGGAAGTTGTTGAGGAAGTGGAGAGCTGGAAGAGAGCAAACGGACCGTTCGGCGGCAATACTTATAGGAGTCCACCAAGTAAGGAAGAAATCAGGAAGGCTTTTCAAGAGGATCCGAAGGCGCAGTGGGAGAAGAGGCCTGAGAGGGAGGGGGACAAAGACAGGGAGAAGGACAGTGAGCAAGAAAGGATGGGAGATTCGTATAGGCCTGAGTCGAGTTCGAGACGGGATAATACTATGAGGGAGTGGGATAGGAGAGTGGAGGATGAATGGAGAGCGGAGAGAGACTCACGTCGAGAGATTAGGGAGGAGTCGCGCCTAGAGGGTTCAGGAGCACGGCACGATGCCGAGTTGAAAAAGTTTGAGGGGAAGCCACCGCCAAACTACATTTGCAACCGATGTCACGTTCCTGGTATGTTTTCTCTTCCCAGATATGTCTTAAATTCAACTAAGGGCAAGCATCACGCCTCAAACTTATGGCTGATTCCATCCACAGGCCACCATCTCCAAGTCTGTCCAACGAACCTAGACCCGAGCTACGATCGTGCTCCAGATGACAATTACCTCTGTGAGATCTGTCGCAAGAGGGGAAAACACTTCAAATCGCTCTGTCCTGAGAACACCGATCCCTTCTCAATTTTTCAAAAGCGTAGAGCAAGAGGTGTCACCACACCAGCAAACCAACTTAGCACTCGGCGTGACGAACGTGAAAATCAAAGTAGGGCGCGGCGAGAAAGAGAACGCGACCGGCACGAGGGAAGATTGATTGGCCGATTGACGGAAAACTCATCAAACAGCTCGGCTACGAACACTCCGACCTCAGGAAGGAAGAAAGATTTGATAGACAAGGTTCAAGAAATCGAAGACAAGAAGCAGAGACTCTTTCGTGAACAGTCGGACGAAATTGGCGACATGATTCGCGAAAACACAGCGCAGCGAAGTAGTGGGCGCAAGAGAGATCACCAAGAAAACGAAGCCATTTTGATTGACAGCCCTACTTCGAACACGATTCAAGCAAAGAAGAAGGCACGAAGAGAGGGCGAAAATTCGAGCACAGCAAGTCAGCATACCGAGTCATACGAACGCTTCGAGACTGAGCATAGACACAACATCGAGGAATTCGAACGAGGCAGCGACACAGACATGCAAAATCATGCAGATTACAGCTCTCATCATTCTCGCAAATCCACACCGTCAGTTGGCTTCGGCCTTCGACCGATCGGGATGTCTCCAGGTTCAATGATATCCGACAACGAGAGCTCCGACAGCATGGACATCGATGAGCTGATCTCCTGTCCACACAAGGAATACTCGCCTTTTGTCCAAAAACTCATGCGAAAGCACCCAGAGATGAACGAGGTAGTGAACGTTATCAGGAAGCGCAAGACTGCTCGGGAAATGTGGAAGGAGGCTGATAAAGTGCGAAGTCAACAACCTAGAGCAGGGTGAGCACGTCCCGTTGCCATTGAAAATATCGTCTCACTATTACTAGGTCTCCATCAGAAAGAGAGTTTGGTAGACTTACACCGGTAGCCTACGATGCGGATATGACTATGCAATTCGACGGCGCTTGCGATGATTTCGACTACGACCAGACCAGAGACCAAAAAATGACGTCTGTCGACACAGACATATTTTTTGATTCTCGCACGCACCTCATATCCACGATATCTCCATCCCGAACTTCAAACATACCCCAATCGGAAGAGGTCACCATGACATCGACAAACACAAGCACAAACTCTGAAGGCCCTTTACCATATACCTCCGTTGTAGTGACTACACGAGAAACTCAGCCCCCAGAGGAGCCGACAGACGATCGCGTCGTTCCCACCGAACAGTTCCGAGGCTATGCTGCACAGCAGAGACGCAACATCGAAGCAGTCCGCATCAGCAGAGCAGGAAGACCGATCGACCGCCATGAATTGAAGGCTTTCTCAGCGAATTTCAAACTTGCCACACAACCCCCTAAAGATCTCGTTCATACTCTTGCTAAGGTTTCGAAGAACCAGAAGGAGAATGAGGAACATTCGAAACGCAATGCAGCGGGAGCCAGAAAGTGGACTGCAGGATCTGACGCTGGGTATGATGCTGGATCTGAGGCCGAGATTGAGAAAAAGTAGTGGTTGAAAACGTAGCAGAATTTCTTTGCGAATGGACAGTGGAACTCAAAAAACCCGATTTCAGTCTCGGTCGATTTCGAATGCATACTTGCGTACATGGAGAATGGCGCACATCCCGGGGCGGAGGAGATATATCGCGGTTATGTTGACTTCAGCGAGTGGAGGTCGGGGAATTTTCGCATGCGCATACTGGGCATGGCAAAGCATATCTAGCTTGGCGCTCTGGGAACTGAATCATTTGCTTGACTCTACCTCATTATCATGGCTACTTGCCTTCCGTGCAGATGACATTGGTTTGAGTGAAGACCTGGACTCGAGTGGACGTGTAAATCTGTCGGAAATGCTTGGTAGGTAATTACCTAGGTATCTGACATTCGTTCCATGATTCGCCGCGCGCTGAAACTGTTGTAAAGAACTCCTTCCACCTGGACGCCGAACGCCTCCCGATACCTTGCCATGCCCTATCTGCTCGTACAATGCTGTTTCTTGATGCATGGAATCTTGGATATCCGCTCGGCTGCCCAAGATCCTCTCCTACCTCTTCCATGGTATCCTTCCATATTCTCCAACACTCTTCGTTCTGTCCGTCTTATCGACCAGCTTTTGTCGAAGAGCCATATCTCCATAGCTCAGCAAGCCAACCACCTAATCACTAGAATCCCATTCTCCTCTCCTTCCCCCTCTTCTTCCTTTGCCTTTTCCTTTCCTACTGCCTCCGGCTCGGCTTCCATTGGTATATCGGAGAAACGATAACTTCCTCATTCCAATTTGTCCAGATGCTCTAACCGCGTCAAGACGACTTGTTTGCTCGTTTCTTCGATTTCGCCTGCTAGGAAGACTTCGTCGAGGATGGCGTAGACCTGTTTTGTGAGGGAGGTGTTAGCTTGGTCTCTAACTCCTTTCCTTGTCCCAATCCACTTCATCCATACTTCAAGCTCCAACTCCATACGCATAGCATTCCCAAAGCCCAAACAAACACATATTCATTCAGTCCTCTAGCACCCCTCCAGCTCGACCGCCTCCCCAATTAATCTCCGCACCAAACACCAGAAGCACTCAGCCACAGCCTAACCGCAGGGAACCCCTCCAACAGCCAGACCCAAACCTGACGTACCTTATAAAAGTTAAACACCAAATCCAGCTCACACACATTCCCGAAAAAGCTATCCAGCACCTCGACAAAGAAATGTATAGCCTCCAGATACGCAAGCTCGTTGTCATTCGCGTCGACGCAGACGCAGAAGAAGAGGCCCGCGTACCGCCGGTATACAATTTTGTTATTACGGAACTCGACGAAGTTGGATTGGTACTTTTGATCCCGGGGTGCGACGAGGCGGTGGACCTGGGAAGGGGGGTTAGAGAGTTATGGAAGGGATGGAGGAGAGGGGGATGAGAGAGGAGGGAATAAGTACCTCGCCTTTGAGCTTAATTTTCTCTTCGTCGTTGTAAGGCGCGTACCATTTTGCTAGGCGGGTTTTACCTCTGTTTGTTTATCAGCTTAAGTCCCATATTGGCACATTGCATTTAAGGACTGGGATGCCGGTAGCTACAAGCTGGACCAGGAACTGGACGAAGCTATCCAACTCAGGTTCCATTGGCTTGTAGGTTTGGCATTGTGTGATGGAGACTGGAAGGACTTACTGCCGGTTCTGGATCAATATGAATGATAGGACCATCGTGCCTGAATATGGTGCTCTTTGATTGCTGGAGTGGAGGGGCTGTCCTCACTTGGTGAGATGTGAAGTTGAACATTAGGGCAGGCGAGAGGGCCAAACAGCGCAAAGCGGCAGAAGCCCTGAGCTATTCTATCACGGGATCTCGCGAACAGACCACGTTTGATATGATCCTCGACGCGACCTCCAATTTCTTCAACAAAAACAACAAGACATACGAGACCGAAGTTCAGAAGAAAGATGCACTGGTAGCGAAAATGCCCTATCCTTTCACCCCCGAGCAATTGGCCATTGTGGAGGCCGACTTCGCACACTATAAGAGCCATGGATACAAAGGCAATCCAAACGCCAAACGTGCTGAGAAATCAATCACGATGGGGACGACAATGAGGTGCTGGCATGTTGGTCCGAGGTTCCACAGCACTGCTGTTGGGAAGTAAGTTCTATTTTAATGGGGTCAATTTTCCACCCATACAACTTTCAAACTCTGAATATTTGGTTGGAACTTCGCTGATTGTTTACTTTCCAACAGGTATTTTGCCAACCGTATGGCGGCCGAAGCGGGTCGTCCGCGTGCCACGAAAAAGACACCCGAACAACTGGCTATGCTGCAAGAAAGCATATCGGACGATCCGTATCCCTCGCCAGGAGAGAGCATTCTGTTTGCACATTGTACTGGATTGGAATTGAAGCAGGTAAAGCAGTGGTTTGAGAATGAGCGCACGCAGGCAGTGAAGAATGGTGAGATGTTGTTGACGCGGAATGGGGATGCGGACGCTCATGCTACGAAGAAGTTGATAGCTATGTAGTAAGTGATTTCTGACGTTGTAGTGCACGGATGGCATGCTGACTGAATTGTTTCGTAGTAAGAAGGACCCTAGTGGCACGGTGAAGAGGTTGAAGAAGGGCAAGATTAATCCTGTTACTGCGGAGGTCAAGTCTTAAGGCTATGTGATGAGAATACTGTTATGATGAAACGACGAATGTTTGTGGTTTGAGAGAAGATATTTGGATTGGATGCAGCCTGTATTTCTGACACATCTCGAAATCATCTACAACACAATTTGTATATTATGTATAAACACTTCCAGCAAGTTCAGTGCAATGTAATTACTGACCGATATATTAGTTCGAGCAGTCTAGAGGTTAGTCCGAGGTTCTATAGTATACTGTTTGGAAGTAAGTAGAATCGTATGAAGAAAGTCGCTGACAGTGCTGAACAGGTTGACTTTCAGCCAAGCCAAGTGTGCACAACCATTTGAGCGCCAGGTCATGTTGTTCTCCTTTCGAGTGCGGCAACGAACATAGACCTTTAAAACCTGGCCAGTCCTGATCGAGATTCCATTTGGAACAACAAGGAACATTTGGAACAATGAGATCGCGCTTGGAACAAAGCCACCTTTGATGTGCAGAGAGGGTCTCCTTAACGCAAACTTGGGCAAGCAGTATCAGGGACAATTGGCCATGTATTCTCCGAAGACAATTTACAGTATCTCCATTAACGTGTGCCTCTAATTATTCCCCTCCTATCTACAGTAACGCTTCTAAAGCCTTCGCAGTCTCAATCACGCTCGTCTCATAATCAATATATTTCAACCCCGTCACCCTACGCGCCTTCTCCCCACTCACCCTATGTTTCCCCTCCTCATAATCCAGTCCCTCAATCCTCCCGGTGCTCGCATTATACCCTTTGTATCCCTTGCCTGGCTCACCCACGACGATCTTCTCACCAATACTCGTCCCCTTGTACTCTCTCCTCAAGATATCCGCCACCGCCTGCAATGGCCCGAATCCTTGACATGCATTGAAGCGTTCGCCGTCTGCTTTCGACGCATTCTCGTAAGCCCAGATATGCAGGAATGCAACGTCACGCACGTCGACGAAACCGCCACTGCCGATGTTGGGGCCGATTTCTTTGGCCGATCCGGAGAAAACACCAAAGAAGGGTTTGAGTGTCTCGTTTAGCTGGTCGCCGGAGCTGGGGAGGTAGACTGGGGGACCGATTACGACGGATGGGTTGATGGTTGAGATTGCAAATTTGGGCTGTAGTTTCATGTCAGCAAGAAATTTCTTGTCTTGAGTACAGACTTGAGGAATCAACCAGGCTTACTTTATGCTCATCTCTCCACCTCCAAACCTCCCTCTCAGCAGCAATCTTACTCGCACTGTATAGCACCCCAGCCGGCGTCTTGACACCCTTAGCTTTATCTTTCTCCGCCTTCTCCAAAGCAGAAGTCGCGAAATCAGCCTCGGTGAATACGGATCCCGCGGGCTTGCTTGCATCAACAACAGCGGCTGCTGAGGACGTGATGACGACAGAGGATAATTGTGGACCGGCTTTGAGAGCTGAGTCTAGGATAACCTGGTTACCTCTTATCGCGGGTATGATGAAGTGCGAATAGTCGGTTAAAGAGAAATTGATTGGCGATGCGGTGTGCATTATAGCGTCAACATCTAAGAGGCTGGTTAGCACGTGTTTTGGTATTCTGAGTTTGGATAGGGTACCTTTGGCGGCCTCGTCAAAAGCACCATCGATTGTCATATCTGGTACTTCATAGATCTTGACTCGGTCAATGTATGCTGCATATGGTCCTTTCAGAAGCGGTTCAGCTGAAGCTGCTCGTCGCGATGTCCCGCGAAGACTGTAGCCCTTTGTGAGGAGCCTGAAACCGAGGACACTGGCGATGTAGCCGTTAATTCCTGTGACCAGGACAGTTTTGCCGTTGCTTTCCGGGATAGACATGTTTTTTTTTGCTTAATGCGCAATATGAAATAGGACAATAGTGTTTGAATCTGAGGCTGGGAGAATAGGTGGGGTAATTTCTTGAGATATCTTTCGGATGCTAGAAGGAACGTAAGAACAAATGTATTAGAAAATCATCCAAGCCTTGGAGCGTAGTCACTTTTATACGTCCCAGCACTGGCCGGAGTGTATATTAATTCTTACCCTTGCACTCGCTCAACGCGGAGTTTACGGTACGCAGATAAGAACATAGTTCCAAAGAAAGCAATGCAGATCCAATTTGTCAGCATTTACCTTGTTTATGACGTGCTCATCAACGATGTAGAGATTTACCAGGACGGGTAGCTGGTGCGATATGCATGCGGTTCTCGGGTTGCGGTTCAAGGTAAGATGTGTGGTGCAGGGTCTGATGATGTGTGGTTGCGTTGTAGTGGTAAAGCAAGGGACTTGGCTGATTGCTTATCACTCCGAGGTTATCGGCGCTTGAGGTGAGGTTGTTTACTCATCACAGATGATTTCTCTTCTCCTTTGATTTGATTTATATCAGTGATTTAGACAACTTAAGTGGCGATGATAACGATATGTAAATCCAACTTCTCTCAGATAGGTACCTTAGGTACGCACGGTTTCGCTGCCCTCTCAGGCGTTTTTAGTCACATGCTTCTCACGTGAACTATGCATCAAAGTCGGAGCAGATCTGCGTATTGGTGACTTTGTGCTTGATCTGTACAGACTTGCGCAGAGGTTTGCAGAGATGAAATAAGTGTTGGATGGTTTTGATGTCTCATGTAATCATAGTTCCGAACGCAGGGACTCAAATAGTGAGGTCCGCTGCAGCACATCCCTGTGACCTCACGACCGTGCAAGCCGGAAGATATGGAGAATACTTTCTTCTATTCCTAAATACGACCTGTAATCAACGGGAGTCTATCATCAAGCTTCCGTTCAAGCTTTGCAATTTCCAATTGATTTGGGGAACAGTGCGACTCAGGATCAATGTTGTTCTTATTCTTCTGTACCACCATCCTGCCCTCAAAAAGGAGCGTTCGGGGCTCTACGATAAAGTCAATCCACTTGATAGTGAACAAGCAGATAAGGTTCGTGCTGTCTCGTCTCATGTCAACATCAGACAACGAGCTTCTCAGCACCCATATCACAACTCTCTGGACTTTTTGACATCTTTCAGACCTTGGTCATGATCAGATGAGGGGCTGGCCACCCCTTGTCTAGTCTTGACCAAGGCCAGACTGATGAAAAGAAGGAAGGAGCCGGGATCAAGAGAAAAGCATCAAATTCTCTCCCAGGTGCTCGACGCAGCCAACTGCGCACTTCAACATTCCCTCTCATCATGCTGATCAATCAAACAGAGTATGCATTGCTTCCAAGTCGCTTTTTGTTCGTGCCGTTGAAGCGCTCAAAGTTCAAATGGCAAAGCGACATGATAGTACCACCTCAATACAAGCATGTCTCGCCGCCACCTTAACTCCATATCAGACAGTGAAAATGTGGTCATGATTGAGCCCTGCCAAGCTCCACTTACAGCAGCGGCTTCAATTTCATACAGGCGCGCGATCTGTTCAAGGGGGGCCTGCATAGCGGTACTCTCGAACATTTTCGTACAATTTTGTGCTTCAGAATTGTGTAACATGGATGTATATCTTTCTGGTGCCTTCGTTTAGTTTTTCATTTGGTAATTTCGCCAATCATCATCTCTGAATATCCCATACAAAGGCTGACATCACATCCAGGTACAAGGTCTGATAGTCCCTAGTTGCGATCCGGGGTTCCGCGAGCAGGTCTGAGCAACTCTACGGAAAGCACTTGTAAGACCTTACTTGCCGTGGAACGTATGGGGTTCGTGAAGCACAGGTACTATGCAAGGTCTTTGGGATATACAAGCTTGCAACCAAAAATAGAAGGGTAGGTCTTCTTGTACAAGATCTTACTTGGGAAGAATAGGACTAACTGGATAAAGTTGTAATAGGTTTACAATCGGAGCGCAGAGGTGTCCCAAATGGCTTCTGTGTCTCAGTCCGCTTGGCTACTTTCTCTTCTGATGGCCTCTTTCCCAAATAAGTCACCTTGCATAAATCTGTGTGTAGCGGAATCTTCGCCTGCTTGTGCTTTGCGGACACGGTGACTGAAATTTCAGCTTCCAGACATCCTTTTCGAAGATTACGCTCAACATGCTTTTTTTTCTGGGCAACTTCAACTCGGAGCCGTCAAGGATCTAGTTCATAGAACATTCTTCTTGGGTGGCGTTGGGGGCTTCCATGTTCTGGGCTGAAGGGTATCTTCTTTTCGGTAGGCTGTTGCATTCTTGTGTTCTAGGGGTTCATTCTGCACTTTGTCAACTCGGAGCCTAGAAGACAACCTCTTCTTGGGTGGTGCAGCTTGTTCCTGGGGAGGAGACACAGAAGTGTTACTTTGATCATTGCGAAAGCCGACAACGGCGTCTTCGCGTCATGTCCACTTCCGTTCACGAGTCTTTGTCTCAACAGCTTGGCTCTGAGTGGTAGGTACCAAAGAAGCATTTCGGTGTGGAGGTACAATACTGAGGACGCATCCCTCTCTTTGGAGTTGGGTGATGAGGTAGATGGATGTGGTAGAAGTTGATGTTGAAGGGTTGTTCGGGCTGGACGCAGTCGCTGAGGCCATGATACTGAAAGGAAAGAAGCTCTTTCTTGCGGTGAGCTTTCCTCTTCCTGACGTGTTTGGATGTTGTTCCTTCCAACCGAGCCTGGTGTTCAGCGGGTGGGTGGTGCTGGTGCTGTGGTGTTGGTGATTGTGATGTTACAGCTGGGTGGATTGTGTACTGTTTTGGTTTGGTGTTGAGATGGTGGTTGCGTTTGGCGTTAGATGTAGGAAACGAGCCGTACAATTGAACAACATCAGAAACGCTCAAGTCCATTCTGTTGAATTTGTGTTGTTTGCTTTGACCATTTCACGACTTCGCTGTGGGCTTGAATTTTCTTGGCGGATTCAAAGTAAGTGTTCATGATATCATAAGAAACCTACTAATCTCCATCCAGTAACCCGAGATACATCATGATGCACAGCTGCCGCTACCACATTTCAGCTGTAGCAGGGGCAGTCATTGGAATCTCGGAGATTTTAAAGGACTTGGGTCAGCTTGACCACTCGGACTGAGAATGTTATGTGCCGATACATCGCAGCAAGTCTCGTAACGTGGACCTATAACCAAGAATGGTCGACCATAACTCCCCGAGCACTGGTACTTAGCAGTGTGATTGGTGGCTTTTACCGTCCCTTGCGTTGATGTCGATCGATAGCGACGCGCCAATATCGATGACAGCTGCGCCTCATTCTAGGCGGCATGGCGGCTTGTAACCTTCTTCTGACTTCATCTGTAAGTTCCCGATCGTCTCAGAGACCTCCACAGGCTGTTACTCTCTAATACTCTCTATATAATCAATCAGAAACTGAGAATAATAGGCATAAACAAAATGGACAAATTTCCGTCATAAAATGGGCAGAGAAAGAGCACAATACTTCGAAGACATGTCTGAGATTACAACGCTGCAAACGCCAACCAGGAGCTTTCTGTGACTTGTTCGCTGAGGCCCGACTTTAACAGGAAGATTCCACGAATCTCAACACCTTCTGGCCTGTCCAGTAAACGCTTTGTTGTTGATGTGCAGAGGCTGCTCAGAATCTGGAGTAATGAATTCGGAACTTCTCTTGGCGGTCACACAGCATTCCGAGTACGGCCGTATCAGCAGCGAAGATAAGCAGAGTTATCAGATAACTTGATCACAAGAACTCATTATTTGGAAGTAGCAAAAGAACATGAGCACCAGCAAATTGACCGGAGGAAAAGTGTACCCGACTTGGATCTCGAATTTTCTCAACTGTGCCTCGGTGATATGGAGAAGCTTAAAAACTTAACAATATCGCGAGGACCAGAAGTAGAAGGATGAAGGATACCATGTATTATGCCTGAATCACAGGCGGATACTTCGTTCTATCAAGACCAATGTTCAGGAATGCCAGCGGGGTTCAAACATATCAAATCAAGATATATCAACAAAGGCCACCATGTATGTCCGTCGACATGAAGCAAATTACGAAAAAAGCAAGGAGATGACGCAACGAAAAGATTTAAAAGCAGGAAATTCGAAGAGGACTCATGACTCCGTCATGTCCATCGAATGAAAGTCAGCAGAACTGGATGGATTTTGCAAAACTGGCGCCGAGGAAACGTCCTGTCAACCTCTGGCAAACAAACATCTCAGCGAAATCGCTGGTGGCAGCTGCCTATCGAGACAGAAAGGCGTAGATGCTTCTGATCCGAATGAGCCGCCAACGCTGTCCAAAAGTTCGGATCGAAAGGCCGATTTATGACCAGCCTCAGCATCGGAGATGGAGTGCTCCGTACTGAGTCGCCGCGTGCCAATTTATTTCCCCTCCATGTTGATGGAATCATGTTGTCCAGATTATGGTTCGTTTCTCTAAGGTGCATCGTTATGGCCAGAAAACCTCCCATGTCTTCTTCTTCGGCGTCTGGAACCAAAAGCTCGTAGAGGAGCAGACCGAACGTCGAGAACACCGCGGCTGATCCATAGCGAAGATTGCGGGTGGTTCCTACCGCAAAGTATGCTCGACTTTCTTTACGGATGCTGGTTTCGAGTGAGGAGGGTGATCCGGAGTCATGTCGAGTCGAAGTGCTTCGGTGTGAAGAAGGTATTTGGGCGCTACACAACAGTGGAAATCGTCAGGAAGGCACAGCAGTTCTTGAGCTTCCCAATGGTGTCTGAAAGGTAATGTAGAGACACAACCCCCGTCCCCCTTAAATCCATGAAGAAAATCCGAAAGCAACGGGACAGTGCCGAAAATGAAGTCGAGGAGAATTCGTAGAGTCGCAGACATGCTTTGATGGATGGAGGCCGTTCATGACAACAAAAACTCTTCACGGTCCTTCAGATGAGCAGCTAGTATCTGCAGATCGACGACGACGATTTGACGCGACGTTCTCCTGTTTTGAGACTCAGGGGGTATTGCATCTGGCGACAACATAAGCGATATCCTAGATGGGATGCCCTCCCCTGAGACACTTCCTCAGGTTACACAGCTGGGCTATGGCATATGCTCCTTCCACATTAGACATACACACGGGACTGCCATCGTTTCGCCCACGAATACGAAATTGGCCTTCTGATTACTTAACCTCGTCAGCGAATGACGCTGGAGATTTGGCGACGCTGATCAGCCATTGCCACGGTTCTGGTAAGATCTGACGAGCCGGCGTCAGAGCTCTAACCTCATGGATTCGTATTCATGTAACAGGACGAATGGGGTTATTGCCTGTTTGAGGTGTACTGAGTGAGCTGGGTTTCTTTTTCTCACGGGTGAGAAGGAGAATGACGGGGGGATATTATTAGTTCTATATTTGTTGACGAAAATGATATGGTTTATCATTAGCGTCTAGAAAGGGCAAATGTTGATACATAATCAGAACCAAAGCAAGAACAAAGATAACTTATAGAATCACTGGAGGCTGGATCTGATTGTACCTCCGCATGCGGCTGTTCACTTGCTGATCTCTTCGCCTAGGCAGCTATCTGAGCTGTCACCGAGCCTCTGTGCAACCCCTTTCATATGCCCATGATTACACTCTGAGAGTGTCACTGCCGTCAAGGACTCCGGCTCGCTCAGCCAGGCAGGCTATCGGTAGAGCTCGGCGAAGCCTTGAAGCGCCTGGCAGCTCGGGGTTCACCATGCATACGGTATTCCCCTGAGGGGTCGCCTTAACTCTGCCCCGAATGTAGAAGTATGAACCCGGAATATCTTTGCCGTAGGCACGGCCGGCGGGTTGGGGTTTCTTGGGATGTGCTGAACCAACCCTTTCGCTTTTCCCGACGCCATATGAGAATAGCCCTACATTGGCTCTTCAACTTGGATGAATCGAGGCGCAGCAGTCAAAAGGAAGTGATCAAAATATCGTTCCATTCTCCCAAAGTGCAGATTGTGGTTGTGGAAGTCCAGGTCCCTGATTTCAAAGCAGTGTGCTCAGCTTCGCCCCAGCCTTCTATCCCGAGAGTCGTTCCGAAATATCATTCTACGACCATATACATTCGCACCTGTGCATCAATCGGAATAATCTGCAGAGCTATGGTTTGTAGCGCACAATCTGGGGAAGCCCTGTCCGAGCTGCAGCGACATACTTTCGGAGAATAATAGTCCACGATATTTGGAAGCGAAATCTCCACGTAATCCTGCCATCAGATCCGCGTGTCAACTCTAATCATGTGGAGCGTATACCTGCCGCATGCATCTGGTCCCTAAGAATTGTGTGTGGAGAGTGATGCCAAATTGTTGTCGTGTGGAGAGACTTCGCCACTGGTTCGGGCAGGCTTGTTGTGATTGAATCCATCTGGCTCGACTTGAAGTTGGAAAGGATCCTTGGGGGACAAGCGAATGAATATCTCCTGCCACTGATAGATTCTACTGGCCGTAATACTGATTTCCGAGAGCTCGGCGGGCTTTGATGTTCTCGGAGCCGTTCCCAGAAGCTGATGTCGCCATGAATTATCCGCCATCAACTCCCTTCAATGTGCCGATACATCCATTCCTAGATTCACGAGTCAGTTGACCCTGGAGGGAAAAGCCTGGTTCAAAGGATAGGCCCAGGCTCTGGGATATAGGTAACCCTGGACACACTCCCAGGCGAGTGGTTGGCATGTGTTACTTCTCTGTTTGCCCTTGGAATGATGCCAGGAGTGAAGTCCGAGATCTGCCGCAGCTACTTTGAACACCGCGGTTTTCTGATATGGTGATTTTGGGTAGTAATCGAATCTCCATTGATTCTCAATCGTAAGAAGGAGTAGAAAGGGCAGCCGGTGTTGATTGCCGCAACGATCTAATCCAGGTTCAAAATAAAATTCCAATTATGGAGCCCGAAGGAAGCATGCCCGGCATTTAGTGACCCTGCAACACATCTTGTGCGTGCATGAGGAGATAAAGATGCTCTGCTGGATGCAGCAAGGCTTAGAAGGCGCCTCGCGGTCGTTTTCTGTTACCAACAGAATCTTGGCGGTCATACGAAGAAGCAATTCCCTGGAAGTCGGTGATAGTGCCACCAAAATCCTCCGTTCTTGGCTTTTTCAGTGTCGATGTATCAAAACACAGGTGTCCTGAAAAACCGATACATCCGTCAGAAGGGTCCTTGATACGGTCTACTTCCAGAAAGGAATCAAGCGTGAATATTTGGCCCCTGAATGGGAACGGACCGGTGTACCGGATTTGTCGAAACCAAATGACCCCAATGCACGGGGATTATTCATCCCCAGATGTCTGGTTAGTGCATGGGCTGGATATTGGCGAGCATGACGACGTCTATCAAGAATCAGTTCATACTCTACGTACCCCAGTGCGGCAAATGAGGCATGATTGAATGAGGCACTTACCTGATGGAGCACGAAGGTTTGGAGCGAGATTTGTCACAATCCTCCTGACGCCGCTGACACTGCAGCCAGGATGTGGGAATATTCGGGAATGACTTGGTCTTTATTAATATTTCCAATACATTGCATTTCTGTAGAGTATTTCAGTATTCTGAATCACTTGGTCTGATGTGTGTGTTGGTTGGTAAGATTTTAGATGAAAGCCGTCCACCACAGTCAGCTGCATCGAGCAGCAGCGGCTACGGCCGCAGAGACAACCATCTGGCTGCATGTAGGGACGAAATCTAGTTGGCGACTCATAACTGGCGAATCGTCGATCGCCCAGCCCAACTGTCGCTGTATAGCAGCTCGTCCACACCAAATTAGGGCGGCTGTATTGTTGTCACGGCGGTCCAACCTTGACCATTTAACGAATATGCACCCACCGCCACTGGGAAGAGAGGTGGATGGATTCGATTTCTTGGGCAATACTCCTAGTCGCCACAGTGTGGATACCGTCCTACCTATGGTCGCGTGAAGTAGGTACTTCTTGTGGAGGCCATGCAAGCTGAAATGGTCTTGGATATCATAAAGAGGGCACATCGCAACTATTAAAGTTCTGCTTTGTCAAAACCTCGTTGCTCTCAACTCTAGTAGCCTCAACGCCTATTCTTGTATTTCAGATCATCACTCGATAATTCCGCTGTTGGGATGATATGACTGCACAAACGACAATGTCTCCTGTTCGAATTCCGTACCGGCCTGCCGGTGTCCTTCCGATTGGCATCCCACCACTCAACTTGTTCAGAATGTGGGCGCACTCACCGTCGACATTACCCCACGCGATTTCTCTTGGGACTGCCTGCTTTCGAGACACTTCTCTCTCACCTTACCAACGAGAACTGGTTTGCTTACTCAACGCCCAACGTCTCTGCTGTGAATATCAATGCAAGCAACACATTCAAATTGCAAGGACAACTGGGGTATCAGATAGCCAGATCGAAGCACTGAGTACCGGGGATATTACATCTGACGTGTGGTCGAATCAGGAGAAAGCGTTACTGGCATTTGTTGACGAGGTTATTGCCGGTCCAGAGGTTAGCGATCTGGTGTTCGATAATGCGAGAAGATGCTTCAGTGATCAGACACTAGTCGAAGTGGTCACTATGCAGGTAAGCGGTATCCGTATGACGGTTTGTTGAACTCACTGAGAATTTAGGGCTTTTATTACAGTCTAGCGAGAATCGCGACGGTGTTCCGGGTGGATATTGAGCATTCTAGGGGCGATGCTCAAAGACCACAGGAGGCAAAGAATGGTCAAGGGAGCTAGAAGGTTGAAACCCGAGGCGCAAGGGTTCTGATATCGGGCTGCTTAGAAGACATGATGATTGTCGGCGTTCTGGTTATTGGGTTGCGGGTACTGGGTTTAGGGATAACTAGAGTGCTGATATGATGCTGCTCCCCGATTTGGGCAGACAATGTGTGCGGAAATGAGAATTCAAAACAGGTCACATCACCGGATTGGGCAAATGATGTGTGCGGACAAGAGAGTCCAGGACTGTGAGAGCTGTATCGAACCTGAGGTGCAAATTGTTGCTGGTTGGGGTCTGAAGACGTGCTTGTACTTTGAAACTAATCATGATCTGCCATTAAGCCCTCCGTTTCGTGAAGCTCAGTTCCCGCCTGCACTGCAGAATCCTGTGTGAGATCTTGCTTTAGGACCTCAGCACACCTTGCAGCATCGCCCCGTCCCTTCTCTGCGTCAACGAGCAGTATCAGCGGCGCTGGCAATGCAACGAGTATAGCCAGAAAGACGAAAGCTGGTCTGATCTGCCCCGTTGCGTCTATAATTGCTCCAACTACTGCAGGGCCCACAGCTGAGCTTCCTTTGTCTGTGATAGCGTATAGAGCGTAGAATGCAGCCTCCTTCCCAGGTGGGATTAACAAACCAAAGAAAGACCTGCAATAGGAAGAGAGGCCACCCATGACGAACCCATGAATGAACCCTAATACGAGTTTACCGATTAGGATGGCAATTCTAAGTATTTGAGATTCACTAGCACTCACCGAGCGGGTAGATTTCCCATGCCTGTTGCAGTCCTCCTACGCCCCAAGATTTTACAAACGGGATGTAGCCTAGGAGACCATACAGGGGTATTATTTCCATTAAGGCGATGCAAGCGACGATGGTTCGATTGGTCTTCAGCTTGAAGTGGCGGGATATGATCGGCCAGGTAAAAGCACCACAGATCCCAGAGGAAGTGGCGGTGATTGACAGAAGTGCAATAGCGACAGTGCCCATCTTCAATTCTGTGCGAGCGAAGAGTATCGCAGTCCCTGATACTGTCGCGATCGCATCGGAAAGTAGGAACCTTTAATGGAGCTTGTAAGCCTTGGGGCTGCCTGGGGACATGCGAGCAAGGGAATGCTTGATTTGATCATCGACATGCACGATCAGCAAGGGGAACAGCTTACCACGCGATCAAGAAAATAACCATTTGCCTTAGCTTTACAGCCATCTTTATAGTCTTCCACACCGAACCCCAAGCAAAAGCTACGTATGCGACGCATGTTTTCCAGGACTTGGCACTTGAGATTGCTGGGAGCGGTGGACCAGGGCGGTCACGAAGCCAGATCGAGGCGGGAATGGTAAAGCCCAGCCACCAGGACCCAACCATGAACAAGACAAGACGAAGAGGAAACGTCGAAGAGACTGATAGTTTTGACATGCCAAATAGCAACATTATGCTGAGCACTTGGACGAAAACTGCTGCGACATATCCAATGCCGACCCCCTTCGAAGATATCTTCGTGGAAAGTTTGAGTGCTGTGGAATCCATATGCCCGCTCCTGGGTTTATAAGTGGCGTCCCGGCTCTCGTCTATACTCGAAGACACCAAAACCCCAGAGTCTGAAGAAATGGTCGCCGATGCATCTTCAGAGTCTCCAACACTATCTGGAACATGCGGGTGGTTTGCTACGAGTAGCGGCAAAAATGAATTAAGAATAACAAAGGATGAACCGAGACATGTTACAGCGACCACAGCTAGAATAGAGGCTACGAGGAAAATCTGAGGAACAACAAAAATGAAGAGCGCAGACGAGATTCCACCTGCTACGCCAAAGCCGATGAGAAATTTCTTTCGGTAACGCCCTGCCAGTGGTGAGAAGTGCGCTTCAGCGTTCAGAATGACTAACCATGGTCTGCAACAGCACTGAAGGAAACAAGTGCCAGAGCCTGGACAAATACTGCTAGGGAGAACGTGTAGAGCGCAAATGACGAGGTGGTCATGTTTCCCAGAGCAGGAATTACACACTGATGATTGGTGTCCTGGTGGGTATCGGATACAGCGGCCCTGACAAGTAATCCAGCCACAGAAGCCGCTCGAGTTCCGCTATCCGGTTTGACCACACATGGTGTGGTTTTGTCTGTCCACAACACTCCTCTCTCCCTAGCTAGTTGTTCCAAAGCCACCGGAAGGAAAGATCCTGCCAGCAGTCAGATTTGAAATTTGTGACAATGGCAAAGGTCTTTACCGACTCCACACACCGCAAACACTTCAGCGGCCATTCCATAGGCGTAAAAACCTCTCAACTCTCGGGATGTGGTTGGTGAGGTATCTTCTCCCACATATCTTGGAGCTCGCCGTCTTGAGGACCCTTGTTCCATCGGATCAATTTGAGCAGACAATGTACAATCAATACACGGAGTATATCAGCGGAGGTGAGCAAATTTAACGATATGACTGTATCGTCCCTCGTGTGAGAAATCTGGAAGGAGTAGATAGTGTCTTTACATTACTAAGGACTTCGGAATGCCGGCAATGTTCCTATCGTGTTGATGACATCATGTAGAGCTTTGACAGAGACTGTGAAGCTGAGAAAATTGTATACTGTTTGAATGAAATGGAATATTGCCTTGAAAAACAACCCAATGCTGGAATTACATGTGATTATTTTGGGACAGCTACCCATGATGCAGGTACATGGAGGTTTTGTGTGGTGAAGAGACGCCACAGACGGGAGAGCGGCGAGGCGGCAGTGACGGGCAGAATCGCTGAAAGCGGGAAAGCCATATCTTACTTCAGCCATGGAACTTCTTAATTACAACTTCACCCCTTCAACACCATGACATCCATGGCCGACAGTAACCGATATGCGCTTCGAACACACACGGATTAAGTATCTTTCATCTGCCAAAGTTTGGGAGCAACACGGAAGCTATCTTGCGTACGTGGGTGCCGGCATCAATCATTCTCGAAATGTTCCCCTCCACACACGACAGCCACCCAGCATGGTCTACGAGCGAATAGGAAGTCGGCATACAAGGCGGCGAGATATCATAAAGACGTGTAGTACGTGAAAAGATACTGAATCGTTGTCGTTATGTCGATTGGGCCGTAGCCTCTGGCATTCTTGCTGGTTACCCGGGACAAGATGCCGTTCAAACCTTTGGCGCAAACGAAAATTCCTTGCCAAGGCTGGTTGTAACAGCATACAATCTTGCCTCTCTCGCATCATGTGGATTTGTGGCTTGCTCAGGCCGTAATCGTACTCCAGGAGAGGCTACTGAATCACTCTCCTTTTCTGGACACCTATAACCGGTAGTCGTTGAGTTGTATCTTTTCAGATATCAACAGAATCTCGGCTCGTACCTGAGTAAGCCCTCAGGTGTGGAGCCTGCTTTATTTTCGGAGATATAGGCTCCTCTAATGGTGGAATGCAGCAAGTCTATTCGACAAGGCTACGCCGCCAAGGGTATCAATTCTCAACGCCTTGCGAAGTGCAAGGACGCGTCACTTCCATTGGCATGGCAATATCTCGTACTCTCGATCCGGTCGTGTTGCTGATTAACCACGATTGGGGATGCTTACGGAAGGTAACTCCGGTGATACACCGAGGATGACAATTATTATTGAATGGCCTCTTTTTGGTGTATCCATTTGATAAAGTAACTCACTGGCCAGGCTGATGTTTGCGAGATCGGCTCCAACTATGGTGGATGCCGCGCTCAGTGATCCATCGTCTCATATTACCTGGGAATAGAAAGGGCTGCTACATATGGATTGGTCTTGAACAAGGAACTCGATCTGTACTAACCGTATATATGATCAGCGGTAGGGTCACCTATTCACGAGCGTTGTGACCTCATCGTATCCGAGCTCTCGGGAAATGGATCTCCAGTTTCCCGGATAGACCTGCCCACATAGGCTATGCGAGCACCTTCTCTCCGACCCGTTTGGTACTGCGGAAAGATAGATATCAGTTCGTGGCTGATTCTCGTTCCTTCATCAATCGCAGGATGACGCTTTTCATAAACGCACAATTGTGGAGTCCAAAACCGACGCCACTGGTAAGGGAAACCATCCAGCCATGTGAGAAGCTAGTGGATATGGCACGATGCGCACATTCCTGAGCGCCTTTACTGGCTTTCTTTCCACTTGTTGCCTTGTCATTGTCATCGGGGCCTCCACTCTCGGATAGTTGAGTAAGGAAGCTCCATCTTTCATCCAATATAGTTGCCATATACGTTTCCCATACCGGTTTCATATTCTGTCCTCTCCATGCATGTATAAGTACCCCCTTTTCGATTCTTCCTCACAATTCCTCTTGACCAAGCACCTCTTGAATCAAGTTTCCCTTGCCCTTCTGATTCTTCGTCTTCACCAGATGAAACTTCTCCTGTCTCCCCCAAACCCACTCCCAGCCTTTCTCTCCACCGACCCAGCGAACATCTTCCTCCTGATAAAACATCATGGTGGCATTTCTTTCCGGTACAAAATGTTCCACCGACAGCTCAATACTATAATAGGTCCTATTCAACAACGGCATATCACCCAGCACAGGCACACCATCCTGCAAATTGGTCATGCCAATCAAGGTTCCGGCTGAGTGTCCCCAATCGCCGATCGGATGGCAGTAGATCTTGCCTTCGAAACCCTCGCTGTGCATTTGGTCGAGACTGGCTTTCAGGATGTCGTTGCCGGATGTGCCGACTTTCATGTGTGAGATGACGATATCTTGGAGGCGGTTGGCTTTTGCAAGACCGGCTTTGAGACCTGCCGGGATGGCGGTCTCGTCTTCGTCGGGGTACAAGACGTAGGCTAGGTGTTGCGTGTCTGTGGTAAGACCAAGAGCTGTGACGCCGACGTCGACGTGGAGCACTGGAGTTGTTAGCACTGCCTGGGGGAGAAGAGTTCTGGATGCGGGGTGAGTGTGATACGTACTGTCACCGTACTGGATGATGTCCCGTTTCCTGTTCACGGAAGGCTCCTCAATGGCATCAGGAGGACCAAATATTGGCTCAGTACCAATAATGTTCACATCTGGCTGAAACCAAGTCGTGTAGTTTTGTTCCTGGATCTTGGATCGCATCCACCATTCAACATCCTTCAGTCAGCAAGTCAGCAATCCTCCAAGCTAAATATCAACCCCTTTCTCAACCACCACCGGGGGTAACCGACTTGAAAATGACAAGTCAACAAAACCACCCGAACAAACATACCTCTGTGCTCGTCACCCCCGGCTCAATAACCCTCTCACTGAACGCCTCCGTAATCATTGCCCAAGCCGTCTCCTGCAATTTACGATACCAGTCCAACCTCCCCTCAACCATAGTCCCAATATAATCCACAGCCACTATCGGACGTTGCACGAAGCGATCAGTCCATTTTGACTCCAGATTCTGATACAGCTCGCTGAGCTCGCCGACATGCAAGCCGCTGCTGAAGGCGATAGTGGGGTGAGTGTTGATTGCGATGCTGTGGGGGTTTTGCATGCGGAGGATGTGTGTGATGGATGTGTAGACTTCGGGGGTGTTGTCGATCCAGGAATATGCTGAGGGCGTGCCGGGCTTGGGGTTGGCGATGAAGAGGTTCATGGTGCGGCGGCGAGCGGAGAATTGCGTTGCTGATTTGAGGGACCAGAAGGCTGTGTCTTCGGCGTATTCTCGTTGGGTCATCTATTGATATCGTATGAGTTTTTTTCTTGCAAGTCATAGCCAAGAGAGGAAGTGAAAATGGGATGAAATGCATCCGGCTCTCCGTCCATCTCGCTTCTCATGCCTCATCAAACAACAACACAGAAGTAATTGGCGCCAGAACAAAACAAGAGCACAGCAGCAACCGAAATCAAAACGCACCCTCGTCCATTACCAGGCCCCAAGATGCCTCACCACCCAAACAAACAATCAAATCAAGATCACGTGTCTAACCTTCCCCTGTCACTCAAGCTCTCCTCTTCAGCTCCAGCAAAACAAGAAACGGTAAAAACCTACAAGCCAAGCATCAACCCCATACCTCCTCAAAATATTGGGTATATTCTCTACCCTCTCATCCCTCCACTTATCCTGGATCTTTGCGCTCTCGCGCAGGCTGGGAAGGGTCTGGTATTGTGCTTCGCGGGATGGGCTGGAGCTTGGAGGGGTGAGACTGAGAGTGGGGTTGATGAGGCTTAGGGTGATGGAGATGATTGAGGGAAGCCACATTTTGGGGGTAGGGAGTGGGCTTGGGGTTGAGTAGTGGATCGTGAGGGAATTGGGTCAAAGTATGGCTGTTCAGGTGAATGAGAGGGAAGCTTGGGATGGTAAGGTAGATGAGGATGAGTGAGTGATGGTTGGGAGGTGGTTGGAGATGCTTGGCGCTCAGATTGCAGGCAGGGAAGTGAACGCAGTTCAGGTTACACAGGTATGTAAGCAGAAGCACATTTCACCACCTTGTTCATTTTCTACTCTTCTCAATCCATACCTTGCAATTCCTTCACCTGCCAGCTTGAGCTGTCGCTATTTTGATGTGTAACGACCAGCTGCAGGGCGTTCAAGTTGGGAAATATAAGACTATCATCAGCTTTGAGCTGCCTCACCCCGCCAATTGTCACGTCTGATAACGAGTATTTCGTCCTTTACCTGTGGCTGAAGCTCTGAAATTCATTTTCCTTGTTCACCACCCATGCTGTTGAGTAGCAGTCTCGGCTCTTCTGAGCTTTGCACTCACAAGCAGAAGTTACGAAGTGCTTCTGGGATGAAGCTTGGGGCTGGATTTGCAGGGTTTGGCTGGATGGAACATCGGAATCTTAAAAGTGCATGGCAAAGTACCATTCAGCTGCATGCCAATTCGATGTATCGATAATGGAAATGGGAAGTCTGTAAGTATACACATTACATAAGTAGAGCTTGCAAATGCAATATGTAAGGCAAACGCATTTCATTCGTTTCGTATCTACCCATCGATGCAAGAATGCAATTTCGATACAATTACAAGTCATCAATTCTCCTCGCCGTTCAGTTAACCATCTTATTCGAGCTTCTCCAAGTCGCAATATCCTGCTCACTCAACTCCCTCAACTTATTAACCGCAGGAGCCTTGCCCGTAATCACACCCTGCGCCATCTCGGCCGCCCGACTAACAGCATTCTTCCGCACCACAGCATAAGTAGCCGTCACGGCCTCGACTCTAATAACACCGATTCTAGGATCGTTCTCCGAGCCATCGTGCTTTCCGTCACCGAGGTCGCCGAGCCAGGCCTTGAGGGTGGGCGAGTAGTATTTCTTGACGACGGAGCGGTCGGTGAGGATGGAGGCTTTGCCGGATACGGAGGCCCATTCGCCGGAGCTGTTGAGGAAGGAGATGTTGATGTGGGAGTCGGAGTCGATGTCGTTGGTTTTGCCGGATTCGGTGTTGGTGTGGAAGATGAGGTCGATGCCGCCGGTTTCCTGGGAGGGTTGTTAGTCATTGATGGAGCTGGATGAGGATGTGAGATGGGGAACAGTACCTGAGCAGCCAATGCCATGCATCTTGAGACCAAAGCGCCAGATGAGCCGTCTCGGGTGGTCATCATGCCAAATTTGCAAGCTTTGACGAACGCGGAGAGGTCCTCGACCTTCTCTTGGATGGAAGTCTCATCCTTGTTCTTGGCTGTGTATGGGTCTGCGGTCTTGGAGCCGGTATCTGTGTTTGAGAAAGACATTTTTGTTGTGGTTTTTGTGAAGGTTCTTGGTTGGAAGGTATTCGTTCTGAGGAAAGAGGCTGTCAGTCGAGGTATTTGTTTGTGTTTATGGAGTATAGGAGAACGCAGTGTGCGAAGAGATCGAAGTGAAATGGAAGGCTTCATGATTGATATCGAGAGAGAATACTTACGAGTTCGTAGATGGAATTGAAATTTGTATTCAAGAAGAAGAACAGCTTGCTTGTACTACTTTTTATATCGTCATTGGTTTGTCTTAGTTGATTAGCATCATCGTACTTGTTGCCCCTCGATTGTGGGGTAATATTGTTGACGTCACAAACAAACTTGGTACCTGATCAACACGTGCATTTTCGTTTTCTGCATTCACGGTGGCTTACAGTAGTCTAGATCGAGAATCAATTCATTCGACTTATTGCTAAGAAATCGTTTTACCCCGTAAAAGTCTCAAAGGGCAATGGACGAGGAAGAGCTGGGAGGGAAGTCAGAAATACATCTCGTGACTTCGCGCTGGCTTGGCGTGTCGAGCTTCCCCACATCTCAAACAGCTCAGCTCCCATACCGTCGACGATCCTGATGTCCTTTCTTCCAGCGCCGTGCCACAACAAGCAAAGATCAAGTCAATCGATGGGCCACGTGAGGAACATTCATTGATGTTTACCTACCCAAGATTGATTCGAGACTAAGTTGCGATACACCGACCCTTTCTCTCATTGCTTTGTCGTGTTTCCTCGTTATCTGCATCCCGCCATCTTGCATCTTCAAACGCGAACTCCCACTGGTCATTTGTGACGCGTCGCTTTCTTTCAATTACGTTTGTCCTACGTATTGCAACTCTGTTTCCCCGACGCCCTCCATAGAGAACATCACCGTCTTGATTCCAAATCATCACGATGGCTCATCTTCACCATGCATTCGTTCCAGGTGGCTATCGTCATGTAAGTATTTCAGCAATACGGGCAGATACTGTCTAACAATGCTAGGTCTGCATGATGGAGGGACCCGATCCAGAGCTCAGATTGTCCACTATTCAGTACGATGCTCTTCTGTCGGAAAGTGAACGCAATGCCAATGAGGTCAAAAGATTGAAGGCTCTCCTTCGTCAACACAACATCGAATTCGATACCTGCCTCCCCGTATCCATCAAATATGTGTCAAAGAATGGCGCTCCTCAGGAACCAGACAATGGCCGGAAACCTCGCCTACCGATCGAGATCCTCCTTCGTATCCTTGGCTTCGCGTTGACCAGTCCTGTCCCGATCATTGATCCCTTCTACAAGATGCGAGTTCAGAATGTCACCAAGGCTGAGCGCTTATCCCGACAACACATCAATGTTCAGTGCCTGGGCGTGTCGCAAGTCTGTAAGACGGAAGGTATGCGCATCTTGTTGGAGCAGAATGATTTTGTCTTCACGCAAGCTGCTGCAGTGGAGAGCTTCGCAAAGATATCGCCGGAACTTCGATCGACAATCAAGCATGTCACATTTCGGGTAAGTATCGAAGACAGGCTGGAAGATTCGGTTGCTGACAGTAAATTAGGTCGTTGGCCGATACTACAATGACGAGGCTCGTAAGGCTGATTTGTCTGGCGGTGGAGTCTATCACGATTCGATCCCCAAATTCCTCGTTCCTGTTCTGCCTCGCCCAAAAGGCATGATCAATGACAAGGGTATGCAAGCCTACTGTTGGTTTCAACTTGCAGACTTCCTCAGAGCTATGCAGCTTCCTCGTGAACTGATGTCAAGCAATCGCCCAAAACTATTCCCAGGCCTCTAAACTATGAGATTGGATCTAGTCAACTTCTGCGACCATCTCCCACTTGGAATTTCAACATTCGCTGCAGTTGTTCGCTGGCATCTAGGACGCATTCTCGATGAACTTGTTGTTACCGGCCTCCCTGAAGCAGAAGCCTCTGTCGATGAGCAAATGGTTCTTCGAAATCTTGTCAGAGACGAAGGTCTGTTCTCTTCCGCAGGTGCTGCTTTCATTTCAATCAAGGAGGGAGTCAAACCACTTTCTGTCTTCAGCTACTCTCACGAGGTTGTCTGCCTGAAGAAGAAGAAGGCTTCCAAGAAGAAATCTCCATTGAATCATCCTGAGGGTGGTCAGCCGCCAAAATCCACCTACCCTGATGGAAAGACAATCTGGAAATGGGCTAAGGAACATGATGATGAACCAAAGGAGTGGATTGAGTTTGACAGAGTATCGGGACGACGTATGAGTGAGGTTGAGGATGAGGAAGACGAGGAGGAGGACGACGATGATCAAGCCGACTTTGCTACACTACTGGGTCTGCCAATATTCCCGTTGTTTGGGCCTCCTCCTCCACCAGTCAACCCAACGTCGGCACCAAATGCTGATGTAATGGATGACGATGGCGACTCGGACGGGATGCCTGAGCTTATCGATATCGATATTGATGGCTGAGTGACTGTTTTGGTTGGAACCCACAGATGATGTGCAGATTTGTTCTTGACTGGTATGGATCTCTAACCATTCATTGGGGTGTCACATGGATGGATTTCACGCTTTTCTTTGTACAATATTCGCACTTGCAGATGTGGGAAAAGTTATGGCGTTACGGATCTTTCTGGGCGGGTTGATACCACGATTTGCTAGAGATGCGTATTAGATTTCCTGTGTGCCTTTTGACAAAAGTCTGGCATTTGAGCAAGCAATGGAAATTGATTTGATCTTTAGGGGTGGGACAGCTGGTGACAATCCAGGTACGTAAACACTCCTCAGCATCAAGTTATGTGTCAATTTTCACCACCTCAATATCGGCTGCTTCGCGATTTTGCTTTTCTATTTCTTTTCATCGTTGTTCGCCTCCTTCTGTCTCACAATTTGCGGCGAAGTCACAGCCAAGATATAAGTACTTCAAGACTACGGCAGATCAGCAATGATATTTCTTAATGTCTCGGCGATATCCGAACACACGTGGGGAATAGAGTTGTTCCTACATGCCCTGTTCCTGATCCATAAGTGGGGATGCACAAGTGTGAGTATCCTCCTTCCCCTTCGGTTGCCTGCCAAGACCCGCGATCTGCTCCGACCAATGAAGCTGCACATGTGCATCTATCTCTCTGGACGGATAAATGTGCATGTCGATAGTTTGTTCCTGCAGCTTTCTGTTCCTGCATTTCGCCGCACTCACTTGCTCCATTGGAAGCAAGCAAAAGTCCGAAGGCGTAGCGGTGCTTTTTTTAGCTGAAGGCAAATAAGTATTAAAGAGTTTTCAAACCCCAGATTTTATATTTTTGTCTTCAGGAGATAATTTGCTTTCCACTATATGATGTCTCCTCTCGCCTCCTTCTTGCTGCCTTTAATCGTCTCAGCATCTTCCGTCGCCGCGGCGGCATGCAATGCGGATAACTGTCTCCGCGGTCTTCGCGCACCTGCGAGATTAGCTGAGGCGCAATCTTTCTGTGCGACTTTCACTGCTTCTACATCTGTAGCGATTCCGAGTTTTGCGGCTGCGGCTTGTACGGGCAATGTGAGCAGCAGGGTGAGCAGTGCTTGTTCGTGCATTGCGACGAGCACTTCGAGTTCTGCTTCAATCACCTCGAGTTCCACGGTATTTACTTCAAGTTCTGCTTCGGTCACGTCATCGACAACTGCATCTATAGCTTCATCAACCTCTGCTCCTGTGACGAGCAGTTCGTCGAGCGTGGAAGTGACTTCGACAAGTTCGGTGGCAACTTCTTCGAGTGCGCCAACAAGTGCACCAACTGGAACACCGAAAGTTTGCTTAAATCCGCAACTGAGCTGTCAGAATACCACGGCTGTGGAGGACTTGTGTTGTTTCAACTCTCCAGGAGGACAATTGCTTTTGACCGAATTTTGGGATACTGCCCCTAGTACTGGTATGTTCTGTACCATCTCTGCTTCCGGAATTGAAATACTAAAGTACCCATCACAGGCCCCAATAACAGCTGGACCATCCACGGGCTCTGGCCAGATAAATGTGATGGCACTTATGAAGCCAATTGCGACCCCGCCCGTGAATATACTAACATCACCGCCATCCTTCAATCCTACGGCAAGACTGATCTCCTTTCCTACATGACTACGTTCTGGAAGGATTATCAAGGAAATGATGAGAGTTTCTGGGAGCATGAATGGGGCAAGCATGGAACCTGTATCAGTACGCTTGATACCAAGTGTTATGACGGTCACAAGGGTCAGGAGGAGGTCGTGGATTACTTTGAGGTTGCGGTGGAGCTTTTCGGAGGATTGAAGAGTTTCGAGGTATGTTTCTTGTTGGCTTTTGATCATTTCACTTTCATCATATTGGTTTCTGGGGACGGGGGATGATGGGAGATGGCTTTCTTGCTTAGCCTCTTTCATTTCTCCATCGCTCACATGTCCAAGAATTGCAGCTAACAAATCCCCAGGTCCTCGCAGCAGCAGGAATCATCCCCTCCACAACAATCACCTACACCCTCGCCGCCATCCAATCCGCCTTGACCGCCGCCCACGGCTTCCCCGTCACCCTCGGCTGCAGCGGAACCCGCTTCGAAGAGATCTGGTACCACTACAACGTACTCGGCAGTGTCCCAACAGGATCATTCATCCCCACCTCTCCAGATGGAACGAAATCCGATTGTCCAGAAACCGGGATTCGCTACGTCCCGAAATACTTACCTGCTTCTCCGACGACGAGCGTTCCCCCGGGTTCGACGCCAACTGGGACGCCGTATGTGGGGAAGGGATTCTTGCAGGCTTATACGAGTGGTGCGAACAAGGGGTGTTTGATCAGTGCTGGGACGTGGTATACGACCGGGACGTGTGCGACGTATACGGCGAGCAATGTTGCTGATGGTATGTTTTCTCTGGGTTGAGGTTGTGGAATTGACTGGCTGACATGGCGGATAGGATCTGGATTCACACTCACGAGCAGTAAGGGACCTTGTGATATTATCGCTGGGGCTTTTTCGTGTGCTGCTGGGAACACTGCTGGTGTTTTTACCGTAAGTTCGTCCCTGTCTCTGTTTCTTCCTGTTTTCCCGAAAACTATCTCGTTCAAAGTCGAGATCCGAATCTTGCGAACTCAAAGCTGACATTCACACCTTCTAGAGCATCAACGGCTCCCTAGCATACGCTACCAGCACATCTTTCTACGCGGCTGCGGTGCCAGTCGGAGCGGTGCAGCAGAAGGTATTCACGGCTGTGAATACAGTGGAGGTTGAATTTGTGTGGCAGATCATCTGAGAAAACATCCGAATAAATGGATAGATCTCTATTTCTCTATTGAATGAAAACAAAACGAAGCAACGGAAATAAATGAAATCAAAAAGCATATCAAAAGAGTACTCACTTTCAATTGGGCATCGTGATTGGCAAGCCGTGATTGAAGCGAAACGTCTCAGCTGGCTGGAAACCAGCCAACCAACATATCACAGTGCAATGTAACGCAAAACAAGACAATCAAGAGTCTAGAGTCGTACAAGATAACCTACCTAGTATCCTCCTGTAAGCCTAGAGCTCTGTACGACCTCGATAGGAGATTTTTGTTTTAGGAAGGTGTGCAACAACTTACCCCAAAGTCTAGAGATGTCGTGTAACCTGGGTGCGAGCTGAGGCTGGCTATCTGTCTATCTGTCTATCTGTCACATGGCTTCGCAGTACTGTAGCCAGCCTCGGAGGATGGGTTTCAGCTCCGAATACCAGCCTCGATCTTATCGAGCGCAGTGTAGCATGTAGCTTGTAGCATGAAATGGGGAAATGTCCTATTCTCCCGCTGCTGTATTGCTTTTTTTTTTGGATATACAATTATTTGCACAGGGTCACAAGCCTGCTAAGGAGATACATGCGTGGGAGTCGAATGTGCAATTGAGGTAAACGAACCACTAAAGAATTGCGGTTCAGAGTCGTCGTCACCATAAACCTCGGCTTTTCGTATGCTAAACAAAGAAGAAATACTTCCAAGGCTCTCCTCTCCCTCTTCACCGAGGGTTCTATGCACGACTTGCCTACTGCAGCCTATGGAGCTATCGATATAGGTAGATAACATAGGTTACCATCCATGCCGTCTTGGCGTCGACGGCAGCGGGCGCTTCCCTTCTCCCCGATTGGGCGCGGGGGAGTTTGAAAGCTGGCGTTGGTCGCTGATCATTTCATTGATCCAAAAGCAAGGTTTCGGAGGATGGTGGTTCAGATCAGGATAGGCTTATCGCAGCTGAACGCATGCTGTTTATTGCAGGTAATTCAGCTTGTTGGTTAGTGATTTGGCCTGTGAGAGGTTGTGTTTTAGTGGTAAGTGGTAAGTGGTAAGTGAGGGGTGCATGTTCACAGCCCCATTGAAAGAGGGGTAGGTGTAGTATGCAGATGTGATGGATGCACTCGACGCCTCGTCCAATATTGATAGTGATGGTGACCTAGGTACATATCACGCTACATACGTTGCTCCTCCTTGGCTCATGTCATGTGCATGAAGCTTCCTGCAAACTTGTAACATCATCCCCCTTCTAGCCCTCGTGGCCACGGGAATATAAACCTGCTTTCAAGCTAAAACAGAAACCTGGAATTGCTTGATTTAGCACTTGGAGTCGATCATCGCTTGGTCTGTGTGGATGAATGAGGACGAGGATGTGAGGCGTGCATGAAACAGAGATAACGAATAACGCAATCAGGCTGGGGTTGGGATTGGAAACAATGCAGAGGATAGGATGACAGGGCGGTAAATACCTGGCTCCTGCAGCTTCGAATACTTGTTCCTGGGTTTTGATGGGGGTGGTTGACTGGTTACTGGCAGGTTCTCATCTGAAACTGCGGATGGTGGTAAGTACCGGTCCGCCTCGCATAGTCTTGTTTTGATTGATGGTGGGCGGTTGATGTCCAGCTAGGCTCCAAACAACTGTGGCTGCATGCCATCCAGCCTTGTTTAGGTTGGCATGTCTATATAAACCTCGATGAATGCTCGCGAGTGTATCAATTTTCCAACTTTAACTTTCAAATTGATTGAAGCGAAAAGTCAACATCATGGCATCCAAAATGGAACTCCCATACAAACCATGCAAGCATATCTGCCCCATCATCCCACCCAACCTCCTCCTCGACATCCTCGAGAGCAACAACACCTCTCAAGAAACACGTGCCGCTGTCCAAAAAACTTACGATCACTGCGGCAAGCTCCTCGCTAAACGCAAGACCCATTGCCATGGCGGTGCTGGAGCCAGACAAGGCCTAACTTCCAGTACCAGCGGAGGTCAGTCTCCCTCTCAATCTCAGTCTCAAATCCACCGTCCACACGGACGTTCCTCCATCATCCCCTCCTACGTATTCGAGGACATAGCCTCCTCCTCAGAAACCTCTCCCTCACAACAATCCCACGCCCAACACTCCGTGCAAACCAGCCAAAAGTTCCACGACATCCGCACAGGCGCTGATACCAAAGATTCTACAGACACTTCCACCGCCACTACCGCATCCGCCGCAGCTCCCGACGCCGAAGACGGTCTCTTCAGGAAGATCTACACGTCTCAGAAGACGGCCAAGCTGCGCAAGAAATTACTGTACTCTGAAGGTGGGGATTTAACGACTCTGGAGGCGGATCAAAGTGCCAAGGAGGTGCTGGAGTATTTCGGGAAGACGTTTGAGTTTTATAAGGAAGTTTTTGAGAGGGATGGGATTGATGATGCGAATTTGAAGATGATTGGGAGTTTGCATTATGACGATGTTCCTGGGCCGCCGGGCATGGATAATGCTTTTGTAAGTAGCTCTTCTCATGTGTCTTTCCCAGCGTCGAGAATACTTGGAAGATTGTCTGAAATTCAGGATCAGAACTGACATCCACAGTGGGACGGCGACGAAATGGCCTTCGGCGACGGCGACGGCGAAATTTTCGGCAGCTTCACCAAGAACATCGACGTAATCGGGCACGAACTAACCCACGGCGTCGTCCAATTCACCGCCAACCTCGAATATGAGATCCAATCCGGCGCGCTCAACGAATCCATGGCCGACGTCTTCGGCACCATGATCAAGCAGTACTTCCACCCAGACGGCAAACAGCTCGCCTCTGACGCGGACTGGCTCATCGGCGAGGGCATCTTCCTCCCTGCAATCACCAACGCCAAGGCCCTCCGTAGCATGAAGGCCCCTGGCACGGCGTATAATAATCCTAAGGTCGGGAAGGATAGACAGCCTGCTACGATGGCGGGTTATGTCAAGTCGCCGAATACGGATGCGGGGGATTGGGGGGGAGTGCACATCAATTCGGGGATTCCGAATCATGCTTTCTATTTGGCGAGTGTGGCGCTTGGTGGGTATTCGTGGGAGAAGGCGGGGAAGGTGTGGTATGCGGCTTTGACGGATAAGAAGCTGGTGGGGATTGATACCTCGACTGCGTTTAAGGTGCTTGCGGATTTGACAGTCGGGTATGCAAAGAGCTTGTTTGATGAGGAGGTGGAGGGGAAGGTGAGGAAGGCGTGGGTTGATGTGGGGGTTTTGGAGGCGGCTGATGAGCCGAAGGATGAGGTTTAGGTTGTTATTGAGGAGGGAATCAACTCCTAATCTGTGTGACGAGCTGGGTGTTTGAACTTTTGTAGCGAACAGGTTGTGTCTTTGGTTGTATTTGGTTCACGGTTGTCATGAGTAACAAGATCAGCAATCACCGTCTCGCTTAATCTTTGACTTTATGGAATGTAAACATACCTTACGTGAGCATATCGTCAAAGACGGAACGCCGCCCAACTCCGAACCGTTGAGAAAAGTGTGGAAGTTGAGTAGGGGAGTGTTGTGGAGAGTAATTAGGGTGTGGATCAAGGCTGTATAACTCGTAAGTCAAAGTCTAGAAAGGGCTTGCGGGAGATGGGGATCTGCTGAGGATCGAAAATTGGTAGACTTGCAGCGAAAATGTGCTGGAGGAGTTGCTGTTTATGCTAGATCAAGTTGGGATATATGGATTCCGGTCTGGCTCTTAGGATGTTGAGAGGTTCTGGAGTCCGTCCTGCAAATCTGGAAATTTTGAGAGCATCTTGGAAAGGCATGGATTCGTAATTGTATGTATTGGACTTTTGTTGACAAAGTAAACTCTTGAGATATTGGTGAGGTTTGTTACATTCACAGTGAGTGATTAGGTGTCCACGTCATAGACCCCGCATTTGTTTACTTACTTGCTCGCTTGCAGCGTTGCTCGTGAGCCTGAGGACGGATCATCATGCACTGTAAGTTAAGCGAAAGTGTCGCCTGGAGATCGTCAATACAAACTTGCTTAACGACGCTCTGCCCAGATGGAGATGCGAATTACGATTTATTTCCATTGAAATGACTGCTTTGAAAAGATTTGGATTCTTTGGTACCTCGGAAGGCTATGCCCGAAAACACTCTTCCGCTCAATTGATTGAAACTCGGGAACTCCAACGCTTCCAAACACGCTCCAATTGAAGCGAAAACGAAACTCAAAATACACAGAATTATATGCCATAGGTACTTTAGAATATGGGAAGGTGCAATGCTCCATTACCATCGTCAATTTCCAGGAGAGATCGAGCTCAGCCCCCAAGGAAAACCATTCGTCACCACATTCCCTCCCACTGAAGATTCCCCCCTTGATTCAGTCAACCATCGCAAATCCTGAGCCATCATCTGTAGATCCACATTGTCAGAAAAAAATTTATTTGCACAAGATAGACAAAAGATACCTCTTCGAACGATGGGCTTCGGTGCCAGTACATAATGCTGTTCAAAGAGAACGAGGTGCAAGAAAAGCAGGACATTGATGTAACCAATCAGGAGAAAATGTCATTAGTCACCCTTGAAGCGCAATTCCGTCGCTCAGGACCAATACAGCAGCATATCACATATTGCTCCAATCCCGCATTTCTCGGGTAACCCCGCGATGTTGCGATTTCTCTCTGAAGCCGCTAGGACCTGGTCAGCGGGTGCTCAGTGGCTTCCGGAAGACCCACGGACTCTCCTGTGACCCAACTTCATGCCTATAGCTTGCCTAGAGATTGACTATCAATATTTGAAGATGATGTCTGGTCCAGTATTGGAATACGTACATGTCAGTTTCTGTGATGTCTTTCAAGTTCTCCCAGGTTTCGAATCCGGCATCGAGAATCTGTTACCAATAAAATCCAATTCCCAGGCTATTGAGCACAAACTGGAAATCCATGCTCCGTGATTATTGAATCGACGGATATGGGTATGAGATGCAATGTAAGAACAGAAAAATTGCGCAACTAACGGCTTTGAGGTAGGATGGGATCAGAAACGCGTGAACTTTCCACGGAGACATCTCCGCTACTTGAGGGTATTGATAACGCCATTTTTGAACCGCTTATCGTAGATGCGTCCATTGATCGAGAGAAAGCTCTGAAATGTGGCCATCGTGCCTTGCGCTCTGCATTGCGACCTGCAAGGGTCATCAGATCGGTTGAAGTGTGGATCGGGGGCTACCCAGTCCAGCGACAGCCTGTAAGCATCGACGGATACGGCACTTAGAAAGGGCCGTATCGGATGAAAATTTGAGTTTTCATTGAATTCGCGAGATTTTTCGATTTCTCGAAAGGTGGTGGTAGGAATGGGGTTTATATATGAAAGTTTGGTGGCGATTGCGGTGGCGCGACGGAGAAACAGGTTTTGTAGATCAACTGGAGAATTATGCATGGTAGGTCGTAATGCATCTCGTTCCCTAAGGAGGGGTACAGAGACCTTGTACATCCAGTTGATTGGATGGGTATTGCGGGTTTTGCCATGATCAATTGTCCAGACTCCCTCGCTTTGGAAAAGCCAATCCATACGGGCAGTCTAGACCACTTCCTTTCACATATGGCCAAGAGGAGCTAGCTTGTGGATAGAGAATCTATCAAGATTATTGAATTAAAGATGATTTTTTAGCGGGAGAAAGAAAGAACATCAGCTGCGCGCAGCTGTAGCCTAGGAGAGAACGAGAGGATATATAGACCCAAAAGCTTGGGGGACATGTCTCCAAGCGAGAGAGGATGTTTTCCACGTTTCTATCGAAGATGAGCTGAAAAGTTAATCATTCAAAGGTGATTAGTGCTGAAGAATTTTCAACGGCGGCTTACATTGGTGGTGATCGCAGGACACTTACCTAGAAGAGTCAGCTCAGAATATTTTAGGGCGACAGCGAAGAAAGCAACAGCAGTTCAAGATGTTGGTTATCCTGTACAGTAACAGAAAGTAAAGATCTCTTAGAAAGGTCACTTGATCGGCAATATGCTCTGAGATAATGAATTCATGTCGAAAGCTTGTCCTCTTGGACCGCCTTGAGTCTGGTGTGAGATACCAATCTCGCAAATTTGCTGTTCACCTTACCTCTGATACATTTGATCAGTCAAACAAGTCTTACTAGATGCCATGAAGCGTATGCTAATGTGAATTTCACCTATGAAATTCACTCCACTCACTCAATCGAGCCATCTTGACTTCTCATCCCTGCTTCTACCCCTTCTCGACTATTTATTGTTGGCCTCCAAGCTGTATCTTCTCCATCTTACAACAACAGACAACAACTCTAACCACAAATCTTTCCCCATATTTTGCCTTCACTTTATAGTGAGCTTCGATCATCTACACCCCATACACAATGCCTCCAGAGACAAACACAAGAAAACGCAAGCGTGATGAAACAGATTTCATCCTCAATCAAATCGATGCTCCGATTCGCAGATACGACGATATTCAAAGTGAAGAGCAACATGCCAATCCGTCCCAAGAGGAATCTTCAAAGGACGAGGATAGAATTTTATCCAAACCATCTGAAAAAACTATATCCGAAAGGAACAATACGTTGTCAGCTGCGCGAGCTCTTCTCCGAATTTCAAATTCCCGAAGTGAAGCGGACAGCGGAGCTACCTCGTCAGATCCAGCAGAGACTGATCACACCTCAGAGGTCTTCAGCCAGACTTCGAACTTGAAGACTGCTGGTGATGGCGTAGCTGCTGCTCAAGCGACTCTGGAGAGTGATAACCACATCGCAAATACCAGTCATGACCAAGACCACAAAGGAGCCCAGAGTGGAAACGAGGATAAGAGAAGAGCTGTAAGCGATGAGGTGGCTGCAGTTGGAGAAAGTAGCTCAATAAGTGATGGAGTCAGCCTGGTGGAGGAAAGATCTGATTGCAGTACGTCGCTCGAGTTGAAAATATGCTTGATGTCAATACTGATCTCATTCCCAGATAATGCCAAGAGCTCAGAGTTAGTGAAGACATGTCCCTCCTGCAGGAAATCTGAGCCAGCTGTGGAGTTCTGCCATGGGCGTCTCACGGAGCGATGCAAACACAAGGCTGTTGACCGTTGCAAATCTTGCATTTCGGCATTCATGGAGTTTATTGTTTTTGACAAAGGTTTTAAGAACATCTTCTGCCCTTTCGTCGACAACGACTATTCATGTGGTGCCAGATTCAATGACGACGAGGTCAAAAAATTTGGCTCTGCGACCACATACGAACGGTATGTTTTCGAATGATGTTTTAAATGCGACTAGAGACTGATGTGTCCATGTAGGTACTTGAGACTGAAAGCCAAACAGACCTTCCAAGGTGGCGAAGCCTCATACTCCGACAACGATTCATCAGACTACGACAGTGATTCAGCGGGCAGTGTTGAGAGCTCGCCGGAATATAGCCTGGGTTTGGAGAATATCGACTTTTTCGCTGGCTCTGATTCCGAGAGTGAATCTTTAGATTCAGAGGACGGCGAGAGTCTGAGCGGCTTTACCCTACAACATAGCGATCTCAGTGGTGCAGAGGACACGGAAGACGTTGGAGAGGAGATTCTAGTTCAACACTCAAAAGATCAGGACACTCATAATGATCCTGAGACGAATATCGAGTCTGCTACCGCCGCCGAGTCGCAGGGCACCGCCGCAGTCAGTACAACCGCCACAGTCGACACTCCAGCTCCTCAGCGTATTAGATACCGGGACCCTAGCACATGGCCTCGTAGCAGCTACCCTCCTGGGTATCCTCCACCATACTGGCGTGAAGACGGGCGTGTTTTTTATGTCAGTTGGCCCTCATTTGAAGGTCTCACTTTCTATGAAGCAGCCCATGCCGTATATCGGCCAGAGTCTGCACCTCGCCCCCCAAATCCTTGAGCTTGTATGCCGCCACACTAAAAGTTGTAAAGGCACTTCCCTTTCAACTCGCTTCACGGTGGCAGTATCGACATTGCAGGGTTCAGATGTGCCTGGTCCACCACATACCATGATTTGCGAGGTAACTGCAGGATGCTCAGAGAAGATCTCTAAGACTTCCATCTACCTGCAAAGATTTTCATCGAGAAACGTTCCTTCCTTTTATTTCTCTTTTCTTCTTCTTATCGAGTCACAGAGCTGACTTCGGAAATACGTTCGGTTGAAGTTAAGAATTTGAGGCCGCTGCGGAGGTGAAGGAAGGCATAGAGTCAGGATCCGAATCAAAGTAATTAGCTGAGCTAGTCATTTCCTCTTCTCTCGTTACGTTATATCTCTAGATCAGGATCTAGTTTTAACTGAACCTGAATTCTAGAACACTAGAGAGAGCAAATGTATATTAAAGGGAGAGATACAAATATATCTTAATCTAATATATACTTTACTAAAGTTTATAAACCAATAGATTATTACAAGTAAATTACTATAAGTTAACAAGCTTAAGATGTTTAAAAGTTAAAAAAAAAACTATCTTTTAGTCTTACTAGCTAAAATTACTTTTATTTTCTACTTTCTTCTTACTTTAATATCTACATACATGTATATCACTCCAAGATACTTTTCAAAGGTATAAGATGTGTGTATTAAATGTATTAGTACAGAAATACCCTACATTATCATCTCGCTATCCCCTTCCATGTCAACGACGTCTCCTTGTGCAAAACTACTTTCATCCTCCCACTTTGCAACGGCGTTAGCAATCATGTTCGCATATCTGCAACGTAAAATGTCACCTAGTATTAGGTTCGAGGATCCATCTACTACACCGTGCGTCGCGAAGTGTATGAGATGGTAGCAAACGAGAACCCCACAGTCATTACTGGTTTCTCTCTGCCTACTAACGGGTAATTCTTGTATATCCCCCTCCATCTGGAGCTGGGGGCCTCGCGGATGGTTCTGCACCAACCAGTACGCAATGCTCTCTGACGCTACTTGCATGGATCCGTGCCCCGGTAGAGTGTTTATTCCTATGAATGAGACCCTGTCGTTTTCGTCGATGGTTGCCACCAACCCAACAAAATGTCCCGCCCCTTTCTGTGCAGCATATACTTCGCCAATATACAATGGACAAAGAAACCTGGACAGACTATCATTAGCGGAGTCGCATGAAACGGCTCAGATGACTTACACTGTGTGGAAATCCAAGATTTCCACACCAACCTCGCCAATGGGGTGTGGTTCCTCTCCGTACATCTTTCCATACTTGTTGCACTGACCGAAGAGCATGTGTCGAGGGATTTCTTGGACCGACAAAATCGCATCCAACAAGACGTCGTTGATAGCAACGTTCGCTTGGAAGAGGGAGAAATCCTGGACGGGAATCACAATCGGGTTATCGAGGCGACCAAGAGAAAGATATCTTTTGCCCGCGAACTCATGCTCTTCTGCCAGGGTTTGAACGTAATCAGTGGGTCCTCGTTCAAATGATGCCCAAGGCATCGTCTGGTCTTGTCTGATTGCATCTTGAAGGCCGTTCAGCTGGCCGTACTGCTTTAGTAGCTCAAGTGCCTCTGCATGGGATATCGTGCCCGACACGAGTTGGTCGAACCATGTCGAGCAATGCCGCGCCAGATCTACCACCGAATCGAATCCTGCCTTCAGCTTCAGAACCTCTATCAATCTCTTCATTCTTTCCATCTTTATCTTGGCCGGCTTCATCACGTGGGATACTTTATCGGTAGCCCAGTAGGGCCAGGTGCAAATTGCACCTCGTTCACCTCCACAAGCCATAACCAAGAGATAGAGCTTCGTTCCCGCGTTCTTGTAGTCTTTTATGATTTGCCGTTTTGTATACTATGACTTGTCAGCTGTGGTCGCGTTTCTAATGGATGATACTTACAAAGTGTTCTTTCAAAGTAACTCCCGCGGGGTCGACTTGCTTCCTCCGCAGTTTTTCCGCAACTTCGATGATGGGTGCGTTACACACTACTGCAGTTACCTGCAAGTACATCTCTTCAAGTCGCTTGTTCAGTTCGGCTTTTTTTTGTTGCGGGCGGAACTCGGGATGTTCCTGCTCGATGTCATGTTTGAGTTCGTGGGCTTTCTCTGCTAGCCTAAACTGGGCCATAGACAAAGTCATCTTGCGACAAGCCTTATGCTCCTTGGAAAATCGGATCATTTTACCGATATTCAGCGCACTTTCTTCAATCCCAGTCGGCTCGTCTACCACGATATCCACCAAAGCCTTTGCGTTGCTCAACATTCCAACCAACTTCGAATATATTAAGGGACGATTCCAGTAAAGTTGAACAGCGAATATGAACTTCGCCTCCACTGCGTTGCCCCGGGCCAAACGGAGGACCTCCTCAATCTGTAGTCCATCAAAGAAGGTGGCCTGTTGTATAAGTCTATCCGCACTTTCCATCGCAGTAAGCTCTGCTTGTGTGGGAGTCGTACTCTGTTGCGACATACCGGGATCTGTCGTAGGCTCCACATGGCTGTTTCCTTGTTCAGATATAGTTAAGGTCTGACCCGAACTCAGAGAATCGGCTGGTTCAACTGCTGGTTCGCCTTCTGGTTCGTCTTCTAGCCCGCTTGGTTCAATCTCCGGCTCTCGATCGCTCTCACTGCCTGCTTGTCGCTGCAGATTTAAACTGGTAGATGGGGTTGTTTCTCGCCGGCGTGATTCTAGTTGTCTTAAAAACTCTTGTTGTGCCTCCCGTAAATGTCGTTCATATACCATTCTTTTCATCTCAACCTCATCATCATCGAGAGGTGGCTCGTAGGTGAGATTGCTGAACTGTGACTTATTAGTTCGAAGTCTCACGAGTTCGAGGCCTTTGGGGACTTGCCTCAACATTCGAAACAAATGCTTCCTTTTCTTCTGACGTCCAGTTTTGCACGGTACCGAATATCAGTCTTGCTTGGCTGTTGGGGTCTAAGTTCTCTGTTGCGCTCTTCGCGACCAGCAATATTCTATCAGCAGATAAAAGCATTGGATCTTGGAATAATTGCTCCAGCTCATCCTGTGGCAGCGACTGCAATGCCCAGGTAATATGGTCTTGTCGTACGGCCGGTGTCCATGTATCAGAAACAATTTTTTTCATAACTCCTTCCTGTATATGTTGTGGTGTGAAGGCCATGAACGTTACGATTGGTGATTCGTCGCCATTCTGAGCAGTCCGTCGTAAAGACGCAATATCAGGTAAGTCGACCTGGCTGTCATCCATTGTTCGTTGTGATCTTCGAGAGCGAGGAGGGTGGCCTTGGTGATCGTGAATGTTGGGGAGAGTTTGAAGACGAGTGTTACTTCTGTAAGGGGTTTGCGTTCTGAGCGTGGAGGGATATATCTTTGAGCAGTACCACTAGTGACGATGTAGACTTGCTGACAATCTGCTTGTCTCCTGGAGAGTAAATGCTGGGAAGGTGAGATCGCGAAACACCTTCTTTGTCGTTGATGATGTTTTGTGGTGGTGGGTATGCAAGTATCGGAATACGCTCAAGAGAATTCTGTTACATTTGGAGTTGTTGATGTTGAAAGGTTTGGAGTTGAAGCATTTATGAATGGTGTAGTTGCGAGAAAACAATTCCAAACCTGGGAGGTAGAAGTAGATTTGTTTACTTTCGTTTGCTCCCGACGCTAGCGCTAGGGTGGCTTAGTTCTAGATATCACCTTTGACCGGCCTGCATTTCGTCGCAAAAATGAGACAACTATCTTTCTTCCCATCTATTGGACGTGGATCAATGAGCCAACATGTCTCATTCGTTGGCAAATAATTTCAATAATGAGAAGCCTATTGCGGACTGTGTTGGACAGATTGAGGTGAACGAATCGGGCGCGATGACCATGTCAACAACGCAGCAGCTGACTTGTCCGACCTCAGCTCCTGAGTCTCACGAGTCTCCGAAGTCCCCAAACTCCCGATTACGTCAATAACACTTATCTACTGAACCGGTATTTACCGGAAGGATTCAACACCGACCAGCGAAAGCTCCTTTTGCAAAAACTCGACGTCGTCATCAAAAAGGAAAGCCCAGAAGGTCAGAAGGACACCGAGTTCGATCCGGTCTTCTGAATTCCAGTGCACCAGAGGGACCAAGTATGCCTCGACAGGATAGGCATGGGTTTGTACTTTCAAGTTGCTATTGATGGCATGAGATTTTAGGGAGGATGGTGGCACAGTTGTAACATAGCGCATTAAAATTAAAGTCTCAAATAACCAAATTAAAGCGTGAATTGCTTCATGTGACTTTAAGTCCACTGTCTTGTGCCTTTAAAATGTGCTGAGATGTGTAAGAAGAGCATACGCCGCTACATCCAGCTCACCGCCGGAGGGATGCGAACTGGCACAGGGCCAAAATCGCAGTCTGGTTGATTCAAAACTATTCTGAGGTAATTGCACTATATCAATCCTTACTTTGTACCAACTTCTTTGTCTCCAACCATCTTTTGGGTAGCATTGTTGAAATCCTGAATCATCTTCGCATCCGATGCAGCCAGCGACCATCTGGGCTTGATGCCGAAGTAAAATCGTCTGTTCCAACAGTAATCGCACGACAAGCAGTTCCAGCTCAAAAGCAAGCAAATAGGATTATCGACGTTGGTACGATTTAAGACCAGAGTGACATCCGTCAGTGCTCTGAAATTCAAATACAAACACATTTTGGATGACATCTCTTCTACAGCCTGGACGTGCTCGCCGACTTGGACATTTACCGCTTTCGCTAAGTCTGGCTCATCATACTCCTCCTCTGTATCTTGTGCGATTCCCACAAAACAAAGACGTTCATGTAGCTCACGAAGGATCAGAAGTTGTACGCCGTTGATTTTGCACATCCAATACTTATGAGTAGGATCGGGTAGGCCGGTCAAATGAAGGAGGCGAAGAACATAACCCTTGCCTGAGTGGCGATCGAAAAATACTCGAGAAAAGTGATTGATATCTCCTTGAAATTCCAGACTGATAGAGCATCGAGGCGAACAGGCTATCATAGCAACCGAATCTGGTTTTGATCCCTCGGAGACTTCTGGGAAAGGATCTCCAGTCACTGGAAGCGGGAACTCGTTACCTCCGTCAGTGAAGATAGCCACTACCTCTTTCACAAGCGTGAATAGGTCGACGTTGCTCCCATTCTTGAGGTTAAGGCCGTGGATACTGTGCCGAGATAGGTAGTGCTCCAGCAACATGCGACAAGTATCCAATGGTGTTCTCTGGTAATCCACAACGACATTCTCTCTGCAGCACTGAGAACAGAGTCCAATCAGTCCAAACACTTTATCTCGTACATCAACGCATTCCGCTGATTTGTACATCTGCACCAACTCGAATAGAGTGTACAACTCGTGACTTATGGCCCGCCGAGCAACCCGCTGCTGGAGAATCTTGAACGGAACCGTGCCTGAGAGGTCTTGTACCATCTTGTTTGAGCGAGTGGCCTGGGCGTAGTAATTCAGTCTTAGATTGTTGCCACCGACTTGTTTCGCGTTTGTGATTTGATCGTGGATATGCTCGAGGGCCGCCCAGTTCAACTGCAATTGTCCTATCTGGATGATGATGCGAGTAGCTAGAACGAGCTCCTGCAAAATCCACAGGCGAGTCCAATACGATCTCTGGCACAAAGAAAATACTCCAGTCCATCCAGGATGCTGATATGTGATTGGAACATTCGGGCGCGCCACCGAGGATGCATATTGATACGGACGCCAATAAGCTGCTTCCGGACGGTAGTAATAGCGATCTGACTTAGATGTGCCGTACAGAAGTTCTGCCAGCTGGAAGGCTTCCTGCGTCGCTGCTAAGGTACTGTCTTCCAAGGACACATCGGTCCCAAGCCATGCAATAACACATGAAGCACGTTGATATATCTGACCCATCATACTGACCTGAGAACTTCGTTCTACGTCATTCTTCTGATTTATACAAAGGGCATCGATCCATATGGGTAGATTGGATTGCTTAGATCCCATAGTTCTCAGAGCCTGCCACAAATTCTCTCTAATTGGTGTCTCCTGCCCGTTGAGGATGATGAGTGGAGGATTGTCTGTTTCTACTCCCCATTCGTAGGACAGTGCATCGTAGACACAGGTTTCGTCGTCAAGATCGGCAAGCTGAAGAGTGCAGATAATGGTGTTGCTGTCGCTGCCTGAACGAGGCCGGATGTGAATCAAACGAATTTGAGACTTGCTGATGTCAAGGGGAGTGTAGAATGAAGTGGAAGTCGAATCTGGCAATTTTGAAAACTTTCCATGCTGAATTGAATCCATTTGGATGGGATTCCTGTTATCTGTCTTGGGAAGAGTTTCATGGTTGCATGCATCACACCGGAGCTGGTAATGAAGGCAAAGCCTCATTCTGACGCCAAAGTCACGACACCAGAGCAGCAAAATGTATTCTCAACCATTTTTCTAACATGACAATGCATCTAGACGAATAAAGATCAGCAAATAATCATGTTCCAGGAGAGGCGACCCCAAGGTTGTGAATACTTATCACGTGACAATACCATGGGCCCAATCCGAGGCATCACGAACAGGAGGTACACAATGAACGCTTATTCAGTCATCTGAGGATAACTTGGGCACAATCAGGGTCTGAATCCGAGATTGTGCAATGAGATGCTCGGCATTGTATGTGCATCTTGCCTTTAGCTCTGGGAACAGATTAATCACCTCGCCAAGGTCCTGAATGAGAAAGTCACAAACTTTCTGCAGGCCTGGAAAGCTTAGCGATGAACTTGTACTGCACCTCCAGCTCTTTCACAACTGCAACATAGTTGGAAAGAACTTGCAAGAGGCACTCGTTAGAATTTGCGCAAATTTTATCATTACTCGCTTCCCTTGAGAGACAGAAAGGAAATGAAAATAACAAGAGAATATTGCAGCAGATAGAATTGAATGAGGTCCTTTCTGGAGCCGAATCAATCCTGGAAAGGTACAAATCAACATGACTTCTGCGATCTACAGAACCTTTCAAACACGGACGGATCTTGAACATGTCCGCCCCTGCTGCGCCAGGTGATAATTTCTCGCCCAGTTTCTATTGGAGCCAAGGTTCAAGGGGAGAGAAGAACCCTGGACATTCCAGAATCGAACGATGGCTGCATGACAGGAACGGGACCGTTGACCACTTTATCAGGAACCAAAAGCAATAGCATCAAATACCAAGCTTTGTAGATGAATTTGAGGAACGAGACTAGTCAAGCAAAGTGAAAAGAAAAAAACGAACGAGGACATAACTCAAGGACACTCAGGAAGTGATAGATCACAAGAATCGCTGATAAGCGAGGACGGCGATCTTTGGTGGGCCAGCTAGGATCTTGGTTCTGGGGAATCAGGGTCCAGCGATCCTGCCGAAATGCAATACCACCTCGATTAGAACTCGAATCATCGCAAAAGCAAAACCTCAGCTTGGCTCCCTAGCAATACTTACCACAAGACTTGAGGCGAAGGAGAACAATTGATAGGCAGAGCGCCACAAAGTTACTTGCTGGCAATTGATACACACTTCTACTCCTCCGGCTTGCTGATGATTGCGAGAGACGGCACAGGACCCTCTTCTGCAAGGGCGGGGACGCTTTGATCATGAACTACTGCACGTCTTGCTCATCTTTATTCGTCTGGTGTTCCGATTCGTTGTTTGCAAAGATCAAATCGATCTAGGCCCGGTTCCTGGATGCTAGGATCTGGGTTGACGATGACGAGGATGATGATTGTTCCACTTCCGGTCGTGACATTTCCCACCGTCCTCCAGACTAATTCGATGAAGAAAATGTTCCGATGAGTTCTTTCCGGAAGACTAAACCAATCTCTGCCAACCCCCACCGATTTCCCGAGTTTAGACTCGATCCAAGTGCCAAACTGCTCCTGAAGTGGAAAAGCCTTTGCTACCGGTCTACCTTGTAAGATGTCCCGCTCCGAACTACTTCAAGGATATTGAATCGCAGATGTCATGGGTCTTTTATCGATTGGTAAGGCCCAGCTGCCCAACACTAGGCCCCCATCTCGAAATATTACCCCTCCCTTCCCTTTGTCGTTCTGCTTGTCGTCCTAGAGTTTTTGCGTCCCAACGATCTTGAAATTGGCCTCGTCATGGCTCACTCTCCCGTGTCGGATACCGTCGAATCCATTGATCAAGTCATCCAAAGTAGCGAGTCCTTGTCCCATAATCCGTACGAAAGTTCCTCGAGTACCAGTCTTAACAAGACGCCCGCGCTACCTCCCTTATCCCCGGGTAGAACACAGCGAAGAGAACATGGAAACTCGAATGAGCGAACGGCCGCAGCCGAGGAGCGTCGAGGAAGCATTGGAGGTGGAGACCATGGAAAGTCGAGACGTGCAAGGGAGAGCGAATCGTGGAGCAGTAGAAGTGAAATTACAATGAACGCAGCAGGATCTGCGAATGCGAATTTGACGGACTTCTTCAGCTCGGAGGTTTTCAATATTGTGTTGCATAATCCGACAACTGCACATCGGTTTTTGAGGTTCTGCCAGAGTCGTGCTTGTGGAGAGAATATTGAGTTTCTGCAAAAGGTACGGATACCCGCTCCGCAAGGTGCATGAGGCTAGCCCAAGGCCGTTCTCAGGCGAGAACAATCCACTTCCATATGTCCCACTACATCTACTTACTTATCATTATCACAGGTTGACAAATATAATCGTCTTCTGGACGAAGTAACACAGCTGCTTGGATCTATTCATTCCACATACACGTCTCCAGACGCTCCCCGCCAGATCAACCTACCACATTCCCATATCAAGCACATATCAGGCGACCTCAAGCAAGCTACAAATATCACACTTCCTGCCCTTGAGGGAATATTTGCAGGAGCCCAAGACCACGTGGAGAAGCTGCTAGCAAGCGACATCTACCCAAGATTTGTCAAACACCAGGTCACCGCACAAGCTTCTTTGGCTTTGGCAGACCATCGAGAAAAATTTCAAGGGTTGGGCGACTGCTTTTGTCTGACCAATCCAAATATCGCCGACAACCCGATCTTAATCGCCTCCGATGGATTCATTGCTGTGACTGGATACTCCCGCAAAGACATCATACCACGGAATTGTCGTTTCTTGCAAGGTGATCTGACCGATAGGAATGCTACGAGTCGGCTGCGGAAGTCGATACATGAATGCGAGGAGACGGTCGAATTACTTTTGAACTACCGCAAAAATGGAGACCCGTTTTGGAATTTACTGTATGTGGCGCCGCTGCTGAATGAAAAAGGCGAGGTATGCTTTTTCTTAGGAGGGCAGATAAATTGCAGTACCACGATCCATTCTTGCAACGACATCCTACGGGTGCTGAGTATCAATGACGACGAGCTCGACAAGCTGGATGAAATAGGGCCAGGAAAACCAAAGACTCCTAGTGTTCGCAGCCGAGATGGCAATTCTCGAGGATCGAAGCCGCGAAGTAATTTCTTCAAGAGCTGGCGAAAGTATAATGCTTCTGGACTTCCTGCCGCGACTAAGGTGAAGGTTCGGGACGAGGCTGGCATGGAGAGCAAATTGATCAATTGTGTTGGGAGATTAACCTTCAGAACTCAAGTCGAAGCTTTCTACACTGCGTATTCAAAGGTATGGCCCCTGTGCTGGTGTCGCGAGTCTAAATGACGATGTCATAGTATCTTGTCATGACATGGAATGCGACGACGCAGATTCTGACAGTGCAGTATTACTCCCCTGGAGTAATCGACATGCTGTGTCTGAATCTTCCGAATGGCGGTATCACGCATATTTACAACAAGGATATCTTCAAGGTGTTTTCCGAGTTCTCGAATTCGGCCTCATCGTCAGTCAATAAGGTGTTCAAGCAGACTGTTCGCGATGCATTGAAAATGGAGCAAGCAGTCAGTGTGGAGACGGGTTTATTGACTGGATTTGAAGAGAAGAAGGGTACGGGATGGTTTGGAGGGGAAAAGGAGGGGTTGAGGAGAGTGGAGGAGAGATATGTTACGCATTGGACTCCACTGAAAGATCAGGATGGGAGGGTGAAATGGGTTGTTTTGACTATTGCGCCGAAAGGTTAGGGACTTGGGTTAGATATAGTGCTTGAGTCTTGGAGTTCTGGATGGGTGTGTATATAAGAATTAGGCGTATTTTGGCTGGATTCTAGATACCTGAGCGGTAACGTTATGCTAATCTTTTTATGATAGGTAAACACTACCTTGTGTCTAACCTTTAACTTTACTAGATTGAGCATAGTGATTTATTATTCTAAAAGCATTCTGCAAAAGATAAATCCCAGATAGAAGCTAAAGCAAATTTTCTCACACGCTTCTGTCTTGCAAAGTCTTTTACATAAAGAAATAATACAGCGCTAATTGTGAAGTGTAAGGACGGTTTTGCTAGCGAATGTTAGTAGAGAGGCGAGGTAGAAATTCCCAGACGCCCCTCCTTTCCCGGATCTTCTCTATTCTCTCGCTCTCATAAACTACCCAGCGTCTCCCTAGAGAGGGCTTAGACGATTAGATAGTATCACAATGAGAGAAAGTCGGCGCGCACTAGGAAATATACAAGACCTACGACAAAACCAACTACATAATCTCCATGTCAAAGACACCGGAGAAGCCTATAGTATTCCTCGCATTCCTCTTTCCTTGCCCAATAAAGTTCACCGAACGCCTCCTCGCTTATCAGAAAATTGATCCTAGTGCAAATTGATCTGTACGTGGGCCAGCGATGCCGAAATTGCCACCTGTTTCTCACTTCTTACAGCCGCGGACGTAGGGCTCGTATCCGACGTCTAGAGGGTCCCCGATCTGAATTGAATGGTCGAAATCAACTAGCTTGAGCTTATCCTTCCTGTAAAGGATATTGCGTGGGTTGATATCGCCGTGAACATGTCCTCGGGATTCAAGCTAAGCGGCTGTATCTGAGAGCTGTTGCATCCACTGCAGAATTTGGTCTGACGTGTTAGCCATGCTCCTGCAATCATACAGATTTCCATCGAGGCGTTCCATAAGATGATATCGGGGCACCGCAGAAAAGTCCGAACAACGTATGGGCATGGCGTTCGATCGAGCAAGTCGAAGATGGACTGCTCATGGCAGATGGGCTCACCAGCGTTGAGGGATAAATCTGCCCCAATATCACTGGGGTGTGAGAGAAGAACAGAATGGCCTCCGCAGATGGAGGACCCGAAACAGATCGTGTGGATTCTTTTGATTATAGGACTGAGGTAAGCTGCACTTGTAGGTGAGGACGAGTGAGCAGTGAGTTTGGGACAGCTTTACATAGCTGGTCATATGTCCAGCAGAAGCCTGTCAGGTTAAGCTTGACAGCATAAGAGGGAAGATAGCTAGAGAAACCAGAGTAGGCACTATTTACTTGTCTGCATATATAGCAGAACTCTTGTCTCAAATAAGTTAACATTCGCAGCATTTAAGCCCCGATTCCAAATCTGATTGGCCGCAACGCGTCTGTGCTTTTCAACTCATGTTCTGCCTGAGCTAACTTCCAATATTTACCTTGAGGATGATTCGGCTACCGTACCAAGTGGCGCTCGACCTCATTTTTTAAACCTCAACCTCAACTCTCTTCGGTTTGCAATGACGCATAAATCCTGTGTCGTCCCAAAAACTCTACCCATCCTATCCTATATTTAAGCGAGAGTCGTGGTGTTGCGTGATGGATGATCATGTGGCGCGGACTGCTCCAATGGACCTACCTAACAACATCAAATTGGACGACCTCATTGGAATGCTCAAGAGTGCAGAGGCACTAAACCAAGATGTCAGCGAATTGCATAGACAAAACTGTCTGGTTCGCTTAGACCAAGATGAAGATACCTCACGACCACTATCCCGCCTTCTTAAAGACCAGTGCGAGATCCTCGACTCCTTGATTCAGGGGTTGGCAGACTTCCACGAGTCGGTTCGGAAGACCATCAACATATGCTCTCGACCGTCTGTAAGACATCTTGGGCTGCTAGATATGCCAGATGAAATACTCTTTAACGTCTGTGGCTATGCGAGAGGATGGGAGATTAGCCACCATATCGATTCGCGCAATCAAATCCCAGCAGAGGCTCTGAACACAGTCAGAAGTCTGAGACTGACTTGTCGAAAATTCAACGATACCAGTTCTCATCTTCTCATCCCCTTCATACGTTTTGATCCGACCGATTCGGCATCGATTGCGCGTTTTGACAATATCTCCCGTCACCCTCTCATCTGCAAAGGCGTCACAAGTATTCAAATTCTGTTGCATCAGTACGATAGCTTTCTTGCAAGCAGCTTCTCGAATTTTGCGGACTATCAAATCAGGATGCAGTCGGAATTTCATGCAGACTGCAGAAGGTTTTTGGGGTCCGATGCGGCTGGCTCAGTAGATGGGTCTACAGACGTACTCGGCATACCCCGAGACGTGGCCTTGGAGAAATTGCGCAAAGCGGAGGAAATCGTACAGGCATGGCGTGATTTCCACGGTGACTTACCTTCTGCTGATCTTACCCAGCCGAGGGCGAGGTACCGACTTCTTCTGAACCGAGCATATCGAGGGTACAAGAAAAGGTTTACCGTGCAGAAGAGCCTGCATGAGGGCGACGTATTTACTAGCTGCATAGCAGCAGCGATTGGGAGAATGCCCATGGTCCGGAGAGTTAGATTATGTGACTACGACATCCGAAGAGGAATACCTATTCGGCTCATTGACAATGAACACGTCTTGCTGAGAAGCATGATACGCCCGATGAGTTGGGAGGAGTCCAAGGGGAGCGGGTCGCACCAATCACCTCTGAAGCTCCTTTACAGCTTGCCAATTGCAATGCATAAATCGGGTGCGAACCTCACATGCCTCGAGATCGCTGTGTCACCTCCTGAAGATTTTTCTGCCCTCGCCCTTCACATAGGGAATATTCAGGACCTCACAGATGCCATGCGAAATCTGAAAGGCTTCAAATTTTCGATTCTAGGGAGCGGTTCAGCTGTGAGGGCTATCCGAGAAAAAGGCGAAGAGGAGCACATCTGTAAATTCATCTCTACTGTTTTGAATACCTCAAGCGTTCAGGATATATTTATCGATCTGGATCGTCTATGGAGCAACTTGTTCGATCGGTCACCTCTTGGTTTCACTTTGGTAACTTCATTCTCTCCACGACCTTGGCCAAATCTCGGACGACTTTGTTGGCGAGGAGCTCGGGTCCATCTTGCAGATTTCAAACATTTTTTCGAACGAGCACGATCTGTCAGGGCTGTTTTCATGATGCAACTGCATCTCCTTACTGGAACTTGGGCGGACTTACTTGATTTGCTGCGAAATATATTGGTGGGACATGTACGCATTCGATTTCCATCAGGAGCAGAGTGTAGCAGAATGTCGGACGAAGAAAAATGGAGGATCTTTGATTCAAGACAGGTAAGGGTGGACAGCCTCGCAGATGGTTATATCATGAAGCGTCTTGCAAATAACCCCCTCAGACCACAACTTGAATGATGGACAGTGGCTCCAGGGTTTTCACTCCGGAGGAGGCATGACTGTACTTGTATTTATCTAGCATCGGGTGCCTGTGTTATTAAGTTACTACTTGTATTAGTATTTCTCATTGAAACTTTGCTTGCTTATTTGTTTGTTTTTGGAGTCGACTTTCGTCTCTGCGCTACACTTTCGACCTTCGAGGCCTGACTATTCGCCCATTCTCTGGATTCAAGTCACTGAAACCGGTCCAATTCCCAGCATTTAGCAAATTCATGACCTCTATGCTCAGCTCGAAGCGCTTGGAGAACTTGACTCTCGATTTACAAGTCCGCTCGATCTCGGATCCACAGCCGCTTCTTGGTATCAAGAAACTATTCACTAAACTAGACTGCACCGGTCTGAAGCGTGTCAGTATTCAGAATGCTTCTCTCCATCTCAAAGACATTGTCGAGCTACTCAGCAATCGAAACGAGCCCTTTCGCGAGCTACGCTTGGATGGCACACATCTTCTCAGTGGTACTTGGGTACAGGATTTACATGTTTTGAAAGGCAAATGTCCTCCAGGAACTGACATGTGGCTTGCAGTGGTTCCACATTGGGCTGATATGGAATGACCAGAAAAGTGCGAACTGATGGACAAAGTAAATCAACACATGTGCGGCCTCACGGACAAGAATCCTTTGAGAAAGTCAACTGGAATATTCCAACCCTGAGTCGAATGAGAAAGACATTCGGAGATTCGGGGACCCGGGCGTTTAGATGGACTGGGACAGTGGATTCTTCTTGAACCTGCATAGCCAACAATGGTTTATCACAAAGTAGTTTCCATAAACAGGATCATACATAATATCAAGTTCGTATCCTTCAATTGATTCCTGACCTCTCAACATATGTTTCGCTAAGTTACGGCGTATTGTCATGTTCCCATGTCCCGCCTCGTCCACCTGTCCTGACCCGAGCCCGATCCTAGTCCCTTACCAGTTGTATTCCGCGCGCAGAAATATTGAAGGCAAATCCAAAGTACTACAAAATCCAAAGAGACATTAAGAGCTCTCAATCGTATGCCAAGTATTTCTTTGGAATTCATTCTCAGGACAAGTTCCCTTGAAAATGGTTGCGTTTCAAGACAAGTTGCCGCGACGACGCTCACGACTTACTGTCCAAGACAGGCGAAATTTGGCTTATGTCGCGCAGCTATTGGTCATGATCCTTCATGTAACAAATTCACAAGAGAGAATCCAAGATTGAGTCCATTTTTTTTTTACAAGGCAAGTTGCCCGAGAACAGCAGCGGTTTCAAGACAAGCTGACTTAAGAGGATAGCTGGAATGAGGAAATCAACAGACATAGCTTCGAAGTAACTATGACTTAAAGGGGAAAAGTCTTCAATCTCATACGCTTTTAATCAAATCCAATGTTGGATCCCAGTTGGAGCATTCCAGAGCAAGTTGCTCCAATATCAGCGAAATTTCATAATAAGCTGCCTCCCATCAAAATTCTTCTATTGATGATTGTAAAGTGTGCTCTTCAGAAATATGAGCATAAATCATATTATCTACATACCACTACATTGATATGTGAGCGGTAACGTTCCGAGATATATCGTAGGTTCTGGTGTCAAATTGTTCTGAAAGAGCCGCGACCTCCGCTCAAGTTGCTCTGAAGAGCACGCATGATAGTCTTAGTCACCGAGTTCCGTTTTCCATGTCCCATAAGTATGGAAGCACCTCTATCTAAATTTAAAATAAATTGGGCTCCTCTTATCCAAAGAAAATCCGCACATCAAGTTGTCTTGAAGATCCGGCGAATTGTCAAGCAAGTTGTCTTGATCTCTAGGTTCATTACCTATACAGATGAGAACCTATTCCGAGATTATGTTTAGTTCCTAAGGAACTCCTTTACAATTGATGAGGTCGAGGAATGATTGATGTTATAGTTCTACCGAAAGTAGCTGACCAACAATCTGAGAGCAAGTTTTTCTGAAACCACAGCTAACTGAGGCGAGCTTGTCTTGCGACTTCAGGTTATTGAGCCGCATTTCTAGCAGCGTTTATTACCCAATCATTGAACAATTAACGAAAATTGAGGGAAGGACGAAATCAATAACCTTAGAAGACTCTCTGTGACACTTGATGTTTGAAGCAACTTGCCTTGAAATTAGGGCGACTTGGGGTCAAGTTGTCCTGACTCCTGAAACTTCCAGCCTTTACAGCCGACGGGAGCCGTAATAATCTCGACAACTGTCTTTCTTTAATGCTAGGCATGCTCTGCTTCCAAGCAATATCTTCGTTTTTATGCAACCATTCAAGATCTTGTTAGTTCGACTTGCCTCGAAAACTCGGCTAAATGAAGCCAGCTTGCTTTGGAGGCGATTCTTGCCAGTGAGAACTTGGCTGAACACAGTAATGGCTCACAGATTTGTCTCGTGGTGAGACTCGTTACTTCATTTTGTCTACAGCACTGTCTTTGATTAGCACCCAATTCCAGGACAACTTGGGTTGAATGGCATGCGTTTTCATGGCAAGGTGCGCTGGCATAATCACGTGCCTATAATGTCCATAGCGCTCTAAATTTTACGCTGCAAAGCCTGAAATGGTCTTATTGGCATTCATGCATGTGCATTTAATCAGGATTGATGATAGCATATTGACAGTACTCTTTCTCATGTCCAAGTCAATCTCCTCTGAAGCTGCGGCGGTTTCATGGCAACTTAGCTCTTCAGCGAAACGCTTGACTCTGCGACTGATGCTTGTCCTGGGAAGCGACGGAAAGAAAGTGAAAGGCAGATTGGATGATGAAACTTTTTATCGTCGTCTATAGGTCAGTGCATACCTTTTTTGTCACAAGACAAGTTGTCCTGAAATCGACGCTGTCACAAGCCAACTTCCCTTGGCATAGACCAAGGTCACAGCAGAGCCCTCCGAAGTCGCTTATTTGGGCATGTACAGGATTGTGCAGGCTTGGAAAATCTATGCAGACAGTCTATATGAAATGATGTTGCACCTTGTTGAGAAAGAAGTATTACTTGTAAATTATGCTGTCAAGTTGTCCTGAAACGTGGCGTAAAATAGGTCAACTTGTTTTGCACAGGTAGGTAAGCGAGAATGCGAATATTTCTTCAGACGACATGCGATTCTTCAAGATCATGCTACTAGATTGTCCCGCTATCATGGGGTTAGCAAAGACTGTTGAGGATGTGGGAAGGTGAACCAAGACTACGTCAGCTTATCTTGAAAACTCAGCCATTCGTCGGCAACTTGTCTTGATGTCACGACTACGATTGTTGACGTGTGCCTCCTCTGCAAAATTAATATTTAATACAGTGTTGCATCACAAACTCAAATGGTACCTCTCAAGTAAGATATTTGATTCATGTTTAGTAATCTACTCACCCTTGGTTTCAAGACAAGTTGGCGTGATTTTGCTGGATCTTCACAGCAACTTGACCCTTTGCTTGTTACATTAGTCTGGTCTCTGTATGTGTCGCTTCTCCCACCCTTCTAATATGCTAATTGTGTGCTAATTGACTCTGTCTAGCAATGCCGTAAGCAATATAACACAAAGGAGACCACTGCAAAACCTCAAAGCAACCAGCGTTGAATTCCCCTACATTTCAGAACAACTTGTTCATGGACTACTTACCTTGAAAGATCAAGATTCTGTGGCTGCGTTACTTGCAGCTTGATCACTGTTTATATCAAAACATCCGAATGGACGTCTGTGACACTTCTTGTGTCAGTTACAGATTGACCGATATCGACGATCAAGTTACTTTGAAAACTCGTCAATTCCAGCACAACTTGTCTTGAGAGGAAGTTTTACGAAGAACGTAAATTTAATACAACACAAGGAGCCGATTAAGAAGCAGTCTTACTTTAGGTTCTCCTTAGGCTATCGTAGAATAGATGAGATTGATGCCCTCTCCTCGGATTGGACAAGCCTAGCTACTTTGCTTTGAAAACTCGCCTAATTCAGAACAACTTGTCTTGGCAGGGATCCGGAAAAACAAGAATGATTCATGGAACAAGACGCAGATTTCCCCAGTCATAAAGAAAACTGTGGTACTTGTGAGTTCTAAGAAGCCTTGTTATGTCAAGAAAGTTCTCAGATGGTGTGCGACGTCAACTTGTCTTGGTTGGCCACCTATTTGCAGGCAACTTGTCTTGAGGATATTACCAGAATGGAAAGAGGCCCAGATTCTTAAATTTGAGATAACAGTTTGAATCAAATCATTAAGTAATACACGAAGCATTGCCGGATGTCACTTCCTTCGGTTTGCGCCAGGTAATCATACTGCCAAGTTGCTTTGAAACCTCGCCTATTTCCGGGTAACTTGGCTTGGCAGTAAACAGTAAGAACAAGAAGGCCGGATTCATCAGGACAACATTGCTGGGATGCTTCAAAATATAGAAAAGAGCACGGAACGCATTAATGCAACAGGAACCTTGATTTAAGAAGAAGTTCTCGATTTAGTGCGCGGAATCAACTTGTCTTGAAATGCCGCCTGTTGGACGACAAGAAATCTTGAGGACACTACCCAGAACAATGAAGGATTTACACTTCATGCTCTTGTAAACTAAATCATGCCACAGTAAGATCATAAGTCTCCGTAATCTTGACGTTCTTGTGCAAAGATCGCAAATGGGCCGTTGTGAATTAATTGCAGTTTTCGCGGCAAGATCGTTCACTCCTCAAACTCAGGCTTCGTCACACGTAGGGACTGGTAGCGGCAAGATTAAAAAGTTCGGTGGACATTATACAGTGTGGGGTGGCTCTAAAGTACTTTTAATGTTAAAGAAGATCAATGTCAAAACAACTTCTTCCGAAGGTGGCCCAATTTCAAAGCAATTTAGTTTGAACACATTACACAACTATCCAACGTGGCGACAGTGAAGAATTGAATCACCGTAATCAGAATGCCAAGCACTGGGTCGTGCTGTTTATTGGCAGTTTTATGTCTCACATGAAGATTGTGTTGCCCAAAACAAGTTGAAAACAAGTTGGCGTGAAAAGAGGCGTTTTGGGAGGTAAGTTCAGAGTAGACTTTTCTATGTAGAAAGTTATGTCGGACTTGTGGTGCAGCATTTAGGAACCCGATACAGATTGTCTAAGCCTTGATTATTGTGAAGTAATTTGCTGCCCACTCCCTCACGAACCATACTAAAAAGTTGGCGCGATGCGTAGCCAGAGGCAAGTTTATTGTGTAAAACCGCAACAAGTGTCACAGTACTCTACAGAACCTGAACCAAATGCCATCCTATCAAATCACACACTTTCCGCAGCACCTAAATGTCTTTACCGTACCCTGATCGCCTCCTTCATGAATGAACTGCGAGCTCTAATCTCTTTGCCCCATTTGATGACCACTAAGGGAGTAGCCACTAACATTAACCACATGAACCCCAGTGTTGTGCTAGCCCAGTGAACTCCGAGCCTAGTGTACAAGGTCGATGGAGCGAGCGGGAGAAAAGCAATAGAAGCATTCTCGACCAAGGCAACGGCTGCAAGAGCGCTCGCCGCGTACTTGCTGTACGCATCGATAAGATAATCTGCAATACTAATCACGACAGCCGTAGTTCCAAACCCCACCATTTTCAAGCCAGTTGTGATCACCATCCAACTTATGTTAGGATATGCTGCCCAACTATATACAAACATTCCGCCCGTAACACCAACAAGCCCTCCAATGATGGCTGCATTAGAGTCTCGCTTCAGGGATGGGTGTACTCGGAGCTTCAGTATTCCGAGCAGCAGAAGCTTGATACCAGTGGTTGGTGGAGAGGGAAAGGCCAGTTCCGAGAATCTCCCCGATGACAATAGCGCTTTGAACGTATCCTGATTGAATTACGTTCCAACCGTAGAGCTGACCGTATACCTGCCCGACAGATTCGGTGAAGAAGTAGATCGTTCCAAGGCTGAAGACTGCCCAAACCGCAGCGACAGCAACCACGAACTCAGTAAACAGCATGCAGATTGGTCGCTGTATGCTCCTTCTAAGGGCCTGATGTAGAGGAGTATGGTCAGATTCCTCCACCGTGTATGCCTTCTTTCCTTCTTTGCGCATTCGCTTAGCCTTGGATCGTAGGATAGCTAAGCCACGAGTCTCGTGGAGACCAAAAAGCAGGATAGGAAAAATGGCGGCCGTGAAGATCAACTCAATGTAGCCAATCCAATGCCATCCAGAAATGGAAGTATTGAAGCACCAACAACTGGGCCGAGACTTGTTGCACTCAAATATACCATGACGTAAAAAGATCTCGATAAGCCCCTGGCTTCGTCTCCATGGAATACATTTGATGCGATGCTAGCGACGGCATCACTCATGAGCGGGACGCAGCCACCCGAAAAAAACCGAAGTACAACGAGTGTTGCGAAGTTCTGGGCGAGGCCAACTGGAATGAGAAAGCACATAAAGCAAAAGTAGGTACTAAGAACCATCGGTCGAACTCCCCAGTCCTCCATTAGAGGAAATAAGATCAGAGGGAAAATGGCGGCTCCTACTCCCCAGGACGTGGTGATCCAGTAGGGATTAGGGAAGTTTTCATCGAAAACCCCGAATTCTTCGGAGATTGATTTGTGAGCAACTGAAAGTAAAGTGCCGTTCATAGAGCAGATGAAGCTCGCAAGAAGACCGAGCCCGACTGTCCACCACTTTTTCTGTACAGACCAATTGAATGGATCTTGTGGGTCGTCTAGTCGGTCCCAGGTGACAAGTATCCCGTCGGTGTCATGACATGGTTCTATGTTGCAGTTAATTGAAGGTAATCTGGTAGCTTGCAGTTACGCATAAAAACCTTCAGTAAAAGAATACGTAGCTGGGTGAAAAGGGCTTCTGAAATCGTCCATCACAATAGACACAACTTCGAACAGATTTGGAGAATTGTCTCCCGTAATTGCATCCTCTCCACGCGAACTCCTTGGCGTGACACGTCGGCGATCTCTTCGATAGTGGAATCCATGGCAATACTCGGGTTTGGCTGGCAAGGAAGGAAACGGGGTTTGAAGAATGCTATGAAGTCTCCCAAGATACTATCAGGACGATACAAACAACGTGCTTTGTGAACGAGAGGTGGAATTGAGAGAGATCTGGTAATTCTGTTGGCAAGAAAGTGCATCTTGCTGAAGACAGAACATAAGACACAGATAAGCAAATCAAGTGAACTGCCGTAGTGGCCCTTCCAACAAATCTCACGGAGAGTAACAAAACAATCCCTTCGCTTAGCAGGGATCAAAGTGGGGACGGGACGGGACGAAACGACCGAAAAGGCAATTGACCGTTTTGGGCAACGTGCCAAAATAGGTTACTCTGTGCCAAGGCTCGCCAACGGAGCGAGCTAACACCTCGTGCTACATCTGTTTCTACATTTGCAGTAACAGCCTCACTCCGGACGTCGTGAGAGATACACTTAGTAATGCCTGAAATACAGCTGTCCTGGCAGCAAGGATTTTCCCTGGTAAGAAAGCCTGTGAAAAAGCGAGCACCACGGAGGAAAAGACAACAGCGTTTCGAATTCGTCGAGGAGGATCCCCAGGAAACCTGCTTGACAAGACGTTCCCCATTCGCCACCAAACAGCCAGTGACTCCCCCGCAGCCATCTCGAGAGCATGCATTCGTACCAGATTCACACGAGTGCTGTTCCCATGGTGAAGATGCCGGAGATGAACTCTCCCATGACCTCTCAATCGGAACTTGGAATAGCAGTCGACTGATTATGAGCCAAAGATCTCCCGGTCTAGGGAACGGAACGGCCGAACCTTACCTGAACCCGTGCAGTAGCGAAGACGAGTCTACATCCTCGCGTTTACCCGAGCTCGCTCCTAGTGAGCATACCTTAGTACTGCTCGCCCAGTACAGAGCCGCGACGGCACGGAATGGGCCTCGGCAGACCTTCCCCTTCCTCTTTTCACATCCATACCAGCGACTATAGAATACAGCAGCCTCACTCAACGCTTCAAGCCAATTCTCACCAGGTGTATGCATTCTACGTACCTCTTAGATCTTTCCACCACTGACTAACAATTCTCAGACAATGGGGGGTTTTGCACGATCCCCTTAATTTTTGACCCGCGGATCAATCCGTTCCGATATCGTACAGACATCGATCCGGAACCGATCTTTCTGGTACACGCTGTGATGGCGTTAGCAGGTCATCACGTAAAGAGTACCTCGACTTTGAGCCATCGTCACGTAGCGCTTCGACTCCTTCGGCAGAGTCTCAGCGCATTCAGCGATGCGGACACTATGTATTCGATGCTTGACACAGTCGTAATCCTATTCTCGCAAGATGTCAGTGCAATTTCTCTGTCCTGTGTCTCAGATTATGTCCAGACTAATAATTCATGCTAGGAAACTCAATCCATGCTCGGAAATTGGAGCACGCATGTCGTGGGAGCATATACTCTCCTGGAATCCTGTGGGGGGGGGAGGGGGTCGAGACATTAGATTTATCTTCTAGGGTCGAGGCTCAGATAGGAATACTAACATGGTACGCGAAAGTCCAATTACCACCTGTCTCTGAAAATTTAGCTGGCCTTGCCAGGTGGGATGCTATAATAAGTCTCCTGTCTAGGGAAAACTGCGTGTTTCCTCACGCGTACTTCGACCCCATACTTTCCAGCCAGTATAAACGAGAGTGGGATTTCTTCGGCCTTTGTGACTGACCAACGAGTCTCGTAAAGATTGTAATGCAGGTGGCACGTCTCAGTGCAGAGAGGCAGAAGGGGTCCTGGGCATCGGATTCTGGAATCAACAGTCTCGTCTCGGAAATTGAGCAATCGCTTGAATCTTGCTGCCATGTCCCTGCTGCGATGGCTTTTCAAGACGAGGATTCTATGCACCAAGATCAGGATGTTATGCATTGCTCCGAGGCATGGAGAAGTGGGCTTCTTCGTTACGTATTCAGGGTCTTCAGGTGGGAACTTGGAAGGAGCGTCCCGATACATATTGTTCACCGTGCAAGGGTTGTTGTAGAGCACGTCATCTCGTGTCGCGACGTCAACATGATATCTAGGCAGGCATTATTTCCGCTTTTCCTGGCAGGTTGCGAATTGCGTGATCGGTCAGTGCGAGCGCAGATTGTGAAGCTTTGCTCGGTCTGGGACGAGAGGACTAGGTATCATATGTTTCGCAGTGCAATGCCTCGGCTGGAAGAGATCTGGGCTGAGTAGGAGGCAAGCGATTTCGAGAACGTGTGGTGGGGCCAGGTGGTGGATGAACACCATACGTCCAGAGACCACACTTTGAAAATGCGGCTTTGCTTTGGCTAGATTAGGAGGCTTATCTAATTTCACGGACACGATGTTTGGAATTGAGATCGATCCTCACCAGAGTAAGATCATGAGGTGCAGTTTTAGACTGACTAAGAAATCTATCGGGTCAGTCAGTTCATTTGCTAAGAAGGTCTTCATAGAAACGAATCTACAGCTCTCTCTGATTTTCTGGTCTTAGACGTTCCCTCATCTTAATATTACCCGATGAATCGCTGTCGGAGTCTGATGATTCGCCGGAGTTCGAGTCTCCCTCCTCATTCTCAGAGTCGGTATCCAGAGCGATCACATCGAAGTTTGGATCGGATTGCTCCCTCTGTGCGATTATTGCTCTAGTTATGACACGCTCCTCCTCTCTACGTCGTACTCGGTCTTCACGATCCCGGACAAAGTCCTGAAGAAACTCGAGTTCTCGGTCGTCTTGGTGGTGGAGGACCATGCCACCGTGTCTCAGATACAGACTGCAATTCTCGTCGTGTCCACGACCGTTGTGGGACACGATATAAGTCCAGACTGCAAAGCAGATGTAGCAGAACTCATGCTTACAACTGTCTTTCTGAAGGTTAGTTCAGTGTTAAAACTTTTGTAAATGGTGTACTTACAGATCATATGCTCACACCCATCAATTTTCTCAATCTGCACCTTGCATTTTGGGCATGCCTTGGTGTTATTCATTATGAGTGACTCAGATGCCTCGTTGGCCTTGGAGAAGTCATCGAGAGACAAATCGTAATTTTCGCAGGTGCTATTCTCGTGCCATTTGATGCGATGCGTCAAGCAATAGAATTGCCCACACTCAATGCAAGTGATCTTGCCGCCTTCAGTGCTCTCGTAGATGTCCCCGTATCGGCAGTTTTTGTTCAGACACTCCCAAAAGTTGGGATCGCGACTCAACCGCCTGTTGCGGGCCTGCCGTCGGTAGCTGCAAACGGTGTCAGTGATGAAGTCGTTAGATAAACTGGCATCTTACAGTTCGTAGAACTCAGCGGTCGCAAACTCCTGCACCTCTTCCTCGTTGAGCTGCAGGCCACAGTCTGGAACAGGGCAATTGATGTCATCGAAGATCTTGACTTGGGATTGTGTCTCTATTGTGGTGGCGACACATGTCTTGCACATATCCAGCGGCTCGTGCTCGCATCGTGAGGTTAGGTTCCGGTTGTGGAATTCGGTTTCCGCCATGGACGTCACGCACGATATGCAGTCCCTCATCATTTGGATCTCTGAATTGAGGTTAGCAGTGAAAGTGGGTTGATTGTCAGTAAGCACTTACCTTCCTGCCCTTGGGTCTGAGACAGCGCACTGGCTTGTACGAGTCCGACTTGGTTGGTTCCATCTCCGCTCTCGACGTTGTCTTCTGCAGCATGAGTATTTTCAAGACCTGCGAACGATCAAATTGCAGATCCGAAAGGAGGAACTGTTGATCCTTGCTCGGAAACATGTTGCACTTGTTGATCCAGTGGCTTGGGGGTTTGGTCCAACGAGTCTGTCTGCTGCTGGGGATCTGGGACTCGCCAGCCAGGCACGGTTTTCCGTCCTCGTCTTGGTCTCCACCAGTCAAGAGCTTCAATATTGTCATCTTGAGCTTCATCCTCCGACTCAGGGCCATCTGAATCAGAGTTCTCCTCAGAACTCTCACCTGACTCGGAGAGCTCCTGTATTCCATCTTTGTATTTTCGTCGCAGGACTTGCAACTTTCCAAGGAGAGAGTGTGTGTATACGTGTCATTGGCGAGGTCTAGCCAGCGAGGCCAAGAGGGACGAGAATATGGCCAAAATGGCATGAACTCTCATCGCGCCGAATGTTGGTGGAAGAGTTGCCTGCAAGAACTCCTAAGCCCCTCCACAGGGCGAAGAATAAGATGATGTGAATGAAGTCCCTGGCTCTGAAGGTGTACGAAGTATTCTCTGTACTGGATGGGTTGTCCGGGCTGAACGGACGGGTTCGTCGGCAAGTATAAGAATGTGGTGTGTTTGACTTGGGACTTTAGATGACGTAGCTGGGCGCGTATAATGAATAGGGGGGCGTGTTGTTGAGGGTAGTAGAGAGTGGAGTATGTTGTTGTTGGAGGGGGAGGTGGGGAGTGGAGTGTTGGTGTAGTTGGAGGAGAGGTTAGAGGAGACAGAGAGCGGAGTGGTATATTTATATATATGTCCATTGGAAGAAAACGGTCTGTGCGGCGCCAGTCTATTCATTATTTCCCCCCAAATTGTATTCATTTTGTGACTAACTAGCTTTTGTACTCTTTCCCAAATCGTATATGTCTCATGGGTGAATTTGTTGGGCGAGGTGAATTACTAAGGCTATACGGAAGGTGAGTCTTCGTCTAAACCAATTTGCTCGGTCTGTGACTTTGTGATGAAACTGCACGACTTGAACACAGCCCCATTCATAGGAAACTAGCACTTAGAGATCTCTCTGACTTTCCAACACTCCGTACAGAATAAGCAGTCACTCCCTTAATGCCGAGTCTCTCTTTAACACTTTGCGATAGAAAGTATTATCAATCCATTTGTTGTTGTCATTCAATACCTACCACCGACTGTCAGGCAGAGAGGAGCAGAGCTTTCTATCTGAAAGACAGCATCATTTAGGAGTGATTTCACTATGCTCAACCTGTCTTTTCTTTTCTACAAACTCGTAACACAAGTTAAGCTTAACAGTCAGTCTTTCTTACCAGTACTGCACGAAGCAAGCAGCGTCCCGTGTATTTTTGTCGCAGGACTTGTTCGGCAGTTTGTGTCTGGGGTTAAGGACATGGTGTCTTGATTTATAGGCTTGGGACTGCGAGGCTAAGGACAGTTTGGAGACGCGAACAGTGGTGAATAGCGGGTAGTGGTCGATTCTGGGGAATTGAAGTAGGTTGTCTGCGAGGGTGTGAATCGTGACTTGTAGGCCGGGTATATATTTCCCTAGATGAGCAGTACTTTGCTGAGCAGATATGCATATCGAACCACCTTTCAATATGACGTGTTGAGTGAGAAGGTTCGGCTCTGCCACATTTGTGGCTCCAATACTGCCGAGTAGGGACTTGAGAATCATCTGGCGCTGGCATGATGAGTCGAGGTGGATGCTGAAGTCGGTATATTGTGAAAGGAGAGGCGGAGCTAATCGTTGAGTGTGTATTGCTGTCAATAGCAAGGCGATTGTCGCTGCCTGCCGTACAGTGTAATAGATCTCGGCCTGGGAAGCTGGGAAGCAGGGTAAATTCCGAACGATCGTCTCTTCGTCTCGGAAACCGCTGGCCCTCGATAAGTTGTCATGGCCTATCCACTGTCATAAAGAGCAGCTGTATCCTACTTGCTTTCCATTTACAGCTCCCCAGTGAACCGATGCTTTGCGATTGTTGCTTTCGTTACCCATTCGCGGCTTGGATGTGCTGATTTATACCGATTCATGAAACGGGGATTGTGGAGGTGGAAAGAAAGGAGTAATTGATTTCAGGCCTGGGTACGAATTGAAAGTGAAAATTGGTGAAGTACAGTGGTATAAATGACAGCTGCTCTAAAATCTTGTCTCTCCTACCCACACGACGACACGTTTTGATCCGTCAATCTTCATGGGACGGCCGTGATTCAGAGCTAATCGTGAATTAAAGTAGAACCATGTCCGCATCATATTTTGGGACATTGCGTGTGTTTTACAATGCAAGGGTATTGCAGAGAATTCAGATGCCAAGGGACTTCCAACTGAGATACGAAAATTAGAGGTGAGAATGATAACAACGATGTGATTGACAATAACTACCAAGTAAATGGAAAAGACCTTCAGGCTCAGGGTAGGCATGGCGTAGCGTGACTTCACGACGGATGATGGGCTTTCTCTTTTTGTTCTGGGCATGTAGGCGAGACCTGCTAAAACCTGCCGGTATATGAAATGGAGGATATCAAGATCCAGTCAGAAGCTGGCCCATGCCGGACACATTTGAAGTGATGGTCTTTGCCTGCCGGGCTGTGGAGGGAGTGGTAAGGATTTATATAGGACGGTACTGGCATGATTGAGTAGGAGATTTTGGGGGCTGATGAAAGATCTGTGAATCTCTCAAAGTGAATGCGTTGACTCCGGAACCAGCTTCAGCACGCGGTTGCATGCCGGCTCCTCTGTATCACGTGAGACCCAAAGGATTCCTCACGCCCGAAACACAGCAGCAGCCACAGTGTCGAACGATTCAAAAGTCAAAAAACCATTTGTTTCAAGAACAGACGAACATGCACAGGAGAAACATTTTTCTCTTCTTGGCTGAAAATGAAGCCATCACGAACTCGGACCCACAGATGTGGCTCGGACTGCACGGATGCAATGTGACGGATCAGAATGATCGCTTTTGGGATTTTCGACGGATCAACCACTAGAATCGACGACCAACTGAATCGCGGTACCAATTCGCACAGATGATGGGATTTGATGGAGAGGTTTCATATCGATAAGGGAGGGCTTTTTGGGATGCAGAGAATCACTGTCAAAACATCAATACTTGGGACAGACAAAGAATCAAGGCACGTGTTCCTTACACTGTGTGCAATTTTCGGCTCTAGAACGGGAGAAAGACCAGATGGACTACGGATCTAAAGGATCAGATCCTCTCTGTTAAATTCGCAAACCAAGGAAAAACGTCATGGTATGAAACGTTGACATCTGTCAATTCGGCGGGGGGTGAGGGTCGTGATTGGCTTGCATAATGAAAGTCGAAATGAGGATGCCGGTTGATCGGCAATCAATTTGATTTTTGAAGGGGTTGATGTTCGTCCCGGCGGGAGGCTGTGTTGGTTGCCGAGAGAGGGATGTCGGTTGGGTTTTTACTACGGTACCAGTTGGTAGTGAGGTGACTTCCAACGCGGGTGAGGTCTTGCAGTGCATGTTTGTTTTGGTAATATCATGAGGATTAGGAGCCTCGTGCGACTCGGCGTACAGCAACGTCCTCTGTGCTGCAGGACGGATGCTCAGGTAAACACCGAACACCGTGTCAGCGTTGATACACAGCGCACAGCATGCAGCGTGAAAAGGTTGATTTGCGTGCCCTGGGGTTCACTGTCAAATGTCTCTCTGGTGTTGCGTGGCACACGAGCATATTCCAGGGATTGCATGGGTTTGATGAGGGATTTGCCGGTGGGTGCGGTGGAGGATCGAAGCGAAATCTGAGAGATGAGATGAGATGAGGGTTTTTGATAGAACATTTTCTCCCTCCCCCTTACCTGGATTCCATCTTACCTTAACAACAGCGTCATAACTCATGCATTCCATATAATGATCATAATCTATTATCCCATCCCATCCCATCCCAACACCCGAATCTTCTCCATGGTGATCATTGATGCACAGAAGATACGATGAGCTGAAAATAGTTGGCGCTTAAATTTGCCCGTTCGTCCCATCCATGGAGTGATTGCGAGGAGGACAAGGGGGGCAGGCCGTGTTTAATTTTGTTTCAAGGGATCCGGCCAGGGTAGGGGAGCCGTGATTGGTACACAGAAGATTGGCTGGATGTGGTTCCTGGCTCTAAGCTTCATCGGGCCAAGGGACAGCACTTCAGGCAGGGATAGCCCAGGCCAAGACTGCTCTAGCTGGGTACCTGCGTCCCTAGCGAAGTCGTTGCTCTCAGCCAACCAGCCCGTAGCATTCAGCTTTAGCCCGCCCACTCACCCACACCCACACCCACCTCCTGCTTTGACCTCACTTGGACCTTCTCTCCTTCTCCTCACCCTCACCCTCTCGCAACCTCATCGTCACCAACGTCAAATTCCCCGACGAAGGCAGCAGGATCGCATTCCATCGTTTCAGTCGTCCCTCTTTTATCGACTTGATCTGATCGTTTGTTTACGTTCGCTCACTCACTCACTCACTCACTCACTCACCCTCTACATTCTCCACCACCAGCTTCCGTTCCTCAATTCAATTTCCGTTCGTTCCGCCAAATAACAATACCGCGAATCGATACTACCAACAACCCGACGATAATCCAACGCGGTTCCGCTTCTCTGCGCGATACTGCCCTATTTGAATGACCCATAATCCACACCTCGATCTCGACGTGTTCAACAAGATGGCTCACAACCACCTCCACCAAGCGCACGCGCACGCCTACGCGCGACAACAAGGTCCCGAGACAGTCGTGTCTGTCGTCTACGTGACTGCTTCCAAGACCTTCGAGGGCGAGATTGGAGGATACACCACCATTGGCGTCGCGATTGATACAAACACAGCCGAACTAGATCCTGAACCTACAACCTCTGAAGCGCCCAAGGCCAAGACCGTATCGTCACCAGCAAAGAGTTCTCCTGCCTCGATCAAGGCCTCAAGCAGACATACAACTTTTGAAACCTCCGCCCTGCCAACCGCGATCACTTCCCCAAAGACATCCGTTGGCAACTCACTCCCACTCCTCGCCGCGACTGGTGGTGTATCAACCAGCTCCATCGCCTCGGCAGCTTCCTCGACCGCGACCTCATCCGCGAAATCGGATTCGACCTCGGAAGAAGGTATGAGCACAGGTGGAAAGATCGGATTGGCTGTTGGTATCTTGTTACTTTTGGGCGCCGTTCTATCGATCATCCTGTTCTGCTTCAAGAAGAGAAAGGATGCAGCCAAGGCAGCAGAGGCGCGCGAGAATGAGAAATACGACCAGGTCACCCGCACTGCTAGTGTCCGTACAACTGCTACTGCTCCTCGACTTTCTCTCCGACCAATCACTCAGTTCCTACCAAACTTGGGCGAGAAGCGTGCAAGCCGTGGCAACCCTCTCGCAGCTCACCTTGCACCCGTTGCCCAGCAGCAACAACAAGAGAAGACCGGTGCATGGGAGAGACCAATGACTGGACAATCCAACAACAGAGAGAATCCATTCGGAAACCACGCAGAGACTATCCCAGCCCAGAACCCATTCGGAAACCATGCCAATATCGATCCTGTCAATGCTTCTGGTCCTGCTATCGTTGAGATGCCAGCTGAGCCTATGGCTGCTACCGCTGTTGCTGTCGCTCCTATTGGTCTTAAGCGTGGAGCTTCCAAGCGCGAGAACGGCCCAGCTCCTCTTGATTTCACCAAGTCTGGTCCTTTCATGGGTCCTCCATCTCCTGCCGGAACCGAGTTCAGCATGTCTTCCGAGGCTCCAGGTACACCAGTTCAAACCAGCTCTGGTGCCGCCATTGCTGCTGCTGGAGGTATGTTTCCTCTCTTCCCCACTCGTACATCTACTAACTTCTCAGGCCCTGTCAACTCTGCTGTTCACCGAGTTCAACTTGATTTCACCCCATCAATGGACGACGAGCTTGAACTGAAGCAAGGTCAACTGATTCGTGTCCTACACGAGTACGATGATGGATGGGCTCTCTGCATCCGATTGGATAGATCTCGTCAAGGTGTTGTACCACGTACTTGCTTGTCCACTCGTCCTGTCAAACCTCGCCCAATGCAAAACGGTCCTCGTGGTCCCCCACCACCAGGAATGCGAGGTCCTCCTCAACAACAACGTCCCATGTCACCCGCCATGAACGGTCAACGAATGGCTCCAAATGCTCTTCAAATCCGACCATCTACACCAAACGGCCAACATCCACGCCCTGCCTCCCCAGCTGGATCTATGCAACAACGTCAACCAAGACCCATGGTCCCAGGACAAGATCAAGGTCGTCCTCGTAGCAATTCCGCCGCTCAGATGCAACGCCCCAGAATGGGTCCAGGCCCAAGTCAAATGAACCCAGCGCCTCAATTTGAAGGTGCTGGTTCTCCTCCACAGGGATTCATCGGTCGGAAACCAGTTCCCGGTCAAGCATTATAAACGACTTCACTTCTTCAACAACAAAAGTCCTTTTGGAACAGAAATATTTGCTTGACTTGATTTTCTCGCGTAGCGAAGAATGGGGAACATGGAACCTGGCGTAATGGGACGGCGGATTTTGACACGATTGATCACGAACGAATGTACACATCTTTTCCTTACAGTCATATTCTTTTTTCTTCTTGCTTGCCTTTCTCTGCAAAAATATTTTTGGGAGGGATTGCTTGCTACAGGGTTGTTTACATCTTTTTGCTGCTACCGATCTGAGCTTTGAGAGTTTCCTTGCCCTTTTTTCCGAAAGTACACATTTGCGAACCGAACTGGACTGGACCTGTTAGTTGGTAATGTGTATGTATGTAGATCGTCACCTTTTTTTTTACTTTCCTTTGTGCTTTTCTGGTGGTTGTGGTGGTGGTGGTGATAGAAGAGAGGTGGAGAGAGACAGGGGGATTGGATCAATTGCTCGGCTCGGCTGGATGAGGAGACTTCCTGGTTTGCTCTACGGTTTGCGCTGTAGTTCTTGGACTCTTGTTCTCGAGGGGGAGGGGAATCGACTGGCTTTGAGAGATGGACGGATCGAGGTAGAGGTAGAGGTTGAGGGGGCAATGATGCAGTCGGCGAGCTGTGCTGTGCTGACTTGTATGAGTTTTAAGTTTCTACTTTCTCTTTCAAGTATGTGCCTGCATTAGCTGGGTTATGGATGGTTGGGTGGGGAATAGATGGATGGGTGGGGGGAGGAAGGGTGGAAGGGATGGAGAAGTGTACATAGGCAGGCTTGCAACATAGCGGCAAAATGGAATAAGAAGTCCTCTCGAACATGCATCTTGAAATCCTCTCTGCACGTACTTGCCACTTTGTGATGTGATGTAAATTTCTCTCCTTGTGAAGATGGGGACCAGGTAAAGAGTGAATGAATCCCAAGTCTTGCCTTGATTAGGTGAAGAGTAAATCTACCGGCAGGCAGGCAAGCTAGCAAACGCAATCAATCAGTGCTTATGGACGTCCGTAGGCTGGTTGGTAGCTTGCTATATAAACCCCCCTCCCACAACCCACCAATGACTCTTCCCTTCCCTTTCCTCTACATGACTACATATCAAGTTCCCCACAATGTGAGGTGGGAGGAGAGGAGCGGAGGGATTTGCAGCGTTGTGAGATGCAATGGTGGTTGGATCATGGATGGGACGGACGGAATGTATGTTTGCATTGTATTGAGTCGGGGAGGAAGGGGAGAAAGGAGAAGGTGAGCGATAGCAGGAGGGGGAGCGATGGCAGGAGGGAGGGTGACAACGACAATGACAAAGAAATTGATAACACCTGTACTTGATTACTTCTAAAGTCCATGTGGTGAAGGCATGGCTGCTGCCGTCGAAAAAAAAAAAAAAAAATAGCGAACAGCGAGTCTGTCACGACATAATGGTAAACTCTTAAACTCGCTATGCGAGGAGGAAAGTGGCAGGGAGGGATAGATAGAGAGAGACCTAGACGAAAGACCCCGAACCATAAACTTGAATTCCTGTGGGCAGGCCTTTTGATTTGAGGACTAGATTTCAGGGAGAGGGCGGTGTGGGTTATATACCTACCTAGTTGTTTACAGGCTGAGCTAATCCAATCCTTAAGTCGAGAGAAAGGATGAGGTGGAGATGGAGGGGAAGGGGGAGGTGGAGGCGGTTTCGCTGCGTTTCTTTTCAGGTTACTTCACTTCACTTGATAATCATTCTTACTTGCACATTTGATGAGTTTAGCCGGGTGAGGAAGTCTACGTAACTTGGGAGTAAGAGGGTGAAGTGAAAGTGTGCGAAGTAGAATTCTGATGGGATGTACGAGATACGAGAGAGAGGACGTATAAATAAGTAGTATAGTGGCACGCACTGTTGACCTCTACGAAAAGATCTGCAAATACCTTGAGATACTAGACTTGGAATGAAAGTGTCTGAGGGATCTGTTCTGTGGCTGATGAGCGCTTATGGTAAGGAGAAAGGAAATGGGTAGGTCATACTGGAGTTTTTCAATGCGTTGCTCGTTTGGTGGGTTATGAAGTGCACTCATTGCGGGATGTAGATAGAAGGACGATGAGGAAGAAAGGCTATTTTGAAAGTCGCAGAAGTATCGACAGCAACCACTATCCTCTTAATTCTTGGCAATAATCCGACCACAACCTCCCATATGACTTGTCTGAGAACCAGAAGAATAGTGGAAGATTCACTCAACATCGTCATGCCTTACGACACTTATTCGAAAGCCGCTGAGCAGGGTTAGTAGCGCCCATATTATTAGCTAAATGAGCAGGAGGCAAGCGGGCTAGGTTGTTCTGGAATACTGATTCCATAGTACTCAACATACGATCATGGAGCGTAGAGTCGAGATGGTTGGAATGGTAGCTGCTGGCTGGGCGGAGCGTATCTTATATACTGGGAATCTCGGGTGAATGGATGGGTGGGAGATGGAGGAGCGGGGGTGGGGGGCGTGACTTCTGCGAGTAGGTGAAGGAATTAAGTGGTTAAGAAGCGAGTGTGAATGTGGATGTGCGATTCGTGGCTGTGATTGATTGTCATCTTGAGTTGAGTACCCTCATATGTGACCAGAAGCTGGGTCTGAAGCGTTCCAGGGGATGGAAATAAGAGGAATGGATAGGTGAGAATCTGAAAGGAGAAGTTCGCCCAAATGTGCTGGAGAAAAGTCAGAACACGAGGAGAGTAAAAAAGCATATGAAGGATCAGTTTTTAGGGTCTAGAGGGAACACAGCTGTAACACGACGCTCGAACTGGTACGATGGAGACACTTTGGGTAGGACTACGTAGCCTGCAATCGCTTCTGAAAGCATCAACGAGTCTGTTTGTCGGTGATTGAGAGGGACGAGGTAGCAAAATCTATTACATATTTTGAGACCTAAGGCTCAGAAGACTCTACAGGCTGAGAAGTAATCATGTAGGGAGTGGTGATCATTGTCGCTGTCAGCTGTGTTGTCGATCTTTCGTTTGCTGTCAATGATCACCCAGATGAACTCTAGAGAGCGTCCGAACAGGACACGATTCCAAATAGGGAAAGAAACCCTCACCGTGGACAACTTTGAACCAAATATTTGCAATTTTTTGGACCTATTAGACCACTATTTTGGCTGAGCCGCAAGATAAGAAAGAAGGAGCATCACTTCGTCCCCATCGTAATTTTCGCAGGTGCTGTTCTTTTGCCTGGGATAAAACTATTCTGGGGGGAGACGTGTCACTTTATATAATTCTCCTGGTGATGTCATGCATGACCAGAGCACCAGGAAGTGGACTGGTTGGATTCATGCTGAATTAACTCCACCGCCTTTGTCGTTGGATTCATTCATCTACTGCCTCATTTTACGCTGATGTTAGCAGAGTGAAGAAGAATTCGGAGTCAACGAAAACCAAGTGCAAAGAGTCGTCAGTCGGGCAGACCTAGATCGAGGTATATAGTGCTCCTTCATGGCTGAAAATCTGGGAAGTGGGGTTACTAATATGGTTCGACCATCTAGTTTACGAGCCGAGCTTGAGTGGCCATGCTAAAGTTGATGTCTGTTAGAGTTCAATAAATTCAGGGTTACTGTAGTAACTGAATTTTATGGTAATAAAGCTGTCTCGATAAGTTTTGGGAGAGGCATGGCACATATCTTTACCCGATACTTCACTGGGTGGGGATTGTTGTCATCCCCTCGCTTGCTGTCATTCCGGTCAATCCCCCAAAAGCTCATGCGTCTATTGCGCCTTTAAGAAGAAGGCAAAGACTGGCAAGTGTCCAGAGATTTTCTAGCGTGAAGGTCATAGGCAAAGTCAATTGCTTTTGTGCTGATCGAAGCACGAGGTCTTTTCCCTGGCGGCCCTCCGCAAGCTCCGGGGCCAGGGGACCTCGCTTCGCCACGGTCTAGCCAATCAAGTCGAATTATCGTTCGCAGGCTCGCGCTAATCCGACGTGTCCAATCAGGACTTTTCACGTGACCCGTATTTCTTAAAATCGGATCCACAAAACGCACAATGTAAGATAGATGAAAATCTGGCACAGCGGGTAATTTTGTCGCCAGATCATGTTGAACACACACGATAAGCGGATCAGAGTCCCTACATTCCAAGGGAGTTTTTATATGCCAAGGAGAGAGCAAAGGGATGGTGCACATCAGAAGAGCCCTGAGAAGGTGATTGGCAAGTCGTAAATTATAGGTGCTTAATTGGCTTAACGCGTCATAGCTAAAGTGACTCAACAGGTGATGCATTAATATAGACAGAGACTGTAAATTACCGCTTATCCTGCGACCTCAAGTCTTCAAGGAAATCTCTTCATTCAGGTCAACCATCAAACGTGAGATCTCGCGGAGGACTTTGGCAATGGACGACATCCTCTAGGTGAGAGTCAATAACAAGGCTGAAGGGAACAGGTATTTAAATAAACAGATTCTGTACAAATCCCAAGATGAGACCTCAAAGGCGAAATACAAAGAGGTATCTTAAATGAAGGGTTCGCCAGCAATTAGGCCACTTAATCTAACCTTCGGCCGACGGTTAAGTGGCTTAATTGCTGCTGCTTTAAGTTTCGGTACATTGGATTTTTTGGGTTGCCTTTGCGAGTTTCTATATCTCATCTGGCACTACCATAATTTTGTGGCCGAGAACGGCTGTCGGGTACTTGGGTTGTTGCTTTTGTACTTTTTTGGTTGTTTGTTTTCCGCCGAGTAAGCGAGCGCTGACATCTTCCCGTCATGCTCCATGTAAGCTGGCAAGGTAGTCCTCATCACATTTCATCATTATGCACTCCGTTTGATGCAAGAGGTCTTGCAGCAAGGTAAATGATTTGATAATTGCTTACCATTCTCGCAAGCTTTCCCAGCCCCAATGATTTACACAGACAAGTCTCCAATCCCGACGGCCTTCGACCCCCCTTGGATAAAGTAAAGAGCAGGCAGAACCCCAACGAGAGCAGCCAAGATCCACCATAGCAAACTCGCACCTAATAAATTCTTAATCCGTTCCACATATCCTAACTCCGGTTTCCTAAAAGTGCAAACTTTGGTATCAAATACTAAACAACCTCTTCCTCCCTCTCTCGTATCACATTCACCATGTTCCCTCCGTCTCTTCATCAGCAGCCTATTACAGTCAGCACGATTCACTCAGGTTTTGACGATGAATACATACCTCACACTGCCTCGACAAAACCTCATATCACTCCCAAGTTCGCACTTTTTGTCATGAGGACAATCCAGATGTAGCGTTCGTCTGTTGATCAACCATTCAACTTTCAGATTCACACCAGTGTAGACAAAGCTGTAGAAGTGTCTGTTGGTATGCTTCAAGCTGAGAGCGTCGGGATAGGTCAGGTAGGAGGCTATTTGAAGATGAAGCTCTGTTGGGAGGGTGGCGAAGCTCGCTTTTGCGGCAGCGGCCATGGTTTGGTGCGCTGGCGATGGCTCTTCCATTTCCGTTTTCTTTGGAGATTTAGAGACAAATAACTCAACCACTCCGTCCCGAGATGAACGCATTTTTGGTGTCAACATTTGAGTTACTCCCAAACACAAGATGTGTCAGAGTCACGTGGTGAGAAGTAACGCTTGGGTTGTTCGACCAGAGATATATGGAATGGATAAAATATGCAGGTACAGAAGTTGAGAGACACCAAATGATATAAGAAACGCTGCCTGCTCGGTGAGAGATGCCAGCTGGCTAGCCCGGAATAGAGCTCGTGTTCTGAAACGGGAAACAGGCTACCGTTTTGGTGGCTTAGGATAGGCTGAGATTCACAACTGAGCCTCCACCTGCAAATTATCCCATCTAGAACAAGTTACTGAATTATGTTTAGGCGCCGAATGTATCCGGACTACAGATCGATTCCTATCATAGCCCCATCAAGGATTGCAAGGCCAAGAGACCGTCACCCACTGATATATTCCAGCACACTGAACAGCAATTTGTTTTCTACCTTGCAACCCCTTTCGTCACCTTTTGTAAAGCCATTCCAAAGACGAATGCCTATCTCGATCATGTCTACTCCCTTCTTATTGTGTTGACGTAGCATCTCGTATGCATCTGAGCATAGAGTCGTCTCGGTATCGCACTGGCTGGTAACCGGTAGACTGGACTCGGGGCAGAAGAAGCTCGGGGCATCTGCGGGGGTTGAGGATGATGGTGCAGTGCACAAGGCTGATGGAGAATGGCTAGGCAGCATGATTGGGTCGGACACGGGTCCTTCTTGGGCGGTATCAAGGAGTCGTCCAAGGTCTGGGTCAGAGAAGCTATCATCTGGCAGATTCAGGAACGTGTCCACAAGCAGCTCGTCGATGTACTCAGGCAGTGTTGCTGCTGCTGCCTGCAGGGAATCCGCCTCGACCACATCAGAAGTCCAGGAAGGAATCTGAAGTCCTGCAGATGCCACTAATTCATTCACCACTATTCCTACGGTCTCGCGTGGATTATTGTCGTCGTGGTTCGTGAGATATTGCTCCACCGTAATCTGTTCGATGCCAACCTGCCGTAGGAGTTCTCGCAGCTTCCTATTCTCTTCCTGGAGCCGGCGGATCGTGTCTTCCGGTACAATACTGCATGTTGGAACTCCTTCTACTTCACATTCTTTTAACTTGCGTTCTAACTCGGCAACATATTCGCGTCTCCGGGCTCTTGATCGTCGTTGGTTGTTGCGCACTCGGATTAGGTTCGCAGTCGCTGATGCTGACTTGAGTTAGTTAGCACTGTCTTGAGACGAGTGGCAGAAGCTGCTGACGTCGCTTTTGCGTTTCGGCATGATTCTTGGGCTATTGTGGAAGTGGCAAAGGTGCTTCTTGAGGAGCTGCTGTGTTTGTGTTGCATTGATCGCGAAGGTCCAGCATCGAAGCCAACCACCAGAACCACCAGAACTAGCTCCTCTGCTTACATAACGTACCTGTGCCTACACATCATTACCAGCGTAAGGCGAGATTAAACCGTATCGTTCAAGAGCACCGTGAAGGACTAAAGCCTCAAGTTTCTTTGATTGGAACAAGAACCATTTTTACTGGTATTCATTATTTGGTTTTTTGTTTTCAATATTCGGTCTCGCCTTCGAGTTGGCAGACAGAATTAGCGAGCCCGAATGTAACCAATTAAACAATGTCTCAATTGACCTAACTATTTGCTCAAAGGGACTCTTCAAACCATCGTAAAGCTGACAAACTTGATAAACCTTTCTAAAGGTCAGTCCTTTCCACCACCTATCAGTTGATGTTCCAAGGTTGGAAGTATAACTGACTGAAGTCTGCGAACAGTCATTGAAGCCATTGCCTTTAAGCTGAGACGTTCAACCCTGAACGCGAGTCTTTATGTCCACAGATATTTGTGGCTCTGATTATTTGGTGGCAAGCCTAAACATATTAAAGTTGTGGCGGTTTGATAGACCACGACGGAACATGTAGTGTCTTTCCCAAGGTTCAGGGCCACGGCAGCGATATTTTCGGCTTGGAGATGTCACTGGAACTCTTAAAAACGATGAAGAACGATCAATGAAGGAAGCCACTATGTCATCTGGGCTTTCTCGTTGACCTGTTTGGTGATTGCTCGAGATCTAGAGCCCAGGCTTCTGATTCGCGAGAGAGCAACGAGAGAGGTCGCATTCCTGTCGTAGAGAATGGAACACATGAGCATATAGGACAGCAGGCCAAGGTTATTTCAAATCAAAATAAAAAGTATCGATCCAAAAAAACACTCCCAATCTCGTCACTGGTAGACAATGAATGGACGCTGGGCACGGCCCGGACCAAAAGAGGGTTCACCAAGTGGGATGTCACTCGCTAAGCATCGGCACTTCGAATGTCACTACTTCGCTCTGATTGGTCGATTGGTCCTAGCCCGACTGCTGTGGCCATATTTTCCTCCTGTGTCTGTTTGATATTCTAGACTTCTTCAACCTACCTCATACTCACTTCTTGGTCTTTCCAGCTATTCCTCTGCACTTAATACATATATAAGAAAAACCGATTCCTTTATTCTGGACCCCGGATTTTGCAACAAGCCGCCCTCAATTATCTCAAAACCAAGATCAACAGTTCAAACCATTCCTACGAAGTGCCTCGATGATGCCAGCAACAAGCCCATACGACAGTAATTCTCCAACAATCATACCTGAAAAGGATGAAGGAAGTCATAAACACACGCTAGCAAATCAGCATCACGACCACGAGCTTCCACCACATGGCTGTCCTCAAGATGGACCTTCATCTGCTTTCAAGAGTCTAGGTTGGCTCGACCGGTTCCTGGCAGTATGGATCTTCTTATCCATGGCTATTGGGATTATTTTAGGCAATTTCGTCCCAAATACTGGGCCTGCATTACAGAAAGGGAAATTCGTTGGAGTTTCTGTTCCAATCGGTGGGTCGAATTCCAGTGATCAAATGCCAAGCTAACAAATCTTAACAGCAATTGGACTTCTCGTCATGATGTACCCTATTCTATGTAAGGTCAGATACGAGACTCTCCATCATGTCTTCCGGGAACGCAAGATCTGGGTACAGCTGGGATTCAGCATCATCGTCAACTGGATCGTTGCCCCGCTACTGATGGTATGTCCACCTTCAGCATCATTGTCAATCACGCTAACATCTCACAGCTCGCCCTGGCATGGGCTTTTCTCCCAGACAAGGAGCACCTTCGAGAAGGTCTCATCCTCGTCGGTCTCGCGCGCTGTATCGCAATGGTTCTCATTTGGACCGGTCTCGCAGGCGGTGACAACGAATACTGCGCTATTCTTGTTGCCGTCAATTCTGTCCTGCAAATGGTACTCTTCGCCCCACTTGCGATCCTCTTCCTCAAGGTGTTTGGCGATGGCGACGAGACTGTATCATACGAAGTCGTCGCAAAATCGGTCGCTGTATTTCTGGGTATTCCGCTTGGAGCTGCAATTTTGACGCGCTTTAGTCTACGCAAACTCTTCAGTCCAGACTGGTATGATCGGGTATTCTTGAGATTCGCGGCTCCATGGTCATTGATCGGACTTCTCTTCACGATCATTGTTCTCTTCGCGTCTCAGGGGAAGCAAGTCGTACAACAGATCGTCTCTGTAGTTCGCGTGTCGGCCCCTCTTATCGTGTACTTCACAATCATCTTCTTCCTCACCCTGCTTGTATGCTTCAAGCTGGGATTCGGGTATAAGTTGTCCGCGACGCAAAGTTTTACGGCGGCGAGTAATAATTTTGAGTTGGCGATTGCGGTAGCTGTCGCTACGTATGGTGCGAATAGCCAGCAGGCTTTGGCTGCTACTGTTGGTCCCTTGATTGAGGTCCCTGTTTTATTGGGGCTGGTGTATGTGGCGAAGGCAATTGGGCGAAGGAGGGGGTGGAAAGAATGAAATCAGACGCCCGGGTGGGTGCGTCATATATTCTTTTTGTTTCGGTCCAGCCATTTTCTCAAGAAAATCAATTGGACACCATGGAGTAATGCTCCCCTACTTTTTGCTCTGCCCCTTAACGTGCAAGTTCCTCGCCCTCATCTCCCTTACAGTCAACAACTCGCCCCACTTGCTGGAAGGAAAATACCTGCGAAACAACAAACAAATAATTCACAGTCAAAGCCAAGACGACGAAGTTCTTATATCTACCTAGAAAGATTAGATCCTTATGGCAGGGCTTGAAAAACAGAATCTCCGCGTGTATCAAATCAAAGATCTGTCCATTGATTCACAAGATCAGCACAATCTCCGCCGGATCTCGCATCAGCCTAGAAATTGGAATACGTCCCCTTGCCGAAAATCTCCCAACCCTCTGGTAAGTGCAAATTCCTTCAACTTCGACAAGACACAAGATCAGACCTTTCATCCAAGGCCTGTCACTTTCAATCCAACTCATGACAGGCAAAGCAAAGAACAAGGAGCTTTCAACGTGTTCATTTGCAAAGGAATGGTTTGTCTTTCTAATTGTTCCGTCCATCTCAAAGTTTGCCAAGTCCCTCGCCGTCAAATTATCGAAGTATGAATATGTCGCGTATCCTTTATGAGTGTTTTCATCGAGGTCCATGAGTGTCCAATGTGGCTCAAGGTACGAGGCTTCCCTGGTATCTGCGCCTGGAATACGATTAAGGTTGCCATCGGCATCTTCGACCTTCATCCGATCATTTGAGAAGCCAATCCTGGTAAGACGGCCGTTGATTACGATCCCGCCTCCTCTCAACGATCCAGTAGGATCTTCGTTCGCGGGGTATATCTGGCAGACCTCCACAGAGCAAAGAGCCTGGATGCTATCCTTCTCGGCATTCGGTGTATTGTGGCCAAAACGTATAGCTCCATCTATGGAAGCCCAAGACCATGATGGCGCTCTGTATGCAGATGGTCTGGTCGCTCGATATTCTTTTGTCGAAAACCAACATAATGCGTATGGCAACTGTGAGCGCCAAAGCCCAGCTATGTAGATATCCCCGCTGCCTAGCAGGGTTTGGAAATGCTGCGCGATCCCCGCGAATGCGATCATCTTGTCAGACGGAACTGTGAGGTGGCAAGCAGAATATGTCTCAACAAGTCGGTTCCACGTATGATGGAGGCCAACTGCGTCATATCGTTGTTTTCCATAGCCGGTATGAGATCCTAGCGAGCTCAATTCCTCTGGCAAGCCTTCTGGATACGCCTCAGATGCTTCTCGCTCGCAGCATTTCCACCATAATTGGTTCTTTGTGAGATACAAATTGCGCGACGATAGCCAAACTTCCTGCACTACCCATGCCCGCCGACGTAGTGGTGAGGATCCAACCTCGTCTCTGTAAGAATTTGCATTCGTCAAATGGAATTTTGCAGGTTCTTGCTCTTCCCAGTGAGTGTCAATCGGTAATGGCGAGATTGTTGACGCATCTCTATCAGTGAAACTAAGCTGGGTATTCTCTGCCGCTGCCGCTGCTGCAATGTTCAACATAGAGTTTCGATACACATCTTTCATAGCCATAGCTTCCCTGCGCCAGTCTTCGGGAGAATCCTGAATGATGCACAAGGAATCAATCCAGATGTGCCGAAAACCGAATCTGTTGCAGACCGCAATAGCCTCTTGGTAGCTTGCTGGAAGTTCAGTAATATTAGTGCCCCATCGCAGTTGGTCAATATTTGAGGTTAGTAATCTTAGAGTCTCGGCTGTGCCCCAGCAGTGTGAGAGTGTTGCGTAGGAGTGAGTTGACATTTCTCCTTGGAATTCCTTGGTCAAGACTACTCGCACGTGATTCTGATTGATGATTTCCAGAAGTCTGGTTGGGAGAAAGCTGGAACTCTGCTTATTGAAGGTGGAATGCTCCGTTTTGCACTTCGAGAACCATTGGCAGCCTTGATCAAGAATACCTGGATGATGAGCGTCTTCTGGTGGTGTATATATCCCGATGGATCTTTCAATATCTGCTTGGAATGCTCAGCTGATTCGTCATGATATATTTGAGCTTTAGACATGCTTACCTGTGGCAGGTTGTAGCGTAAATCCCCATATTGGCCCTGGTGCGGATGCAGATGTCGCCATCGAGCCATCCATTTTTGTGTCACTATTTGCAACTCCATCTGGTCCCAGATTTGTCAAATCCTCTTCGCTGCCCTCACTTGACTCACTCAAGTCTTGTCCCGTTCCTACAGCATCAATCGTCAAGTTGAACCATCCAGAAAGGCTCCTAGACAGAGCTTCCAGATACCACGTAGACTCAAACTTGGCATCACCTTCTAAGGCTCTCCATGCGTCACTTTTAGTGATGATTCCGCAGATATAACATCCTTGGTCTGCCGCTGTCATTATACTCTCACGACTTCCATGATGGGCTTGTTCTTGCTTCAGGAGCTGAGGGCCAGTGAACGGAAGACTGCAAGAGGAGCATAATCTTGAAGACATGACAGGCCCGACAAGGGGAGAAACAAGCTTGGAGCAATGCCGTGGAGGATACCAGAAGTGTGTTGCAAAAATAGCTAGAAATAGACTTCTTTGGGGAGACTCCGGGGAGCTGGTCAACAACTAAAGAATTGAACGATAACAGTCCACGCTGCCTGCAGGCGAGGCTGAGAAATGCCTGTGACATGCAGGAAAGGGAAAGGTCCAATCATTGGTATTCTTGGATTACAGACGGTCCAGGTCACTCAACTTGGATAATGAGGTATACATCTGATACTACACAGGATTGTTTTGATACCCCCATCGGGCTCTTTCCTCCGACATACTTGAGAGTAGGTGCCGACCAGGGTACAATCCCAGGAGAAGTCGAAGGCTTCGAAGCCATAGCATGTTGGCCCAGTCACGTGCTAGCGTGGACCGTGTCGTGCTCGCGTCTTCGAGCATCCATGGGAATCAACGACGTCAACATTCAGCACCATCGCATGGACTGACTCGATGATTTCTTCGGCATGGCTAGTCCTGGCACCACAGTGACAGACCTTCCCACGGAAATTGATATTGACACAGACTATGGCTCCGACTTTTCACCAGAGCAAGAGCAGATAGTCGAGCGCCTCTTGTCAGGCAAAAACATTGAGGACGATAATCCGATAACCAACGAAATCGAGCATCATGATCCGCGGCAGAGCCTCCGACTACCTCGTATCTTTGGCCGGGAAGAGAGGTCTCCTCTGTTCCAGGCGGCCAGGGCTGCAGAGAGAATTGCTGAGCAGATCGCCGAATCTGTTAAGAGTGGCGAGCACGCAGACTGTACGTCAATTCTTTTTACGACGCGATGATTCTGACTGATGCGTAGCGTCTAGTGAGTGATCGGATGGACAGTGTGCCTGGGCCAGAAGCCATTGTCGAGCCACCGAGGGAAGACCTCGATACTTCAGACCTAAGATCTCCGACCGAACGATTTCGTACACCACCGAAGAAAGCATTGTCGGTGACGGATCTCGTATCTCCGGCATGGTGTGAACTACAATATTGGTATACTTTGACCAAACATGGGAAGAAGAGACGGACACCAGCTATGAAAGAAGGCACTCGTGTTCATAAGACGCTAGAAGAGCAAGTCTACACGACCGTTCGAGTGGAGGTGCAAACAAGAGAAGACGCTTGGGGACTTCGAATATGGAATGTCATACAAGGGCTGCGGACATTGCGGGATACCGGCCAGACTAGGGAGTTGGAGATATGGGGAACGATCGATGGACTTGTTGTCAATGGGGTTATTGACGAACTATCATATATATGTCCAGACACAGACCTGGAAGAATCGCTGCAGAAATCCCTGGTTGAGCCACCCTCCGACCAGACTTCAATTGCAGATTTCTTCAAAGCCTCGGGGGCAAAGTCCCTGGAGGAAGCGACGAGAAGTAAGCGACGGACTCAATCGAAGAAAGTCTATCTCTGTGATGTCAAGACTCGAGGAGCTCGAAGTGTGCCCGCAGCATCTGCATTTAAGCCCACCAAGATACAACTAATGTTATATCATCGACTGCTTTCAGCTTTGGCTACCAACACAGTCGATTTCTCGGTCTTGGCTGCTCGTTACAATCTCGATGCAACCAAGGTTTTATCAGACGAATTCATCACTCAAGTTGGAAGTCTGAATGACGAGATCTTTTACGACGATCCTACCGAGCCTGGAAGTCAAGACACAGATCAGATTGAAAGTCAAGACTCTATGACGACACTTCTCGCCCACAATACCCTCAATCTCCTCTGGTCTCTCATGGTTACCGAGTTTCAACTCACTCTTCCCGAAGGCGTTGACTCTCTTGGTCGTATTCTGAAAGCCGAATACAGATCTAGGGATGATGGAGAGATCGTTGGAACCAAGACCCTAGCTATGGATGATCAGGAATTGACGACATTCATATCCCATGAAATGGAATGGTGGAAGGGCGAGAGGCAGGCGGAAGGTGTGGTTGTCGAAGAAGCCTTCAAGTGCAGAAGCTGCGACTTCGCCGATGATTGCGAATGGAGGCTCAAGAAAGTTGACGAAGCGAGGGAGAAGGCTAGATCGTCTAGGAGGCGGACTGCTGCCGTATAAAATCTTGGGGAATCGCATGACGCATTTGATAAGAAAGCATGGCGTTGGTGGATCGGGATATATCACAATTTTGGGCGGTAGCTTGGAGCCAGGTATTTACACATCCATGAACATATGTACAAATCTCAAGCCACATTCTTATCTACAATCCATTTCTGCCCTCCAATCTTTTGTTCCTTCCATGGCAAGCAATGACCTCACGCATTCGCAGTCTTATCATTATAGTAATGAATCTAGCACACCAGGTCAGCGCCATGGCTTAACAGCCAGTCATAACAGGAAGAAAATGCAACTCACAGTCTGATCCACACATCCAGCTGGAGTCATGTATCCATAGCTTCCCAAATTGACCCAAAGACTCTGCCCCTCACAAACCAACCACGCGCTCAGATTCGGCCTACTCACCCCAGCAACACTCCATTGCAACGCATCACCACTCCACGCAAACGTGCCATACGTATTCTTCTGTGTCTTGAACTCGACAGCCAGCTTCGTCGCCCCGGACGCGGTATTTGCTATCACATTGGCATATAGGAATGTCGTTGGTGTAAGCAATTCGACGAGTTGGCCATCTACGATTGCGAATTGTCCGGCTGTGGTATAAGATTCGAGGATTGCGGTACCGGGGAGGTAGATGGGCTTCGTTTGGAGGTATTTGTGGAAGTTGGGAGCTGCGACGGCGCGTATCCAGTAGTAGCCTGTTTGGAGTGTTGTTCCTGGGCCGGCACCACTGCCAGTTGGAACGGAGCCGCCAGCTGTCGTCGTGGTGGCGAGTGTTGTTGGTGAGCTGGTTTTAGATGTTGTTGCTATTGCCGTTGGGGTAGATGAGGGAGGAGCTGTGCCGGGAATGCATTGCGAGTAGTCTAAGGGTCAGATTAGATTTTGCTGGAGGTAGGGTTGTGGAGACGAACATTCACTGAATTGGTGTCAGCATGAAGAGTTAGATAGGTTGTAATCGCTGCTTACCTGCTGTATGTACAGACATATCCGCTGACGCATGTCGTAGCTCCTTTCCAGTTCAATCCACCGCCTGCATTGTCAGTAGGGCTTTCAACTGAGATTGAATCCCACTATGAATTCCCACACATTATAGGATAAAGCATATATGGACGAAGATGACTCAACATCGAGATGTCGAGCAGAGCGACCAACATAGACAAGGACTGAGGAAAACAAAGCACCAAACTCACATTGACCCCAAGCAGTCTGCTGCGCAGTCACAGCTGTCACAACGGACAGTCCAAAAAGTAAAGATCGCATCATTTTTTCAAACCCCAAAAGTCAACGAACAATAAAATATATACAAGTCGAAGATAAAATCAAGTTCCTTCACAGCACAATACACAAAACAAGCTTCCCCAAAAACCCCCGACCGGTGCTTCTTTATATACGAAGTATTTTAAAGTTTCCATCATGTATAGGAAACTATGCATGGGTATGAAGCAGATCGCGGACCGACATCACCGAAGCAATATATCTGAATTCTGCCAGATTAATCTGGGATTCGCGTATGCGCAGCTAGAGAGCCGCGTGATGTGAGGTTGTATCAGCTGTTTAGCGAGGCCGAAACCTGCAATCCTCTGGAAGGCATTTTCAGGCTGATTGGAGCGGAAAGGGTTTGTTTGGTGGAAACGGCACCAGACGACGGGGGAGACAGGAAGTGTTAAGTACATGGGATCAGTGTAGGGAATATGAATCCTTGCATGGATTTGCGGAGGACGAGGGTTTTCGGTAGTGAGGTTCCGAGATTCAAGGGGCGGATCACGTGTGGGGGTTGTGGGGTCAGGTTTGTTGACTTTCGTGGAGACGACGGCTTCAGATCCGAGAGATGATTTCCAGGTCCGAGGTGGCTTTCAGACGTGAAACATTTTCTATTCTTGAAATGACCGGACATCAGATGACATGCATTACTCTATTAGGTGACTCAAAGTCTAAATTCGAAAACAAGTACGCTAGCATCCCACTTTTCTGTTAAAATTCAGCCGTCTTCCAAGTTTAGACTCATAAATTAAACGAGCTCGTGACAATCTTATCTCAACCCTCAGATCCGTATTTAGTGTGTCAACCAGTGACTTAGGAAACTAACGGATGAGCAAGGCTTTCCAATCATCAATCAAAATTAATTCTAGATTCATCCTGACATTCAAGAATTGGTCCGGAACATCGATCAGGAATGCCACAAACCTGGCTCATTGTCGGCGCCACCCGAGGTATCGGCCTCGAATTCACAACACAGCTCCTCTCGCTTGGCCGTAAGTCACATTTTCTTCCCCCTAGTTTCCACCACCTTACCCCTACTTACTAACCTACCTCCGGCCACAGACACAGTGATAGCCACCGCTCGCTCACCCACACACTCCCTGCTCACTCCGTCGCCGGCTCTACCCCTTCCATTACCTCAGCCTACTTCTCCAATATCACCAGCACCACCCACCCGCTTCCCCAGTAATGCAAGTAACCTTTGGGCTCTAACGGGAAAAGCCAACGGTCATAATCTCACGATTTTAGAATGCGACGTTAGCGATGAGGGGAGTATTGAGAGGTTTACTGAGAGTGTCAGGAAGCTGGGTAGAAAGGGGGGCGTGCTTGAGAATGGGGTAATTGATGTTGTGGTGTTAAATGCGGGGGTGTTGGAGTATCCGGGACGAGTTGGTGAGATGTGAGTTGATTTCTTTTCTGCTTCCATACTGGGTAGTTTGAGAGTAGCTCGCTAAAGATCTGGTTGTCCTGAGCGGAAAGGGAGATGGGATTGATAATGAGGATGGTGTTGATACTCGAAGTAGATCATTCACATCCTTCGCGCACCACCTCCACACCAATACCATCGGCCCCCTCATCACAGCCTCACGCCTACTTTCCCTCTCATCCTTCAGTCCATCACCCTCAGCCTCCTCATCAGCTCACCCATCAGCACAACCCTCCACACCACTTTCACCCCTCCGACCGACAACACCAATTCATATCAAGACACTGGTGTTCATATCCTCTGACAGCGGATCAACAACTAACTTCCGCTCCTTCGAAGATGGTTTCGGCGCTTATGCTGCGTCAAAAGCTGCGCTGAATCAAGGTTTGAGACATCTCGCTGCTGAATTGCATCGCAAATCCAAATTTTCACCAAAGACCAACCTCAAGCAGATTCTCAATCCTGGATCTGACGAGATTTGTAGAGACAAGACGGTCGTTCTAGCCCTACATCCTGGGGAGGTCAGTACTGATATGGCCAATGTAGCTTTGGACTGGGAAGTCGAGGGGATTATCAGCCCACAGGAGAGTATTAATTGTATGTTGAAGGTTATTGGCGAGAAAGGTTATGGAGGAGCGGATGAAGGAGGTGTGGTCAGTGCGAGAAATGAGGGGAGGCGGGAAGAAGATGGGGCGGCGACGTTTTGGACTTGGGAGGGGAGGAGGTATCCGTGGTAGATCCAAATAGCGTAAGAGGGATTGTAGATGAAAAATATGATTTTGCTCTATATATTCGTAAATAATATACAATGTCCGACATCATATCACACAAGTTGGCTGCTCTATTTCGCTGCTCTCTTCTTTAGTAAACAATGCTCTCCCCAATGCCTCCTGTATTTCTCGGGGATGATTGGCCAATTTGGAACCCAGATTATGCGGCCCAGGATGTGTGTCTTCGAGGCGTCGAGGAAGGGCGTGCAGGAACGTTGTTCCCAGACTTCGGAATCTTTGATGTAGTGTGGTTCTAGTGCAGAGGAATTTGACCCAGGATAGTATGTATCGACCAGGAAGTCACAGGCTCTAATGTCAGTCTATAGCAAGTTAGCGATTACAGGGAGCATGGATAGATGTTGCTTACATATTTGCCCATATCTTCGATATTTTGATCATTCATTCCGGGAGGAATAAGCCAGGCTCCAGACCAATGTCCAAATCCAGTCTTGGCCTCAGAAAATTCCCCTGGAAGAAGTCCACTGAATTCACTCTTCACAAACTTTGCCCTCATATTATTGGGGAGATGGTAAGAGCTTGGAAAGCGATACCATTCTTTCCCAAAGCAAACTGAATCTCCATATTGCCCAACCGTATGTAGTGGCTCGTAGATTTTCAGTGGTGCTGAATATGCCGAATAGATTCCGTAGATTCTGGCTACTCCAACATCGATGGATCCAATCATAACAAAGCTCACAATTAAGAGCTTGAGCTTGGCAGGGATCTTACCAACAAGCGTTTTTGGATCTGACTGTCCAAAAGCTGCGAGGATAATATGTAGTGACATAGCGCCATTAAGGGCGAGGCATGGGTAGGCAGGATACATGAACCGCTCTTCTTTATGCGGCTGGAAGCTGAAAATAGCCAACCACATGTAGAAAGGGGTCATGAAAATGACACTGCGTAAACCAGTAACCGTGTTGGCTTGCGTTGATCTCGAGAAAAACTTTTGAAGCGTGAAAAGTGGTAGAGCAGCGCATGCCAACACGAACCATATGTTGAAGTTTAGAAGCAAGTTGCGAATGTAGAAATGCCATGGCTCGGTACCATAAATTTCTGGTCCTTTTCCGGGTTGGCTGAAAATGTTGTACCAAACAATATTGAATGGAACCAGAACCAGGCTTTTGTAGAAGAAACCAGAGATGACGAACTCAAAGAGCTAATTCTGTTAGAACAATGCCTCGGGATTTTAGTGCAAAGCTTACCAGAATAATGAGTCCTGACACAACTCCTCTCACGAATCGCATAATAGTCTCAATGAAAGCATCCTTGCTGCTCAAGGAGGCAAAAATAATCTCTTCAAACAAGAATGGAGCCGATAATGCCATGGCAAACGGCCACCCTAGTATCCCACCGAGTGCGAAGCAGAATATCCCCGGTGCTGTCTTCAGCCCTCCTCTCCAGTTCATGAACTGTGCCATTCCCAACATTGTAGTATACATGGCGAAACTCGATGGAAGGAAAGAGGCAGATGCATGGAACATTCCAGGACTGAAAACCATAGCCATCAAGAAGAAAAGGGCGATTCGCGGGTTGAGTGTGTTGTTCACTACTCGGAAAAGTATCGTCTGACTGAGGGCGCATCCGAAAGCTAGAATATATCGGATGAAATAGAACTCCCCAACCTACGAATATCAGCTGGTTTCTATGTATAACCCAGAGTCGCATACCTTTGTGGAGAAAGGCAAAAGCCGTCTAAAGTTCCCTACTAAGGCGTGGAGGATAATGTACAGCCAACTCCTGATCGCATATTCTGGCGAGTATTCCCATGTCTGCAATCCATAGCCATGGCTCAGGTAATGTGTCGGTTCCCAGTAATTGAATGTCTCATCGCAATCCTGTATCGGCGCATATAAGGCGGCGAGTAAATTGGCAACGAAGAAGACGTAGAAAGCTCCAATGGGTTTGACGGCGAAAGGAGTGGCAGGTCTGGTGGGCTATTAGCAGGGTAGCTTGAAGGCTAGAGCTGGATGCATTTGAACTTGCTTCTTCTTTACGACCTTGGGAGGCTTCCCCGGCCGCATGTTCGCTGCCTTTGGAGGCATCTTGAGGCTATTCGGCTCGTCTCAACTTTTGTGGGTGGAAATTCACGAAATCTGATGTTCTGGACACGAGCTGACCGAGCTACGGGATGACGCCCGCCAAGGACCCCTGCCACGCTAAAATTTAAGCTCTGGCAGGGTCGACTTTTTATTTTGAGGATCCCCGCGAGAAAGGAATTCTTTCTCCAGCAACATATTTTTTCAGCACAATTATACGGCCAAGTCTCGAAACATAGATATGGAGAACTCGGAAGTGCATGATAGTGCGAAAGCATCGGCTACAGACAATATTGCTCAACAAAAACAAGACATTGAAACAAAACCTAGCCAAGAACTTGCGACAGAGATCAACGAGACTTCCCAAGATACCCCCATGGAGAACGCAAATGATACAGCAGTCGCAGATGTGCCAGCAAGTCCACCTCTTACTCATGCTTTAGAAGCTCTACTAGGCGGCCTTGATCCCCCTCCTCCTGTCGTGGAAGACATTCCTGCTCCATCTCAGAATTTCTCTGGTACTGGACCAGTACCAGCCCAGGAGACTGCTGCGAAGAATGAGCCTACCGTGCAGCAAAATGATGCGGTGCCTTCGACCCAAGAAACCGAACTCATTTCTCCGAAATCGAATGTTCTCCCTGATGTCCAGAATACCAATCTTGTTGCCGCTGAACAGACCGCTACCCCACAGAACGTTTCGGCCAGCGAAGACATCAAGATCGACAATGCACAAATTCCTGGACCTGAACAGGAAAGCGCCTCAGCTACAGCACATCCTGCCATCCCTGGCCTGTTCTTGGGGAATAGTGCTGCTCAACCTGTACCACTGCCCGCCCAAAGTGAAGTAAGACCTGACGGCCCAGGGAATGCGGTGTCTAGAGGAGATATCCAAATGGGAAACATTGCGCCGGAAGACGATACACCTATGGGAGAGAATGCAGAGGAAGAAGAACATCCAGAATGGGAAATCGACTCATCCCCAATCGAGTCCTCATCCGACGATTCTTCAAGCGACGACTCATCCGATGACGATAGTGAAGATGGCGATAATGCATACAAGCTATTGAGCCCTGAGGAACAAGCTCGCATATTGATGGAAGGAGATGGAGGCTCGGACGACGAAGGAGGTGGAAAAGCCAAAGGACCCGGAACTCAACTGCGAACCAAGAATGAAGTGCCAGATGTTATTGTACCAAAACCCGATGTCACCATTACCGCGGATATGCCAATCACAGAAGTTGGAAACGTCGAACATATTGTCGAGAATGTCCTGGTTATCAAGGCGAAGACTTCTGGCGAGAACAGAGCGTTGGAGAGTGGGTCTGTGCTATGCTTAGAAGATAGAAGTGTAATTGGAGTTGTCGCGGAAATTCTTGGACCTGTACAGAAACCATTGTATTCGGTCATGTTCACGAACGCTGGAGAGATCGCGGAGGCAGGACTATCACTGGGTACCAAAGTGTTCTACTCGGAAAAGCACTCGACGTTTGTTTTCACTCAAGCACTGAAAGCCTACAAGGGATCTGACGCTTCCAATCTCCACGATGAAGAAGTCGGAGACGAAGAGATGGAATTTTCCGATGACGAGGCTGAAGCAGAGCACAAGCGAAGAGTCAAACAAAAGAGGATGGAACGACGAGGCGGCAAGATGCAGAATGGAGGCTCTGGCCGTGGTGGACATCCATTACAGCAGCAACATACTCCACATGACTCTAGCAGACCAATGAACTACGACGATAATGAAGAAGACGGGCCCTACAGACCATTGGCTCGGCCAGCTGGATTTGAAAATGCTGTTGGGCATGGCGAAGCTCCTCAAGAAGGTCCCTACACCGGTAACTACGAAAGAACAAATCGGGATCAATTCAGAGGTAGAGGCAGAGGTGGTGATCGGGGAAGAGGCGATCGAGGTAGAGGCAGGGGCCGTGGCGATCGTGGACGAGGTCGAGGTGGATATGAAGATCGTCGAGGCAGCGGTCATTCTCTTCCACCACGCCCACAAAGCTACTCTCAACCTCCCAGTGCCTACCCGCCAGGCCAATACCAACAGCCAGCTCAAGGAAGGGAATTCTCGCAAGCACCACCCGCCCCTCCAGCTGTGCCGAACTTCTTCATGCCGCCAGCCGCCTATTCTCCTCAACAACCTCAGATGGCTTGGCCACAGTTCCCGCCTCAGTTTCAGCAGCCATTCTCAAATGCACAGAACCCATGGCAGCCACCTCCTGGGACTTCACCGTATGGAGCCCCTGCTCCCGGAGGAGCTTTCATAAATCCCGCATTCCTGCCCGGTCAGTGGAATAATCAGAACAGTCAGAATGGTGGAGCAGGCGGTAAGTAATGATTTTGGACGTTTGTAGGATTAGATCGGTTGGATCACAAGTTGGATATTGTAAAAGTATATGATACCCTGCATAATGAATGACGAGTTTTGCTCCGTTTGCTGTCACTTTTGATGACCAGAACAAACGGCTCAAGCGAGCTCGTAAGGCCAGAGGCTGGCTACACCAAACTTGGGTGCTTCCGTGTGGCGACAAGCAGCTGGATCTAGTACTTCTTTATTTGATTATTTTTCCGGCTTCGAACGTCGCTTCGGCCTTTCTTTGTGATCTGTTCAAGAAGATCAAAAACTTGTCATATTTTCTTCGGAAATATGCATAATTCAAAACAAACTGGATGCCTTTTCCAATCGAGCTGTTGACTTACTCCCGTGGCTTTCCACATCGGCAACGAAGACAGTAACACGAGTGTTGTTGACTAGCTGATTCACGGTCGAAAGGTATGGAATTCTCGTACCACGTTTTCCGCTTCGAGCGACAAGCGTTCTGTCGCTTCCCGACGAGTAGCGGTGCACACTCTATGATCCATACGCATTTCTACTCGATGGTGGAGATCTGCGATGAATCGCAAGTACCTGGGATACCGGCAAGTGCGGTGAGGAGCTGGACGGATGCTGTTCCTCAGCGTGAGGAGATGATTGGTGGCAGCATGTTTAAGCTACGTTGCACAAAGAGATGCCATGTATTCGATCCACGGTATCCTCACCTTGGTGTATGGATCTCGCGAGCAAGTACTGGCTGAGCTGAGAAGAGAAAATGGCTCAGTCTCGGTTATGTGCATATTATCAGACGCCCTCGCTTAGCCGCACGGCACAAGTCAACATCGGTGAGACGGTGAGGCAAAATATCTCTGCTGGCTATGATTCGTCGCTTACTCCTCTCCTCTCCCCTCCAAATTCAACTTATAACCCTCTTCCTCGCCCTCCATTCCATCAGCAATCAAATTCCTATCACCATCGTCCACGGTCGGGAGGGACCGTTTCTGGTATATTTCTGTCAGTATTATCATTGTGTCATTGATGGTAATACCAATCTACCAGAAACGGTCCCTACGCTATCCTTGGATAAGGTCCATAGCATCATATCCGGCAGTGTCTTCTTTGAAGCCAAGATATGATGATCGTGAAGTGGGTGGTATGGCGCAGGTGAGTAAATTTCAAACGGAGAGAGGTATACTTAGCGACTGACCAAGTGAAGAAGCTACGGCAGCGCGGAAACCGAGAGGATGGGCTGGACAAGATACGAAGAGCCGAAACAAGAAGATGAGATTTTGCAATCACAACAGACAGGCGCTGGAGCTCCGAACCCCTGACGGTGATATTGATTTGCTCATTGTGTATCACCGGATGAGCAAGGAATTCAAGAAATACACGGCGCATTTGGAGAATATACAGCCTGCGACAGGCTCCTGGGGGATGGAGACGCAGATTTCGTGTTCAGCTGCGTCCGCAAAGACCACAGCGGTTGAATTATCGCACACAGGGAGGAGAATATGCAGGAAGAGGAGGAAATCGCTTCTGCAGCCAGTATACTTCTGAGTCTATCTCCCGGGAGGGGGAAGATGGCAGATATGGGAAGCAGCTGGCATACTCATGAGGATATATGCACACGGGAAGGAGGACAAGCAACCAGAATCTTCGGATGATGCTACATTAGTCAACATCCACGGTGATGATGTGGCGTTCGTCCTTTTTTCCGCTTGCAACAACAGCGATCACAACAGCGCCGCCGATACTTCCAACACCACTCCATCACACCCTATTACCATCACGCCAAACAGCCAAAACAATGTATCTGAGCACCACACTCACCTCATATCATCATCAAGGAAGGGCTCTTCCCAACCTGCGATGCTTCTCCCTTGACTTCGCCATCGAGGTTTCCTCCCCGAGATTTGTATTTCATCGGGATCTGAGACTAGAGTCTTCTTCGTCACGTATCACCCTCCATCTTCATTTTTGTAAGCACGTCCAGCTTCAATCTCAATGGACCTGTACACCATACGCCTACGACATTTCCCACGAGATTAGCTAAACACCAGGACCAACCCCATCATCTGCCAGAAGTTTTCCTGCCTAAGGTCTCTGCGCTACGCATTGGATAACATCCACTCTCTGCCTTATGGTTGTGCTTCCAACCTGGCTTTCCTAAGCAGAACAATCATCTCGTCCCTGCAAACCTTACCAGTGTCAACAGTACCATTCCACTTCCACGCCTATAGACCTCAAAGGGATCGAAAGATGCTGCGAGCTTCTTCCCATTCCTCGTGGCTGATCGGTTGGAGCCCAACATCAACAACCGCACATCACCAGGATACAGCACCCCCACCACGCCGCTTCCAATCCATTACCTCTGCTTGCTCGAGACAGGATTCCCTCCAACACATTTATCTTCCACACCTCCCACCATACCTCATTTCCATCGTCCTCGGGGTTGGGTGTTCGCGTGGGCTTGGGCTCCAGGCACATCCGTACGACATCGTCATCAAACCAACACTTGAAGCTGAAAAGAGTGTCAAAATGGAGACTTATTGTGGTGTTGAAGGGTCTTGTACATAGTCTAAACTTAGTTTGATCAATTACTATCACAGTTTCACAACTCTATCTGGCTTCTCGCCTTTGTTACCGTCTTTTTGGTCGGCAGCCTTGGATTGTTATTCGGTCTCATGGTTCGTTGTCCACTCTGGTTTCTTTGCGAAGGGGATTGGCCTGGAAATCTGTGCTCTTTTGCCATGTCATCTTTAACGTATCCGTTCCTATCATCCTATATAAATCAGTTCATCCAGAAAATAACAGATCGTCCTGACTCTTCTCTTGAAGATAGTCTGTCCGCTGCTTTACATTTGCTCTTTCGAGATCATGTTTTCGGCTCATAAGCTGTGATAATGGCGACTGCATGTTATACCTGTCTATTGATCTCTTTGTCCCGATGTATGTAACTCAAATCATGAATGCACCGTCTCAAATCTAACCCAACTCCGTCCGTCTATGCTAATGGTATCAAAAAACGCCCCCCAATATGTTCCTCCGCAGAAATATTTCCTGATGTTCAAAGCGCCCCCATCGCAAAACATCAAGCTCCAACCACCGAAATTCAAAATCCTATGCAGACATTTCTATCCTTTGTTCTACCGAGAATGTCCCATCTATCTTCCCAGCAGCCGCCCTCTCCGCCTTTCTATTCAAGAAGCTGAGATATGTCTGCCACCCAATAGCAATAACACCTGCAAATATGCTCCGATATTGAGGATCGATGAAAGTAAAGCTAAATGCTGTCACTGCAGGCCACAGTTTACAACTGTTCACTACCGATGTCGGAACCGTGTGCTTTATGCGTTCCCAAACCGCGGGAAGAGAATCTCCAGACAGGAATGATTGCATGCCGAAGAAAAATGTGTTGAACGAGGGCGCAAAGACAATCTGGTTGACAGTGACCTTCGTGACGAGGGAGAGAGCTTTGGAGGTGTAGTTGAAGTGGCTATTTAGGAACATGAACCTAAAATGAATGTGTTAGCTTTCTTCCCTCGGCTGCCCAACCGCCTTTGCTTTCGACGTACCATTTATAGTTTGGTATCGACGAACCCGCGCTGATAACCAAGGCTCGCAGAGTCCTCTTGTAGTCATATTCATCTCCACCTATGCTTTGCGCCGAAATGTCCCCAAGGGAGAAAATAACCAGCGAACTGACGAACTGCGTAGCCAGTGGTCTCTTCCTCTGGCTTCTACCATACGCCTGGAAGGCCCTCGAAAGCGGACCTAATCTCTGCCATAACGGTATCGCTCCCACGGTATTTGGCACAGGAATCGAAATGTTGTTGGCGGGGTCATCTTGCTTTGGGGGTGCCGTAGTGGGGGTCGAAGAGTTGGTATGGTGTCGTTTGGAGAGTGGTTGCTGTCTTGTTGGGAGGTACGGTCGTCGAAGAACGGTCCGGCCAGCCGTCCTCATCATAATCACAGCCATCTTGAAGAATGTGTTGCTCGGCGCATTATTTGTTGAAAGGAGTCAGATTTTTGAAGACATTCGGAATTTCGCCCTCGGCTCGGAGCCACTGAGCCCGTTTCTGGCCGATGATGAGCTGTCACGTGTACGGAGTTGTAAGCGAGCTCCTTGCCTTGTTTTGTTTACTTGGAGGCTGCTTCGTCCTCGTAGATTGTACCAATAGCGCATGAAGATTGCGTGCACAATAGCTTAGCCATTCACTGGAGAGTACCACCATACGAGATTGTTGACGCTCTGTGTCGTGTGGGTTTCAATAGTACTGTCTGAGATTCAGATACGATGTGTCATTGCCCATTTCATGTGCCTGTCTAGTTCGGATTTTAAATCTTGCTCTGCGATGGTCAAAAGTTTTCGAGACACGTAACCAAAGAATTGCTTGAGCAATCGTTCAATGGAATCTCATTAGCGTAGATCACAGAATCAGATCAGAACATCATTCGCGACGAGGCTCCATCCTGGGGAAGATTCTAAATTAATGGCAGAAGACGTTCTATGCGATTGCTTACTATCCAGACAGAGTAAGTCTACAGACCAACTAGAAGGAATCCCATACAGCAATTGATCTCTATGATATAAAATTTGTTTATACTGTGTACTCTCGATTCGATAATTACAAATTATTGCATGCAAAACGGGAGCGAAGATGGAGTTGTACAAGAGCGCATTGCACAAAACGAACGGTGTGTTAGCCAATGGTATCGGTACGAATTAAATTGCTCATGCAATGCAAGACACTGATGTTGTAATAAACAAGCTAAGTGAGCGATCCATGGTAGTCGACCATAGCTTTCCAAAGTCAACACATCCATTTGCTTCTTTCAATATTCTCAATGGTAAATGCTACCTTCACATATGTGTCACTTGGATTTGAAGGTACCAGAACTTCTGAAGAATGTCTTCGATTAGTCAATTACTACAGCAAAGTAGATAAAGTTTCTGTTCCTGACACTAATGGATATCAAACGATAAATTGCAAGGCTTTCCCCGAAATGAACAACCACCCCTCTTTTTGCCTCAGCACTAGTACAATTAACGTCAAACTGAGACCCGAGTTCAATAATTGATATCCCAATTCGTCTAAAACATTCCCTAGGGAACTTCGTTCAGGCAGGTGGGAATCCAGCATGTATCAAATATCAATATACACTCGTCAACACCGAAACTCAAAAAGCAAAATGATAATCCGAAGATTGACGTGGCAATTCTTAAGAAGGCTTCGACTCCGATTGTTGATGCTTGGCACCTATGAAGAACCTGGCTTCACTGCATAAGCTTGCACCAGAGAGTGGCGAGCGGTGGGGCTGCGGATAAAGTGTTCCTGAGCGGGGGTGGGGTTTGTATAGAAAGGAACTTCAATCGCAGCACGTTTTGGACGTTCAAAATATCGGACTTCAATAAATGACCATCATGATGAAAGATAAAATATCAAAATACCAATCTTTATTTAATCTTTATTTCAGTGATATCTCCCTGAAATCGGCACGTATAGACATGTTCATCGCAAAAGCTTTCACACACAATCCTGCTTCCCCCCTGGTCAAGCTCGCTCGGAAATAATGCACTAACAGGAACCCACAACAATCCATAACCCATGCATGCTAATCTCATATACCCATGGCAGTTGAAGCGGCTGCATTTAATTCCCTGGTTCTCCCTCTTCTTTGACTTCTTGCTTTTCATCTGCAGCAATTGGGGCCAAAACAGCCAGCCACATCAAAGCAGGTGAGTCACTCCGCTATACTGGCGTGCTTCAGATATTCATCTAATGCGCCTCTTTTACCAGAGTTAACCTCAGATTTCACTCGGCCTCGCTGTGGCATCTAGACACTTACACCATGAAGCTCTTTACGTCCCTTCTCGCTCTGCTAGGCGTCGCATCATGCGCGAAAGCGATGGCTGCCAAACGCGGAGATTCTGCAAATGGCCTGGACTTTGTTTACCCCTATCCCGTCAAGAGCTACCGGTTCGTCTCGCAGCGGAAGCAGCTCACCATGTCGTACATGGATGTTTCACCTGCGGGCACACCTAAAGGCAACATCGTCCTGCTCCACGGAAAGAACTTCTGTGGCGCCACTTGGAACGCCACTATTAATGTTCTTGTCAATGATGGATACCGAGTTATTGTGCCTGATCAAATCGGATTCTGCAAGTCGACAAAGCCATCTGAGTATCAGTTCACTCTGTTGGCTCTCGCGCAAAACACCAATAGTCTCTTGAACAGCATTGGCGTTACAAATGCTACCCTCCTGGGACACTCCATGGGCGGCATGCTCTCAGCTCGATATGCCCTCATGTTTCCATCTCAAACCTCCCGCCTCATAATGGTCGACCCTCTCGGCCTCGAGAACTGGTTCGAACTCGGCGTTCCCTATCAATCACCAGACGTCTCCTACGCAGCTGAGCAAAACACCACCTTCGCCAGTCTCAAGTCTTATCAACAAAGTACCTACTATGCCGGAACCTGGGACCCATCATACGACGTCTGGGTCAACATGCTGTTCAGCATCTATGAGGGATCATTGGGAGATCACTTCGCCTGGAACATGGCAATGACAACTGATATGATCTTCACTCAACCCGTCATCGAAGAGCTCCCCAATCTCCAGATGCCATCCCTCCTCATCGTCGGTGAAAAAGACACCACCGCCATTGGAAGCAAATGGGCACCAGCGAATGTTAAGCCATTGCTAGGTCACTACGATGTTCTCGGCCCCACAGTTGCAGCACAAATCCCCGGATGTACCTATGTAGCGTTTCCACTACTTGGTCACGCACCTCAGATCCAGGATCCGGCATCTTTCCATGCTGCGTTGCTGAACTGGTTGTGATGATCCGCCTGTGGATGGTTTATTGTACATATATAGTTGTGACGAAACATTGAAGTAAACTTTGTAATAAGAACCAAATTGACTTACGCTGAAGCAACAGCGGAGGTCTCTCCTGAAGCATAATCTCAAAGTCTTAAGCCAGCTACGTGATTGAGGAAAAAGTGAATACAGACTTTTCTGCTGATGCACCACCCAAACATTCCAGAATCGAGGGACAAAGTCAGCAATGTGATTGCAATGTGATTGAGGAAAAGTGAATACAGACTTTTCTGTTGGTGCACCACCCAAACATTGCACAATCGAGGGACGGCGGCATGCAGGAACACCCCCCAAAGGACCTCGTATCCCCCCTCCCATCTCCCATTTCCCTCCTCCCAGCTCCGGCTCTCGGAATCTTCAAAGTCAAAATCAGCGCAAGACATCTCACTTCAAAACTCTAAACGATTGGCGGAACAACCCGACTACGAACGCCTTCCAGGAATCAAATCCTGCGCCTGCTGCAACTCATCCATTCGGGTCAGTAGTAGTGGTGCCGAACGATCGGAGATCTTTTCAACGGCCAGTAGTTGTGCCTAGCCAGGAAACGTTTCCCCGTTCGCCCAGCGAATGGCGCGCCCCTGAAGCTTATGTGGCCAAGGACTGTCATCCAGGAACTAGGGGGCGGGGAATGGAGTTGCTCAAGATTTTACTGGGGTTGACCCGCCGCACATCCACTTGTACGCTTATTCTCACCTGCTTCTCTCGGCAGATGGGCTTGCTGTTCCGAGGTCTGGACTGCGCCAGATATTAAAGATGTGGATCTGGATTTGGGGATCTGGGCGATTGATTGATTGATTGATTGATAGATGAATGGATAAAAGAGCTGGGATGGGGGCGGGGGAGGAGCTTGGGATGAGTGGGAAATGATAATGAGCTCGTTGTCAGAACCGTTGAATCGGTCGGACGATCGTCAGGACCCACGGTTCGCAAGCCAACAAAAGCGTCAGTTCGCATATTCTCGGTAAGATCCGATTGTCTCAGCACCAGTGATGAAGCGAAGTAACATCAACATCCAATGTCACTGTTGTTTCTGAACAAACTTCTCGTGTCTGCAACTTCACAGAAAAACTTATTTCAGATGGATTTTCAACAAGTTCTCGGCTGGGTAAAAAGGCAAGTTGTACCGGCCCCAGTAGTCCCATCAAACCTGCATCCCGCAGATTGATTACCTTTCCTGCCTCGTCGGGGCGTGGCGTGTCTACAAGGATATGTGCCTGAATCCCAATTTCACAACTCCTTCAACCCAATCAAAACCTTTATCTATCGCAAGGGGAGAAACCCCTAAAGCACTATCCAGAAAACAAACACGTTTTTCCAAGGTCCGTTCGCTTGGCCCGCAAGGATGTGTGTTACTTTCCTGCAGCGGGTTCTGCAGCTCATTCAGGGCAGCTACTACTTCGGAGAGTCCAGAAGCACGATTCTAGTACTGTACTTAGTAGTAGTATGCAAGATGCGGTCGCTGTCAACGCCGAATGCCCTTGTTCACACATCCCACCCATGGTTCTTGTCTCGCTCCTCAAAGTATCAATGTTTGGGTTACACTAACCAGGGCTGAACAGCCTAGCCGGTGACAAGAAGGACAAGAAACATATGAGACTCCTTAGCGGCAACAAGACTTCTAAGGAATTTACATATGAGTGCTTGTCCCTGTTTCTCCGGATGCGTCGCTCGTTCTTGCAGTGACACGCGGATGCCATCTGATTTCATCTGATTGATTTCAGATCTTCCATTCCATCTGTAAACGGCATCATGGTTGTCGATAATTCGGATCTCCATCATGGGGACTTTGAGAAGACCGCTGTTCTCATCTTTCTCTGCTTGACGCCAACCTTCATCTTGGCTCGCTTTGTGAGTAGAATTACTTCAAAGCAGTTGGGCATTGATGATTGGGCTGCGCTGTCTGCGTTTGTAAGTTTCACTTTCATCTTGAGAGGAATGTGATGTGAGCTGGATAGACCACGAGCTGATAATCTTCTGCCTTGTAGGTTTTTACAATGAATTGCAATAGCGTAACACTTGCTGGTAAGTCCTGATACCCAACTTCGTGTAACCAGTTCGAAATACTGACCAGGTATCAACAGCATTTTCCCATGGCTGGGGACGTCACAAGAAGCACCTTCTACCAAGACAAATCCAAATATGTCTGATTGTAAGTCCAACCCCATCCCATTCAAACTTCACATTTCAAGATTCGAGATTCTAACACCCCACACAGCTCCACTGGGTCTTCCAAATAACCTACAAAATGGCCGTCGCCATGAACAAAGCCTCCATCCTCCTCCTCTACCTGCGCATCATGCCCCAGCGGTACTACCGGATCCTAATCTACTCACTCCTCACCATAGTAGGCCTCTTCGCCATCTCAACCACCATCGCAGGAATCTTCCAATGCATCCCCGTAGACAAGGCTTGGAATAAGAAGAAGCCTGGGCATTGCTACAATCTGGTGAATGCGTGGTATACGAATGCGGTGTTCTCCATTACGACGGATTTTCTGATCTTGATGCTGCCGATGCATATGGTGTATAAGTTGCAGAGGGATATGAGGGAGAAGTTCTTGCTGTATTGTGTTTTTGGGTTGGGGTTTTTGTAAGTCTTCCTTTCCTTCCTTCCTTCCTCTCCTTCCCATATCATTCAAACCCCCAACCGCACAACCCCCCTACCCACGAGAAAAAAAACCAAAAAACCCCCAGCTAACACACCCTCTCCCCCTCCCACAGCGTAACATTCACCAGCATAATGCGCTTCTTCGCCCTCAAATCCGCAAAGAATCCCGACACAACCTACGACATAACCTCCGGCTTCTGGTCCGTAATCGAGATCAACGTCGGCGTGATATGCATCTGCCTCCCCCCCCTACGCGCCCTCCTCTCCCGCCAATTCTCCTTCTTCAACCGCTCTAGATCCCGCGTCACCGGCTCGTCTAAAGGAGGCCCTTATAATCATAGTGCTGGGAAGGCTGGAGAAGCGGGGATTGGAAGCAGTGCGCCGAGTGAGTTGGTGACGATTGGGGGGTCGGGGGGGAGGGGGACTCGTGAGAGGAAGGGGGACCCGGAGAGTAGTGAGGAGGAGTTGGTGTATATGGGTGGTTCTGGTGGTCGTGGTATTGGTGGTGGTGGTATTGGTGGTGGTGGTCGTCGTCGTGGAAGTGTGAGGGGTGGCTTGGATGATAGGAAGCGAGGGGGGAGTAGGAGCGGGGAGTTGGATATGGATATGGATCTGGAGGGGGGTTTTGATAGGGGGATTATGAAGAAGACGGAGTTTAAGGTTACGGAGAGGAGTAGGAGTAGGGAGGCGGAGAGTGATAAGGAGTTGGATGCCGAGAGTGTGTTTGGGGAGTTGGAGAGGCCGTGGGAGAGGATTCCGCATGCGAGGTGAGGGGAGGGGGGTTGTTGTACGTTTTCATATATATTTGTATATGAGCGAAAATGGGCGGGACATTGAATTTATATGGATGTTCTCGAATCAAAAATATTTACCTCTTTCTGATCGCAAGTCTTTCAGCAGCAACAAATTCTGTCCGATGTGTGCGTGTATACTTTCTCGCTTAGAAATGTTTAATTGTAAACAAAACCCTTCACTAATCTCACAACACACTTCACAACACATGTTTCTTCACAGGTATCATTCAACAAAGTATCATCATTGTCAACACATTGCGATCTTGCATTTCCTGTTTCCATTCCCTCGCCTCGCCATATACTGGATCTCTATCCCAATGGTATCCTATCTAGTACAGAGAGCTAATGCCCTTCGTCCTGCATGTACCGTGTATCATGCTCATAGCCAACGCAACGTAACGCGAGCGTTGAAACACAAAATTCCGCCGCCCATGCAAACACCACGCCCAGTCTATAGCACAAGGTTCATTCATTACCCATCAGACATTCATCGGTCCATCAATCGACATGTATGTATCCCTTCCTTGCTTTTCTGTCAAGCCGTGCATGTACTTTATACCCAAAAAAACGTCCCAGCCGAACCCAATGCAAGTCATCATCACTCATCCGGTTGCCGTCTACTCCATTCCGCCTAAATGAACGCCCCTCTCGCACCACCTCCTCTCCCACCAGCACCCCTCCTCGGGTCATCATCCTCCTCATCCTTCGGCGGCGGCGGTAACGCTCTCCCCATCCCAGGACTCATCACCTTCTGTTTCCCCGCATCCCATTTCCTCCTCTGCGCTTCATAGAACTCCTCCTCTTCACTCCTGCTCCTCTGCGTATTCGAACCTCCAGCTTCAATCTCCTTCTCCTGTCTTCCAGATCTGGAAGTCAGGTCGCGACTCCCTTCAGAATCGCTGCGCATGCGCGTCTTATCGTCTAGCCATCCCTCACTCTCATCGTCATCGTCATCATCGTCGTAAGGTGGTGCGACGGGTTGGCGGCCTAAGTTGGTATCGCCTTTGACTAGACCCAGGCGCTCTTCCTCGGTAGCTCCCTTGACGGCTGGTGTGCTGCCGCGGCGACTTCCGATGCCTTTGCGAGGAGAGGTACGTGATTGCTGCTGTGGTTCTTCAGAGGCTTGAGCTTGCGATTGGCCTTTGCGGAAGACGTTTTGGAATGAGAACTGGCGGCGGGCGGAGTGAGGCGGTGGTGTAGGTCCTGCGGAAGGATGAAGACTACCCGAGCTGTGCAGACGGGGAGGGTGGTCTTCTACAATAGTGATGTGGCGTTCGCGTTGACCTGCGCCTTCATATTCTGTCTTTCCTCCAGGAAGACCATAGGTAGGACCGACTCCTTGCTCGTCATGTCCGTAGTAGGCATTGTCGCTGCCATCGAGATTACTCTTGTAGGCTGGGATGCTGATCTCGGTTAGAGGAACGGGATGCATTGGACTTTGAACGTGAGGTTGGTTTGTGCTGTTGCGGGATCGTGGACCGACGATCGATTTCGCTCGGGCAAAGAATGACATCGAGGATCCAGTGTTAGGGCGCTCTTCATCATGATCAGAATCTGAGTCACTGGGGAAACGTGACATTCCAAGAGGTGGATGTTGTACAGGCGTGTGAGTATCGAAATCGGGGAATGGAGTAGTGTTTGCACGAGATCGGACACTGTTGGTCCCGAATGTTGTCCTACGTCTTCGGAGACCATCCCATTCAATGTGCTCATTCTCTCCAATGGGTTCCAGATCTTGCTGCTTCTCCTCGTGTAACCGTCTGGCTTCCTCCAATTCGTTCTTATTTCTCACTTGTGAGAAACGTCTGACAATAGCTGCTGCACCTCTGATAGCATCCGCCTTTGGTTCCATTTCTGACTGCTCCTGTTCGGCAATGGTACGGACTTGGTCCAGATCGCCAGAGAAGACCGCTGCGTCTGGAACATCCTTGGCTGATTTCGAAAGTTGTAGAAGAACAACTCCGGCGCAGATAGTGAAGAAGCCGAGAACAACGGTAATGATAGAAGTTGGCGTTCCCTTGAAACCTCGGAAGAGAATTACCGATGTGATGATCGTACAGCTGGTGAAGATAACATAATATGTCGGTGTAACCAAAGCTGCATTGTACAGATTCAATGCTTTCTATTTCTTGTCAGTGGAGTATTCGCAGAGGGGCACAATACTTACATTCAGATATATGATCTCCGTGACAAGTGTGAAGATCACAAAGACCAGCAAGACGTACAAAAACCACTGGTTGAACTGAGGCTTTCCAGCAATCTGTGCAACAATAGCAGCACCCAGACCCTGTGTAGCAACCACGCTCAGACCTCCCATAAGACTGCAAATCGACAGGTACACCATCATGCTCTTCTTCCCGTATCTCGGACCAGCCCAGAACGCGATGACAGCGCAAGCAATGAGTACCACGCCTGCGAAAGACAAGAAGCCCGGCGCAATGACGAAATGCTGCATCTCCTGGATATTGGCGACCGAAGACTCAGACGGTGAGTTCATGGCAATAACCACGGATCCAATGATACACAGAAAACACCCAATCTTCCCCACCATACTCAATCGTTCCTTTAGAAATATGGCAGATAGAATCGTGGTAACCACCACAGACAAGGCTCCCATAGGAGCCACCAGAATAGCATCGACGAAAGCGTACGCCCCAGCATTCATTACCTCCCCAAGAATCATAAGTGTCATTCCTCCCCACCAGAAAGCATTCTTCAGGTATCCATATCCCTCCCCTGCTTCCTCAGAGTATTTCTCGTTTGCCCTCAACAACCCAATCTTCTTCAGCACGAAAGATACGCCGATGAACACGCCCGATCCTATAGCTAACGATATACCGATGGCTTTGTATATGGGCGGTCTGGACTCCTTTACAATCTCTGTGGACGTCTCGTTCGCTCGCGCGTAGATGAGGTTGGCGGCGACGAGGGCATGTGCTGTTTGGTCCATGGCGGCGGTGAACTGAATTGGCGGGAAGCCGCCTAGGAGAGGAAGTAGAAGTGCAGCAGTCTGCGAACGCTCAGCAGCGTCGTTGTGGTTCTTATCGTGGATTCGTAAAGAGGCGTGGTCGTCGTGATATTTTTGCGGATGTTTTTGTTTGTTACCGCAACACCAGCATTAATTTGCGAAGATTATGAATAGCAGCACAGATTATGGGCAGGGACAGTTGGCTGATGTCGAAATCAGACGTCTTTAGCTGCGCTCGTGCGTGTGCGTGTGTGCGATCTGCTACAAAAGATGTTGGGCGAGCAGGCTGGTCGTTTTCGAAACGGTTGCTGCGGGAGAATCTGGTGGTTTGTTTGGATGTGCAACGGGGGGCGAAGTCTTGGTACTAGAATAGGTACAGGGAAGGATGTCGTGGAGGTCTTCGGCCGTCAATTGTGTTCGTAACGTCGTAGAATCAATAGATTGATATGTGATCGTAATCAGGCTTGCTTCTCTGCAAAGATTGCGAGTGCATGTAGAGGCTTTGAGCTGAGCTGCGTGCTGGACAGATACTGGTGGAGTGGCTCATGTGGGTTGGCTCAGGACCTCAGGTTGGGTTGCACTGCGTTGGTACGGGGAACTTCTGGCTGGGTCTGGATGGGGTCTTGGCGGGCTGGCGGGCTGGCGGGCTGGCGGGCGAGCGAGCGTCGCAATAATAATCAACAGGACGAGGCTGTGCAGGATTTGCTGCACCACGATGACTGCGAACCACGGGATTGGTGCAGCATAAAACTTGCGGGCGTGATTCAAGCTGAATGGTGCAGATGGCAGAACAGACTCCCAGTGGCTCATTATTGGAAGATCGAGTGGCTATCGTATCGAAAAGCTCTCAACTGGGCAATCCCCGTCTTGAAGATTGATCCGAAGATCCACCATGACAAGGAAGGAAACTTTCGCAAGACATTCATTCTTGTCTATGTCCTTTGTACTGTATGAAATAATCGCATTCTCCATCCCCTGCACAGTGATGAAATAAATGTAACCTTTTTTCAAGTGATTGAGCCCCCAGATCTCGATTCGCAGCGTCAGTCCCGCGCCAAACCTTGGTTGACAGGACGCCGTTGACGATGGCGACAGCTAAAAATACTGCGCCGACACCTGCAGTAGTGGTCCCGAAACAGGGACTTGACCACTAACGGACGCTAACCTGCCCACCTTTCCCACCCAACAACGGTCATCCTATCACGAAAGATTCCAACACCCAAGACATCTCCACCAGCAACCAAAGCTTGAACAGCAAAAACTCAAAAGGTTCGTTCGTATCCAAAAGATCGCGCGTCGTCGCAAGCTTTCCAAACTTAAGACTCCACTTTCTCGCCTTCTTTCTAAAAAGGTTTGCAATGCCAAAAAGCTATCGTGGAGACATAAACAGCCAGGTAAATAATACAGTAGTATCTCTCAACAACGAGATTCGAGCCGGAACATTTCCAGCCCAGCACAGCTGATCCCTTGCACGTTTCCGCCGATGTCCCTCTGTCACGCAAGCACCGCCACCAACAGCTCCTTCTGCTACACAGGCTGTTCGAGAATTCTGAATCCTTCAATCAGCATCTCTCCTAAATTCAACCACGCGCCTCGGATCTTGCCCACCCTCCACGCTTCTCCCATCTCCTTGCCGGCCACCAACGCAGACTAATTATTCTATCAGACGTTCCGTAACCGACTATCAAACCCTTCTTGTGATATGATGATCCGGCGCGTGTGGTCACTCGAATCGGTTCATTGACCACTGATATCACGCCTCTGTTTAAGCGACGATTTGTGATATGAGGATCGAGGAATGATTTTCGGGGTCTGATACTTCGCCAAGGACGACGCAACGCTCCTGAGTAGGTAGTGAAGTGTTCGGGGTAAGGGGAATGCTGACTCGCCACCACTTTTGAGTTGACTTGCAGTTGGGACGATAATATCACGATGGCTTTGGCCTTTGAGATTCGTGTTCTTTTGGAACGTTATTATGCGCTCCAAGGCCCGCGGATTTTAGATTGGGATGAACCTGAGGTTTCAAGCCCCAACCCATGGCAAGTAAAGAGTCTATTCCCACAGCAATCAACCAGAGACCAGTTTGAAAGGGAGATAAGAACCATAGAAATGAGAACGGGTTTCCAGTCAGATTTTGGACCAGAGAATTAAAGCTGCTCACACATATCCCCCGCTTCAGCACGTTTTCTTGTTGTGCATTTTGTCCAATCAAATCATGATAGATTGAAGTCACGTGGCAATCTCACCCTGTGAAGCTGACATGACGTCCCTTCCATTTCAACATTTATCTCACTTGAGCATTGTGTCTCTCGTTTTGGTATCTTTTCGATCACACTTCTTGTGTAGCGTCCGGGCCAATAGTTATACTTTTCTGTTTGGTGAAGATGGCTGCAAATAGCAGTTCCGTAGATGGTTTGGTAAGCCAGGGGTTGAGCAGCAGGCACACACTCTTCCTGGCTACTGGCCTGGTAATAGGTGTACTCATTCGATGGTACACATCCAATTCAAGCGTAGATTCAAGAGAGCCTCCCATATTCCAACCCAAAGTGCCCTTCATCGGACATCTTCTCGGTATCATGCAACTCGAAGCAGATTACCTCCAAAAGCTCTGGTAGGTGCCACTATCCCAAATTAAACCACAACTCAGACTAAAACACACATCCAGCGAGACAATCCAAAAACCAATCTTCACTCTCAAGATCTTCTCGACCAGAATCTACATCATCACCTCCCCCGACCTCGTGCAAGCGGTCTATCGCAATGCCAAGACATTGTCGTTCGATCCCATCTCAACGTCAGCATCAAAACGCGTCTTCCAGATGACAGACCGGCAAATCAAACTGCTTCAAGCCAGTGTACCTGGTTCTGAGGACGGAGACGAGAATTCTATAGGCAAATCAACATCCAAACTTGCCCATTCGGTCTTGCAACCTAGTGCGTCATTGTTCCAAATGAATGCTCGAGGACTGGACAAATTCGCTACTTTTCTTGATGAGGTTGGGACTCAAGTCCAGGAGGTTAATCTTTACGAGTGGTTGAAGCGGCGCTTTACCATCGCGACTTCGGAGGCGCTGTATGGACCTGTCAATCCAATATCGGAAGATGAGACTATGATGCAGAAATTGACGTATATATTCCTACCCAATTTGACATCTTCTATCTAACACTTCCCAGTGACTTCGAATCCTCAGTCGGCCTTCTCTATCTTGACGTTCTCCCCTCAGTAACCTGTCCCACTGGCCATCGAGCTCGCTCAGCCTTCGCAGCAGCTTTCAAGCGCTACTACGACGGCAAGCACAACATGAAAGCCAGCGACTTCATCCAAGGACGATTCTCCGTGCTCTCAGATGCCGGTCTAAACAACGCCGACATTGGAAGTTTCGATATCGGCATCCTAATGGCCGCAACAATGAACTCCAACCCAGGACTCTTCTGGCTACTCTCCTACATCTACACGATCCCCAACCTCCTCTCCTCCATCCGCTCAGAACTCACCTCCATAACAACACTCACAACCTCCTCAGACAACGGCTTACGCGAAGCAACTCTCAATATCAGCCTCCTGCACCAGAAATGCCCACTGTTGATCAGCACCTGGCAAGAAACCATGCGTGTCAAAGCCGCAATAGTATCGAGTCAAGTCGTGGTAGAAGATACCCTCCTCAACTCAACATACCTCCTCAAGAAAGGAAGCGTCATCCAAATGCCCTGCACCCCAATGCACACCTCTTCATCCAACTGGGGCGACTCAGCAGGTGATTTCTCGCCCTCGCGATTCCTCCCGTCATCGATCGAAAGTCTTAGCAAAGACGACAAGAAGAAACGCAAGCAGGCATTTACGCCGTTTGGAGGCGGTACGGTGTTGTGTCCCGGACGGTATTTCGCGACCTCGGAGATTGTGGGTGTGGCGGCTATGTTGGCGGTGGGGTTTGAGATTGAGGGGGCGAGGATGTTGGGTGTTAAGTTGCAGGTTATGAGTGCGCAGGTCAAACACCCGGACGGGGATTTGAGGGTGAGGATTAGGAGAAGGGAGGGGTGGGAGGGTGTGAAGTTCAGGTTTGCGGGTGGGAGTGGAGATGTGGGAGAGGATATGGTCTTTGGATGAGATGTTGGGTGGTTCAAAAGCGAGTGTGGAGGAAAGATGCTGATCAGGTGGTAAACTATGGAGTTGGGAATTTGGTGACATGTTTGTTGTGCTGAGCTTCAATTGAAAGGTGTAATAGATCAGAAACAAATGATCAATGCGAAATATACTAGAGAAGATATGTTTGGCCCATACAGAACTCTACAATGCTATCTAACACCAAAGCTACTTGATTGGGATGAGTGTTGAAAGTTAGAAAGTAGCCAAAACAACAAAACAAATAAATAAACCCAAACCCCAGAAACCAGTTTTCAATGACTCATTTTGTGCAGTATGGAAATCTGGAATCTAAACGTTAATCCAGCAGATGAGATACGTGCACTCATGAAGTATACCAATGGATCGTAGGCGCAGGTGGGCGCGACTCGTCCCACTTTGGTTCTCCTCTGGTTGTTGAGTTTGGGGAAGTGGGAATTCCTGTCGCTTGCTCAAAATCTCCAGATTTCCTTGCTGTCGAAGAGTTTGCGACGTGCAACAAAAGTTCTGTACGCGGCCGCTAGCTCTGTGGAATGGAAGATTGACAGCCCGGTGTTGTGATCGCGGTGAATTGGGGTCGCGAGCGAATTTGTGTTCTGCTCTTGGTCTTGGGCTTTTGAGGAGCGGGAAGCTCTTCGCACCACCACCGCCATGATAAATTCCTACTTGGGATACTTGTTCAAGCATTCATATCTAAACTTTAAAAGTGCAGTGTGTAGACTGCAATTTCTGTCCTTGCTTAAGCTTTCAAGCTCTCCATGTCAAGAGCATACCTACGCAGCTAGAAACAAGAACAAACCCCAGAACGAGACCGCCTTCCAATCTCCACTATTTCGTTCCTCTATTTCGCAATCGCGCATTCATCTATATTGAGCAAATGTATACACCTTCCCATAACAACTCTATATGTAGTATTGTGCGGTACGTATGACTTCTGTTGAGTGAGTAGTTTTGGTGGCCCAGTCGGTGGTGACTCGTGAACCCGGCTCACGAGTGGGAATTTCGCTTAGGTGGTGATCGCGAGATATTCTCGAGCAGAAGGGTATGCGACATGCAACAAAACTTTGCACGCGGCCGCTAGCGTCTGTTTTAGTTTAGTGCGGTCGGACCGGAATTTTCATTCTGCGGTGATTTTGGTGGCTCTCGAAAGTGACATGGAAGTCCTCCTGATGGAATATGATCCTTTGGCAACGTGGAAATGGAGGTGATTAGGATGCATTGATCTTGACTACAGAAAATACTGCATTGAGTTTTCACTCCATGGACGCTCGAGATTGAGAGTGCAACGTAAGTGTTGAAGACCAACCGTAAAGACTATATATCTGATTCCAGGAGTTGCCTGGAGAGGAACCAAAAGTAAACAAATAGAGAGATGGCGCTTTCCACCTTATGTATTGCGCGTTGGTTTAGGCGTCGCAAACCGAATTCCAAGAGCTCACGATGCGCAATGATCTACTGTGGTCGAGCTGCATTCTGGTACGTATTACTCGATTGCGTATGTCTTGTGACAATTATTGTTGCGGTAGCAGGTAGGTAGGTAGTGACTGCAAATGCTCTTGGGATTTTCGCTTAAGGTTATCGGGAGATCTACTTGAGCAAATTCACCTTCGTGCGACATGCATAGGTACGGACTTTTCGCTTGCTTGGAGTACGTGTCATAGGCAAATGAGCTCTGATTTGGATTAGGTATTGGGGTGGTCTGTCATGACTCAGGAGTATGAACAGTTTGCAGTCTGTCTATCCGGGAAGATTGCCGCCATCCTCGGCCCCGCCACCATATGCAAATCTCGGCATGCCGACTGCGGGGTAAAAATTGTGGAGGGCTCGCGGGGTAGACTGAGAACGTTCCGAATTCAGCTTTTCTGAGTAAGGATAGCGAGACAAGAGACGACTCGAGCTGCTACTTAACAATTCTTATGTGAAGGCGTCCAAATAGTGAGAGATCAGCGGCCCAATATTGCACAACTCAGAGCCTCTTATATTCATCTATGCTGAAGCGAAGAAACGATTGAGAATCTCACTCAATTCTGTGCTTACCGCGTTTAAGGCTGTGTGGATGTATGATTAATACGGTTGCATGGAGATCCAGCTGTCACACCTTGGTATTTCATGCATACAAAAATCTCTAACTATAGAATTTAGCAATTGATCTAGTTTACCATCTCTTGCTCCAACCTTGATTGGTTGATGGTGATCACAAATATTAAGGTTTCCGTTCCGAACATGTCTTCGGCATGCCGACCACCCACAGCTTGGAAACGAGCTAGAATCAGGACTCAGGTCCCAAAGTCAACCCAAATACATCTGTGCAACGCCGCCATACACATCAGTGGGGTCCTTGGCAAACTTACCTGGAATATAAACCGGGCGGATGATATTATCTCGGCTTGATGAGGGGGTTTAAAACAAACCCGCTCCCTTCCTCGAAGCTGTGTCCAAACCCTCATCAATGACCAACAAACATTTATAAACCTCCAAACAACACCTAGAAAATATACCAAAATCATGGCGGTCAGTGAGGATCTCACAACCTATTACAGAGATAGATGCTAATCCTATATGCTAACAGGACAAATGGACAACCCCTGTCGCAGTCGTGGGTGCTGGCCCAGTCGGCTTATTCACCGCGTTACGTCTTGCAAAGGCAGGTATCAAAGTAACAGTCTTTGAGAGTGGGAGCGGTATTGATCAGTCTCCTCGAGCAGTCGCGTGAGTTCCTACCTTGGCGTGTACCTTGATTCTGAATAGGAGCTGATCTGATGCTCTGGAAAGTTACTTCCCAGCAGTCTTAGAGGAATTCTCGAAGGCGGGTATTCTCGACGAAGTCGTCGCCGCAGGCGAAGTCAACACGGAAGGATGTGAGTGGAGAGATGGGAATGGAGGCGTGATCTACGAACTCAATGCACCTCCAAACGATCCCAACTTTGTCGTTTGCTTGTCACAGCCAGAGTTTTGCTCGGTGGTCCTGGAAGCTCTTTTGAAGACTGGCAATGCTGAGGTATTGTTCAACCATAGTTTTAAGAGACTGGAGCAGGGCAATGAGTCCGTAAGTTACTGGATCCAGGACCAAGCCAACAATGGCGAAGTGCAAGGCACGTGCCGTTATCTCGTTGGAACAGATGGTGGCCGCAGCACCGTGAGGAGGTCTATTGGTGAAAGGCTCGAGGGCTATACCTGGGAATCACTACAATTTATTGCCGTCGACTTCCAGTACGCTCTCAAAGAACATGGCTGGAAGCCAGCAAGCTACATCGTGGACCCGGTAAATTGGGGTATCTTTGTCAAGCGAGGAAAGGGTAAAAGCTGGCGATTTGCAACAGGAGTTAAAAAGCAAAAGTCCGAGAGGACAGATACGCTCGATGAAGCCACTATCAATGTGGTCAAGGATCGACTCGCTCATCTCCTCCCTGGAGAGACGAGCAACATCGTGTTCGAGCGTTTTGCACCATACACGATCCATCAGCGCTGCGTTGGTCGCTACCGAGTGGGTAACGTGTTACTGGCCGGAGACTCTGCTCATGTGAGTATCCTATTTATTGATATATCGCAATCGCTGACAGCAAGATTAGCTCAACAATCCTGTTGGCGGCCTCGGCCTCACGACTGGCCTCCTAGATGCTGCTCATCTTTCTGGGGCCTTGCAGCAAATCCTGCTTGAAGCGGGAAGCCCGGATTTACTTGACATATATTCTGAGAAAAGACGTGCCATCTTCCGCGACCTTACAGATCCACTCAGCACCGAGAACGCATTGAGACTCATGTCCGAGAATCCGATTCACGTGCAGAAGCGTGACGAACTATTCACCACAATGCGAGACCCTCGAGGATTTCCTTCCATAATTCAGACTGGATTGGCGGATTTTGCGCTCAGCTCAACATCCAGCACAAGATTTGACACAGTTCAAGAGGTAACATGGTTTATATCTGTCACCAAGCCTGACGGGTGGGCCAATGATAAGTTCCAACACGAGTACAAGACCGTCCATCGCAGCATGACGAAGTCGGCTGCTGAACATGGCGTACCTATAAGTCAATACGTACAGCTACCAAACGCTATTGTTGGCCTGCAAGACATAGAGCGACCTGAGTGGGACTATGTGACTTGTCTCACATTTCCTAGCTTGTTCGTGCTCCACGCCGGTTTCCAGAATGCCAATTATCGTGCTACGGCCGGTGAACACATCTTTTGTAAGCTCGACCAGAAGGGCTGTGTTGCCCGACAGGTGGGCAAGTTTGTCCGTGGAGGAGTAGTGAAGATTGGTCGAGTTGGTGCCATACGCGCACTAATCTTCCACAAGAGGAAAACTGGGACTGACGAGTACTTGGAACCATGGTTTCAAGAGCGGGTAGCCAAAGGCACACTCCTTGCGGCCAGGGATTCTAAGGTTAACGCGTACACTTTGTGGGAGGATATGACGCCGAAAAGCACCGAGTATCTCTTTAAAGACACCCAGTTCGCTGCTGGATCATGGGACGGCTACAAGGCAATCGAGGCATTTGATATCGTGGATGAAGCTAGCGCTGCGGCTTTCCTCGAGCGAAATAGGCAGGAAATCGTTGGGGAATCACCGGAGATGATCACGATTGTTGTCGGATCGCCTGATGTGGTTTTCTAGCCAAGTTGTCGGTTTGAGTAAAGAAAGATGGCGAGAAATTTCAAACAGTTTCCTGAGAAGCCACCCCTGATCCCACCTGAATCGATAGAATCCTTGGCGCCGGGAGGGTCTCGGATATGTGGGGGAGGGGGCGGAGGCGGATGCGGGAGACCGCGTCCAGCACGCCCACGCCAATCAGTCCCGAACTTCTCTAGGTTTTGTAACTTTCAGATTATTTTTAACCTTGAACCTGTATCAGACATAACTTGAACTTTCTGTGGGCAATGAAATCCGATCGTTGCCATCCGCCTATTCGATCTGCACGATAACAGAGCTTTCATTCGTCGTTCATGCAAATAATCATACAGAGGCTGCTCCGATCCCACTACCATCAGGAAGGACTTCAAGCATCGCATGGGATATGAGAAAGCGCTCGGCTCATAATGAGGCCTCTTCCCGTGAGAGTCCCTCCAGCAAACGGCGCCTTGCCACCCACGCCCCTCGCGCCTCGCAGGCTTGCCAGGGCTGCGCGATATCCAAAATTCGCTGCGATGATCTCCTGACTTGTAGAAGTTGTCGAAAGAGGGCAATACCTTGTGTCAGATCGTCCCATAACGATAGAGAGAGTGGGAGTGGCCAGAGCTCAGCACAGTCCCAGGGAGAAAGCTACCTCGCCCTGGCTGAGCTCGTCCCCCAACACCATGCCGAACCAGTGGCCCCAGATTCTGATGCAACTAATGTATCCATATTCGAGCCGGGTGACAGCGTGTTATTGAACATACCTAGGGAGCCTCCATACCTTGATCCAGTCTCTGATATGTCCCTTATGTTGGATGATCCCTATCTCATGGATGGCATCTTTGATCTCTCATTCCCCAATTCTCATGATTGGCCTGGAATCATGGTCCCCGACCCTTCTCACTCTGGCCTTCCACTAGGCGAGTCACTGATCAACCGTCCCGTCGGGAATGGAGACTGCATACTTCGTCCGCTCTCAGGTCCTACCATAGTAGAACGGACAGCGTCCACCAAAACCATAACCAGCATTTCCGACGAAGCAGTTCAAGCCTATGACGCCACCTTGGGCAATTGGCGTCCAATGCCAGATGGAAATTTAGCGGTGGATAGAGCTGCCCTCTCTATTTCGCCTGATGAGCAGCAACGCATGAGGGGATCCATGGGCCATTTCGATCCCACCGTCATCCCTGAGGCTCTCCCTACCTGCCGTAGGGATGAGATTGTGGTCATCATAGCAGAATTATTTTCGAAAATGCGGCCACCCCAGGCTACTCCTTCGTTGCCCTCGGTTGAGATTTTTGACGAGTTGCTTAAGATCTTTCTCACGACACAGAAGGATCAGCCGCTTGGGTTTGTGCATGTTCCAACGTTCAGCCCATTACATTGCGACATATCGCTCCTGATGGCTTGTATTACAGCTGGTGCCATTTTTTCTCCAAATCTGGCAGCTCACAAGTTTGGTATAGCAATGGTAGAGCTTTCACGCTTTATTCCTCTTCTCGTAAGTAGATCCTTGCCAAATCCAACGAGTTTGGTCAATTATGATGTGTGTTCGCTACTAATCACAGTTTCGATCATTCCAAGGTAGATCAAGAGAATTATCTAGCTCGCAGCGTATCTCACATTCAGTCATATATTATTCTGACGGATGTCGCACTTTGGAGCGGTAATAAGAGGAAGTCTGAGATCTCGGACGTCATGTCTGGGTTTCCCGTCACAGTACTGATGAACCCATCCCTTGCTATTTCCTTGGCGCTACCTAAAACTTTAGATTTGGAACTGACGACATCTCTTCACAGATGATGAGACACGGTCATCGTTTCATAGCATCGAACTACCCGCACATCAGTCCATCCCCTGAACTGACAGCGGAGCAGCTGGACGAAACTTGGAAACGCTGGGTGGATCAAGAGTCAATGAAGAGGTAGGCATTCTTCTTACTGAGACTTCTTCAATTCCTGATCAACACGTTATTATAGGACTGTCTTTCGAAGCTTGACAGCCTGCACGCAACGTGCCATCGTCAGAGATGCCCTGCCGCTAATATCTTGCCTTGAGGTTTCGACCCCGATCCCAGAGCAGTCTGAGCTCTGGTACGCCAATTCTGCTGCCGAGTGGAGGAATTTGTACATTCGTCTTCAAGCATCCCATGAAGAGCGAAGGCTGTCACTCACAGACTGTCTTGCGGATGTCACAGCCATACAGACGATGCCGCCATTACAAGATGACGATTTTGCGAGAATGGCGGTAGCAGTTTCTCTATTGTCTATGGATGTCCAGGACCGACGTCGAAATATAGTGTTTGTAGCACACTGTGACGATAGATGGTCGAATCAGCAAGCTTTTGGTCCACCAACGGCTCAACATCTGGCTTCATTCGTTGATGAGATAGGGGGTCTAGTAAACAGTGAAGGCCCCAGGCCCAGAACGACGGCAGCTACTGCGCTCATGTGCGAGTTTCATGGCTTCTACAACGCGACGCCAACCTATCTGATAGAAGCCCTTCTAGGAAGCGAAAGACACGTGAAGGCTCGAGACGCCTTGCCTCAATTAGAACAATGGCGACAGACACGACAAGCGAGAACTGCGGTCTGGCATGCTGGGCAACTTTTTCGGATTGTTAGGGCAATCAAGCCAAGAGAAAGAATAGACTTCCAAGCTTTCGTCCTATTCCATGCCGCACTTTGTATCTGGGCTTTTGGCATTACGGGTAGATCATCGCCAAACGCCAAAGCAAAGGCACAGCATGAAGTTGATCAGAGTGGAGGGGGGAAAATCAGGCTGGACGGGCTTGAGTCGCTCGAGACCCAGCGTTGGATCAGCCGTAACCAAGGATTCCCTTACATTCCAGATAGCAGCGATATGATAGGAATGCCTAACCAGGACACGAGTTTGATACCAATTTGTAGCGACGCTATGTCCGGTAATGGCTTCATCTCGCCGCTACTAGATGCACTCGAACAATGCTTCTCACTTCATATAACTGGACGACGATACTCACTTCTACACAACGCTTGCCATGTTCTGAAAGCTCTAGCACGGGGTCCTAACAGACCAAGTTAGCAGCGAAATGGATCATCAGAACTTCAGTGACTGTAGCAGGGGGCAAATAGGGGGAGGGGCAATCCGGTCAGGTTGACGGACCCCTTTCGGAACCGAACCAGGGACCATTCGGGGAGTTGTATATATTCTCTACCATAGACACTCTTTTGAATATATACTTCTGAACACCCTTGAACCATTATTTTGCACACCACATATATCGATATACACTTCTTCTTTGTTTACCGGTACGATACCAACAATTCTTGTTGTGGTAGTAAGTTGTAAACGGGATGGGAATTTCGCGTAAGGTATCGCGAGCTTTTCTCGAGAATATTCACCTTCTTTGCGATGTGCAACAAAACTTTTGGGAGCGGCCGCTAGCCGGCTTAGCGAAGTCTACACGTGATAAACCCCATCGGGTGGCATAATTCTTGGAAGCCTATATAGGTAGTTATTTTCAGATCATTTATTCTCGAGGAGTATAAATCTTGCTGTGAAATATGGATTCGTCAGATAAATTGACTCATGAGTACCTATGCTTAGAAGCTCCATTTTGTCACGTGGATATTGGGTTGAAGAGCTTTCTGTCTTGCTGTATTTACCCTGGGCTGCCAGATGCAAAAACCACTGGACATTGAGAAATAGGATTCAGTTCTTTAAAGCCACATCGATAAATATGTCGGTGGTTCTGTGAAGCCGGAATCGTCGAAGCTGTTCTGGTGTTGGTGGGGAGGATATCCTCCAAGCGAGGTTACTGTTTACTTCCCATTCTCGTTCGAGGATATCTCCACCCAAGTCACCTAGAACTATCTATCATATGAGCAAGCGATCAGATATCCATATGAAATTACTATTCTCCGGTCTCCTAGGATCGCAAGATTGTTTGGCGACTCGATTCTCGAGTCAGGTGACGACGTTCCCGACAAGGTTCCCTCGAAACGTTGAAACGCTCGTAGCCTATGATACAAACTGGAGTATCTAGCACCAAACTTTGATATTGTCTTGGCTGGGCTATGAGTTATTAATTCTTCTAGTGAATGACGTACAGCCGCAAACAACCCCAGAGAATTTGCGGATGCTAAAGACCAAAGTTCGCCACACGCGAAATCGTCAAAATCGATCCTTGGAATCGTTCTGCCTCAACAACCATACTTCAGATCAAGAGAGAAGAATAGGAATAGCTAGTCTAGCTTAATCACGTGAGGTTGGTTGAATTAATCTCTAGCATAGAATGAGCCTCATCCACACTCTTCCTCGCGTAGATCTTCCATACCTCACGATTACGATGACCGGCCATTCCCACGATGTGGAGATCGAACTTTTCGACAACAGTTCCGATGATGGAGACAGTCCCCGACATACACCAAACTCACCAACTTGTATAGAGGAAAGCCGATCTCCAAGCCAAGATCTATCAGAGGACTTCAGAAGCTGTGTTGAGGCACTTACGCCTCGACAATCGGTGGAGGAAGACATTGTCCACGACAGGCCAGAAACTTCTTCGGCCGAGCATGGGAGAGAGGTCGAATCATGTCCTACTTTGTCGAGTTCAGCGAGATCTTCTTTGTCCTCACAGGAAGGGAGTAGTGCGGCGACACTTCGGCCGACTCGGACGCTGTCACGAGAAGCAAAGAGAGATTCGAATGAAGAGGAGCATTCGTCAGGGAAGCATGTAAGATAGAAATTAGCTTCCATGAGAAAGCATAGACTGAGATGTACAATAGTCCTTAGGAAATGTCCATCGCATCCAGCCCGAACCATCGATCAAGGTTTCCATGGCTGAAGACTCGTCACCTGACAGTGCAAGCCCAAAACTAACGAAGAGCTTGGAACCCATCTATATTGGAGGTCTTAAAGTCATAAGAGAAGTTGACAGTGATTCTGCAAGATCACCAACAATAGGCAGTCCGACCGTGCCAACTGCTGTGGCAGCATCCAGAAAGCAGCAATCGCAAGGTTCCATTACTTTGCTTGACAGCTTTGGAAGGAGTGTCTGGGTCCATCGTAATGATGAGGAAGAAATGGATGAAGTGCGTGTTGATGAGGATGGAAATTATTATGTGTTTGGACAAGGAGGGTTCCGAGTCCGGCTGAAGGAGGGTCAGATACAGTCTGACAACACTTCTCAGCCGTTCTGTATCAGCAACGGACAGAAGATCAACATACGTATGCGCGTACTCTCTTATGCTCTTGTGCACGATGCTAATTCTCATTCTGTAGATATCGTTCCAGACCTTCTGAGAACTTCTGCTCTGCAGGATCCCAGACCAGAAAACGATGGCACCATAACCCCTCGGACAGAACCAATCGTGAACAACAGAAGCGACCCTCTCCCCTCACCACTCCGAAATGTCACAAGACCAGCAAACATCAGAACAACAACTCAAAAGACTCGTCTCCAGCATTCGAGAACTCCTTGGACGGACCTCTTTACCGGCGTGGCTGAGAAATCGAAGAACGCCACCACGTACTTGACCAAGGGTGCGCGCTCAAAGATGAGGAGGTCGCCTCCTCAACCTGCACAGCCATCACGGACGCAACAACAATCAACATCACGAACTACAAGCCGGACGTCATCTGCTAACAAGTCGGCAGTGGAGACAGGAAATAGTAGGGAGACACGGGGGAGACGAGTGCCGTTCCTTGGACAAGTGCCGAGGATTCCTCCGGTTGGGAATATTAAGAAGCGTGTTATGTCCAGGAGACATTATTGAGAGACTTTTTTCCTGCCGGCATATTGTAAATAGAGTTCAATATGAGCCGATGCTGAACTATGCACTCGGAATGTCGGTTATGAGGGAGTTCGTTGCCAAGGTGATGTATCAATTTGAGGATAAGAAAGCACCACGGTTTGCTCCGGCGAGAGAGAAACTTTTCAATACGAAGCACGAGGAAGATAGAGCTTGACTAGGAGCGAGAATCTGTTGCCCGACTGCCTTTGGTGATTCCTACAGGGTCGTGCACACTTCGCGACTCCGTGCGAGCCGACGGGGATAGGGGGTGGGTGACGTCACGTGCGGCAGTGTTCTGCTCCTGCTACATGCTTTCCATCTTTCCTATATTATTGTTCCGGCTGAATATATTCCAGGTTCCTCTTACTTTGCGATGAACACTTGAGCTTACTCATTCAATCAGTGGGTAGGTTAAGGAAAGGGCGTGAATCTTGAGGCGGCTGCGTCACGCTGCTTCTCTTTACCTTCGTGGTGCTTTAGGTGCTTGGTGCATCCAAACTTCAGGTTTACTCCTCCGTTGTCTTCCTCGCTTCTGTTTGTCAACACGGCTACCTTGATCGGTAGAGTCCGCTTCCACATAAAAGAGGGTGGCCACAGATTTTCGAACCCTAGCTTTGGTGGAAAGTTAAAGATTTTGTACTGTAAATAAACAAAATCTCCAGATTTCAACAGTAAAGGCTCTAAATGTGGCTCATTTTAAAGGCTTCTATTAGAAGACTGTTACTCAGTTAACTAATTAGATCTGATTTAGAGTTTACTAAGGCAGAAGTAGCTAAAATCATCAAATCATATCTCTTAGATTAGAGACTAAGTTATAAAGTCTCTGAGCAACAGAATAGCAACAGGCGTCCAACGGGCGTCAAACCCTCGAGGGTTCGGAAATCTGTGGCCACCCTCTTTTTACCAGTTATTATGGCTGCTGTAGATTCCCCAGCCATGCACATGCCAGCCTCCCAAATTCCAGTCACCTGGCATACTCCGTACATTCCGTGCCAGCCTGTCATCGCGCATGGGATTGACTTCTCTGTGGCCGCTGGGTCAATACGAGCATTGAGATCCCATGTCCCTATTCGACGCAAGGTCCCGCAGCTAAATGTCGTGGTACTCCGATCCCGTCCAACGGAAGTCAGATGGTGGCTATCGCTAATCACAACCCCCCTTTCTATCTGCACTACACTGACTGCACTGCACCTGAACAAATGTCACTGTAACGTTTCAGAAGCGAACATCAACTACAATACCTGAGCCTCCACGCCGGTGGAACGTTGAACTTGTCGACGCCCAAAAAGATGGTATCTCAACTGAGATTCCGTCTCGAAATATCCTCAGGTAAATTTCCATAGCATTCCATGACGGCTCTTTATCCCCCTACCTGGATTTGACTTTGACGTGCACAGGGTGCAACGTTGAAAGCTTGCACTCGGGCAATTCCTGATTTGATGGCTGCAAGGGACTGGAATTTGCCTTGTTGGCGCAGTGAATGCGCAAATTTAGGTCATACAGGAACTTACGATATCCAGTAACCAATCCATGGGCTCGCACTGCCTTGTTTGTACAAAGCTACTTGGTTTACTCATATGTTTAGCCTTCCGGACGGCATTGTTAGCTGCCCGCCTGTGCCCAGTGCCCTGCAGCCTGCCATCCAGGGAGCTGAACATCCCTGCCTCACCATCCAGCAACAAAGAGATCGTCAGTACTAATATCCCCAGCTTCTCGTCCGATTTCATTTTCTTTTCTGCGCATATTGCTGTGCACTTTTCATCAACATCACAAAATGGGCTTCAATCACGTCACCAAGATCGTTGCGATTGTTGTGGGTGTCTCGGCAGGTGTCGTCAGTGCCGTGGCCGTCAATCCACTGCCGGCGCCAACATCCATAACCTGGGGAACATCTGGTCCGAGAGCATTCAACGGACGAAACCTTCAACTGACAGGCACAACAAACAAAATTGTTTCGGATGCCTGGGATCGCGCCTACAAAGCAATTGGCCTTCACTGGTCCCCCCAAGCAACAGAGGCCCCAATCGGGACATTTGCTCCATTTCCAACTGCTGTTGCACAGAAAGTGACCCGCAGGACCACAACTCTGAACTCGGTGGATGTTCAAATCGCAGACACCAAAGCCCCCCTTCAACACGGCGTCGATGAAACTTACACTCTTGATATCACATCTACGTCTCAAACTGTCAGCATTACAGCCAAAACCATCTGGGGTGCGCTCCACGCCTTCACGACGCTGCAGCAACTCGTGATCGCGGACGGGCATGGCGGACTCATGGTCGAGCAGCCTGTATCTATCAAAGATGGACCTCTGTATCCTTATCGAGGAATCATGATCGATTCTGGGAGGAACTTCATCTCTGTCAAGAAGATTTATGAGCAGATTGATGGCATGGCCTTGTCCAAGCTGAACGTGCTGCATTGGCACTTGGTCGATTCTCAGAGTTGGGCCGTTCAACTGTCCTCAGTTCCCTCGATGACCTTGGATGCGTACTCACCAAAGGAGATCTACTCGCAAAATGATATCAAAGATGTCATCAAATATGCGACAGCTCGTGGAGTACGCGTTATCCCAGAGGTTGACATGCCGGGTCACGCATCTTCAGGGTGGAAGCAAATTGACCCCGCAATCGTTGCCTGTGAGGATTCTTGGTGGAGCAACGACAACTGGCCACTTCATACAGCCGTCGAGCCCACTCCTGGTCAATTGGAGATCTTGAACCCAGATACTTACAAAGCTGTCACTAAGGTCTACAACGAGCTCAGCTCCGTGTTTTCGGACAACTTTTTCCATGTTGGTGGTGATGAAATCCAGAAAGGCTGTTACAATTTTTCAACAATCACCATGGACTGGTTTAAAGCTGATTCATCTCGTACTTATGACGATTTGCTGCAATACTGGGTTGATAAGGCTCTGCCTATATTCAAATCCTCGCCCAACAAAGATCGCAGACTTGTCATGTGGGAGGATGTCGCCATCGGTGCACCACAGGCACACACCGTACCCAAAGACGTTATCATGCAAACCTGGAATTCGGGGCTCGAGAACATCAAGAAACTCACCTCATCCGGCTACGACGTAATCGTCTCTTCCTCAGACTGGTTCTACCTGGACTGCGGTTTTGGAGGTTTTGTTGGCAACGATCCCCGCTACAACGTCCAGACGAACCCAGACGCGGCAACAGGAACCCCCAATTTCAACTATGGTGGCGGCGGAGGCAGTTGGTGTGCCCCCTACAAGACATGGCAGCGAATCTACGATTATGACTTCACGAACAACCTCACGACTGCTGAAGCCGCACACGTGATTGGAGTGACGGCTCCCTTGTGGGCAGAGCAAGTCGATGATCAGGTCATCAGCACGAAGTTTTGGCCGAGAGCTGCAGCTCTGGGTGAGTTGGCGTGGTCGGGCAATAAGAATGCGGCGGGAAAGAAGAGAACTACTGAGTTGACGCAGAGGATTCTGAATTTCAGGGAGTATTTGGTTGCTCTTGGCGTTGGGGCTGCTCCTTTGATGCCGAAATACTGTCTGCAGCATCCGCATGCTTGCGATTTGTATTATGACCAGACTGTGGTGCACTAGTTAATTGCTGTAGTTTACTATAACGCAGAGCAAATTTATAATAATTTTCGGTGTTGAAGTTTTGAAATATGCTTGCCATAATTCGCAATGCTTGTACACCCATTTGGCTAAGGCTCTGCTTCGTATTGGCATCAAATAGATACCATCTCATCAAGACTGCCATAAGTTGTTAGTGCGATATCCACATCCAAAAGAATCCTCTCGACTGTCGGTTTCAATTATGGAATTACCTCGGGATCAAGAGGACAAGCTTGGAGAAAGAGATGGGTTGGCATCTGATGCCCAACCCACTTGTTGAGTGTTTTTCGCAATCCCGACATGGCCACTTTGTTCCTTTGAACCGCTCTGGATTGAAGACGCGAGAGATATCCTGGAATATCAAAAGTACTGCCTTACTAAGCTGGACATGAAAGTCGGAAATCAATTGGACGGTGTGGCACGGAAAGCTGAAAACCACAACGCCACCAAATGCAACCCCCCAACACTCACAAGTCTAGCCGCCATCTAACCTGTCACAATCAACAATGCACTTTTGCTCAACCACGAACCATTCATTCGAGAACACTCCATGTCAACAAGTTGTCTTTACAGAGAGGCATAAGTTCGATGAAGAGACTACACCGCTGCTACAGAACCTCGGAAACGACAAGGAAAGACACTTTCGTCTGAATTTAAAGTGTGGTGCTTGTCATGGGCCGTGCCGAGCTGCATGTTTCCAATACTTCAGCCTCATTTCCTAATTTGGATGCGCCATCCATCAACACGGGATGGATGGATGGACGCAGATAACGATGTGTGAGACACCTTTAAAATGGTGCACTTTTCCCACGTTCTCCAAATCCATCGCTGTTTTTCGCGTTTTCGCTTTTCTCTCTTTGCTCTGATCGTCATACCACCTGCATTTATATCTAGAGATGCGAGCAAGAAATCTTATACTTGTCGTGGCCATCCACGCGTCTGGGGCGATCTCCCAGATAATAACACACATCACCCAACTTTCCGTGTTTCCAGACCTGCCATTATGTATCAGCACAGCTGTTGACCACGCTTTCGAGAGTGTCCGGACGAGCGACTGTCCGCAAACGAACCCCACAAGCGCAGCTAGTTGTATATGTTTGAAGTCCGGGGGCCCAGATCGGATGTCTAAATCAATGACGAAACTTCTCCCGATTTGGTGTGTGGGTTTAGGATTTCAAGGTCCGGAGTATCAGGAGACTGTCGCGACGGGAGTGTCCTTGTTTTCGGAATATTGTACTGGGGCTTTGGGTCCTGCGGCGGTTATTGCGGCGCCTACGGCTGCAGAGACTACTCCGGTTGAAAGTAGTGCGGGATTGACTACAAGTGGTGAGTGATGATTCTTCGTCCTTGGAGGTGACCGCTTAGAATCTACGTCTTTACTCTCAAGACTTGCGTTGATCACTTCCTTCTTTTAGCATCTTCATCACCAAAACCTACCAGCCCATCCTCAAGCGCGACAAACACTCCAAACACCTCCAACACCTCTCCATCCAATTCATCGCCATCATCACAGTCCTCCTCTTCGGGCTTGAGTCTCGGAGAGAAACTGGCAATTGGAATATCGATCCCAGCTACGATTGCTACGATTATCGGCGCTTGGTTTGCGTACAAGCAGCATAAAACGTCCAAGGAGGAGGCGAAAATTCGGAAAGCTGCGCTTCGTCTGTCGCAGTTTACTCCTGGCCGGCCAAGCTGAGCTGAGATAATTGCGACACGGAATGGATAATAAGGCATTTTAGGGATGTGGGGGACACTGATGGGCGGTGTGCCGTGAGCTGGACATGGAGATGGACGATTTGGTGGTGATGGGGAAGTCATGAGGGAGTCGGGCAGGAGAGAGGTGGAATAATTGGCCGCTGGAGTGCAGGGAAGGCTATAATTTGAGGAGGGGCTTTCTCAGCAGTGAGGCGAAGAAAGTCTCATGCGGACGGAAATTATGTGGTCATGGGGCCGATTGAGGCTGAGGAACAGGGACTTTTACTTTTGTGGATATACCCAGGAAAAGATTACGAGAACGCACGCACAAGCGAAGTAAACAAATCGTTTCAAGCTACCTTGTTCCGCTCTTTTTTGTGTCCTCGTCTGAAATTGGATTCAGATTGCATGGAAATGGTGCAGAAAGCAAGTTCTATTCCAGGAAGTCAGGTAATAGTCATCATCTGGGTTGGTATCTGCAGCCATTAGACTGATCTGAGTCCTTAGACCAGGCATCATGCGGGGGAAACACTTGGCGGAAACCACTCACTATTTATTGCATTTGGCCATTTGAAGGGACAGATTTGTTACTTTGCTATTAAGGTCTATTTCAATATGGTGCTAGCGTGCAGCGGGATTGATAATTCCTAGAAAAGGTTGGCCTTGGAGATTGAAGGTATCACGTGGCGTTTCCCGCAACCACTGAGAAGTTTTGCCCTCCAAACATCGAAACGCTTGAGACGATGGTCAATATTAGTTAACGTAATCAGCATATATTGCTGTATAGATACAGCTCGTATTAACGGACTTTCATCCCAGGTCAGCTCTCCAGCCAATCTGAGGTGATGCCACGTGCATCTCCTCAGCGAAAGACTGCGTAAGCAAACTTTGAACTTCTTAATCAGCGTCTCCCGCCTCAATACCCTCTTCCCTCGTTTCTACACGGCTTATTGAGGGCTCCAGGGTTTCTACGAGCATCAACTAACTCATTATGAATGACCGCCCAACTTTTTCTGTTCACACTGACCACACCAATTCCCGAACAAGAGTCGCTCTCACCTCGGCGACTCCTTGGCTCTGATACGACCAATTGCCTGTTCGACACTCATCACCTTACATAACATCGCACTGCCCAATTCGGGTTCTGTTCTGCTTATGTGCGGCACGCTAAATCTGCGATAATGCAGGTCCCAATGTCACCATTTCAGGGTTGTGGGAGCTCATATAAGAATGGAATTGGGATTTCCCCGTTTCCCTCCACTAGAGATTCTTCCGCTCTCCTAGCAACCCGTCTTCTTTGCATCATGTCCGAAAAAGTTCACCCACCTCTGGGCATCCATTCACGTTGGAGACAGTTCCGACATCCCAGTGGGAGAAGAATACACATCGCTGCAACACCGGAAGAACACGAAAGACTGAAACAAGAGTTGACAAAATCTGAGCCGGATCTTGAATTTGATCTTTGCATTCGGGGCTCCCCTGAACATGTTTGTATTCCAGCTGTCTACTGTGACTTCACTGATCGGACATTACCAGGTACAAATGATACGAGAATTGAAAGCCCACCACGAAAATCGACGAGAGAGCATCCGAGAAAATCATTCAGATATTTACAATGACTTTGAACACATCCAAAACGAGTTGACTGCCATCGCCGCGGAGTTGGACTCTCTCACTGATCACCATGTCACTCTTGACGCCAACTTCTCCAAGTTCGGATACAGTGCCCACTTGAGAACTTTGGATCTCAAAGATCAGCCTGCATTGAGTTCCGGAGCATCTTCATTCAGCGATGTATCAGAGGCGTTCAAGCAGGCCGGTATGAATATGAAGTTCTGGAAAAGACCTGTCGTCCGACAATACTTCCACAAAGGTTTGCTGTGGCGCTCCAAAGCGAGTGGAGAGGTTGCTTCCTTCGAGCTATTCATCGATCTGCTGTACGTTGGCGTCATTGAAGCGATTGGACATACAGCCAGCGAACATGCCACTAGCTCAGCGCTACTTCACTATCTCATTACATATACGATGAGCGCCAAGATGTGGGTGGACATCACGAATATGACGAATTGGTTTGAGACGGGAGATATCATGCAACGTCTCTCCATTTTGTTCTTCCTTCTATGTCTCCTCGGATTCACGGTCAATATAGCAAACGCTTTCGACACAACGTATACGGCCACGGTTTCTTTCTACCTCGGGGCACGGCTTCTCCAGGGTGTTTACTTCGCTTGGGTCGCCATTTGGGTGCCGACAGTGAGAGGACCCATGATCTGCCAGAGTATTTTAGTTTTCGTCATCGCGGCAGTATGGGTTGGATCCATTCATGTAATGTATCCGTCACGGCTTGGTTTAATGATTCCAGCAGTTTTGTTCGATTTGTTTGGCAGCATGTGCATTGCATTGGTCATGCGCACTTTTCAAAAATTCAACGTCTCCGAAGCCAAGACTCGGTCTTCGCAATTCATGAAGCAACTTTCAACACACTTTGAATTCTATCCTGCCTTCAATATCGAGCATCGAGTGGAGAGGAATAATACATTCATTGCGTTAGTCTTCGGATACTCTATCCTTGCCATCCTCTACCAGAATCGTTTTTCGGTATTTGCATCGAATGCCATCTTCGGAAAGGCGTGTCTTTCGCTCATTCAAGCATTCTGCTTTAACTGGATGTACTTCGAAATTGATTTGCTCAATTTGAACGTCCACGCTATTCGGAGACATTATGTGTCGGCATGGGTATGGATATTCGGCCACCTGCCATTCATCATGGGCTACACCCTCTCAGCGACCGCGATGTCAAAGATTGTACTCGCACACGATGTATCGCATGCGGACGACGGATCGTTGGAGAAGCCGTATAACGAGGAGTCAGAGGAATATGTTGCAACAGGTCTTCGATGGTTTTACTGTGGAGGATTATGCGTGGCGTTGATATTCTCTTGCATCATATCTCTATCTCACATCTACCATGTCAAAGGAGATGCTCGTCTAACCCGGGAAGCTCGACTAATATTCCGTTCTGGAGCCGCAGTATCAATTCTCATGCTTCCGCTCGTTCCAAAGGAGAGACTACAATCTCTCGCGCTGGTTGGAATCACATGTTCCATCGTCATTGCCTGTCTGATTGTTGATCTTTACGGGCTTTCAAGTAAAGATAGAGAGTACGTACCTAGACTTCAAAGAATTCTTCGAGCGGTATGTGCTAACTTCGCATCGTGCTAGCTTCTGGGTTGGAGGATTCTCACAGAAGGAAAAACAAAACATCAAGTACAAAGCTCACTGCAAACTTGATGAGGAGGACAAGATCCAGATCACGGAGAACCTCGAGAAGGGCCACAAGACAACGATCAAAGACATACTCAGAAAGTCTTCCAAGGCAAAGTCGAGCGGTAAGACCACCCATTGGACTGATCACCATAATGCAGACACACATCTTGCCGCCTAGTACCCTCAGTTTCATCCCGTGCCGGACATCTTGGGAGTGATAGGCCGTGGCGCTTGTCTTGGCCGAGTTGGTTTTGATATTTTAACAAATTGTAAATCCATAGGAGGGGTCACCTCGCAACAATCCTCACTTGGCACGAACTTTTTCCCTCCACGTGTGATCCCTATCTCTTCTGCCCTGACTAGATATCTCCACTATTATGCATCTGCCATCCACAAACTGGATTCCTGTACCTGGTGCGGATCACTTTAAGGCCCTGCAGTACGAGTGGAGACGTTCATGCTTTGGATGCGTTTGATGACCTCGTTTGCTGATTTGCAGAGGCTGTTATTTTACGCACAGAACCGAAGGGAAAGCAAACAAATCTCTTGGGTTGTTTGGCTGGGCACATCCGTGTTGTTCGGTCCTATGTTTCAGGGAAAGAATTGGAGAGCTCAGAAGTAAATATAGAATCAGACGCTCTTTGTATGAAGTTCTTCCATATTTCTCTTGAATATGCGCAAACAAAACGCCGAGAAGTTCGCAAGCCACCAGATGCGGCCAAGGAGTGGATATGAAGAATCGCTCGGAGGGAGACCCATCTATTTTAGCTGCCGTGTGCTCGGTAGTGTAGCTTGAACCCTGAAAACAGAATTTCCAAATGCACTGACTCCCACAAGGCTCTTCACCGACTTCTTATCCCACTTCTGCCATTTTTGCTGGAGATCTATCCGTTTAGACTTTCCTGCTCGAAAAGAAGCCAAAATCATCCCGGCTCGTTGACACTTTGACAGGGTGAGCCCTGGTCCTGGTCCTCCTCCTCGGCTTTCCCCAGCTGCATTCCTTAATCCCCCACGTCAGATAATAATTGCGATAAAACAATGGCATTCTCCCCTCACTCGACCATTCATTTATGCGTACAGTGCGGGATTTCGCGGGAGGTGATCCTTGAAACTTCCAAAGTCTGGACGGAAGTGGCAATTTCCATGTGTTCGACGTAGCACAGGAATCAGCCCATATCGGCCAGCCGCTGGGATGTGAGAAACTGTTTAACTACTTCGTATTGTGGCTGGAAGAAACCACATCTTTGCTGCCACTGTCGAAACAATAATCGGACCACAAATGAAGCATCTTGGTCTTTTGCCCGTTTCACGCATCCACATTGTAACCTATTTGCAGGTCACGCACCGACGCACAAAGCTTGGAGGAGAATTAGGTATGCCGCGGGTTTCTCTCCGCTGCAACTGTTCCACGGAAGCTTGGCCATGTGCGTCGCTGATGCTGTAGACAGCCGGGGATATTTTGCGTTTTCCGTAATTATGCTCCGTGACCGGTAATAATGGGTTTGGAGACCCCACGGCGAGTCAAAATGACCCCAGATCAACCATAGAAATACCAATGATCGTTGAAAGTATGTCCCAGAAGGGAAGGTGGTGAAGCCCATGAGCTGCAGCCAAGTACTACCCACAGCGGATACCAATGGATGGCTGGTGCGGGGTCAACTTGGCAGTACAGAAGCTTCAAACAAGTCGCACACAGTTTTCTTGTGTATGAGCTGACTGCGACGTATATCTTCGGGGGGGGAGAACATGGGCGTTCTTGGCTCGTCTTGGGTAACTTGGCTCATCGAGTCATTGATGTCAATGGCGGTGGACGAAGGGGTTGATTAGGTTTGACAAGCCAGCCTACCACGCCTGGCTAAATTGATATAAAAGCTTGAGTCTGCCCTCAAGACATTGGCCCTGCGTGGCATTCTTGTGTGGCTTTTTTACTTTTGCTTGATTCTTCTTGTCCTACATTGGCAGCCTGGAGCTCACGAACTTACTCCAAATTCCCCGATTTACAGATATCCAGAGCACTTACACTTGAAGACTTCAGTCGAGTCGCGATCATGCGCTTCTTCCCTGCTCCTACAGGTAGTGAGGCTGCAGACCCTATTGTCAAGGGGATCATTCCCACAGCAAGACAGTCCTTGTCGGACTTGGTAAAATGGAAGCAAAGAACTGTTGTCGTTAATGACTTCGGAGAATCGCACTGCGAATGGCAAGATCCCGAGCCTTTGACCAACCCGATTACGCTCTTCAGGCAGTTGAAAGCCAGAGATGTGAGTAGAATGTCCTTAAACCTTCCTCTCTACTGCAGTGTTGACATTATTAGTGGCTCTTTTTCATCTGCGGTTTCCTCGCCTGGACAGCAGACGCTTTCGATTTCCATGCCCTGTCGATTCAAACCATCAAGTTGGCTGCCTACTACAAGCAGTCCAATACAAACATCACCACTGCCATCACTCTCACCCTGCTCCTTCGATCGGTGGGTGCTGCATTCTTCGGTCTTGCAGGAGACAGGTTTGGCCGAAAATACCCCATGGTTCTCAACATGATCATTCTCGGACTTCTTCAAGTCGCTACCATCTACTGCAAGACCTTCAAGGAGTTTTTGGCTGTCAGAAGCTTGTTCGGTCTATTTATGGGCGGTGTCTATGGAAATGCTATTGCCATGGCACTTGAGCACTGCCCTGTAAATGCCAGAGGACTTATGTCAGGTATCCTGCAACAAGGTTACGCTTTTGGCTACGTCTTGGCTGCATGTGCCAACTTGGGTGTTGGAGGATCGACCGAGTCGTGGAAGGTCAGTCAAGCTGCCACCTGAGTGTACCGATCTTCGAGCTCAATGCTGACTTTTGTAGACCGTGTTCTGGATTGCTGCTGGCTTTTCCATCGCTGTTGGACTCGCTCGTCTTTGCTTCCCCGAAAGTCAACAATTCCTCGAAGCAAAGAAGAATGGCCACAAGAATATCTCAGCCGGCGCATTCTGGAAAGAGACAAAGCTGATGCTGGCTCAGGAGTGGAAGATGTGTGTTTACTGCATCATCCTAATGACTTGGTTCAACTTCTACAGTCACACTTCCCAGGATTCATACACCACTTTCATGCGCCAAGCCAAGGGTCTCAACAACGCAGCTGCAAGCAGAGCATCAATCTGGATGAAGGTTGGTGCTTGTGTTGGTGGGTGCATCATCGGCTACCTGTCACAATTCGTCGGTCGTCGCCGTGCCATGATCGCTTCCGCAATCATGTCTGGCGTCATGATCCCATCCTGGATTCTCCCATCTGGCGAACGCGCATTGTCAGCAACTGGTTTCCTCATCCAGTTTTTCGTCCAAGGAGCTTGGGGTGTCATCCCAATCCACTTGAACGAGCTTTCCCCACCAGCATTCAGATCTTCATTCCCAGGTCTGACATACCAAATCGGAAACATGATTTCTTCCCCTTCAGCTCAGATCGTGAATGCGTTAGCCGAAAAGATATCTGTGAAGGATGAGGGTGGACCACATGTTAAGGCTTACGGTCCAGTCATGGGTATTGCGACTGCAATCATCGCCATTGGTATCGCATGCACTGTTGCTGTTGGACCTGAGAGACGTGGTCGCAGGTTTGAGGCTGAGCCCATTGCTGGCGCTGCCCTTGACGTTTCAGATAAGGATTTGGAATATGGAGAACATGAGAAGAAGGTCGACGTTGAGAATGTCGAGGCCAAGTCGCAATAGAAGATGCACATAGACTGCACTTGTGGAACACTGTACACATGTCAACTTTAGCTTGATTTGACGAGAGTTCTCATACCCTTGATTCTCATGCTCTTTCATGAGATAATGATTCCTTTAGAGATAACAGAAATTCATATACCCTTTTGTACAAGGTATCCCGAAATCCAACTCTTAGAACAGTGATGTGAACGAAATGCCAGCCATGAGCCAAGAGGACAGCCAACAATCAGTAGGCTCTATTTTACTTGAGCTTCGTTCCAACCTAGAATATGTGTCGTGCACCTGACGCACCTAAGGCACTCCCTAAGGCGCTCCAGCTAACTAGAGGCTACTTATATAACTAGAACTCCTAGAGCTTCCTCTTATAGGGGAGCTTTAGAATACTTTAATAAATTAAGACTTTTATATTATATAAAGCTCCTCCCTATAGTATATAATAGTTAAGAGCTATATTCGCTCGTTTAAGCTATTATACAAGTATATTACGTAGTACAGGTAGAGTTATAAGTAGTGTTAAGAGACACTTATACTACTACTTAAAGAACTCCTTTAAATACTTCTCTGAACTTCCCGAAATACTCTTAACGCTATTAGTTCTATAGAAAGCCTCTCTAATATATTAACGTACCTTTAAAACGAGTTAATTAAACATAAGGGCGATACTCTTAATTAAAGAAAGTAGTAGCCCTAGTAGTAGATAACCTTCCGGTACTATATTAAACTTAAAGGAATCTGGAGATTTATTAACTTTAACGCTAATAATATTAGAAATATTATTAAGTAATAACTGAATCTCCTGAGTATTAACGATTTTATATAAGAGGAGATAAATAGTCGCCTTAGTAAGTAGATAATATTATTAATATAAGCCGACTTAGATTTACTAGTAAAATAGAATACTACTACTACTAAGGAAAGAGAGAGTATAATAGAACCGCTAGTATCTATAAGTAAGCCCTTAGAAGCTAAGTTTAAAGATATTAAAGTACTCTAAGAAGCTTGAACAAGGGAGTACTCGAATAAGCTAGCTAAATAAATAGCGCTTAATAACTGTATTTAGAACTTCTTTAACTAGGTAAATAGTACTATTAGCTAGTCTATTCTAACTAACGTAATTAATAATAATACGGCCGAGGGCGCTATAGGACTATAAGCACTAGTTAAGTTTATTAAGCGTGATATAGTACCTTTAGACGCGGTAGTACTAACTTCTATTATTTCGGATTACACTAATACACTTAGCCTACTAATATATTAAGATAAGAAGTTACGAATTAAACCTTATATATAGTATAAGCTATAATAAAAGAACTTCTATCTTATAAGAGCGTATAATATTCCCGATATATAAGAAGTATATAGTATATAAGCTTTCCTAAATATAGTATCAGTTTAGTTAGAGACTTAGGCCGCTTAAGCACTTACTAATATTATAAGAGATAATACTCTAGGATATCAGTATAGTATAACGCTAGAGGAGTATAGTCTAGCGTTTACAGCGAATATAGAGAAGTACTACTAGAACAGAGGTAAGGGAGCTAATAGTTTCTACGCTATACTAATACTAAGTAATTATTCTAATATAGGAGGCTTATAAGACTATTCTAGAAGCTCTCGGAATCGCTCCCGTTTAAATTAAGAAGATAAGAAGATTAACTGCCCCTATAGAATCAGATACTAGCACTCTCTAATTAAGTACTAGAAGCTCCGTTTCACTTATAATAGCTTTTAAGCTAATAGTATAAGATTCTATCTAAATAATAAGTAAATTAAGAGGACTCGTAAGACTATCTAAGCACCTAAGTACGTAGAACTATACTAAGAGATCTCTAAGGAAAGCTAAATTACTATCTCTATAGCTTAGATTACTAGGAAGAAGCTTAGTAAGAACTGAGAACTATTATTTTAGTAAGCTAAAGGGAAGTACCCCGGAAACGTTAATATAGTTACTATTAATTTAAAGCTCTTAGACCTTAAAGAGATACTTAGAATCTACGCTATAGACTTTATTAACGTTTCTTATACACTCTTAAAGAGTACCTTAGTTAATAACTATAACACTTAGTACTTAGTTAATTATAAGAATAAGCTAGTTCCAGGTTCCTTTAAGAGATTAATTAATAATAATTATATAGAAGCTAGAATATAACGAATTCTAGTAGTTAGTAGAGAGAAATAAGTATTTAAGAACTCCTTAGCTAAGCTAAATAGTCTAAATACTTAAGACCTATTACTTAATAATATTACTATAGTCCGTGATTTCTATATTAATATTATCTTAGAAGCGTTACTAAAAGACGCTAGGCTATAGTACTTAGGGAAAGATACTACTTTATAGTACAGGGAGGTTTAGATAAGCGTAGTTATTAGATAGCTAGTTTAAAAGTTCAACCTGACTTTCTTTAAATATAAGCCTTTTAGATACTCTTATCGCTCTTATAACCTAGTAACCTTAATACACACGCTTATTATAATATACCTAACTCTAAGTCGTAGCTTAAATAAGTAAGGTTTCTAATTATTAAGTTAACTACTTAAGGAGCGTTCTGTAACTCTATAACTATAGCACTTATGTACCGGCTATTTAGGAGAGAGTGCTCTATAGGTATTACTTAAAGTAAGGAGAGGCGTATAATTTAATAAAGTATTAAGAATCTAATATAAAGACTATACTATTATATACGCCGGAAACGTTATATTAAGATAAAAGTCAGAGAATAAGGTAGCTAGGCCGTTCTACTAAATCCTCTAGGACTTATTCGACTTTAATATAAGTTATAATAGCACTCGCTAGCTACTTATTATTAAGGATAAGTATAATAGAAAGCTCTTTAGCTATATATTACTAAGTAAGTTAGCTAGCTATATTATACTAATCTTAGAGAACTTTAAGTATTAGACTAAGCGTTAATATAAACTATTAGTCTATATTATTTAGCATGATAATAATACCTTAGTTATAGCTATTTAAGGTACGTTAAAGTACAAGGAATAGACTATAAGAGAAGGGATAGAGGTAGAGAATCCCCTACTATATACTAAAGAACCTATAAGTAGCGCAGAGCGCGTAAGACAAGAGATTATTACTAAATCTATTAAGATACACGTTTAAGCGAATCTACCGGAGAAGCTTTACCTAAAGGTATATTATATAGTAATCTACCTTTATAATATAAGTCCTCTCGTATACTAAGAGATAAGAAGTCTAAATTAAGTACTTTAGGAATAGTTTCAGAACTATTTTCAGTAGTATAATCTACTAATAGTAAAAAAGCTCTTAACTAACTTAAGACCTAACTAAAGTAGAGTATATATATATAAGGCGCGTGTATATTTAGTTATAACTAATAAAGAAGCTAAAAGGAATTATAAAAGCTTTAAAGTTAGCCCTAAAGCGTATATTAGATACTTAGTTAGTTATATTACTTCTAACTTATATAAGATCTAAGTGCCCTAGCTACGCTATATAGTAATTATATATAACGTCTAGTTTAATAAGATAATATTCTATTCCCTTAAGAAAGAGAGGAAAGTTAACTAACCTACCTCTACTCTAAAGGAGCTTATTAAGGACCTGGAAGAGAACGTTATTACTTTAGACGTAAAGTACAGTATTAGTAATATTACTAATATAGTTATAGCGGAATATATAACTGAACTAAACGAAGCTATATTTAAAGCTAATATTAGTATTAAGACTACTATACTAGTTACTAAGAAGGTACTAGAACTAATAGATATTACTCTAATAGAGCTTCTATGAAACTCAGGGGTAGTACTAGATATTACGGACCCCTTAGTACTACAGTTCAGTTAGCACCTATATAATAATAAAACTATCAGTGGTACTATAGGGGTATTAGTACTAATAAGGGAGCGGTACTATTAATAGGGTAGTACTAGCTAGGGAATAATATAAGATAATCGAGTAGTACTATAGTACACTCACGCTTTAGTAGTAATAGTTACCTAGATCACGGTAGATAATAGGTTATATGATAGATCCCTAGATCCTTAGATCCCCTTATAGGAAAACGGATCTAAGGATCTAAGGATCTAGTATCCTAAGAGATCTAAAGTAAACAAAGGTTCTATATAAGACTAGTATATCTACTATTAGATAAGAGCTTTATACTTAACTTTAAATAGTATTCTAATACTTAATAACTATCTTCTTATCTATATAATATACCTACCTCTCGATTATCAGAGATTAACTATAGTCTTCTATATTTATAGTAAGTAAATACCGGACTATTATATTTTAAGCACTTTCTTATTAGAGGTACCGACTCATGAAGATAATATATCCTCTATTAAAGGATTATCGAATAACTACTTAGCTCCTGCTAAGGTCTTTGACTTAAAGAATATACTTAAGATTACTGCCCTAGATCTCTATAATAGGAACTGATCTAAGCTTAGAGTATATCTTACGTAGGTTAAGCTTTATATAGGCTTTAATAGTTACTAGTTTACTATAGAGACTAATAAAGTCCTTTAGGCTTTATCTTTTCTCTAGGGATCTGCTTTTAACTAGATCAAGACCTTTCTCTTAAATTATATTTAGAACTGAACTAAGGATAGGAGAGTCTTTATAGTAATAACTAAGGAATCCTAGAAGATCTTTATAACTTTCGAAGGTTTTAAGTATAGGATTAACTATATCTTTAGCGATATTAATTAGAACTGTACTACTAAATAGAATATCTAAAACTTAAAGTAAGTCAGGTTAGCGACTATATATACTACTACCTTCTAGTAATTCGTAAACTAGACTAGCTAGAATAATAACGCCCTTTAGGTATAGTACTATAAGGGGTTAAAGGATAGAGTAAAAGATAAGATAGTAAGATTAGACGCGCCTACTAACTTATAAGAACTTATTAAGATAGCTATTAAGATTAATAACCGAAATTATAAAAGAGCACTTAAGAAAAAAGGCTAATACTACTTCGGAATATATATATATTAAGGAAGAGAAGGTAATAATAAGAAAT